CCCATTTCCCCGGGTGTATGTCGATCTCAAGAAGCGGGTTGCCTTTTCCTTGTTCGACCGTCCTTTCTCTTCCGTCTCTTGAGATAGCCATTGGCCGGGCTTACACTCCTGACACGGGGTCGGGGGATGCCTGGTTTGGTGCAGCGCCTCGCCGATGAAACCCCGGATGACGCCCAGGTGCAGCGCATCCATTCCGTTCGTCGACGGAAAATCTAAGCCGTGCCCTCGGACCACCATTCGACTCACCTCCCGACCAGAAAATGCCTTCCGATGCCTAGTATTTTGGCCGCCTGCCGGAGAGGAGCATAGAAATTATGATTCAAAGAAAGGGCCGCATCGGCTCCGTACCAGGTACATCGGACGTAGGACCCGAGCCGTTGGGGGTACGGTGATTACCACCCAATCTAATACCAACAGCAACGCCTTGAGTTTTCAGAAGCATCTCGTCAGGAGGGGAGCTTGACTTGCCTGGCAAAACTTTCGCGAGCACGCCAATCGCCAAGTAGAGGGTCACGTAGTGGATACCTTACATCACAGGCCAAACCAGCGGGGCATCTTGGCTCAACGAGGACGGGGAGATGTTGATTCCTGCGTGCATAGAGGTATCTAATTTCAACGTGTCAAGTGAGTGCCACTCGAACTGGGCGGTGCCCAAATGGTGCACGTGTCTCACTCTCATTCTCCCTCAATGCTTGACAGGCTGGTTTTTTGGCCTTGAGTGACTCGGTGAGAGAAGAAAAAAGATTCCGTGTCCAATTGGGACAAGATGGAATTTGGTTGCTTGTCCATACCTTGATAAACCAATGTTTAAGAAGGCTCGCTTGGTAAAGGGGACAATTAGCCTTTTTTTCTTTCCTTCTCAGCACCATATCATTGATGTGTCCATGAGGTAAGCACGTGTATGCTGAGCAGAGTTACAGGTTTGATTGAAACGTGGAGCGCGAAAAAGACGAAGCCCCCTAAAACCCCCAAAAAAACACTGGAGACAATGGATAATAGTACAGAGAAGATCTTAGGGGTCTGGGTGTGGCCTTCATTACCTCGGATGTTTGTGTGTCGCCCACCGGCGACACACTCCCCCATCCCCCATCCCCCACCCCCGCAAGGTCAGCTTTGACAGCGCCTGCAAAGGGAAAGCTTCAACCGTAGGATTCAGAAGAGCATGACACGAGTCAGCCCGGCCTCCAAGTCGTCCAAGTAGACTCGGCTCGAGCTCCCTGCTGGTTCGGACTGGAATCCGCGTCTCCCTTTCGGGAGGAGGTTTTTGGGACGTCGTCGAATTGGCTGTGATCCACCAACCCTAGCTCATGCACAATGACGTTGATGGCGCCGCGGGTTGAGCTGCCTCCTTGTACCTCCCAAGGGTCTTCCTGATAAATCCACCCCCGTCACTCCCCAGGGCACCCCCACACTAGTTGAGCACATGTACTTCCACGCCCCTTCACGACAGAGGTACCCGTTCACTCCCGCTGGCTGTGGCCTCGTTGGTGTGCCCTGATTTGGTTCTCCTCCCTCCCCCAAAAATGAGAGTAAAGATACACACCCCTTTCCCCACGCCACGCAGAATGCGCACTGTGTTTTTGGAGGTACCAGCCCAGAACCTAAGCTTGCTAAGCAATCGTCTGTTTGCTGGAGAGCCCGCTGCACACCGTGCTCCGAATACAAGCAGGATTGATCAATTGGTGATGCATTGAAGGATGGGGCTGTCGAGCTCTGGATCCTCTGCACCTACGCCCCCATGGCTGCAGACGCGGGCTCAAGTTTGGTTCAACGTTGAGAGCATCTTGCCCGGTTCCGCCTGGGAATGGTTGTGCCATAATACTTCGTGCCTCGCTCTTTCTTTAAACGTCATCATCAAGCAAGTGAAGGGGGAGGGGTGGAAATTGAAGCTGGGGAGAGATGAGAAGGGGTGGAGGGAGTGGCTCACATCCCGCAGCCGTAGCGCCATGCACCTCCTGCTCGGTAGATATAGATCTCATATTTTTGGTTGCTTTGTTTTTTTCTGCTGATACAGGGTTTTTATCACAACCTTGGAGAGGTGGCTGCCTTGGTTCGCTCAGCACAAGAGGAGGACTGTCTAGGCCCTGGTCGAAAATGTGATTTTGGCACTAAGAAGAAAACGGATGGGAGGGAAAGGGAAAGGGAAGGAGGGAAAAAGCCCTCAACACACGCCAAATGCGGAACGGCTAGCCATGGCTCGAAATCCGAAGCTAGCAGCGGGCGGGCTTGCGACCACCACCGTGAGTGAGGCTAGCCAGGAAAACCCACAGCTCCCCGTCCACTGGCCCTCTCGAGTGACCTTTTTGGTCAATTGGTGGTGTAGATTGTTTGCGTTAACCGAGGGCCGCCCAACGATGCTTAACCTGTAACGAGGCCGAATTATTCCAGAACCTCCAAAGGGAAGATCAAAACGGCGATCAAGGTAAGAGAGAACATGGCGTAACCCACACCTTGAGAGGTGGGGTAGCAAAACGAATTGATCGATGTTTAATGGTGGAGGACGAAGACCACGTTCACTACTTGACATGATGAGATATGGTAGGGCAAGGATAAAGCAAGTTGAAGAAAATACGACCCCCTGAAGACCTGTCGAGTAGGCGAGTAGGCGAGTAGGTGAGTAGGTGAGTAGCTGGGCTTTGGATTTTAATGGAACCTCCATCTCAATTCCCTCGCCGCCTCCCCATCCCAACTCAGCGCAGCAACCTGGCTGATGCTGCGCAGTTCCGTCTTTCCACTAACTTGACCAGATCAATCGGGATGGCAAGAAATGGATCAATTGGATGGATTCATTGCTTTGGACTGTCTTGACTGCTTGACTGTCCAACTTCCCTCCTACACACCGTATACTTGTACACACCGGGCTAAGCAACGCGTGCTCAAAATACCTCCATAGCACAAAGGCCAGAAGTAGCTGGTACATGCGCCCTCATTTTCTATCTTTTTCCTGCTTGGAAGGGAGAGGGTCTTCTTTATTTTTAATTTTCCCTTTTGTTGGTCTTTTTTATGTTCTTATTTTTTCCCCGGCTGTTCCATCCCCCTCCCCACTCCTTCTTCGGTTCCCTGGCCACCTGCCCTGATCATCAGACGCCTACTCTACCTACTTCGCTAGAATTTCTCATCAAGTGGCGGTCCATCTCCCATATTTCGCCCTCAACTTGATGCTGTCCGCGTAAGCCTTGCCCGTGGACATGGTTTCATGTGGTATTCTCGAACCCTTCTTACTTCGCCTCCCCTCGATGGGGCGTTGCAAGTGGAGAGCAACTTGAAATGATTTGCAAGGCTGCGAGAAGTAAAGAGAGTAGGGGAGATGGGGGATGGATGGGAGACGGGTGGTGGGGGAAGAAGTCGAGAAAAAGAGTCCTGGCCAGAGCAGAAAAGCTCAAGGCCGAGGTCCTTGACCTTCAGCACGGGTGACAGATGACGAACAAGCTCATACACGCACGCCCACAGACTGCTCCGCACCTTTGCAGACTTTGATGCTGTCGCAATTCATGAGATGCATCAATGGATGTCCGCCGAAAGCCCGCTAATGTCGATGCTGCACCGTCTTTTCCTAAAAATAGGTGTTGCCTCTGGATGACCGACCTTCCGTGTATCGCCTCGCAGCTCCAAACCGTGTCCCCCCTCCTCCGGCCTTTTCACCACGACACCACCCCCGATGCAATCTTTGACACGCAATTCCAACCCTGTGATCGCATTGCCCTTGGGTCCACGTTTCCACTAGGACAACATGGTGTCGAGCCCAAATCGAGCCCTGCGGGTTTCCCTCTACCACTCTTCCCTGCTAACCCCGCGCTACCGTGCCTCTTGCGTCATAGAGAAGGTGTAACCTTGAGCCATCCCCAAAGAACACTGAGCGAGGGTCTAGAACCACACTCCTCCGTTCGGGCATCGCGGTGACGAGTTACCCCTCCTCTCCGTGCCAAAAAAAAAAAAAAAAAAAAAGAAAGAAAGAAAAAAGTCTGGTAACCTGGCACTAAAAGCACTGCATAGCTCAGTTTCACCTTGAGAATCTCGCCCGGACATTTCAATGCCTGGTTTTCTGCTGGTCCCGGGGTGTGGAATACCCGTAGACCGAGTGCGCCACCTTGTCATCGGGCCTCCATCGTCCTAGAAAATGGAGCAAGTACCATCCTTCAATGAGAACGAGAGCACGAGTGAAACAGGGCAACGGGGCCGATGGGGTGCGTGGGCGTGAGTGTGGGCGCGGGCGCGGGCGCAGGCGCGAGGAAGGAAAACTCTGCTGCCGCCAGCAGAAGCCCGTTCTCTGTCCCCGATCCAAGCCAAGTAAGTGCCTTGCGGATTGTCCAGCGTCGTTAGTTGAAACGACATCGCGAGTCCCTTCTCCTCTGCAAGTTCTGCCTAGCGCCATCTGCACTGTCTTCCCCTTCCTTTCCGAGATTTGTTGGCCCTCCAAAAAAATGTCTCCGGCCTCTGCCCCGGCACCGGCGGCGTCAGCGTTCTTCCTTTTTCCTGTTGGTGTCGGAATGGGAGGCCGGGAGGGAACGCCACGCACCAGGGGAATACCGCCGGGCTAAGAGGGAAAACGGCCAGAAGAAAAAAGGGCCGACCAAGGCCGCCTTGGGTAAACCCTAAATGGCGTTCAAGGGCGCTGCCGATCGATGCGGCGTCGAAGAGTCCGAGGCGGTTCTCGATCAGGTTATACTGCGGCCTCTCTGGGTCCTGGATGAAATGGGGACTGTGACCAAATTAACATGTTCTTCGATTAACCCTTCGTCTAACTCTCAGACCTGCCCTCTGCGATGCGCCAGTGTAATGAATGGGATGTACAGATAGAAAGATCCTCCAGCTACTCCGTACAAAGATAAACAGAAAAAAAAACCAAAAAAACGAAGCTACTACACGCTTTGCGAGAAACATGGGGCCGATCACTCGCCCTCCTCCTCCGCCTCTTCCCTTTCCTTTCCCCTTATTTGCTCTCTATAGCCATCCCCCTCTCACCTCCTCCCTTCAGCGTGACTGGGCCGATGCCCCCTGCTCTATAGCATGATAGCTAGTTCCGGCCTGTCAATCTTTTCATCGCTCAGGTTGGGATAATAAGGCACCATCGCATCGGCGCATTGGACGTAAGCATCGTTGTAGAGCCTCCAGTACGGCTGGCGAACCTTGCGGGCTGGATGGAAAAGCCCTGCCCAAACATAATTCATGACGACACCCGGGCCTACCGCCATGCGGATGGCTTCAATGGCCTCAATGATTCGATCGATGACGTGGGGGCTGGTCTCGAAAAGGTTGGGGTAAAGCAAGTTGAGCAAGTGAACCATGGCGTCTTCGCAGCCCAACCCAACGACGCCCAGCGCAATGTGTTTGACGACGGATGCGGCGGTCTGCCGGTGTACCTGATCTCTGTCAATCAGAGCATCCTCAAGCAGCGGCGTCACGGCATAGACATAGTCCTTGGCCATTTCGCCAATGTATTCGAACAAGAAGAGAGAGACTTGAGTACACCGTTTTGCACATTGAGCTCTGGTACACGGTACTCGTTCATGAGCGCCGGAAGCACAGTGAATGGCGCACAGGTTTCAGCCACGATACCAATTGCGACGGCCGTGTTGACACGGGACTGGCGCTCCTGCACCCTCAGGTTGTTGAGTAAAGTGGCTAGAACATCCTGAGGGCCGATGGCCTTCGCGATGAAGCCAAACGTGTTGTTGGCAGCGCGACGGATGCCCTTTTTGTGCGCCTTGAGCATGTCGAGTAGCTCAAAGCAGATTCGCATCCATTCTCGTGCGTTTACACTCTCTGGCCCACGGTCGGCAATACGGCCGACGAGATCAATCGTGTTCTCCTGAACCTTTTCGTGTCGGTTTCGCAGAATTGGCGTTAGGCGCGGGAGTAGGTCCCGGATCGGAGGCTGCATCTGCGCGATTCCGACTACTGTAACGATAGACCTGAGCGCGCCTAGAATCGAGCCGAGGACTTCAGGATATTCTTCTCCCAGGTACTCGTAGAGAACGATACCGAGCTTGCCCATAAGTGCATCCTCGCCGCATTGTTTCATGACCATGGCGATGCGGGAAATAAGATCCGCCGCTTGCTGCCGGACAGTTGCCGATTTGTTGTTGAGTCTCCACAGGATCGTGCTGACGATCTGGGGCAGGTAAGGCTTGCATCGTGTGCCAAGGGCGTTGACCACCGAGCCGAATCCATTCAGCATCACAATGTCTTCCACGCTCTGCTCCTGGAACGCATGTAGGATACCGTCAATCAGGCGCTCCTCCAGGCGTTCACCAACATCCGCCGCACCGAGACTAGCTACCACCTTTTCAACCGTCTCCACCGTCATCTTCCGATAAGGCTCACTCTCGTCCTTTAGGTTGACAACGATGCGCTCAAGGATCTCGCTGGCTCCGACTTTCTGCCCGAGATCCACCGTAGTCTCCACGACCTGACGGTAGATGCGCTTATCTAGCGCCATCCTCCTAACCCAGAAACTCTTGAAAAACTCATCAAGCACATGCTCCTTCAGGTAGCCAGCGGTGACACCCTCGGTGCTTGAGCACTGCGAGACGACCTTGAGGACAACCTTTTTCATTTCCTCATCAGGAGAGGAGAATTCGCGCAGGAGAATTTCCATGATTTGGCTGGTATAGTAATTGGCATACTCTTCGTCCATCAAGGGAATGATGTGTCCGACGGCCTTTAGGAAGCCGGCTAGACCCTTGCCGCGCTGTTTCCGGGCACCCGTCCACAGCGGGTTCAAGATGTCGTCGAAGCTCTCGATACCATAGGGATTTGAGGCTTCCGCAAGCGCTGCGATGGCAAGACTGGTGACAGTTCGAACTTTGGTCTGTTCATCGTTGAGATTGGGCCCAATACACTCCACCAAGCCCTTCAAGTGAGGCAGCACAGCGCATCCCATCAAAATAGGAATCTGCTGCACAATCTTGACACCTGTATGACGCGCCTGCCACGACTTTTTACTCCGGCATACAGCGCGCAGGAACGGTAGTAGAGCAGGAATACCAAGGGCGGATGCAACAACGGCAAAGGCTCGCGCCGTCGTGTTACGGACATACTCGTCGACGTGATCGATATCTGGACGCATAGTGCTAATCATCGTTGCGAGACCAGCGGCTTTGCTAAGGTTAGATATGATCTCCCGACCCTCGACACGAGCATAGTAGTCCTGGTCGATGAGAAGAGGCTCGATGACGACCAAAATCTTATGGACGTAGGGTCGAACCAGATCATCTAGTTTATAAAGGATACGATCAATGACTTTGACCAGCAAGTGACGCTCTTGGTCCTCGAGAGTCTTTTCCATCAGGAGGGGAGGATCTGGTCAAAAGTGGACCGGCGCCAAAGTTCCTGGCGTTGTCTGTCAATTGTCGTAGGGCGGTTTTGCGCATAGGTGGTGTGCCGTTCTTGACCTTGAGAAGCAGCCTCATGATTTTGCGCTCCTTCATTTGATCGACCGTCAAGGCATTCTCGTCCGCGCCATCCGCCAACTTGCCGAAATAGGCCATGTCTTCCGGCTTGAAAAATTGTAAGTCTCCCATGCCTGGGATTTCGGCAGCCATAGGTTTTCCGCTCAGCCTCACGGAATTGGGATCCTGCATCATGAAGCCAGTCTGGGACATCGGTGTAGCCGAGACACGGTGGGTTGGTGCTCGAATTGGTTCGTAGCCAGGAGGTGGCTCCAAGACCTTGTATCCTTGTTCCTCTCCCGGAAGGAGGGCATCAAGCTCTTCGTCGCTAATGGGTTGGTTGCGGCCAATCTCTGCTGGAAAGACAGGGGGAAGCACGGCTCCAGCCTGGGAGGGATGGACCGGGGTTTGGGCAGCCTGGGCACCGGTAGGAGTAGCAGTGGGCGCTTGGTCCCACCGAGACTTCTTTTGGGGGCTTCCGCACCAGGGGCGGGCAAGGCCGGGGCTTGATCCCACCTAGACCGTTTGACCTTGGCGCCATCTGGTTGGGAGGGCTCCTCAGCCTCAGCCGGCGTCGACGAAACGTCCCATCTCTTCTTCCTCTTCTTGACAGCCGTGGCCTCCTGCGTAGAGCCAGCCTCTGCATTTTCCTTATCCGCCTCTTTAAGCAGAGGGACACCTTCGGGTAGGTCGTCATCTTCAACAGCATCGGTGAGCTGCTTGGTGGCAATTTCTCGTCTCACACGCTCCTCCTCTCGCTCAAGATCGCGCAGTTCCATCACATCGCGATAGCTTGCACCCTCTTCTGAGGTGCCAGCTTGTCGGTTGGCGGCGAAGGGGTCAGCGCGAGTATCAGTCAGCGCCCGATCGAAGCGGCGCTTCTGATAATCAGTCTCACGATCGACGATGCGGTTACTCTTTTCGCCACGTCCAGCCAACGGATCGTCATCATCAGCTTCGTTGCCATGCGATGCATCATCGATAAGCGACTTGGGAGCCGTGTATTGGCCAACTAGCCGCCGAGAGCCATCGCCGTCTTGCATTTCTTCATCGTCATCTTCATCCCCGGCTGGGAGGGAGGTGTGGTATCCCGCGAATTTATTGGCGCCATCGCGGTCATAGAGTTCGGAATCGAAAGAGTCGGTAAGCTTTTGCTTGGTTGAGTCGGACCGTTGGTTTGTAGGGTCAAAAGTTCGAGAACTCTTCTTGGCCGCGTTTCGCTCAGCCTGGAGCTTCCTGATCGTTTCGAAATCCGCGTCAGACATGGTTAGTGATAGAAATTTGCATGTTATTTCACACGCTTATGATGAAATATGCCTCAGAGATGGTATTGCGCTCATTTGACGCATTGAGATGTGATACCAAATCGATGATAGGTAGGAGGTGATGAGCACTGTTGTTCGAGGGTGAAGAGATGTTCCTGGGCTGAAGAAAGTTTGCGCGACGAGGCGCTGGTCTTGGCGTGGCGACTATATCAACCGATATTTTGCCGGAAGGCATCAGCGCCACACCAAACCAGGTCTACATTGGCACATTCACATGGAGCGAGGAGCAAACTCGGCTGGCCTGCCCACAGTCCATTCAACTACCTCTTGTTGACTTTTGAATGAGGTTTCGGCGTTATAGGAGTTGGGCTTTGCATCAATCATCGCCCTATTGTAGCTTCTTCATCGTCGAGAAAAGTAGATTTGACGGCACTTGATCTTCTTCCTTATCGGGCATCTTTCACCTAATATTGAACTACTGAACCGCCTTCGTACCCCTCCCGCTTGACTGCATCGCATCGGTTTCAAGCAAAGATGAGGGAGAAGGGAGGATATAAAGTAAAAACGTTCTTTTTATTCATCCCCGCACCCTAGGTTTAAATTTCACGGCTCTTCAAGTTTCGTTGTTCGAATCCTTGTGCTTCTCCTTACACTCAACTTGGTATCGCCATCTCCATGGACGTCTGTAGTGATGACGCTTACGTCCTTGATATCGTGCGAAGAAATATCTATTGCACTGACGCGACGTCTCTTTTAGGAATCACGGCGAGAGTTTCCCGCTGCCATTTGCTGACTCTTCCTTCTTCACCTTGATGATTGCGGCCTCTGCTTTCTGTGCGTTCCTATCAGAGAATGCTCGCAGATCGGCCGTGAAGAGGACAGAATGCGCCCAGCCGGCCTCCTTGCCCCAAATGTCTCGAAAAAGTCACCGACCGTATCGTATAAGCTTAAACTAAAAGTTTTTGTCTTCCCCTTTCCAAATTTATAGTCACGCTGGGCTATTTGCCAGACATGGGTATCAATAGGAACGGCTTCCGACCAACCCAGCCCCATGAGACAGACGCAGTCGGCAACCTTGGGACCAACCCCGGAGAGTTCAAGTAATTCTTTATGGGCTTCCTTGTATGTTTTTAACGAGTCGCCTTTAGCCAGTCCTTTGTTTGTCGCTGAAGGGAAAGCGGGACTGTCCGGGCTTCGCAAGGCATTCAGCCAACCGTGAGGCTTCCCAGCCACGATTTGTGCGGTTTTGGCGATGTATTTGGCACGATACCCAAAACCCAGGTTCCTTAATTGGGACTCAACCTCTGCGCCCAATAAAGCCTCAGGTTTGGGGAAGTCATGAAAGGGGGTATCTCCGATGTGGCCGATGAGAGGACCGTATGTCACACACAGCTTGTGAACCTGCTTCGGGGTCAGTGGTGACGGTGATGGGAGGATTGCTAATACTAACCATCTGGGATATTCTCGATATGTTATTGTTACTACTACATATGAAGCTAACGAGGGTCTCCCAGGCGTCTTGACTCAAGATGCGGACGCCGGTAAACTGCGGAGCTCGCTTGCGAAAGTTAGGGTCTGCGTCAGACCACTGCTTATACAACGATTCCAGATCGACCTTCAAGCTAAAATAATGCTTTAATAAAGCCTCCGTGTCGTCTTGTAAAGGCCCATTTCCCAGGGATTCCGTGCGCGAGCTCTTCTCCGGCCAGACCACTCGGTAATGCAAGTGTGAGGCATCTTGCTTCAACGATATGATGCGCCCGTGAAGCGTGCAAGACCTATGGGTTTTAGAACATGCCATCAATCTATAGGCCATAATCATATGCGATCAAAAACCCACCATTCATCTTCAAACTTTCTCCACCTGAACGATTGTCCGCAGCGAAGGGTGGTGTCAATGCAAAGCTCTGTGAGACTGAGTGGCAATTTGCGCCAGTCTGCAACAGTGCGCATAGCACCCATGTTGATTATCAACGTGGGAAGGATTGGAATAAAAAAGGATTCAAATAAGAGAAGTCCAAGCCGCTTTTACCTCAACCCAGTTTCATCCAAGCATACCTCTTGGTGAAAGATGTTGTTGCACCTCCCTCCTCCAACCTCCCTGGCCTGAGTGTGTCCGTTGTGCTGCTGTGGCAAGCCACATCTGTTTCGCCACATAAGCTCCCTTTTGATGAGCCCACATGGGTTTAGTGGCTTGCAATTGGACCAATCGCTCGCGCTATGACCACCTCGAAAAAGTTCCAGCCTCATCAAGGAACGCGGCTTCATTCCTTTATTCAAGCAGAGCTTCTTTCTATTACTGCCTGTTTTAACTACCAACCTGGAATCGCCGTCCCCTTCTCGCGATTTCCGTCCAGAAGGCATTTTTCGGCGCCCTCTTTTTTCTCTTCGTTTTTCTTTTTCTCCATCCCCTTTCCTGAAACACTCACGATAGTAATCCACCAAAGCCGCGCGCAGGAGCGATACCATCATGAACGGCGAGGGATACTCTCGAGGTATGTTTTTCCTTGATGCGAGCTCTCGGTAGACCTTCTGGATTTTGCTAACCGCATCTCCTTGTGAACAGACGGCGGCCGAAAGCGAGAATATAGTGTAAGCCTACCCCTCGAATCGTGTGAGACACGGAATACTAATGTTCCGATGCAGTCCCGCAGTGAGCGCGGTGAACGCAGCGAGCGTGGAGAGCGTGCAGAGCGCAGCGAGCGTGGAGATCGCAGTGAGCGTGGAGACCGCGGCGACCGCGATGATCATAGGCGAGATCGCGACCGAGACCGGGACCGGGACCGGGAACGAGATCGAGACCGAGACGGCGGCCGACGTGAACGAAGGCGGTCGAGATCGCCCTATCGAAGCTCGAGACGCCGCGAAGAAGAGACCGATGCGTATTCATCGAGCCGAAACCATAGGGACCGAGAGCGGGAGGATAGATACTCTGGTCGGGATAGACGCGGTGCTGATCGCGAGTGGGACCGCGAGCGAGGGCCTCGCCGGGAGGGGGCGGCCGAAGGGAGGAGGAGGATAGGGCTCCTAGACGGGACCGAGGTGATGCTGTCGATGACAGACGCCGTGGCGGGCGGGACCGTGATGAACTTCCTGGTCGCGACCGGCGCCGGAGTCCATCCCCTCCCCTAAGCCTCGTGAGCCTACCCCCGACTTGACGGATATTGTGCCAGTTCTCGAGCGCAAGCGGCGTCTCACGCAGTGGGACATGAAACCCCCTGGCTACGAAAATGTTACCGCTGAGCAGGCCAAGCTTTCGGGCATGTTCCCACTACCTGGCGCACCTCGTCAACAAGCAATGGACCCGGGCAAGCTCCAGGCCTTTATGAACCAACCTAGTTCGCAGGTAAACCGGGATGCCCTGAAGCCTACCACCTCCCGCCAGTCAAAACGACTCGTGATCTATAACGTTCCCCATCAGCGACTGACGAAGGCCTTCAATCCTTCTTCAACCTGCAACTTAATGGGCTCAACGTTATCGAGGGTACAGATCCCTGTACCAGCTGTCAGCTCTCAAAGGACCTGACATTCGCCGTGGCCGAATTCCGATCCCCTGCCGATGCCACAGTTGCTCTGGCCTTGGATGGCATCTCTATGGATGCTGATGAAGCCATGGCGAACAATGGCGCCGCCGAGCAGCAGCAAAGAGGCCTGGAAATCAAGCGTCCCAAGGACTATATCGTCCCCGCCATTGTTGATACACCATATGAACCTGGTGTTGTTTCCAGCATTGTCCCGGACACACCCAATAAGATTAGCATCGCAGATCTTCCCACGTACCTGACGGATGAACAGGCGACAGAGCTTCTCGTCTCCTTTGGAGAGCTGAAGGCATTTGTCCTCGTCCGCGATCAGCACACCGGCGAGTCTCGCGTAAGTCCCAAACCGTGCCATGATCGTTGGTGACAATCTAAGCATAACAACTAACTTTCGTGCGAATAGGGATTGTGTTTTGCGAGTATGCGGACTCGTCAGTCACCGACATCGCAATTGATGGCCTCAACGGGATGGAACTCGCTGAAAAGAAGCTCAAAGTTAGGAAGGCAAGCGTTGGTATCAAACAGGTCTCTGGTGTTGAGATGGGAGTCAATGCCATGTCAATGCTTGCCGGCACGACTTCCACGGAAAGTGAAGAAAGCTCCGTCATACAATTGCTCAACATGGTGACAGCGGAGGAGTTGATGGACCCCGATGATTACGAAGGTATGTCTATTCCGCACCCCCTACAGTCTGTGTCGAGGTACTCTATCGCCATATGTACTAATCTACCGCAATGCAGAAATATGCGACGATGTTCGTGACGAGTGTGCCAAGTTTGGTACCATCACTGAGCTCAAGGTTCCGCGACCCACGGGCGGAAGCAGGCAATCGGCTGGCGTCGGCAAGATTTACGTCAAGTTCTCAACCACAGAGGCGGCGACCAAAGCCCTCAGGGCTCTTGCTGGGAGGAAATTTGCTGACCGCACCGTTGTTACGACTTACTTTCCTGAGGTATGTCGATATATATTTGAGAATAACCCCGCCCGCCACTATCACGTACACTAAACGATTGCTTAGGAAAATTTCGAGGTTGGGGCATGGTAGGGTGGAGTCTGGGGCTTGTCTTATGTTGCACCGAGGGTGGAAGGCATCTTTCATGGCTAAGGCAGTCAGTCGGATTGAGATCGTGCGAGAGTTTGAGTTTAAGGTGAAAAAGAAGGGTTGCCTGAAGTGCAACAACTGGCATTGTAAACTAGTTCCTATCTAAAATGATGTTACAGCGTTCCGCTATATTCTAACAAGTTCCTCCACAAGAGATTCTACGTCTACGCCGATGTGTCCAGCATCGCCCGCTACTGCCAAACTTCATCTTATTTACTGTTCCGGAGGTAGTTACCCTAAGAAGAATGACTGTTAGTCGTTGGTTCTCGGAATTGGGTCGATATTCAATAGTAATATGGTAATTCAACGAGAGAATCAGAAGTCCATTACATTCATTGGATCCCGAAGGACCCTAACATAAGAGGTACCAGAAAATTTTGTTTGGTGTCATCAGAGTATGTGTTGTGAGTTGAGGGGAAGAGAAGAGTGGGAGCTTACTTAGTAGATACAAGCTTGCCTCGTTGCCATTGACGCCATTGCCTTTTCCCCAGCAGGGAAGCAAAGGACGTGTCAAAAACAAAGAGGCAAGCACGCTGGCTGCAAGTTCACAGCTGAGGTGCCGGATCGCGGCAACTTGGGTTGGGGAGTGAAGTGAGAGAAGTAGATTTTCTTTGCAAATCAATTGTAAGAACGGTTTTGAGAAATCTTTTGCCATGCCGCTGAATAAGCAAGGAGAGGGAAGAATTAATTCTGCTCCCGGACCTGAGCTAGCGCCAAATGGCAATACCTCGGTACACTGCCAGCTCTCGATGTTGGCGGGACGAAAGATCAGATCACGTGGGGAAGAAAAAAGTTGTGGTTGGGACCTGGGCCAGCCAAGCACACCACATTATCGCATTTTGACCCTAATTACACGAAGATTCCCCGCACGACTCCCGCGCCCACCTGCTTGGCTGATTTTTTCCTATCCTCGACCCGCCTTTACGACCAGCACATCTCTGACCTTTTTCCCGTCAACGCTTCACCACCCAACTCGACAACTTCAACCCCCGACCAACGACAACATGGGTAGACTTCACAGCAAGGGCAAGGGCATTTCTGCCTCCGCCATCCCCTACTCCCGCAACCCCCGCGTGGCTCAAGGCCTCTCCCGACCAGGTCGCCGAGCAGATCTGCAAGCTTGCCAGGAAGGGTGCTTCTCCCTCTCAGATCGGTGTCGTCCTCCGTGACGCCCATGGTGTCGCCCAGGTCAAGACCATCACCGGTACGTAGAAATTCCGTTGAGATACTCTCTATGATCAAAATCAAGAGCCCTTGGCTAACCCTCCAAATTCCTGTATAGGCAACAAGATTCTCCGTATCCTCAAGTCTTACGGTACGATCGTTCCGCCTTGAACACGCCGGCAAAGCCCGCAGAGATTCTCTTTTGAAGAATCATACCATACTTTACTCCCAGAGTTCAAACTCTTGTGGAAAATGCCTCTGTTGGTCACGGCTGACAGTGTGATCTTTTGTACAGGTCTTGCCCCCGAGCTTCCTGAAGACCTTTACAACTTGATCAAGAAGGTTCGTATTGTCAATTTCCCTTCCTAGTCCCATGCGTAGTGCGGTATCGTTCTAACAGCGCTTCTGATGTTTACTAGGCCGTCGCTGTCCGAAAGCACCTTGAGCGCAACCGAAAGGATATGGACGCCAAGTTCCGTCTCATTCTTATCGAGTCCAGGATCCACCGTCTTTCTCGCTACTACCGCCGCGTCGGTAACCTCCCCCAACTGGCGATACGAGAGCGCCACTGCCAGCACCCTTGTTGCGTAAATAACGCCTGGAAAGGCCATCAAATGCATGTGAAGGTTCTCCCGGCAGTTTTGGAGTTGGGGAAAAGGAAATTTGCATTACGCAGCCATGAATTCTGCGACGGGTTTTTTGATGAAAATTAGTGCTCTTGAGCTATCGCAACCAGAATAAATGGTATTGCCTTAGTTCATGCCTCGCATTAGTAAATTTGGTGAAGTGAAGAAAGAAAAGAATAAAAATTCCGGTGTTGGCCACCCCTTGTCGCCAAGATGCTGTGTTCTTTGACCACCGTTTCCACCATTGCTTTTACTGTGCCCAAACGCCCCGCGAAATATGCTGTCATCCGAGGTACTGTTGTGCTCGGCCTACCTCCAATTATCCGTGTCCTCCTCACATCTGTGGCATCCCCGAGCATCTCATCAAAGTACTGGGATCAATGCGACCACCTTCTATTCTAGGGCCCTGCTTCCCCGTTAGGTCTGCCCTCTGATATTGAGGAAGTATGGGGCTCCTTTTCTCTTCTTGTCGCGACAACCTCTGCGTGGCGCTCGAGCAGGAACTCGGCAAGGACTCGAAGAGGGTCCTCCGGACTAGATATCGGACGTGATGTTAGGGCCAACGGGATCGGTCAGAGCAATAGCGGATAACATGACGCTAAGGGTTCTTACAGATTATCTGGGTCTTGAACGAGAAATTTACAGCCTGCCAGTAAACTTGGGCACACGCTCTCGTTTAGGTACTGGCGAATGTTGATGTTTTTCGACGGGGCCGGTCCGCTCCCGGAACTAGGCTCTCGGTCGTCCCGAGAAAGCACAGCTTCGGATGACGGGGCAGGTTCCTGTACCGACTCGGTCAATATTGAGGGTATCCTCGGGCATTTTCAAGCATATATGCAGGCAATTACGAACGGGGACGCTCAAATGGCCGTCAGCATCGGTCATTGGGATGTCTAGAGTCGTGGACGTCAGGGGGCGGGGGCGTGAAGCGTGTCGGAAGGCCCTGGAGGGCCATTGGGAGGCGCATCGTTGGGGGAGGCCCGACATGATTTCGTTGATGGGCTGTGGGCCTGCAGAAATGATCTGGGGGCTCCAAAGAAGACGTAGTTCGTGGCAAAGAGGGTTTATGGTGGAAAGAGAAGTCGCAATTAACAAATTCGACTGGGCGGATCAATATTTCGAGATGCGCCGCCTGTCTTGTCGTGCTTATCGATAAGAGCTCCCCACGTGACACCGTGTCCCATCTCGCGTGGCCGGAACGTCCCTACAGCGGGGCGCACGCGTCTCGAGTTTTCCAACCTTGGAGAGTGAGGGAGGGTTTTGAGCTTCTGCATTCCAAACGCCCTCGAAGAACCCTAGATGGATGCCTTCATTAGAAGGACTCCAATTCCGGGGACTAGAACAACCAGTCGGCGTCACTCATCATGCCTTGGAGACCAGTCTCGTCTATCCAAAAAGCGTCGCTTCTCGGGCGACTCCGAGTCCGATCGGGAGTCAAGGCATTCACCTGAGAAGGACGGGTCGAACATCGATTCTCCACATTCCCCACCCTTATCTGTCTCAGGATCGATAGATGGCGACGACTGTGGCAGAGGTTCCGGACTTGAAAGCGCGCTAGCAGACGTAGAATTTGTGGACGAAGCTTTGGACACTGTTCTCGAGCCCATGACTGCTCGAGAAGCGGAAAACGGATCGGGAGGCCACGGCGTATCAAAATCCGAAGACCTTGCCCCCAGAAATACCAGATGGGTCAGAGGAAAAAGCTCGGTTTATGTCGACGCTTTTAGTCTCGCACTCGATATTGTTCTAGAAGATGAGTCTCATCTCTTTGACGAGAGGGAACAAAGAGTATTTCAAGAGTGGAGAAGTCTGGATTACCAGTCCCAATATTTGTACGCATATCTCTGGTCTTTTTCTCATTTGTTTTCCTCTGCCCTTTTTCTTTGCAGACTCTGACCGCTCTGCGCAGGTACGTACGGCTGTTCCTCCGGAAGACAGCTTCATGGCATCGTATCAGCCGGCTAGGGTACCATAGTGATATCGCCAATATTGACAACGCAGTCTTGAACCTTGAGAAGTCGAGATTCCTACCACGATCAACTTCCGCTTCCAACCACAAGGAAAGTAGTGGCCTAGATTTAGAAGACATCTGCATCGGTGAGCACTTTTCGTTTGTGGACCGGTCCGAGGCCCACATCACATCCGCCGAAGACGCCGCCGGCCTCCTGAGCTTTGAGGAAATGAAGATGATGGCCAAAGACTTGAAGTTACAGGGGAAAACGAAATCGGACCTTTCCCGCGCGCTATGCCGAAATAGCAAGCAGCAGACAGGGTTGTTTACATTGGGCATCAGGCGCACGGGTCTGACTCGTTCCCCTGCAAGTGACTTACAGAGGTGCGAGAGTGACTCTTCGCATGCGCCTGATGAAATTAGAGACGGGGAGACGCTCTTCGTTGAAAAGGTATCAACCATCACCGGACCTTGCATCAGGATAGCGCCGATGACGTTCGAGCTATTCGAGCGCGTGCACCTCGTCTTCTATCGCTCTACGGAATGGACTGAAAAGTCCCTGACCACGATCATTCTTGCCAAAATATCTCGGCGCAACTTTGCCAGCTATCTAGTTGGCCGTAGCTCTAACATATTTACCTCGCGAGTTCACATGATGGAGTTTGAAAGTGCCCTCAGACTTCAAGCCGAGGTTGACAAAATCTTAGAGCAGGGTGATCCTCCCAAAGAAGAGGGGTTCAATAAGGTTATAAGCTATTTCGAAGGAATATATCCCCACTGGGAGAGGTTGCTTGCGGAGGAGCAAGTCAAAGAAGATACAGTCTATGACTTTGGCGAAGGAGCCTACCTACGGAGGTTCACGCCAGCGCATACACTCACTCGTATCGTGCACAAGGCCGCGCATTGTTTCGGCAGACTCAAAAATTATAAGAGGGAGTACGATCTTCTGGTTGCGCTTCTCGCTCAGCGGCTCTTCCACCCGGCCAGGCGCGGAGACTGGTATCAGCGCAAAGCGCTATTGGAGGAGCACTACATGTACGCGGTAGAGACCGTCCCGATGATGGCCGATGAGGAGCAGCGGAAGAAGCATTGGAGACGAAAAGCGATCGAAACATGCGAGTATGCGCTTCAGGACAGCGACTGCCATCTAATATACCACTATGACCTGCAGAAACGTCTAACAAAACTGGAGAGACGATTACGGATCCCCGCAGGCTTCAGCATGACTTCAAGCACGTCCGGCTCGATGCCGCACTCGAACACGTGGTTGAAGGAATCCAAATCAAGCGCGATGACGGGTCTATCAGCAAAGGGAAAGGGCCAAGTACAAAAACAGTATGGGTCGACGAATATGAGGATGGCGCGGAATGTAGCGTGGAAGAAATGTGCCTGAGCTGGTACCGAAGCCAGGGCTGGAAAGGATATCACTCGGAAGGAGGCATCGTCCGTACCTTGTTCGCCCTCTTATTTTTTGACATTATATTCCTCTACGTCCCAAACGTTTTCCAAACGGCATACCAGTCCTGCCCATTGGATTTGCACACCGACTCCTTCTACCCAACACGAGCGTCCGAGATCAACCGGCGCCTTGCCGCGATATCCAACGGAGATGCGGAGTCCATCCTCCGAGAGGTCTACGAACGAGAGCACGAGCGCAAAACCTGTGTTGTAGGTCTCAACTGGGATTTCGCACTAGACGACCTGGCAGAGCTCGTGAGCTGCTTCAAAGGGGACACGCTGGCAGCTATCTGCAAAGTTATGACGCAAGAGTATCGACAGCGCGGGGAGGCTTGCCGGACTTGGTTTTATGGCGGAAGGAGCCGGAGAAGGCGTGCATGTTTGTAGAAGTCAAGAGCGCGAATGACAGGCTCAGTGATACTCAAAGGCTGTGGATTCACGTCCTCATGAGCTCTGGAGTGGATGTGGCCCTTTGCCACGCAAGAGCAAAAGAGGTCCGAACCGTGTAGTAGCTTGGGAAAGGCCTGGGCTGGTCCGAGGCTCCCCGGAGACAGCCGCAAGACACGACGGCGCCTGGTCGTAGGTGAGGCTAGGGCCTGGGGGTAGTAACGCCGCAGGCGTTTTTACAACCGGCTCCCCCAAGCCAGCCCGCCCGGCATTTGGATAGATTCTAACATTGAGATACCCATTCCTTACCCTGTAAACGCCATTGTATGCGCGGCTCCCCAAATTATAATGCAGGTGCCTGTAAATTCGGAGATTACCGTGCATTGAGGTATTCAGGGGGTTATAACGAACCGCCAAAGAAGAGTAGGAAGAGGTGATAAGCGGCATTGAACGCACAACGATCATGCATCATTTCCTTACTTCGATTGATCAATTTCAACTCGTGGAGACGTCCCGCACGCTGCTGGACCACTGCACCGAAACGCAGACGCAGGAGAACCCCCAAGCCGGCCAGGCTTGAGGAGAATTCACAATAGTAAGAGACCCTGCTCAGATCGCTGATCAGCCACGTTGGCCCCGAGGGGATCCCCAAACTATAATTAGATCAAAAAGGGAGGATCTATCGCAACATTGGGTGCGCCCCTTGAAGCCGTGTCGAACAAACCGTCGGGTCCTGGCTGCTCTCGCCGTCCTAGATCAAGAGGGATTAGGGGTGTGTGAGCAAGATGAAACAGCGGGGATCTGAAAATAGAAGCGCTTTCGACGGTTGGAAGAACTCCTCCCCCGTTCTTTGGTTGGCTGGGCTGGGCTGGTCAACCATGCAACCGAGAGCAGGCAACGGCAACCTTGCCGTTTCAAGCAGCGAGGTGTTTCAGGCGGGGGTTCAATGTTGTTCCTCTTCCCGGGCCAGATGGGCTTGATGACTGTTCTCGAAGCTGGCACATTCCATCCCAATCCCGCGCTGCTGTCACTCAGCACGGATCCTTCAAATTTGCGTGGGTTTTATTTTTATTTTTATTTTTTTGGGGAGGGGTTTCTCCCTTTTTATTCATTTATATCTTATATTATCGCGGGCTTCGAGCCCTTGTGGGGTTGGGAGCCTCCAGGAACACCACACCACATTGTATTGTCCCGCGTTTACCACCAAACGAAGAATCGGGAGAGGCTTTGGCCAATCGCATCACAGCGTAGAGTCGGAGGGCGCCTTGGTACGGGATAAGTTCGGTCCCCTCTCGGATCGTGGAGAGGGTATAGGCAGTCCGAGGCCAAGAGGGAAATGGGTGGGAAGCGAGGAGCGAGGAGAGAGAGGAAATTGAAAATTAAGAACAAGGGGCAGAAGAGAGAGAGAGAAGGGGGGTGAACTACGCCTAATAGAGGTGATGCAGGTTGTTGAAAGTCATCACATTGCGAGGCTCAGAGTCAAGTCACGTCGAGGTTGCTGGGTCGTAGCGACCAGAGGCAGGCGGTTGACGAAAATGCACAGGCGGAACGGGGATGGGATAATAGCTCGTTGCAATCGATTGAGAACCGAACCCCCTCCCCCAACCGACCTTTGCCATCTTTGGTATAAAGCGTGCTACCAAGAACCGAAGGTCGCCTTGCTCACGTATTCAGATGAAGAATCACAAAAGCGATCCACCTCCCACCTTGTCAATGTGCCAGCGAAAAGGGCAACCAGGAAGAGGCCGGGTCTTGCGGTTATTAGCCATCTATGGATCCAATGGATGTATAGGCAGCGGCGGCGGGGGCGGGGCAGGTCAACCACGCGCCGTGATCAGACCGGATACCGTGGTCCCAGAGTGCCAGTGCCGAGTGAAAAGAGGGCCTCGGGGCAATATCCTACTGGGCGGGTCGTTTCCCTGCCCACGAATTGATCACATATCCACTAAGAAGAGCCGCCATTCCGCGGGAACTATGTCGTGTGTGATTTACGGCAAGCAGCGTAGATGGATTGGGTGAGGAGGGGTTAACGTTAGTTGCACATTGCACACAACCATTGCCTTTACCACCGGACTTTGGCCAGCCAGAGCAAACCCCGGGGTCCGTTTGACTCAAAAGGGCCTCGGAGTTGCGCCGTTCGTAAACGAGTCAAAAGCAGAACCACCGAGGTAGCGTACGCTAAGCATCTGGTGGAGGCGAGCTGTGATCCATGGCATAAATTACCGAGATGGCGTTTCTTCGTCGTCCCTAAGCTCATGGCTTCTGTCGCCGATCCGGGACTGGGAAAACACGAGCAAGGGTCCGTTGCTCAAAGGTTCAAGCCCCTTCCTCGGCACGCCCAAATAGCATGGGCCCTCGACTACACTAGATGTCGTTCCTCTCGGAGGGATTCGCCATGACTAGTCACTCGACTTTTTACTCGTCGAGAACAGAGAAAGCGTAGACGCAGCAGTCGGCCCAAATCTTTGCGCTCTGAAATAACGAGGATAGGCAGCCAAGGTCGAGGGTGCTTTCCCTCTTTTCTTCGAGGAACAGATAAAGGCAGGACATGGAATAGCAACAGCAAGTTGAAAAAGAAATACTTTGTAGAAAATGTACACCCCTTAGCGTGCACAAAGGTCCGCGTGCGTGGGCCAGCCAGCCAGCCATAGAGACATAAAGGGTTGAGCGAGGCAGAGGCAGTGAGAGAAGGGCGAAAGAAAGAAAACGACGACGAAAAAAAAAAAAAAAAAAAAGACTCGGTTCTGCGCCAGGTTCGGATCATTCTCGTCACACTTTTCACACTTGCACTTGCACTTGCACACTTGCACGCTCGCTCGCGTCGCTCTTTCCCCCGTGGGAACTCTCCTCGATGGGGTTCCCGAGACCGTTGGTCATGCACGCCCCTCCGGCGCCGCCCCCACCCCACCCCTCGGCGCTTAGGTTGCTTCCCAGCTGGCCAATCGAAGGCGACGCTGCACACGATTTCAGAACCTCGTTCAGTTGATCTGCTTTCTGCGGGAGCGGCCTGGCCTCGAGCCAATCATCGCGCGGGACGCCCTGTACGTCCCAAAACGTCACGCCCTGTCAGGCGCTTAACAAATTCCCCTTTGCTGAACCTCTCCTTCCATTGTTTTGGGGCCTTTCCCCCTTTGTTTCTTCCCCCATCGCTCACCCATCGGTGCGCTCACGGCAGCCCGGCCGGTGTGATTCTCCTCTTTGTTCGTTTTCGGGTTTCTTTTTCTTTTTCTTTTTCTCCTTTGCTTCTTCTCGATACACACACCTTTTCAAGGTCCGTGATCAATAAAGTGGAAGGAATGTGTACCGATAAATTGGTTGAACAGCCTTCAATGGGTCCGCTTGAAATGAAGAAATGCAATTACAATAATAGCGCTCGCCTCCGCCTTGTTATCTTTGTCACGCTCGTCTCTCGTCCGCTGCCTTCATCCGCCACATGATCATACAGGGATGAAAAAAAAATCAAAAAATCGGAGTACTCTGTGAACAACAAAATCCCAACCGTCTGGGTTCGTTTTGCGCCCTTCCTCTTTTCCGTCATGGACGCTCATTATCCATTTGATGTTGCTCCTCCCTCGTTTACCTCCATGTAACAGCTCTTTGGAGCGATTTCGAGGGCTCATTTGCAAATCGCTGCCATGTCGCATCGCAGCGCATCGTTGCGCATCGCATCGCGCTGGCCGGGCTTATTAGTGTAATACAAGTAATAATACGCTCCTTTCCATGTGGACAGAAAACCACCGTGGCTCCCCCGCCCCATCCCTGCTCTCGCCAGTCCGCTCTCCTCCCTGCTGCAAGACACCCTGGCCCCCAAAGGACATGCACTATCCAGGATGACGGTACGCGCTACGGCCCAAGTTAGTCTAGCGTACAAGTACCTGTTTGCCTCTCGTCACACGCACCTCCCTCTCCTTTCATTCGTTTTACCGCCCATCCAAAGATTTCCCTCCCCAGGCACAAGGGGGCTTCTCCCCTCGAGAAGACGAACAATACTACCGCTATCACCCTCACAACTTGGGGGAGAGAGCCTGCCTAATAGTACTCAGGCCTCGGATACCTGCACAGAGAGCACACCGGACCCGCGCGAGGAGACAAGAGGGGGCTTGGGGCGCGCGGATGAGCGGGGAAAAGAGTGGAGAGGCTACGCAGTCAGGAGCGCCGCCGGTGGTGATTCAAGGAATCACTCTGCACGGTTGCATTGCTCGTCAACTATGGACAGCGGCCGAGGGTTTTCACAAAGTGACGCGGGACGTGCTAGAGAACCCCGAACAAAAAGAAAGAAAAAATGAAGAACCCAAAAAAGCAACTCTTATATTGCAGCACCCTTGCCGACCAAGGATAGGCCGGGTGCACACTTAATCCACTGTAAAATGTGGGTGCGCTGGGAACTGGCCGCGCATCGGTCTGCGCAATTCATCAGACAAGGCTCTTGCGAGAAGGACTAGGATCTCAGTAAGCAGTGAGCCTTGGCCCTCGGCTCATCCTCCATCGTTCATCTGTGAATAACCATCCTCTCAAGTGGGTGGAGGAAGCGGGGAGAGGGGAATAGATGGATGCTCACAACAAGGCAGTAGGTGGGGTGGGAGGCCTAATTCCATTTGAAGTTTGCCTGCGGATTATCCCCCATCTCGAATCCAAACCAAGCCGTCCATCGAGACACTGGAAGTTCTGAGCCGTGGCTCCGATCCTTTGTCTCGTGACCGCGGTCAATGCAAACGGGAGAAGGAGGAGAAGAAGGCGGAGAAGGCAGAGAAGTGACAAGGGAGGAGCCCCTAGCCGAGCCACCTAGGGGACATCTGAGAAAGGAAGACGGTTCTTCGATCCTGGCAGGCAGCCGTTGCGGCCTCAGCTGAGACCACACCTCACACCGCACGTATTACCCAAAGGCGGGTGCCGATGCAAGACATTCAACTGATATATGACTTTTTATTAGAGGAGCGAGGAGGGTGAACCGCGCCTCCAGGATTGCGGAGGGTCATGCCTTCCACTACTAGGTACTCGCCCGAGACGGAACGGCGCATGTCGCCTTTCATCTTATTAACAGTGCAAAACTTTGCTCTAAAAAGGGAGCTCAAAGTTGGAAAAGAGGGTGGCGGCAACCAAGTCAGACACACGCTTGTTGTCTGCCCATGCGCTGCATGCCTCGAGACGTCTCAAAGGGGAAAAGGGGGCGGCCTCCTCGAGGCATCTCGTCGTTTTTCCCTTTTCTTTTCTTTTTTTCTTTGCGAGGCTATTTTTATATCTTTTGTTTCTTTTTATTATTCTGGCTTGATGTCATGCTGTCTTTCACCTTACTTTTTCCACCTCGACCCCCTCTTCTCCCAAGGCGAGTCGCCGTCCATCGACCCTGACCTCTCTCCCCATTGTATATACCGGCGACATATGGGGGTCGGCTGGCGTGGATATATCCATCCATGGATCCATCATATGGATCTTGGAAGCGCCAAGTTGCCACACCACACCTCCCTCCAGAGATGGGGAAAGAGGGGCGGGTCGAAAGGCAGGAGGGTCGATTGCTGGAGCGGAGCGCTCGACGTTCAATGTTGTCCAAAGAAATCCATGGCGATATTAATAGCTCCCGGAAATTGGAAGCAGATGGGTCAAATTCCGTTCAAATTCAAGCTCAGCACACGTTCGTGTATGCTGTACATATGTACAGTACAGTACACTCCAGGAAATAAAGATCCACCTGCCGCTTCGTTCCGGGGTATTAATGACTCCGCCGCGAGCGAAATTGGTCAATTGATCCATTCAATGGACCCAGACATCAGTGATCAATTGATCAATCATGAGGAGCGCACGCCCACTGTACAGGCAAAGTGTGTAGGTAGGCGCCCAACGAAGCCAGACTAAACTTCAATGTTCAAGGTCGTAGGCTCGGCGCGTTGCCGGCTTTCCCCAGGCAGACGAGACGTTTAAACGTCAACTCTTGGCTCGTGAGAGACTGTGACGTGTACCTCGGTAGGTCTTTGCTAAATCGAAACAACTTTGGCTTTTAACCCCTTCTTGAACCTAGGAGACTTGAGAAGATTGAGACATGAAATCGAAAAAATTAAAAATTAAAAATAAAAAAATCCACATGTATCGATGCAAAGACTGAATGATTTCCCATTGCGTCAAGTCTAATACCGGGAGATTTCAAAGTTTAGCAGAGTGCAATCCCGTCCACTGGCCCGTTTCGGCGGTGCCAGGCATCCAGACCACTAGTGCCCAATGCCCCAACACCCCAATATGTTGATTCAACAGACTTTGATCGAGCACTTGCGTTGACCTTGGTGTTTAAACATACATCAATCCATTGTAAAAAAACAAAGAAGAAAAAAGGAGAAAAAAAGAAGAAAAAAACCGCACCTCTAAACAGCTTAAGCGACCCTGTTTCCCCATCAATCCAAATCCAACTTTTAGAGAGAGAGAGAGAAAGAGAAGCGGACCCGTCGCGAACGGCGGTTGCAGGAGATGAGTGTATAATTTCAATGTTCTTCCTGCAAAGAGCTGCAGTAATGACTCTCCCTCCTCATGCCCTCACAGCTCCAACCGGACGTCATGCCAGCTTGTTTCCCCCCTTGCCCTTTGTTTCTTCCGATCAATTACCACATCCGCATCTCGTGCATTATGGGTAAATTCAACTTTGTCCCTTGCCCCCCTTCCCCCAGTAGCGAGCGAGCGAGGGTGTGGCAATCTCTTCCGCCCAAGCAAGTCGGCCAGCAAGCAGGCCAGGCCCGCCAGCCGCTTAACGATGAAGAATGTGTCGATTTTTAGAAGCTGAGCATGCACCTACAGCGGGTCAACTGTGCGTGGAACCAACGTAGTACATTGACGTCCTTCCCGCGGCTCATCTCTCAAGCTTCAATGTTCTCAAAGCAGGTGAAGGGGCCCCAATGCTGTGAAACAAACAGTGTATACAACAGATCAATGGTACATCAATGTACACACACACACACACACACACACACACACACACACACACACACACACACACACTCACAACCCACATCCTCGCCAAATTCAAGGATGGCCATTCTTTCTTTTATATCTGGTGAATCCATGTTTCCCCCGATTACGCCCAAAAGAAAAGGCGAGAGAGAAAAAAAAAAAAAAGAAAGAAAAAAGACGGACCAAGAGATCAAGTGAAGGGCACAAAGGTAAATTTATTGTCGAGCGTGACGAGCTAAGCCTTATTGATTACCGAGCTGAGTAGCCCCCATTCCCCATGTTGTTCCTCCACGCCATGTCCAATCAACTCAAGGCTCTTCATTCCCGCTTCCCGCAATTGGGAAACAAGGAAGAAAAAAAGCCCAAGTACAAGACTAAACGTGAAGAGGGAGAAGGAAAAAAAAACCAAAGAAACAAAGAAAGCCTCCCAGATGATATTCCGCCATTCCGTACCGTATTTAGAAAAACGCCATCCCAAACATAAAATCGGAGGCCAAGCCATACGCTGGCGCCGCTGCTTCCGCCTTGCTGACAAGGTATTGCGAGAAGCTTCCAGCTACAAGGGGGAAAAAGAGTACATGTAGATGAAATGTCCCCTCTCAAGACCGTTCCTAAAGCACATGACTTTGTCCGAGGGGAGAAACGGTGGGGTTCGAGGAGGTTGAGTAGTTTGTAGGTTAAAGGATAGATCCAAAAGAGAAATAGAAGGTATAATGGAAAAAAAGGTTAAGAGAGAAAAGGAATGATTCATCGTCAAATCGTGCCACATCATGGAAGAGTTGGCTCTGAAGAAAGGTGGAAGGTGTGGTGAGGGAGGGGAGGCAACAGAAACCAACCCGTCCTCAGTCGCCGTAGAAAACTCGAGGTCTTGGAGGAGGGTCTAAAAGGGAAGAGACAAAGGGAAGGGGATGTTGTAATGATAGATGGTCGATGGCTCAAGGTGAAAGCGTTGGGCCGATGATTCGTAGGTGGGCGGGGGCGAAGACGCGCAGGAGGTAAGCCAACTTCGATTACTCGATTTTCCTCCTCTTGCCCTTGGGGGCGGGGGCCATCCTCGGCGTATAGGTTACCGTCCGGGTAATAACCTCTCGGATGTGCCGCACAGTTGTTCTTGATGTCGCCTTTGCGTTTTGCTTCTTCATCTCGAATCGCCGCGCTTTTAGCGCCGCGTCCCAGTCGAATTTAGTGTATGACCTTCCGCTCCATGGCGAGCGGGCGCTGACGGGCGAGTCGTAGTTGGACACGGCTGGCGATGGCGGTATCTTGAGGCTGGGAAGCACTGCGCACCGGTGGCAGGTGCGGACATGGGAAGCTGAGCAAAGGGGCTAGGCGGGATCGGCGGGGCGGTCATGGGCGACTTGAACTCCGACTTGAACTCAAGCTTGGGCGAACAGTCGGACGGCGCGGTGGTGGCCGTGGAGGGACCCGAGCCGGGCGTGGTATCCCCAGAGAGAGAGCTCTTGTAGACCACGGGTGAGTGGATGGACATGAACCTCAGGAAGTCGGTGTAGGCGAGAGGAGGGCTGATTGGCGTCCTCGTGGGGTCCGCCGACCTGGGCTTCGCTGATAGAGGCGACTGCGCTGTGATGTGAGAGGGAAAGGTCGCGGTGACCGGCGTTGTCAGCTGGGGTAGCTTCGGCTTGGTGGAGCTTGCGGTAGCCATGTTGAAGAATGGAGGCAAGTCAACGTTGGAAGACGACAAGGTTGATATGAGTTGGCCTAGTCCAGCAAGATGGAGAGAAGAGGAAGAGGGACAACCGCGAGGGAGCGTGCGAAGCGGGAGGACGAAAATATTAATAAGTTAATGGGGGTGGGGAGCAAAGAGGTGCAGGGCTAAAGCATGCAAAGCAGAGATCCTCTCTTAAGTGCGTGCGTGCGTGTTGTTGCGTGGTTGCAAGATGGGGCAGAGGAGCTGGGGGAGCGGGAGGCCAGAGAGACCAAGGCCAGATGGTGGATGGTGGGGGATGGTGGATGGATGGAAGAGGGCGGGTAGCCGGGGTCGAAGAAACAAAACGATTACGAAAGCCGCTGGGTCGAGTTCCTTCTCAGAAGGGAGTGGATTATTTTGGTTCTCTGTTTGAGAGAATGGTCGTCTGGTTGGATTCTTCGGCGGTTGAGCGAGGTGCGACTAGCAGCCAGTACTAATCGCAGGTTTGTGTGTGTCCAGGTGAGAGAGGCGAGTGCCCGGGGTTGTGGGGACTCGGGTGTGATGGTGGACAAAGTGACCAAGATGGGAAAACTGGATGTACAGCAAGCGGCAAGCAGAGCAACAAAGAAAGAAAAACCAGGGCGGCAGCAAATGAGCAGGCGACACAGGCGTTAAAGTAGACGTGTGATGCGATGGGGAGAGGAAGGAAAAGAAAAAAGAGAGAAGGGAGGAGAAGGAATGAGATGATGTATCGAGGTGATAATTTCGACCAATGTATGGATGGAAGAGGAAAGGACTGGCCAGGACTGGACAGGAGCAGAGAAAGGGGGCGTGCGAGACTGAATGGTCACCTCTCTGGTTGGCGGGGAGGGGTGTGGTTGGATAAAGAGGGGTGTAGCGCGCGTAAGAGGGTTGCGTGGGATAGTTTGAGCCGGGGTGAGAGGGGAAGGAAACAAGGGGGTGGGCTTTGACGAAGTGTGAGAGCGTCCTTGTACGCATTCACGCACTTTTTTTTTTTTGGGAGGAGAAGGAGAAGGAGACGAGAGAAATGGATGAGAAGGCGGGGAGGAGCAAGCTTGGTTTGCTGGAGGCAGAACTATTTCGTACAGGTAGTGTAGGGTAGTGGAGGCCCAGATTATTGCATCAGGCGGCGTGGTGATGCTTTGCGTTGTCGTTCCTTTGGCCCTCCTCTTCGTGCCCGAATGTGAGGTGAGGGTGAGGATCCTTTTGGAGCACCGCGCTGGTGTTTATGCACGCGGATATTGATCCTCTCGGCTTCCTGAGTTTTTGTTTGTTTGTTGTGCAAACGACTGGCTTCTTGGTGACGTGGGAGTCGGGAAGAGCTAGAGGCGCAGTTGATAATTCGTCCTCTTCGCAGTGGAGATGCAACAAGAGATGGGATGGTCGCGTTTGGAGCGGCCGGGTGGGACTTGCGGGGGTTTCTTTTTCTTCCTTTTCTTCTCCCTCTTTCTGGACTCTAGACGGGGGCTGGCTGGGGTCTACTCTGCTCGATGACCCTGTCGTTCGACAACTCTCCCGAGTTCAATGTTTCAACCTATTCTTATCCTTCTTGCTGCTCTACGACCGACAAGCAGTTGCGCAAGTACTTCGTACTCGGTAGGCGCCAGGTGGTAATGACCAGTGGATGGCGATGTTTCTCCCTGGTGCTGGTTACCCGCTTTGAGGGCTGGAAGCGTGGGAAGGGAGGGGGGCGAGGGGGACAAGCAGCTCCAGGCGCTTTGGTGGCAATGGCACGGGAGACGCTGTGATTGGGGCAATCTCGGATGTGTGGCTTTTATGCTCACAACTCCTGTCAGCATAACCAGTGAATAATTAGCAACAGGATCTCCGTCCATCATCAAATCTTGATCAGGGATTGGACAATGACGCTAATGTCAAAAGTGCACAGGTGTGCCCAGCTGAGGTTGGTCTCTTCCAATCCCATCTCGCGATGGGTTCCAGGGTAAAGGTCGCCCTTACCTTGTCCAAGCCACAAGATCCTGGTTTAGTGCTGATCGAGAGCCTCCTTTCGGGATGGTCTCCGTGGCGTGGGCGCGTTGGCTTGCTGGCCCGATCACAATTAGGGAATCGCTCTGGCCTGTGTGTGGAGGTCACCGGTCCGATGCCTTGGGACGCGGAACTGCGGAAGGAATTGAGGTCTAGCCTGTTTTGTGCGCGCGGGTGGGTGAATACTTTTGAAAGATCCTTGGTGGCTCAACCACTGAAAAGAGAGAGAGGGGAGAGAGAGGGAGAAAGAGGGAGAAAGGGAGAGAGAGAAAAAGAGGAAGAAGGAAAGGGAGAAAGGGTGGCCTGGGGAAGAAGAAGATGGGGAGAAGATGAGATGGATTTCGCGCTGGAGGCTGAGGGTTTGGTTGAAGGACAGTAAAACCCGAGATCAAGTGGGAGAGAGGCGTGCGAGATATTATATTCCCAAGACTTTTTCTGCTGCGATTGTCGTTCTGGGCGGATATTTGGTGGACTTGTTTTTTTACTCTGCAATCCAGATACCAAATTTTTTAATTTTTTCATCTTCTTCATTCTTGTTTTTTTCCCCCTTCTCTCATGTTCTTTTTTGGAACGTGTTTCGAACCCGGCGCTATCGCAAGATCTAACACGGGGCTGGGTTGCGTCCAGAGCAGTCCTGCCGGATTTCACGATAGCCGCCTCGTTGTCTGCCTCGCTGCGCGCGCGGGTATCGACAGAATGGGTTGCAACTCTTCGGGCGCCGGGCAACGAGAGGCTAGCTCACGATCCTTTCCTTTCCCCCAGTCCCATAAAGCCGCCGGGGCCAGCTGTCTGCCCACCCGCTGTCCAAATCGTCCACGTCCAGTGGTCCTCACGAAAGCTCTCCTCCCCACAGGCAGGGAGACCAGGCCGGGTCGGCAATGGCAATAGCTTCGCCATCTGCCACACAAGCTTAAGCTAGTACCGCGTCCGCCTGCCGCCCAAACGACGGGAGACAAGAACCGCGCTTCGCGGCCAAGGTCTACGGAGTCGGACTTGATGCCATCTCGTCCGCTCGTTGGCTGTCAGCAACCCTCCCTTGCGGTGCGGAAAGACTCCCTTTGGGACCCAGTGTGGCCTGGCTGGTGGCCATCTCCTCGCCAGAGCGCGCGCCTATACAGTCTTGGACTGGATAACCTCGGTCAAATCATCGTCAATTCCCACCATGGCGCGGATACCATATTACAACCCTTCCTCGCAAGTGTGGGAAGCGTTTTTATCCTCTCTCCCAGCCGTCGTCAACAATTGATGTTTACGTGCCAGCCCCCTCGTCTTCACTCAATTGCAGCTGGCCCGGAAGCATCACCATGCCACCGTCATTCGGAAGAGACAACTTTTCCACGAGATGCCAGCATCAATTGACCCTATTGTCAGAACATTCAAGGGCATAAAATCAAGCAACTGAGCGATGGCACCTGAGGCTCCTGGAGACCTTGGTTTGTGGCCCAGGAATCCCAGCGACACCACATCGTAGTTGTGCAGGCCCATTCCTTTCCACCTTTCCACCCTTCCACCCTTCACCTTGTGATATGCTGCATGTACGCCAGCTAGGTATTTGGGGATTCCTTCCAAGCAACGCCGTGAGGGTTCCCATTGGGATGCGAAGTCGACTTGAATCGCTCATCGTCCATCTTCACTGTCACCACGCCCCCTCCTCCCCTCTTTTTCGGCTAGCCTCCAGACCCCCTCGTAGTTTCTAGGCCCGCAGCTTTTAAGCTCATAGACGAGACGAGATGATTCTGTCGGTGAATTCGACGCTGGCTTGTATTGAGAGGCCCAAGGATGTCCAAGGATCCAACACTCCATCGCACACTAGGCCAGGCCATTCCCAATCCAACCTTGCTCCGCCTCCATCTCCAGCGGACCACTCTCGACCCGATACACACACACATATCTAGGAAGAAGGAGCCCTCGATGCATGTCGTATTGGCCCGTTTCTCGGGCGGTGAATCAGGTCGAAACCTGGAGTCTCGTCCCCCTTCCCCCAGAGCTCGATACCCGAGCGAGCAAGAGCTGTGAAAAAGTAGCAGGGTTTCACTCTGGGATTGGATCATGAGATAGGGGACTCTTCAAGCTCTCCAGACCTTGTAGGGTGTAAAGGAAAGCTTCTGTGACCTTGATGGGATCTAGTCGTACTACGTCTGTGAGACTGGACAACTGGACAAGCGAGCAAGATCTATCAAAACATAGATAATCCTTCAAGGACGGTGACTAGAACCCCCAACCTCAGGGAACAGGAATGATATATGACCTAGAAAGACTCGAATGCTTTCGTTTTGGTATCAGTCTGCTAGAAATTCAAACGAGGACACGGGGGCAACGCAGTACCGAGGTATATGGCACTTGAGTTGCCGCGAATGGGAGAGGCCTTGGTCGAACCGGGCCTCACGAAAGGTCTGCTCTGAGAGATGCAAAAAATGCACCCGGAGCAGACTAATGGGTGCTTGTGCATACCTCTCTTAGCTATGATTGGGCCCTCTCCCAGGCGCGCGCACGAAGATGGTCCAATCTGCTCCCCCGGCTCCATCGTACAAGCGATGGCAATGCTCTCCCGAGAACTTTCTCCATTATACTAATTCTTCGTGTCACCTACCATCTCTCCTCTTTCCCTCGTTATCCTTTCCTCTCCCCGTTTTTATCATCATTACTATTATGATCATTGCACAAATTAGTTACCCCTTTCTATGAACTCGAAAATAGTAGAGCCAACACGTTTGGAGAGAAGGACGGTTTGGGGGTCTGGCCATCGTAGAGAAGGAAGATCACAGTGAAGTTGACGCCGACTTTTACCTTGAAGAACAAGCCCGTCTGTGACCCTTGTCATGCCACACGCGAGCTGCTGCAGAGGCAGCACAGTTGACAACGGCGCCTCTCGCGCCGTGACCCCTCATGCTTTCCCCACCTCTGCGCGTTTAAAAGGACAAAAGTGGTAATCCTGCGTCAATAGTGTGATATTGGAGTGCCTTGGTCAACCCATCACCTTGGAAATTGCGTGGCCGGGTGCTTGTTAAACGCCCAAAGATATTCCCTCACGCAGGCAGTCATCACAAACTATTTGCGAACATGGTGACACCAGGATCCACCTACTTTTAGGCTTCGAAGGATCCTTCGTGTACGGGTACCGGTTTTGACGACCTCTCGAGGTTTGCACCACTTTTTTATCATTACTCCTGTGGGGCATACTCAGACGGAGATACCTTTTCACCAACCTCCTTCCTCTATCGAGGTAACTGGAACCGGCTGGTGATAGATAATGAATGTACAGTGAAGGATAACGGCCGCATCTAGCCTAAGCATACAATGAAATGGATCAATGTGATCCATAAAGGTCCATCGCCGTCAAGGAGGTACCGGTTCTGGCGGGAAGACCTCTTAAGAATCCCATATGGGGGATAGCCCCTAGTTGTATCATCCTCGCAGGCGACAGTCTTCATATAGTATCATGATACATCTTTCTCAATGTGAGTATTGCAACTTTGAGGGTGTTGTCCGTTTGCAGGCGTAGGCTTATCAGGGTGTGCGTTCGGTGTGCACCATCTTACATCCCTTCGCTAGGGGAGAGACCGGGCTTCAAGGCAACTGGAATGCACAGTTTCGCTACCATTTCTCTTTCTCTCTGACCCTCCACGACGAACGTTGGGCATCGATGTTGAAGCACAAGTTGTTGTTCCGTCTGCGCGTCCCAAGACCCTTGGTTGGCCCACAAAGCCTGGTCTTCCTTTTTTGTTTTGTTTTTCTCCTTCTAGGTATCGTTGTAGTGATAACCGTCTCCCGCAGATACCATTATATGCGAATGCGAACGAAATGCAAGATGCAGTCAGCCTCCGCTTTCGTGTGTGTAGCCAGACCGCCTGTTTCGCTCGACAGCATATCGACATCGTCTCCATCCTCGGGCACCACCGCAATGCACCCCTCCCCTCATAAACTTGATATGGAAACGGGATTTGAGAGGGGAAGGGGGGAAAGCCTGCAAATCAAACTGACTATGCCATACTCTGTTAAGCCAGAGTTCGGTCTGCGAACGTTGCTAGACTGCTCTTTGGCATACCTTTTGTGTATGTTTGCCACCGGTTCCTTCAAGACCGAGAAAAATAAAGTACTGCTTGAACTGTAGGATTTCTTAATCTCCAAGATAGACGGAATCGCTGACCTTCTCGTCGTACCAACCGGGCTGGGAGTATCATAAAGAGAATATTGAAGAAAGGGAATCACGAAAGGGCTGAGATCGGCAGAAATTGACGCCTCGCCTGATAGCCCGATTATCTTCAGATCTCCGTCCCATTGTCCCATTCATGAAGAGCCCCAAAGGCCAACTCGAGATAATAATAGTTCCAGGTGCCGACAAGGACATGCAGTTTGGGCCCTCTGCGCAGGTCTGGGGCCGTAATCTAACATGTATGGTACTTCAATTCGAAAAGGGGACATGGCAGTGGGGAATGCAAGCTCTAGCAGACATCTTGATCGCTTGAGGAAGAATCTTAGTAGGACAGGACAGCTCATTCGTGTGGGACAAAGCCTCTTTCCGTGATCAAAGGGAAGAGATCGAAGTCAATTCGGTCAAGGACCTAACTCGCCGGATAGGGCGAGGGATTCTCTAGGCTGTCATCCAGGCGGGAGCTCAACTCTAGACCTGTCCTGCGAAGGCACGCCTTCCTAGCTAGAAAAGGAGTTCTTCCAGTCGCGACCCCCATCACCGAGATTTCCTTTGAGGCGCGTTTTACAGTGAAACGGACAGACACTCGCTAATGCCTCCTCACAACCCACAGCTTCACGCAGGTACGATAGCAACACACCAGTTCCCTTCATCGCGAGACGAGTAAAGACTGAGCCCAAACGTCTTCACTATGGGGGCATTGAGCATCTCAACAAACCACCCACGAGCCGTAGCACCGTCAGGATAGCCCCAGAAGGGCCCCAAAGGCGGTATCCAGGCGAAATTAAGCTTGACAATGGTGCGATTCCGCTCCCAAGGTGGTATGACTGCATTCAAGACCTTGTACGGGAGCATTCAAACAAACGCTCTCGAGGGCGCCCACCCCATGAGGGCTCTCGAGATGAAAAAGGAAGGCCGCGAGGACAACTCCTATGGTTTCTTAGATAGTTAGCTTGGTGTCAGGTTCCTGCGATGTGGTTATCGTGGCCATGATACGCCTAAAGAACTTGTGTATAGCGGACTGTTGTTTATTGGCCCAACTCTTCGCTTCAACGCTCTCGCGTCCGACCCAATGCTGGAGGATCTCGGTGGCTGTGATCGGATTGGGAGGTTCCCATATATTTTCCAGTTCCCTTTGCTCATGCTTCGAGGAGCTTATTCTCTCGAAGTGTTCATGAATATACCCGAACCCGGAGCCGTACAGCTGTCACGTATAGTTATACGCAGAGCATTAGTGGGAAGCAGAGCACCCCTTACCAATACACTAAACAGGGATTGTCGATGGTCTCTCGAGATGACAAGGTTTTATTGGCAGGTTTTTCTTTTATGATGGCTACTAGGAAGGCGTGATAGAAATGCAATAATAGAGCTGGTGTCCCTCTGTGATTATAGCTCGGTAGAGACAAACTTCATCTTTGAGCAATTGATATCGTGCACTATTGCTGGAGGAGAGCATCGCCCGAGCACCCGCGCGTAAGTTACGGAGTTGTCCTTCTCGTGACCTGCGGACTGTTGCTCTGGTCGAGGGTCACTTGACTGCCGTCTAGGGGTTGGTGGTTTGTCAAAGCGAGCCGATTGGTAGGGCAAGGTTTGTTCCTGAGTTGTGACACGATGGGATGGGAACAAGGTTGGGGCGAGACGGTTTGTCTCGGGAGCCAAGAACTCGGAAGCTCGACCGCGACATGGGTAGCAGGCGGAAAGGCTAAACACTCGCCGAGTCGAATGGGAGTTTACTAAATTCTTCACCTGTGGAAAGCGATTGAAATATTACGGTAGGGTGCGGCTTGGTAGGTAGTTTGCTAATATCACGCATCATAATTCGACTATTAGACAGCGTTGAAGTCTGGATTTCGGACAAAGACACATGCGCTGCGAGGGTCTGTTCCGCACCGAGCGCCAAGCGGACGGCGAGAACCTTCGCTCAGAGAGATTATTCGCCAGAGCTTGCTTATAGACGGAAATGGACAGGTATTGACGATTTTGGATAAAGTGGCGTCCGGAGAAAGCCTCAGAGGAGAGATAGAGGCCATGAGGTCGAACTTCAAGACGATGTGACTGGGTGTCTGGCGATCATCGCCCTAGTCAATCTTAAGACCCCGGCGCACATGGCTCCAGACCGATTCGTCTGTCTCACGTGGAGTGCACCAGGACCCCAAGACTTATTGTGAGAGGTGGCCAGGGCAGCTCCTTCGTAGTGAAATCGCCGTATACAGCGGCAACACTGGGCTTGGCCGCCTCCACCCACTCCGCCATTATTCCCCATCTGTCTTCCTCAGGCGTTGCGCGAGGCATCGGGGTACTGAAGTGGAATGAGCAGGAGCCGACCGAGTGTCACCGTGAAGGCGGAGGCAAACTGATCGCCGGCCCCGACGCGTGTTTAGGCGAAGAAACCTGGCAGGATCCCTGGAAGCGAATATTATTCAATGTTCTGCCTTGGTCGAATCACAGTCCGCGACAGGTAGGTTACCTAGCGCGGTGAGAAGCGCCTGCGAAACGAGACAGACAGAATGAGATTTCAAGGGCGACCGGCGACATCCCGGGCTCCTTGCTGTCCACTTATTATCCCTTGTACGTCACTTGGCTGTCAGACGGTGGACAAGGCGTGGCTGTGGAGGGGGCGACGCCGGCTGGGGGAACGGAATGATTCAAGGTCGGCCTCATTTTAGCAATGGATGACTAGCCTTCATCTCAGCAGAGCTTCCTGCCTGGGCAGAGGCTGAAAATAGTACTTAGTGATAGGCATGTCGTGGATTGGCATGCCCTTCGTTTGAGATCCTCGAGAAACCGTGTGATCCGATGTAACACTTCCGAGGACATTGGTAGGCTTGGAGACAAGTTCAAAAGGAGAGGATCTAATTCCAGCCAGTCATGCGAAGAGGCCAGGATTGACAGGCTGACAATCATTCAATTTTGTCCAACGAGCATGTTGGGAAATGATTGGAATTATGACCCAACCAGCTCGCAGGCTTCTCACGGGCGCGGGGGCGAAGCGGAAGACCCAAAGGTTTGGGAAGGAACAGCCGGAACGACCTCAAACCATCGTCACCACCTCTTTCCCACTACCGAGGTACTAGCCTAGCCTCTCAACTCTCAAGCCTCTTTCTCCACCTCGCCCGTCTCCAGCCTGGTGACCCTCCATCTCCGACCGAGCCGTGCTCCTGGCTCAACCTCCTCACTCTATCCCCCTTGATATTACGGAAGTAAAGAGGGTGTGCCACGGCAGAATTGCCTAATCCTTATACTCTTGCCGGACTACCTTGGGTTGACGACGCTGCAGCAGTCAAAAGGAGGGAGGGTCAGGGGCAAGGAACAACATGGACGGGATGAGCAAGAAAAGAGAGGTGGAAGTGAAGAGGAGAAGGGGGCTGGGAAAGGGGAGGAAGGGGTTCCGCGTGGCACAAACAATGTGGTCGCCACACCGACTTTGGCGGGTTCCTATTTTTTTGAAGATTTCTCGTCTCGAAGGATTGGATGCGCTGGCAAAGGGTGGCGTCGGGCTCAAAGCCCTGGAAGCACCGCCATGGCTAGGTATCACAACGTCTTATGTTCCAAGATTTTACGCTGACCCTTCTCCTCTCCCGGACACAAGTATTCTCTAGCAGATCACCCTCCAGCAGGTGAGAGAAAGAGAGAGAGAGAGAAGTTGATATGCAGGGTTGTTGCCTTTGGTCAAAACTACTTGTAGTCGAAGCCTGACTGGTATCGAGGCTTGATCCTGCTTGTGTCACTGCCTCCATGTCTCGATCGCTGGCGCTTCACAAGTTATTCTGGGCTTGGACGATGAATGCGAAGAGGCACTCAGCCGAACAAGGCCTTAGAAGAGTTATTAATAAGCTATCAATCATTTCAACCATTTCCTCTTGGCACCCTCAAGGGGAAGCCGAGATCCACACCGACATTTTAGGCCCCAAAGACTTCCAGAATTGCTTTTTCCCACATTTCCGACATCAAACCCGTATAACCAAGGGACGGGCCTCGAAGGAGAGTGAGGGAATTCGTGGAGTGCCTGGCTGTAAACAGCAACCCGAGGAACTCTTTTGCTTTCAACCCCCATCATTAGTTCAACGTGAATTCAATTCATCCAAGTCTGGCAACGTGACATCTGCCAGCCTAGCACTATGTAATTTAGAAAGATCACGTGGTTTATACGTGGCCCACTTGACGGATCATTAATGTCTCGGTTCTTTCCAGTCCTCAAGACTGTGGCCACCGTTCTTCATATAGAACTTTGGACTTCTGCGCCATGCCGATCTTTTCTTGGGGCGTCCGGCGCCAAAACGCCAACCAAAAATGGAAATGCTGGGAGCATGGGCTTGTGCTCGATACGGAAGCGACTCCGACAGTACCCTCATCCATATTTTCTTCTCCTCCTCCCCTTTTGCCTTCTGTTTTGTCCATTTGAAGTCAGCCCATGTACCTCGACGATGCATGATTGCTCGCGCCACCAAGATTGTGCCGCTTCCGTCAACAAGTAGGCCTCTTCACACATTCATTTTCATCTCTTTCCTTTCCCTTGGGCGGAGCCCTTTCCTTTCCCAGAGCCGACAGAATCATCCTTTCCTATCTGCCATTGAGGAATACGTGGTGCACCCGCCCTTCACACCATATCACCTCTCGTATTCACTCAACGATTCTACTCTCCTTCGACAATATATCCCAGCCCTCGTAATTTTTTTCCCTTCCTTTGAACTTTTCTGGAAAACTCAACCTAGTTTCTCTTCCTTTCGTTTCCCTCTCTCCTTCGCCTTCATCTTCCTTTACTTTATTTAGCGATTTCTCCCACAACTCGCTTCCTTTGACCTCTGACATCTGTTGATTGAAGTGTTCAAGTCCCTTCTGGTATTGGGTACCAATCCTGGTCGTGGACACGTCGGTTGGACACCTCCACCTGCCAATGACACGTAGGACGCAGCCCCCACAAGAGATGACCGTGCATGAATTAAGCACACTGTACAGACATGGTTCAACCTCCGAACGGAGCGAAGGAGAGCTTTTCAGAAGGATATGAATAATGATAGACCATATTACCCGAGGAATGCTGGGTAGGACTCGAGAAAAGGAGCTTAGTTTTCCAGAACACCATGACCTCCAATGGAAATGCGAGCGCCATCTGTTGCTGTGTGCCAAAGGGGATGGGGGACGGGGAACGGGGGCAAGGCGCGGAATTGATCAATTGCCTACTCCTTGCACGGTGGCAAGCGAATCTGCGGGATGTTGGGCATTGGGCAGAAGCCACCTCGAAAGCGGCTGAGCAGGATTCGAAAACTGTACTCGTTCTCGACCGATAGTCCTTGCCGCATACCTTCCACAAACAGGCTAGCAGAAGTGATGTGCCTTTTGGGGTCCTGATCTTGCTGGCTGGCCTTATTCCGCTGGCCCCACGATTTACCAGTTTTGGATGGTTGGAAAGAGGGCCTTGCGCCATGAGGTGTGGCGATGTGGGGGTCGGGGGAGATTCCTTGACGGAATAATTCACGACGGTGAAAAGTGACCCAGCCATAAGCATACTGCATAAGCCCTTTGGACAGACCTACAAAAGCGAGGAGCCAACTGAGGTTGTGTTTTCCAAAGATTTCGAGACGAAACTCGAGGCATGGACTGAAATCGCGCGAAACCTCCAAGTTAAGAATCGGCGACCATTTCCTACCAATATACCTCTGTATAGACCGCCTCATTGTTCCTTCGGAGGTGGGAGGAATGTTGTGGGTGATGGTGTTTTTCATATCCTTCAAATGTTCTCCCTTGACCGCGCTTTTGCCAGCCACCTAAAAATTCGTTCGTGCAGGCGCGCACAGTGCCAAATAACGAAACGAGCTCTGACGTACGGTTGGCGTCAGGAACTTCCTGCGCTCAGGCTGAGATACGGACAATCGGCATTCACTGTTCAACCAGGCCCTCAGCATGATTATTTGAGAAAACAATTCTAATAATAATAATGATACATGAGTAACCTCAACCTGGCGGCAAGCATGATGTGAGTGGGCTTGTTTATAGCTTATAGCAAGGGTATAGAGAGATGTGACAGGGCCAGGCAGAGCATGTCAGACTAGGGACAACCATGAGGGACAAAGAAAGAAAGAAGAGAAAAAGAAAAAGAAAAAGAAAACATGGACAACATTGGTCGTCCTTTCCCATCCCGCTTCAGTGCAAGACAAGATTGGGACATCTTCAGAGAATCTCTCGAGAAGCAGAAAATGGAAGGACCCACAATGACGGCTGATTCAGCCAGTCACAATCCTTAAAGAAGTCCGGTCCCGCCTTCACAAATCATCTCTCGTCCCTCCTCTCTCCCCATCCCACGACCAATCAATCTCTCTCAGCGAGAAGAAAACGAGTCAATCAGATTCGAGTCTGAACCTCCCCGACCCTCTGGTTGGTCTTCGATCCCCATAATCGCCTTCTCATTTCGAAACGCACACATCTCTGGATTATTGGCCTTGGCCAGTCAAAAGCGATTCCGACTAAATTTAAGTCCGACCTCCAGACACGCCTTTGGGAGCGTAACGAGAAAACCTGGCGCACCTAGACTTTCGACTTGTCTCTCGAGGCTATCAACCTAGCCAAGCCCAACGGCTGGTTTGTCCAGCCCACGGCCGTTGACGAACCACAGACCAAGTTTTGTCGGAGCTGACTGCTTCTGCTTGCGCTGCTCGCATACAACAATAACTGGTACATTGCACAAGTTACTCCCGAAGTACGAAGTATTCGACAGGGAACCTTGAGCGGGGAAATTCCAAGGAACAAGGAGGCCACCCTTCTCAGCGCAAAACTCGAGGGTAGGAAACCAAAACGGTGGACAGCCCCAGCCACATAAACGGCGGTCTCCGTTACCTATTGCGGTCGTTCCAGGCGCTCTGTCAATCATTATCATCAACCCCCTTCTTTAATCTCGCCTCTTCCGTCCTTCCCTGGTGCACTTTTCTGGGTCCTGACCCAAACTTTCATTTTATCCCACACGCAAGGCGGCAGTCTCGACCACTCGTGATTTCGCTCTCGTCTTTCCCTTTAACTGGTCCCCCCTCTCCACTGGAATAAAAGGCGCCTGACCAGTCGTCAGACCGTGCTCAACTTAATTCGCCCATTCGCTCGCCAAACCGACACTCTCAGCAAATCAGCACCCACAAATCTTTTGCGACACCACGACAAGCAAAACTCGCCCAGACCAATTCAATTCCCCAATTCAACAAGGCCCTATCATCGCCAGAAGATCTCCTTTCCCAGGCCCCTTTGGTTTGGCCTTAATCAGGTGACGGCAACTGTCTGCGGAACTCAAACTTGCTCTCGAGCGCGCAGCTTTCTCCTTGGTGTGGCTAGCAGCGTTTTGTTGTGCGAGGGCTTTGGAAAAATTTGCCTCGTTCTCACCCTTCGCGAACGTGCACCACCCATAACACGACGCGACAAAGACGTGACTTAGGTACGTACCAAATCGTCAATCAATGTCTCTCAACTGCTCATACACGCCCATTCCCCATCTCAGCCCTGAAGGCTCTATTCACTTGGGACCTGCTTGCTCCCTTGTTCTGAGACCGATTTTTGGTCGAGGGGCCAAGCACGGTTCTAGCGTCTATCATCGTGGGGTGCATTGCATTGCCTTATATTCCTTCTTTCGCCCTGAGCTTGTGGTTTCGGCCGGGCCCTTTCTTCCCTCATCCTCCTTCCACCCCGCGGACACCCAACTGGCTATTCGTTTGCTTTTGAACATAGCTCGAGGCTCTGCCGAGACGATGGCTAACTAGATCCGGATTCCAAATCCAGCCCTGTCGAGTTTCGGCTATTGATCTTTTGGTCAAATTGCATGGTTAGCAGGTGAATCTGCTCGAGATTGTTCTCTTCAAGAGAGGTATGTATGCGTGTTTTTCTCCTCTTCAATGTCTTTGCTCTCCACCACTTTCCTTGTCGTTTCTTGCACGTCTTCAACCCGGGCGAGTTTCTCGAGTCCTTCCATCCCGCGTTTGTCACGCGCCACGCGTACCAGGGCCCGCCCTCACAGCATCAACCTTTCCAGTGTTGTGTCTTAGTGGACATGCACCTCTCTTCGCTCGGTTCCGATGGGCCGCTTCCGTGGCCTTGCATTCAAATCTGCATCTCTCCTTGTTCCATTCTTCCTGCTGCTGTATCCAACTCTGCCCTTTTTCTCAGAGACACGAAGTCAATAGTCTTGATGTGCGCTGGTGGCCAAAAAAAAAAAAAAAAGGGTTCTGCAGCTAGCTCTCAGGGCGACGTCTGGAAGTCGAGACGGAATCTGCCTTTGTTTCCACTTTCATCCTCACTCGCACCTTCGTTTTGCTCTACTGTTGGGAATGGCATTTTTGGGCTGCCTCATTGCAATAACCGCTCCTCTCCTCTCTGAGATGGGGATGGGTGAGGGAAGCGCCACAGGTTGGACAAGGGCTTGATGCCTAGTCGAGGCCAGGGAGCCTCAGACACTTGCCTACCTTTCATCAGACTCTGCACCTCAAGCCAGGAGAGAGACTCAGAGCTGCAACGATTAGCGCTGGCCAGGGAAAAATGTGGGCCAGATCCATGCATCACTGGATGCATGGGCATGGCGAGGTTCTGCCAACACATCACAGGCTGCGGCCCAAGGCGCCGTCTCCTTTCTACCTTGCGCCCCCCGACATTTCAATTCTGCTGCGTCCGGCCTGCTGTTGCTCGCCCCATCTCAACCCGCTATGCCACACCCATTTTCTTGCCTTTCTTTTTCTCTTTCTTTTTAACCTCTTTTGCTTTATTGTAATCCTGAGTGCGGCCCTCTGTTTCTCCCGGCCATCACTGCCCCATTTATAGTCCGCGTTGCTTCATCTCGAAGTAAATGCGCGTTAACACCACCCACCTCGGGCTTGGCTGTAAAAGCGGTCACCTATTTACCCCACGCCGTTTTCTTTTCTTCCTTTTTCCCCCGGCTACCCCTGTGTTCCGTTTCAAACGAAACACGCCGGTGTTTCTCTAGGCCGACGGTTGAAGAGAGACCTGGCCAATTTCGTCATTACCATCATTGCTCACCCTGACCAGGTATTGTTGGTGCAATACCTTGGGGGAAAGGCTTCTTCCACCAAGTTGGCTCGGGTCACCCCTCCCATCTCCCTCCCCACCTCCCAGCCCTTCCAAAGTAAGGCAAAGGCACTAGGACGTTCCGCCCCGCAACCTCACTACCCCCATCCTGCATATGCCGTGGGCGACCATTTGGGCTCCTTACTTACCACATTTGCCTCTTGCCAGCTCATCCGCGCATATCCAATAGATTGCCCTCCCCATCCACCCACCATCCTGAAGAGGTCCCAAGGGTTTGGCGACAGCGAGGCATCCAAGCGACGGCGCAACGCGTGCCCAACTAATACCCAAACGCCTGGGCCATTTTTAACCCTCGGTCCTCTGAAGAGGGTGCCTGAAATCGCCGAAACCTATTCGTCGTTCTATTCTCCCACCGCCTCTCCAATTGATACCCACACAAAGCGCTCTCTTCCCCGCCGTTGACCATTACGGACGGACGCCAACCGCTAACATCCCCTGCGAGAGACAAAGCAACGTCAAGCCAGTAGGCTCTTTTCTTTTTCGAAATTCCATTGGCGCTTTCCAAGCTCGGCGCGACGAACACAGGCTCTCACGAGAAAACAATCGTCAGCATCGACACTCTTAGCTGATTGAGCTCGACTCAGTCCAGCGGAGCATGGAGTACGGGCAATACGCTCAACAGCAACAGAACACACAGTCATATCCCAATCCCGCTGCCGTGAACGCTGCGCAAACGTCACCAATCCTCTCGCAACAACAGAACAACCAAAACCAACACCACAATATGTATCAACCACAGTACGGTGTACCTCAGCAGCCCATGCACTATGGCATGCCCCAGATCCAAGCTGCGGCGATGGCTGCGACCGCCGCGGCATCAGGCTCGAATTACCCCTACATGTCCTCGGACCCTGGTCTCCCGCAGCGGTCACCCACGATGGGCGCAAACGCGAAAGGCGATAAGCGTGGGCCAAGATCACCGACGCAATTAAATACCGTCTCGCAGATGGGCGGACAGCGCCAGATGGGCCAGGTAGCAAGCCCTGGCGTTCCCGGACCGCAGGCGATGATGGCTCATGTCGGGCGCCCTGGTGTAGGCGGACCGGGGGCATGGGCCACGCGCAGGCGATGCAACACCCGCAATCACCGGAAATGGCGACGGGGCCGGTTGAGGAGTCTCCCCTCTACGTCAACGCGAAGCAGTTTCATAGGATCTTGAAGAGGCGTGTTGCGCGCCAGAAGCTCGAGGAACAACTGCGCTTGACCTCCAAGGGCCGCAAGCCCTATCTCCACGAATCTAGACATAACCACGCTATGCGTCGACCTAGAGGACCAGGTGGTCGGTTCCTGACCGCCGATGAAGTTGCGGCGATGGAAAGAGAAAAGAAGGACGGCCCCGGTGGCGAATCGAAGGAGAACGAGCCCGGTGATGGCAGCTCCAACGCGGCGGACTCGACAACGTCTCCATCGAGCGGATCAAAGCGCAAGTCGACGATTAACACAAACTCGCCGAACAAGAAGTTGAAGACGGATGCTCAGCAAGGGGGCGGCGGACAGGAAGCGTAAAACCGCACCAAGGAGGAGTTTGGCGCCCGCGGTGAGCTCCTTCCGAGGGTATCCGCGCAGGTCGCGATACGCGCGACCCGGCGCTCTCAGGACACGGAGCGGGCTCAGCGCACTGAGCTAGGCGTCATTCTCATACATTTTACCGGTCATCCCCCACGTCTGCCGCCAGCGCTGGGGCGTCCTTCGCACCGGCATACTGCATATCCCTTGCGGCGCAGTGCCATCCGGCTTGGTTACCGGTCTCGGAACATTACCGACCAGACCAAGTTCGTGGGCTCACGCTCTAGGAGGAAGAGACTTGTGTGTGTGTGTGTGTGTGTGTTGTGGGTGCATGCGTGTGGTTTCGCCATGTGGGCTTGACAGTAGAAGTTGAAATTGGAGGGTGGGCTAGAGGAGATATTTTCGCAGTCGGCGCGGAGTACCTTGTCTCGGTCTTGTGCCAGACGACCGGAGTGGCTTATAATTTCTGTTCTCTTTCTCTTTTCATTTTTTTGTCCTCTCCTCCTTTTCACCCACTCCTGGCCTCCAAAGCATATTATTAGTTTTCTCTTTCTTCTGCCCCCGGACCAGCACTTGTTTGTATGGCAACAGCAAGAAGTGCACTCTCCAAACTGGGGGCGGCGCATCGCAACTTGGGAACTGGGTAGGAAAGAATGTATGGACGATTGGACGAAGGATACCCCCATGGCTTTATATCAAAGAATTTTCTTTCTCACCGAACCCCCGCAAAATGTTGGGCCGCGCTGACATCAACTCTGTTGACCCTTGTCGTTTTTTTTCTTTCCCTTTCCCTCACTTGCGCTGTCTCATTGTTCCTCGCACGCTTATGTTCGCCAAATTGCGCTTTCTCTCTCCTCTCACTTACGTACATATCCCCAGGTGTCAGGAATGATTCTGAGCAGTTGTATAGTGGCATGACCATTGCTGCTTCTTCTCTCACTCCTGATACCTTTGTTTAGTTCGTTCAGCCTTAGTATTTTCTTTCTCCCTTTTTTTTTTTTTTTTTTCCCTTTCTTTTTCTTTCACGATCATCACTCTCTCTTCGTTGCCTCATGATCGATTTCGGAGAAGGAGACTCCATTACAACAGGTCTGGATACCATGGGATCAACCAGGATTGGTCTCGGATTGAAGGGAGAAGATTGAAAAGAACAGAAAACACTACATGGAGCATTTGCGATTGGGCTTGTTAGACAGGACAAAAAGAAGGGACGGATAGATCCCTCCGAATATTGACATATTTCTTTTCTCGAATTTCGTTGCGAGTTCTCTTTTTCCCACTTGCATCCCGAGCCTTTCCTTCCATGTACGTTGTTTACGGCATGGAGGAAGTAGCGGCGATGTCTATGTGATGACTCGCTGTCTCTACATGTAACGGCTTTCTTATCGACATGTCTGCGTGTTCCCTCCTTTTTCTCGCCTCTTTTTCGGGTTGCTTTTTCTTTTCTTCCTCCTGGACTCACTCTTTTCTTGTACCTACTTTCTCTATTCCATTTCTCCTTTTGCAGTCTCTCAATTTCTCTTCTCTCTTCTCTCCTTTTCTCCCTTCTGGGCTCCTTCTTGCATGTATCATCGCGACGGTGCTGGATCAAAATGTTACGGATGATAGAGAGCTTTATCGAGGGCCACCTGTCACCGGGCCTGGCCTGCAATGAAATTGATGTGTTATGCAACATTTGAACTAAATCCATGTAGGCTATTTTCCTTGCTGACTTGCTATCTTCGTAGCTTCCCGGCCTTCCTCATCTCCTCCTTTTTCCCTCTCCAAAATGTCGTGGAGAGAGGGAAGCGAATGCCTCCAACACTCAGGCGTAAGCAGCTATCTATCTGTAGAAGAGGAGGCGACTAGTCGGTTAGGGTCGCGTGTCTGGGTGTTTGTGAATATGTGGATGGTGTTGTAGAGTTTACGTGTATGTAGTAGGCCTGGCTGTCATACAAAGACTATTCCCGATCCAACAAAATGCAGATGGGGGCGATGGGTATAAAGCCCGAGGTATACAAGGGGCCATTTGAACTGGTCAATTGCAGGGTTTAGCTTCAAGTTGTACGTATAAAGAAAACATGAGCCCTGGATGAAGCCGAAGCTACTACACCGTGTCTTGTCTTGTCTTGTCTGTCTCTGCCTCTGTGGCCCGCTAATACAAGATTGAATGGAATTGGTCCAGTCAATTAAGAGTGCCTCCCAGTGCCCGTACCAGAAATGGATTAACCGATTTGGCCGGCTTGCGGCGGGCAATTAGTCTAATGGAAGACTGAAGTATTATTGATCCTGGGATCGGGATGAACAGGACTGGGGGTTCAATGTTGGGGGAAGATGGAAAGGGAACTTGAACAAATGGATCCATTACGTTGAAAAGAGCCTCGGCATCTTCCAGCAGAGCTCACAAGTTTCTCGGGGTTTAGCAAGCTCTAGCGGATCTTTGTGCCCCTTGGCTCCCCCGCACGCAGACCCAGGCCGAGCACGTACCATGACCCCAATGAATTAGTGGATCCGCTGATGACTGGGACAAGTTGCGAAGTACTTCAAATGTTGTATTCTTCGACACTCCAGGAGCCGAGCAGGAGGGAAACGGCGGGCCCGCTTTTTGGCCTGTCCCCGCCGATTCCTTTCCTTGTCTCGATGTGCTTTCGGCTCGTCTTCGTCTTCCCCCAAATGACGCCAACTGTACACTTGTACGCTACCACTTTGCGAGCGTTGCGCTGTTGAACTAATAAGGAAGGGGACGCGGGCGGATCCAAGTGCTCAATGCTCAAACTTTAGCTGACCTCGGAACAAGCGTCCGGCGTTTGCGAGGCCCTTGCCTTCTTCTCCTCGGTGCAACGAAATATAAGAACAGGAAGCCATTCCTAGCGTCACAGCCAACGCCCTCTTTTTCCCCTACCCTCTCCCTGGCTTACATATTGTTTCCTACCGCATCTCGTCATCATCTTCGTTGGCCATCCCGTTTTTCTTCTTTTCCCTTTTCCCCTAATCCGGCCCTCTTTCCCCCCTTAAGGGCAACCACGCAAAGGGTTCGCGAAGCCGAGGCCGAATCTAGCTGCAACTGGAAGCCTCCAATCGGCCTCTAAATCATTGGCGTGCCGAGTTCGTATTGCTCAACCTGGGAGCCCGGCCAGGGGATAAAGACGGGACAGAAAGACTGCGAGAGACGGTGAGATCGAGATTGAGAGAAAGAGAGAGAGACGGAGCAAGCGGGAAAACGAGAGACAGGGATCTATACCCCCATCAAACCCTGTTTTCTAGACCGGACAACAGGCGCAAGTGTTGCGCCCGCCTTTCACGATGGCCGGCCCCATCCGACACCCCATAAACCAGGCCAACCTGGAAAAGTATCTCCAACAGCATGTTCCCGAGATCAAGATGCCCCTAGATATCAAGCAGGTATGCACCTCCTCCACTACGTCCCTCTGAATCATCAAACCGTGGCGTTTCCTATTTCTTCGTCGTCCTTGTTCTTTTTTTTTTGTTTGGGTTGAAAACCCGACTCCTGCTCTTTCCTAATCCCCCTTGCCTTTCGGGAAACCCCCGCGTTCATTCCCGGCCCCTCTGGTCCGCACAACCTCCGGAGCCCACCGCTCACCACAAATCCCCTCTCCCGCAGTTCGGCTTTGGTCAGTCCAACCCGACCTACCAGCTCACCTCCGCCACCGGCGACCGCTATGTGCTCCGCAAGAAGCCCCCGGCAAGCTCCTGTCCAAGGCCGCGCACAAGGTCGAGCGCGAGTACCGCGTCATGCGCGCCATTGGCGAGGCCAACGCGACCGGCGCCTCGAGCGCCCGCGTGCCCGTCCCCAAGACCTACTGCCTCTGCGAGGACGACGCCGTGGTCGGTACGCCCTTTTACGTCATGGAGTTCCTCGACGGCCGAATCTTTGAGGACTTTAGCATCCCGAGCGTGGACCCCAAGACGAGGACAGCCATGTGGGCAGATGCCGTTCGCACTCTCGCGAACCTCCATTCCATCGACCCGGCCGCCATCGGCCTCGCCTCCTTTGGTAAGAGCACCGACTTCTACACCCGCCAGATCAAGACGTGGTCCACCATTTGCGAGGCCCAAGAGGTCGTTCGCGACGTCGACTCCGGCGCCAAGGTCGGTCCCCTGCCCCACATGCAGGAGCTCGTCTCGTACTTTTCCGACTTGAAGAAGCAGCCCGTCGACAGGGCTACCCTAGTCCACGGCGACTTCAAGATTGACAACTTGGTGTTTCACAAGACGGAGCCCAGAGTCATTGGCATTCTAGAGTATGTATTTTTCCCCCTCTTCTTCTCTTCCCTTTGCCCCTCTTCCTCACGAGCTAGAAGCGCTAACGTGTCGCGCGCGTCCGCCTCCCCGTCCCCAGCTGGGAAATGTCCACGATAGGCCACCCCCTCTCCGATCTCTCCAACCTCTTGACCGCCTTCACCACCGCTCCGGCCCCGGGCTCCCCGCTCACGGCCGCCGACTCCTCCCTCTCCAACCGCGCCTTCATTCCCGGCAACACCCCGGGCCTCCCGCCCGCGAGGAGCTCATCGCCATGTACGCCTCCGCCTCCGCCTCCGCCTCTACCTCGGCGGGCCGGGGCTCCGGCTACGACCCCGCCCAGGCGGTGAGGTCTCGTGGGGCGCCGCCTTCAACCTCTTCCGCCTCGCTGCCGTCTGCCAAGGCATCGCCGCCCGCCACGCCGTCAGGCAGGCCAGCTCCGCCAAGGCTGCTGTCCACGCCGCTGAGAGGGGGCCCCTTGCCGAACAGGCGTGGTTCCTCATCGAGAACAGGGAGAAGGAGGCTGCAGCCCACAAGCCTCGCCTGTAAATCTTAAATCTTGCGCACTCCGGAGCTGCCTGTTTTCGTGGCCCCTTGGAGAGAGGCGTGAGGGAGAAACAAAATGGGGGTCAATCTGCTTTTATGTATACCTTCACTACAGAGAATGTTGCTGTTTTACGGAAACGGCAAGGACAAGGATAGGGTAAAGGCGAGAAATAAAGGATTTGGCTGAGCGCAAGCTGAAGCAGGAAAGCTGCTCTCTACGCCGGCACCTCGTTTGTTGCTGTAGGGGGATCAAGCATGCCCAGCGATGTGGGTTCTATTGTATTACCTAGACGGTGGATGAAGAGCAAGAGAGGCGAGAGAAGCTTGGGGGAATAGAAGAAAGGCCAAGAAAATCCTTGGAATAGGTGATTTCCTAAGTTTTGCGGCTTCCTTAATATCTCTGGCAAACATTGTTGTCGTCAAATGTGTGTAAATGCAAACTAAGCTGTGCTGCCTCTCCCCGTGTTGCGCCATGCCCAATATGTAAAAGTGATATAATTATGTGTACCTCGTTAAGACCGCCGCGCCTCTCGCCTTCGCCTTCGCTTTCGCCTTCGTGTTCGCCTTCGCCTTCGCCCTCGAGCTTTAGCGCGCCTTTGCGTTGTGTGAGAAGTATATAAAAAGAAAAAATGTGGAAAGGAGGAGGCGTAAGAGAGGCGTTTGAAAAAAAAAAAAGCAAGCCCCTCCTCTTACTCCGAAGGCGAGAAAGGAAAAGCACCTCGTCATTGTACCCTAGAGGGTTCGGCCTCCCATTTCGCCCAATTCCCGATTTTGACCAACAACTCCCATGGGGGAAAAGAAAAAGATGGAATGCTGAAATTTAGCCCATGCATGCAACGTGCAACAGAGAAGGAGAATGGCCGGAAGAAGAGGCGGTGGAGACAGGGAAAAGAAACGTTTGCATGATGTGTGATTGAAGCCTCAAGAATAATAGTCGCTCAGGCGATGCTGCTAGACAAAGAGCTGAAGAAAAAAGGGCCCTAGGGAAAGGGGGAAAAAAAAAAGAAAAAAGGAGGATCAATATCGTGTGGAATGGCGAAAGGACGGAGATGTAAGAGGGTGAAGCTGGGGAATGTTTGCTTTCTTTGAGCCGCTTATTTTTCCCGCTAGTGGGCATTACTTCGTATGCATCGTGGGCTCATACAACCTTGCTGAACTAGTCTCGAACAAGAAAAGACACACACCGGTGCGGTACACCGGGAGGAGGAGGGCCAAAAGGAGCCAAAAGAAGAGAAAAAGGTCGAGGATAGGAAAGGGATGTGGAACAGAGGAAAAGGGTGCGAGAAAGCAAGAGGAGGGAGGATGGCCGGGTGCATATTCTTTGCCTCCCTTTTGTTTTCTTTCCTTTTTCTGTCTTTCTTTCTTTTCCTCCCCTTTCTCTAGCCCATGTCAAGCGCCGCTTGATCCCATTCATCGATACCCAAACCTGCCCAGTCAGGGTCATCGGGTGCGCCGTCGAAAAGGGGGCTAATCCGTCGTTATCGTGCAGTTGGATGAGGAGGGCTTCCTCATCGAGCCGGTCCGACACCCACTTCTTCTTCAGCCAGCTCGGCCCCGTGATAGCGTTGATGCCCCTCCTGTGGAGGTGGTGTGGGTCGCCAACAGCCTCCCGGCTGCGAAAACGGGGGCCGAAGCAGTTGGCGACCTGGTAGCCGAGCGGGTGTCCATAGTGAAGAGGCCGCTCGGTCGCGGCGATCTGGACTACGATTGTGTCCGTTCGAGACCTGCCCATGAGCCTCTTGATCTGCTTTCGCAAGACTTCGTCCGGGCACTCTCTCCGGCTGGGGGTACCGCTCCAGTAAACTTGGAAGGTCGACTCGAGAAAAGTTTCTTCAATGTCGGCCCCGGGATCCTGGATACTCATTCTCGAGAGGTTGAGCTGAACCAGGTCGTAGAGCTCTGCCATGCGGATCCCGCCCGTCGAGACGGTGGATGGTGTCGTGACTGATAAGGGCGGCGCTCCAGGTGGTTCCGGTCGTTTGCTGACGACGGGGACCTCTACCGCGCCTCTATAATAATCGAAATACGGATGCGCCAAGTAGTTGACGTTCACATGAGTTCTTTCTCCGTAGCCGAGCCGTTGCGCTGGCGGTTGGCGAACTAGCATACGCCGCCAGCTTGCGCCCTCGCAAAGGTACCTTTGCAGTTTGCGGTCGTCCTGCTCGGGCCAATTGATGATGGGCCTGCCTTTAGGCAAGGCATCCGCCACGGGGTAGCCAGACTCGGCCTCGTACGAACCGGTACCGGCGGCCTCGTCGGCGTTGTGCTGCCTCGTGGACCTAATGGCTCGGTGCGCGAGAATGGCTTCAGTAAGTTTTGTAGATATGCCAAAGGTGTCTTCATCCTCACCGTCGCCACCGTCGCTGTACAAGACCTCGGCGTCGGTGTGGTCGTCGGGTATATCCGTCAGAGGGCCAATCGTCGGGCTTACGGGCTCCGTCGTTATGTGGGGAAGCCGCACGTCAAACATTGTGTAGAAGTCGAGGTCCGGGAAGCCTTGGGTGTGGCGGCACTGCGAGAGTTTGCTCGCGGAGAAGAAGTACATGAAGTGCTTCTCCAAGATTGGGTTCTTGACGGGCCTAACCTCGGGCTCGCCGGGGTTCGTTTGGATCGGTAGGAAGAAGAGGGCCTTTTGGATCGAGGCAGACGTTTGGATGATGCTGTGCCAGCGTCTAGATACGCGGCAGGCGGCGGTAAGCAAGGTCTCCTGGTCACAAAGAGCAAGATCCTCTCGAGCAGTTCGGTGACGCCCAAGACATCTTGAGCAGCCGAGTCGGACACGGGGGCGGACGTGGGAGGTGTGGATGGTGGGAGCGGGGGCGAGAGTGACGCTGTTCGCGCTCTCTTGCTAGACGTGAGGGTTTCGGCGGGCTCGCACACGACTGCGAAGAAGCTCTGGCGTTTGCGGTTTGGGGTAAAAGACATTCTGCTGTCTCGTTGTGCGCTGCGCTAATCTTGGGAGTCCGTCCACCGGAGCAACTCCGTAGCAGAGTCGTGCGCACCTGCAGCACCCTTTCCGATGCCGTCCCCGAGCCTCACAACCTAACAAGGGAAACGAGGTGGAAGTGATGGAACGATGAGTGGGGAAGGAGGGAGACGTCAAGGTCAGGAGTTTGCGTTCCGGAGGAGAAGCTTCGTAGCATGAGGAGGTAGGTCTGAGGGGGAGGGGACGGTTGGTTCTAAACAGGTCGCAGTGATGTATTAGTGCAAAAGGAAATATTTCCAAGCGGACACTCCCACCATAAAGAGTGGAGAATCGGTTTCCGGACGGGGGAAGAGAGGAGCAACCCACGAAATATGAGATGGGGGACCGCAGTAGGTGAGAACTGATAAAAGGACGACCGATGAGCTGCACGGAATGGGCAACGGGAGGCCAAGGGTCTCCGTACCGTAGCATTCGGAGAAAGGTATATGCAAGTGCAAGGCGAGGGATCAGCGGGCTGGCGGCGTTCGAGATGGGACCAAAATAAAAATTCAAAAGATAGAATAGATAGAATATTTCAGGGGGAGTGGGTGTTAGAGTATCGCGAGTGTCTGTTGGCCTGTGGTAGTGGCTGATGATGGCGGAGGGTACATGGGGGTACTCGGGACGGAGCAAGAACGGTCCAGCGGCTCTAGCGCGGTCCTGACGCGCCTGCCGAACGCTCGAATCCGGAAATGTTCGCGAGTCTTAGACTCAAAATTGGATAGTGCCGAGCAAAAAACCCAAACCCAACGGAAAAGCCTGAGCCCCCTCCAAAGAACGGTTCAAGACCGGGGGCGGCAACACGTGGAAATATTGTCTGATTCGATCGATCCGGAATTATTGATGTCCCCAACGTTGCATGGCATCGCTGGAGAATCTGGATTGAGAATTTTAGCAAGTCTTTTGGGGGTCGGGGTTCGGGGGTCGGGGGGTGAAGGTGCCCGCCATTGACATCCATGGATGGAGACAGTCGGCATTTTGCAGACAAGTAATATGTACTCTTCGCAAGCATCGCTCAACGAGCGGGTCTTCAAACACCACGTACTTCGTACGTCTGGATCAATGTCAAGGCAGGACGCGAACGAGCCCTTCTCAGATCCTTCCCCGTTCCGTATTTGTGCCCAACCCTCTTCTTCTTCTCCCCTTCTTCCTCCTTTCTTTTTTTTCTTTTTCCACACCTGTCACGAGTCCCGGAACCAGTCACAGATCAATGGCATGGATCTTCCCCAGTCACAAGCTTGTAGGGCTGATTACAGAGATGACAGGTCGTGAAAGGGAGTGGTATCAATGGCTTGTTCAACCCAATTGATCTACACGGAGCATGGCCTTGGTTCTACGTGACGTCTTGACCTCCAGACTCGGTGTGAAAGAAGTCGCAGGAGAGGGTGGTGATAGGATCGGTGTGCATCTAATCGCATCTTTTGGAATCGCCCCCTCCCCATCCCGTGGGGGTTGACGGAGCTGCAATGCTCTCACACATTGTGAACTCTATAGACCATGGTGTTTAGGCCGTAGCCTTTCTTTATCTCTCTCCCTCTCCTTCTCTCCCTCTCTCCCTCTCTTTCGCTATCTCTCCCCGCCCCACCTTTGTCGACAAGCGGTATTAAGTGATCTTCTGTGACATCGTCCTTGGCCATCAGCCTTTACAGCACAGGGCTCTCCTCGAGGCGGCGGCATTGCCGGCCCGGGCCAAGCCCACCAGCTCCTCATCACCGGTAAATCACATCGGTTGTTCGACTCCGGTCCACACCGCACCGGCGATCTCGTCGTCGAAACAAAGTTGAGTCCCCACTCTCCGGGGAGAGAGGCGCAAAGTTGAGGGCGAGTCCAACGTGATTATCCATAGATCGTGCCGGCGGGGACGCTTAAGCGTCGAGTTTAAGCCAAAGTTCTGGAGAGTCCGTACGCCCGTTGGAATGCTCGCAAGTATCAACAGGTACCGCGCCATCTTCTTCCCGGAGGCTGGCCCGTGTGGGGTGCTTTCTTGCATCCTGGTAAACCACCACAAGCCCAAGACGAGCGGTACAGGGGAGGGGGAAGGGGGAGATCAGGAAAGAGGAAAGAGGAAGATGAAAGAGGGGGCGAATTCATCTAGTGATTTGGGTTCTTTCAAAGCGTCACAACGTGCTGGCCGGCATCAGGGCAGGAGGGCTTCAGGGCTTCAGGGCTTCTACCCACCGCTCGTGCTCCGCATAAAAAAGCAATGTCGTGAATGGCCTGGACCCACTGTGATGCTCCCATCTCTATCGATTCAGCTGGGAAGGCGAACCGCACTTTGAGAGTACGATCGCGAAGAGAAGAAAAGGTCACGTCGAGATTCCGAAGGGATCCTGAGATTGCCGTTGCACTGTTCCTCCACTCGCTCTCCTTCCCCGTGTTAGCTACGGAGCGCTATTCATCGTAGCTCCGTGTTGATCCTATTCCCTCGCTCGCTTAGCGGTGCCCCGGCCCTTTCAACTCCTTCGAACCGGCGTCCCCTGGTCCGCCGTTTAAGGAGAAGAGCGGGGGAGGCCAACCAGAAGCAATCGTGCTGGGCATTGCCAACTCGACGATCTCAGCGTTCTGCATCAAGGCGACCGACGGGCGTCAGGATCAGGGGTATTAAAGTGAATGCGTTGATAATGTGCGCCATGAGAGCTGTCCACGCCCCCTGCCCCCTCCCCTCCATCCACGAGCTGACTGGTCCCGCTGGCCAAGGTGGCAACCCAAAACAGGAACATGTTCTAATATTCGACCTGCCCCGGCTCACCGGTACGAAGAGACATCGATATTACCTGAATGCACGGCGTTGCTTTTGGGCGCCACTCTCCCTGCTCCTCGAGGAAAATAACAAAAAACAAGGGCGAGGGGTGGTGGAGGTTGACCTATGTAAGCATTGGCCCTGGGCCCGGGCTCAGGCTCAGCTTCTCGTCTCCGGTCAAAGAGAATTAATACCGGCAAGTTCCGCGAGTCGGCCTCCACAAAATCCATAATTGATGGATAATATTAATATCTGACCTTCTTAATCCAGTTGAAACTTGAAACTAGGCCTAGCCACCACGTTCAGTTCCTCGACTTGTGCCGGGAAGGAAGAGAGGGCATGATTGAAACGGAGCATTGGGAGGCATTTGGGGGCATGGTGGGATTGAGAACATGGGATGGGGGCATGGGATCCCAGGCTAGAAGGAGAAGGAAGGGTCTGATCGAAGTTCGAAGGATGTGGATGTGGATGTTCCAGGTTTTCTGTCGCTCCTGGTTCCCATTTCGCTACGTCCCCCAAGAGAGGAAATTCTAGCGGGGCGGCTCAGTCAGCACCGCTCCCCACTGGCTGGCCCAGTTCAAGAGTCGCCAAGTGAGATGATAGAGATCCATCCATTAGATCCATTGGAGCCCGAGCCAATGAAGAAATTCTATGTTTGGATCCATGATCGGAGCTCAGAGGGGATGGATGGTAAAGCTTCCGAAAGAGCCAATTTGGATCTGCAACTCAACATCATGCAGCGCCTTGAAGTCCAGCCTTCTTGTACCACGAATATGATGCCGGCTGAAAAGGTAACAATCGACTCCGGCATTTCCCCAGAACGATGAGGAGATGTTTGAGAGTGGGCTGGCGTGGGGCTGCTCCAAGGTGGCACGCAAGGTTGGTTGATTGTTGAATTAAAATGGATTCATTCCTGGTATTATTATCTATCGCCCTCTCATGATAGCTCTTGGGCCGAAGAGCACGAATCGTTGGAGACTAGACTTTCTCAACACACCTTTGGTACAGAACAAGCCCACTACGACTGTGGAGAGCGCCCCGATTCGCGGGGTCGGCATTACTAGTTGTGGCCTAACAACCACCCCCGCCAAACGCCTTTTCCTCTGCGCCATTTGCGAACAATGGGTATTTGATCAATGTAATAGCGAAATTCCCGTGCCCCTCTTTCTCTCGCACACTCTCTGCTGGAGGGCTTGGCAGAGAGGCTTGGCCTTCGCAGGTCATATGCCTCTCCGAACCTGTAGACCGCATTTCTGGGTACGCCCGCTCGAGGCGACAGAAAAAAAAACGACCAGTTTGGTTGTCACGCGCCACCGGTGAGGTCGCAGAGCGAAGTCCGCCCGGCTCCCTGCCTGAGAACCAGTTAACTAGAGGCAGAACTCGGGAGATTGCGTAGGCGGATGCGATCTGACCGCGCCAGAGGCTTTTAGTTCGGGAGGTGAGGGGTGGGGCTCGAGGCTTCTGGGAGGCTTTTTCTTTTGAAGAGGGGCTGTTGCAATCTACCTCCACCAGCGAGGAGGTGAAAAAAATCAGAGGAGGTGGGAAAGGGTGAGGGCACTTGAGACGACAAGCCCATTGCCTGAGGGTCGGTCAGCAGATGGGGCTGTTACGCATCGTTTGATTGATCCATCGATGGACTACTTCAGAGCCGGAGCCACTGACTCGCCGATGACTCTCGTCAGTTAAGGGCATAGGGTTAAGGGGCTTGATCAGTGCTGCTACCCTCCAAAGCCAGCACTCAACGGCCGGGCACCGAACCTGGTTCACCTTAGCGCCGCTGATGGAGCATTTCCTCGATTTTGGGGGCTTGATGACGATTGATTCTAAGCATGGTGGGCCCTGTTAGCCTGTTGTGGAGGAAGCATTCTCATAAAGCAGTAGTAGGCTAGGTCCGAGTCAGCCAAAGTACGGTGAGGGCCCTCTTCTTCTCTCTTTCATGATCCCTTGATTTAGGCCGATGTCCTCCAACTCAACTAAGAGAGTTCGGGGAGAGCAACCGATCCAAAGGGAATGGAAGATGCCAGCTGGCAAGACTTCGAATGTAATGAAAAACAAGTTGTTTAGTCGAGCCGGTTGATAGTTGATCGAAGTGGGCAAAGCCTTTAGTGACTCATGGTCTTATGACTTTTGTTCGCTCTGGGTCCCAATTGATAATACGGGCTCCACCCGGCAGGAGTCGGAAACTACAGCCGGGATCGAGTGGAGGTTTCCCGACCGGAAGCGTACTAACATGTGGGGCGGCAGGCAAGATAGGCAGGGCAGGCAGAAAGTGAAGGCCGAAAGTGGTGCACCGTGGGAACAACCGGATAAGGAGAAAAGGGTATCAAATAATAAAGAGGAGGGAAGAGAAAAGAAAAGTAGCTTTACCCGCTCGAAAGAGAACAGGCAGTCGAGGGATAATCCGGAGGCATGTCTGGTCGACACCAAACATAGACGGGCGAGGTCATGGCAACACACTAATAAAACGGAATAGTTAAAAAGAGAGCGAGAAGGAGAAAAAGGAGGCCAAAGATGGCTGATGGGGCGGGGGCTGGGGTCGATGCAACAAACCTCGATGTTCTCTCGCCTTCCGCTGGAAAACCCAACGACTACGTCCATAACATAACTCCGAGAAACATTGGCGGAGGAGAAGGAGAGGGGTATCTCGGGGATCGGTCGTTTCTTCCAAAGGGCGCTGTCAATCTTGCAGGTTCCTTGCTTTGCTCCCGAGACGAGAAGTATATCGGTATTCACGGAGCAAAGAGTCACGGAGGACGAGGTCTCTCTGCTAGCAGGGCCACTGTGCACCGCAGTGGTGGCTTTAAGCGTGACTTGAAGCTTGCGAAGACGAACCGAACCGAGGCACGCCATCAAATCCTCCGTCGCGGTAACGGAGAGGTTCATCGGGAGCGGCTGGCCAATGCTCAGGATAGTGGGCGATGGGAACTCTAAATCTACCAAGAGCGCGGGGCTGTACTGCGGGAGGTAGGGGTCGAGATAGGGCGGAGTGATGTCCGGGTTCAGCCCATCGGCCGCGACCATGGCCCGAATGTTGGTCGTCGGCAGTGCGAGGGGCTCGTAGATGACGGCATGGTTCGGAGGCCGAAAGAGGATCGCCTGCTTATGTACGAGACGCGATCGAACCATGGAGGCCGTGGTGATTTCGGCGCGGATAGAATAGGCAACCGTTGCCCGTAGACCGGCCTCGCGGATGTCGAGGCTCGGGGGCGGAAAGAACTGTGAGCTTTGGAGTATAGGGAACTGTAGGCAAAACGGTATGTGTAGGCGGCCTGCCCTGCACACGGTCCCATCGCCGGGCTCGATGGTGCTGTGAGTTGAAGGGTGGCTGGAGTCAAGAGTCTGGATCATTCGCATGTTAGCTTCTCATCCTCGGGCTGGCTGCGCCGGGCGGACACAATTTACCTTTTTCGTAATCTTGAGACCTCGGGTATCTGGATAGCCATTTATCCAAAATTCTTCCTCCACGGGAACAAAGGTCATGGTGAGTTTCCCTATCTCGAAGAATTCGGGGTTTGGATTAGCACCAAGGTTCGCTGGCCATGTGGGCTGGTCATATTAGGGTGCCCGGGGCGATCTTGCCTGGGGAACCGGCGCCGTGGGGTTAGAGGCGGGAGGGGCTCAGAGGTTTAGACTTACCTTGAGAGACACCGCTACGCGCGTTATCGAGGTTTCTTTCTTCACCTCGAGGCCTACGTGGCCCGCGATCACATCCCCCGAGGTGAACCATGGCCGATCGTGCGGGGGCTTGACGACGATATCGCACTTCATGGGGGCTGCCAACCCGCGGAGATGCGAGATGGGCATCGATTCAGGACGCGGTTCACAGATTTAGCTACATGCGCCCCAAGAACGTTCCATCGTTCGATATGTATTGACTCGCCCGAGCTTCACAAGCTGCGTAAATGAGGAAAATCGCCTTTGGTGAGTGGAAGAGAGTGCGTGTGGGAGAGTGAATATGGGGTCAGTTATTTTCTCCTTCCAGTCTAGGTGGCTAGCACATGAAAGAGAAATTGGTGAAGCAAGCTATATATACATTTCTAGACGGTGGGGGCGGGCGCCACCCAAAGTAGGCCGGGACTGGGTGTGTGAATCCGATGTCCTAGAACGGGACTAATAAAGCGTCGAGGAGGCTCGTCCTCAGTTGTTCGGGCTAGAGGTGTGTGTGGGGATGGATCAATCCGTTGCTGGTGGGTTGTGAGGACTGTCTCGAGTGTGCGCTTGACGGGTCTGGTGTGACAGGCTTACACCCTGTGCTGCACCTTCCCCCTCCCTAGGCCTAATACGGCAGTGCTGAAAAGGCAGGAGGCACCAGCGTGCTTGTCTGGCACCTTGCACGGAGCATCTAGAGATAACCCAAATTGAACGAATGACCGTTTTTTGCTCTTGGCAGTGGAGGAGGATTTGAAGAGGAGGGCGGAGATGGCCTGCAACAAGAAAAATCGATTGAATCACTCACGGATGGCCCTTTGGTAGCTTTTGAGCACGCCCACCATCGTGCGCCATTTCCTTCGGTTTCCCTCTTCTCGAGCAAAGTCGGGACTCGCCCGAGTTGGCTGCTTCCTTGAGCGGTTCATTTGCTCGCTCGAAGGCCATATTCTTAACCACTCTCGGCCTAGACGTATAATCTTGGCATTACGTTGCTGTTTGATAGCACTCGTCAGCATTCCTTCCACTGAGATTGGATCTAATAGCCCAACGCTAATAAGAACAGTGTTCTCGGAATGATATCCATGGATCTATTGGATCTATTCACCCCGCCCCACCACTTTGGTGCATGCCCGCTATTTCCCGCATCCAACTGGCTCTGACTGGCCCCGATCAGTTGACACTGTTCTTGTGAAGCTTATGCATCGTGTTGCGACCCGGGCACTTGGCGTCTCTTGCCTAAGCCTCACGCTGCTGGCTCAGATCCAAGTACACGTAGGCCAAACATTATACCCTCGAACTAAGCGCTTCGATGGCCGACATCCAGGAACGTCCCTCAACCATGCTTGCCGTGAAGCAAACCTCACGTCCCGACCTCGAGTGTTTGGCGGCGAGATTTATGAATTCACACATAGAGAACGATCTGGACTAGGGTGAATACTGAAATACGATATGACCACGAGCGCAAGAGTCTTCGGCTTACCTTTCTCGCCCTGGCGGTCGAGACTAAAAGCCGTTCAACCCAACATCGTGGAGTCTGTGCACGCTGTCGGGACCTCTGGCGGAGCTGACCCCACACAAGCAAGACCAAGTTTGCGGGGCGCGGGGAAAGCTCTCAGGACTCTTGGACCACACAGCGTTAATACCGATAGTGGTCTGAGGCCGGGTTAGTCGGGGAAGGGCATGAGGTTATGCCCGTTTAGGAGATCCCCAAATGGACGGTATAGATCTGTGCCTCGAGAAGAAAAGAGAAGAAAAAGAAAAATCGAAGGGTAAGGGGAAATATTTTGTTCGACAGAGGCAATAAGAGGGGCTTGTGCCCTCAAAGGAGGGAGTGAACTGCCGACACCGCAACCGCCGCTTGAAACTCGCAAAGACGAGATTTCTTGTGCCTAGCGCAAAGATGACTGACTGCCGGCACGGTATTGACATGAAGACCTAGTTGACTAGTCTCGGTCCGAGAGAGTGGGAGGCTCTTTCGCTCGCAACACAATTGAGGGTTTTGTGGAGATAAAATTGATGCAGATTCTTGAGGCGCCTGTGCTCCTGCGCACGCTTGTTGAAGATAGTCAGATTCGACCATCCTGTCCACGCGGTTGGCTTCTATCCAGCATCATGACGTCCAAGACTCGTTGGACCCAATCGATGAAATAGATCTATTAGATCCTAGATGGATTGATTAAGGGCGCTGTTGATTAATCAGTCTCTTAGACTGAACGAGCCCCCGCACTGATTAGCGGAGGATGTAATCCATCCCACGCTGTGATGGCTGATAGCATTGAAGGCCGCATCAACTCAACTGATAAGTCGAGCCTAATCGCGTTTGGATGGATTGGATGCACGCATCAATTGATGGGAATTGGCTGAGACAAGTAACATTGGACGAGCATCGACGCCCCCATGTGGTTGATAAATGGGCCATAATAATCAACGCTAGCGAGATCAATGGCATGGGGCTCTTATCCTGAGGCTTAGGCATGGGCGGGTCAGGTTCCATTATCGTCGAGGTATCGGTCGAATCAGAGCCCGGGTTAAATCACCAATGAAGCCGGATGGATCCGGCCCCATTCAACCAATTCATCAGGGTTGGCGCACGTCACTGAACCCCAGCCAGCCCAGAAGAGAGAATATTATACTCAAACAACATTAGAGCCCAAGCTCCAATTTATTTTTAAGCCCATCAATTGAATTCATCGTTCCGCACGTTCAAAACATTGAAGAAACCTAGCTCTCCCTAACTGCACAGCACTCACACCCATCACGCTGCAATTGACCAAAGAACCGTGGAACCCCTCGCGCATCCAACCAAACATCCATTCCCATTGATCATCGCGCCGCGAGTTTCTGTCCCTTTTGGAAGGGGAGGGGATCGGCCCATGAGCCAGCGCGCCCAGGTATTGGCCGGCGTCCAACGTGCCACCGCGGCTCCCCAGCATCCGCCCACGCATGACGGCCGGCCCAACAATATGTCCAAGCCGGCCCTCCCGGGCCAGGGAGGCCGCAGCTCCAGATTATCAACGATCTCGGCGAGCGCCAGCCTCTAATCCGTCGCTCATTCAGAGATCAGGATCCCTCGCAACCCAACCCGCCTCTGTATAGCTGTGTCTCCAACCCGCATAGCCACCTCCCCGTCTACACCAACATCCACAGGATACGTCGAGACATCATTTCCGTTGTTGAAGACTATTTAAGCCAGTCACAACTGAATGACGTGCGTATCAACATTACCGTTGTCAGGCCCATCGTGGACAAGCTGTATGAGCTGGGCGACATCTCTATCGGTGAGTGCGTAATAAGGCCACTGCAAGGCTCCCGTGCTCTGCTTGCGCAAGGGGGCACGCTGCATTCTGATAGATGCCCTGGGCTATTGTAGCATGGCGAGGAACTCTGGCTGACTTGAGAGGAACCCCGTGGCAAAAGTGTACTGTTTGCTTGTAAACCGGGCCCAGTTTCTCCATGAGCAATCACACCTCAGTAACCGCCAGAATGTCAACTTTAGTCGCGCTACATTGTGTGAGCTCATTGCAACGCGCATTCTGAGGCGGTTTAGCGAGGATCATCACGGGGATGACGAAAACGAAAGGCTTCTCGTACTCTCCCATATCCTGGTCGCCGGGTTCGAGCCATTCCAAAATGCCCCCGAATCGGTCAAGCGAGAGTTCAGCGAGCATTCCTCGTGGCTTTACCATCGGCCACTACCCGCCCTCGAAATTGCTATTTTAACGGAAAGCAAGTACTTTCTCAGCTCGACCCCTTGTCAAAAGTGTAAGTAGAACCTGCTACAGCTAGGCAAAGCGGCTGGAGGCGTGTGCTACTCGCGGCCTAGAAGAAAAGAGCTGTGGGTAAGAGGAGAAGATATACTCGCCATCCGGCAAAGCACCATCTGATCCTCAACAAATGTTTGGCGCAGAGGTCTAACTACAACTTTTCGATTAGTACGGATGCAATCTACCGAGGGAAGGTCATTTACACCCCGTCCGGCCTGCTAGACTTGATCCCAGATCATTACAAACAGAAGCCGATATCCATTTACGATCCCCGAGGAGCGCCGCTGCTCAATCAGTATCGCCTCATCGTGCCGAGGACCAGAAACATCCTCGAAGTGATTCAGTATATCACGCTAATTGTGCTTTACGTGGCTTTCATGACCGAAAATGATCCGTCAAGGGTGACTACGATTGAGATTTGCTTCTTGGTGTATGCCTTTGGATGGAGCCTAGAGCAGTTTGCGACTATACTCGGTCATGGATGGTAGGTTACGGCCCTATCTCTTTCGGGAATCGGGGGTCTTCTCCTTCAATGCGCCCCAACACCATCCGCCTTGCCGTTCTATCTAACCTTGGTTGTAGGCATGTGTACACTCAAAACCTTTGGTCCTTCCTCGATGTCGGTTTCATTGCAATCTTCGGGAGTTACCTAACGCTAAGAACATATGGTTGGTACTCTCACGACCCGGAGCCCGGCCGCCAGGCCATTGACGTCATGGCACTGGCTGCCCCGGTCGTCGTCCCTCGCCTGGCCTTTAACCTGCTGTCCGACAGTATGGTGTTTCTATCGCTACGGGCCATGATGGGCGACTTCGCCATCTTGACCGCCCTTTCTGCGTGGTGTTTTGCGGGGTTCCTCATCTCGCTACAGTGGCTTCATCCAGACCCCGGGACCCACGATCCTTTGTACGGCTCCCCATCCACGAATCCCCTACCTCTTTTCTTTTGGGTTCCTTGATCCCATCATCTTCCAAAATATGTCTTTCTTTCCCTCCCTTGTCAAATCTGCTAACTTGGATTGTCTAGGACGACGGGGAAATGGATGCTATGGATATGGTTTGGTCTTGACGGGACTGGTATTCAACGATCCGTAAGTATAAGAACGCTGAGGGTAACACGCAACTACCGACTGGGCATGGGCTAACTGAAAGCGTTCCAGACTGAGTTTCACTGGCTTCTCGGCCCATGTCTCATGATTGCCTTCTCATTTCTTGGAAACACGTTGTTTCTCACCATCTTGGTCTCCATCCTGTCCAACACGTTTGCTGCCATTGCGCGCGACGCCGCAGCGGAGATACAGTTTAGGAAGGCCGTGGTCACACTTGAGGGTGTCAAGAGTGACGCCATCTTCGCCTACCAGCCGCCCTTCAACATCCTTGCCGTCTTCGTATTCGTGCCACTCAAGTTCATTGTCAGTCCCCGCTGGTTCCACAAGATTCACGTTGCCACGGTGAGGTTAGTCAATTTACCGATACTGTTGGCAATCGCGCTCATGGAGCGCCGGGTTCTGCGAACTCCGACTTTCGGATCAAGTGCGCCACAAGCTAGCATGCGCCGGCTCAGTCCCTCTTCTCAGTGGTTCTGGCGGCGATGGAATATTGCCTCTAGACAGGATATTCGCGCAGTATTCGACATGCCGCCACCGGATACGGTCGAGGAAGCCATCGCCGCCGATGACGAACTCACTCACCATCTCCTGCTGAGGCAGTACACCCAACAACACCCAGACCCTCGCCGCAAGCTTCGGAGAAGGGATTCGACGTACCCCGGGCTTGCGCCCAATATGAGAGGTTCGGTGGAGGACTCGGAAGAGGCCCTCGACATATCCGACATGGACACGCGCCTTGATGCGCTCGAAGCTACAACCGCTCGAATCGAGAGGCTTCTCGAGAGGCTGTGTGCTCAGGAAGAAAAAAGAGGAGGATAACGCCGGAAACGACGGATGGGAGTAGGACCCTGAAGGAGGACGACACATGAGAAGTTCACAGAGGAAAAGAAAAGTAGAAAAGAAAAGGATTTGAGCTATTGCATAGGCTGGCCTGGCAACTGCTGTCGCGCGTGCTTCGCACAAACGCTATTGGTATAGATATTATAGATTTGAACAATTGTTTTCTTTGTTCTTGAACAAACCCTATTCTCCTATCCGAGTTCAAGACAATGGTCTTTTGCACAATCGAACGAGATTCAGAGGGAAAGAGCTATTCAGCGAATATAGAATATATAAACTGTAAATTGGGCGATGCCAAAGGTGACAGCCTGTGTGGAATGTGGGGTCGTTAACCCGTGAACATTGAAGCCTTCGTCATGGAGCGACCAAAATCCACAACTTTTGCGCTTTTTCTGATGGAGAAAAAGACGAGGAAAGCAATCCCGCCCTTTTACAAAGCCCACACCCTCCAAACACATATTCAAAAGCGACGTATAGCGAGATAATGAAACAACCCGAATAAGAAGCCTCGTATAAGTCGTAGTACAACAGGAAGGCTTCGTGCCGCCAGCCGACAACGGCGTTCATTGCCCCGCCACTCACACACACAGAGACTGCCGTGATCCCCCACCACCACAACTGGGCGGACTCAAGATGCTTCCAACGCCAGACACATCGCACATTCCCACCTCCCTCGTCTATGACCCCGTCGAGGACTCCTACCTCCTCCTTGATACCTTCTCCTTGGATACAGAGCGCGCGTTTTTACAATCTCACTTCTTTCCCTCACCCTCACCCTCATCAGCCCAGACCCCGGTCCCGGCTCCGGCCGCCCTCGTCCTCGAGCTCGGTTCCGGCTCCGGCGTCGTCTCCGCTTTCCTCGCCGCCAACGCGCAGCACATATTCGGCGGACCGGTGCTGTGTGCTTGCACAGACCTGAACCCGCACGCGTGCCGTGCCACTAGCCAAACCGTGACCAAGGAGCTCGCGCGGAAGCGGGGCGAGGATCCCAGCGCGGCCACGGGTCTGTTTCTCGGCGTGTCCAACGCGGATCTCGAGGGCCCCTGGCATAGGGGCATAGTCGACGTCCTCGTCTTCAACCCACCCTACGTGCCCACGCCGGATCTTCCCTCGAAGCCGGACAAGCTCAGCGGTACGGGCCATGGGTCCACCGCCGCGCCTCCATCGTTTGAGGAGGAGGAGTACTTCCTAGGGCTGGCTTATGCGGGGGCTACGAGGGGATGGAGGTGACCAACAGGGTCTTGCAGAAATTGGGCGACGTGCTCTCGCCGAGGGGATGCGCGTATATCGTGCTGTGCGCGCAGAACCTCCCAGAGCAAGTCAAAGAAAAGGTACGCGCCATGGGACCCGAGTGGAGGGCAGAAACGGTCGGGTCAAGTGGCAAAACGGCAGGGTGGGAAAAGCTACAGATCATGAGGGCCTGGAGAGAGGGTGCGGCGTAGACCGCACATCGCATACCCCGCCTTCTAGGAGGAAATGCTCAGGAGTGGTGAACTAGGGTGCGCTTCAGAAACGTTCGGTTGTTCTTCTTCCTTTTTTTCCTTCATTGTAGCTACATTTGGCCTCTAAAGTGCCCCCAACGCCAGGATACCAAAACGTGCATGATAGGAATCAAAATGTGTGAGGTCATTGTGTCCTTCCCCGCCCCCTCTCGATTTTTTGCCTTGTCGCCTTAGCTAGCCAGCTATAGTCATTATTCCATACCTCGCCCCCTTCTTCACATTCGCTGCCCGAGGGCGGCGTAGCCATCGTTTGATTGTGTCGATAGTTAGGCCAACTTCGAGTCTCGTACGACACCAGCTTAACCCCGCCCGCGGCCCCGGCCTCGTCCCATACCCATTCCCCTACCGCCACCGCGGCCACGGCCGCGTCCCCTTCCGCCGCGGTCGGCTACCTCCTTGCGAGCCTTGTTCTTGGGCTTGGGCGCGTCGTCAATGAGTAGGGTGTCCAGGGGAGGGAGTCTGGGAGGATGAAGTAGCGGATGGTGCTGCCGCGAATGTTCATGGTATCGAGGGAGATGGGGTCCTGGCCCTTGGCAGTCATGCGCACGTTGCGGAGGGCTGTGTTCATCTGCGGAGAAATAGACATAATGGTGCCGTGTACGATGGTACCTATACGATGCGCGGAATGATTAGCTTCGACAAAACCCCCGTTTGTACTAGTACCAGCTGCTTCGTAGTCATCCGCTGCCACGGGCGAGGGCAACTCGGGGCTCAGGACTCGGGACTCGGGACTCGGGAGGGGCCGAAGGCGTACCATTTTTCAGTTCTATGGTGACCGTTTCGTTGGCACATTTCATCAAAAACCTGCAGAGTCTTCGTCAGCCGGCATTACCAGTATGGGTTGGAGCGTGGAGGGGTTGCCGCCTGAATCTCGAATCCCTCGGGAGACAGGGTTGGAAATGGAGGGGTATTAGAGCCAATCGCGTACCTGACGAGCTTCATCGTGACGGCGGGTGAGGTTCAATTGGATGGGAAAGGGTAGAGGGTGGTGAGTTGTGATAGCTCAAGCTCAATGTACTCCCCGCGGCTTGGCTTGGTCGTCGAGGTAAAGGCGGCGACGGGTTTCGTTCTGTGGTCGAAAGGCTGATGCTACAGAAATTGTTTGGCGGGCTGGCGTTTCGATGGCAGTGGCAGTTGGAGCTGACCGCCAACTGGACAACAATGTGGTGCAGTTTGCGAAGCTTAAGATCAAGCAGGGTGGGACTGTGGGGCCTTGGCACGTGACGTGCTCAGTCCACTGCACGAGTTCAAGTTGTGCTTCCACGCTCCAGGTCGGCCATCAAGTTCGCCAACTTGGACCACAGCGACATCAATCCATGCCATATTACGATCCTATGTTCATCCTGTTCCAAGATTAAAGGGTAGAACGGTAACTGGCATCTCATATGCCTCAGGAATTCATGTTCCTTTAGGGCTGAATGCATTATTGGTGTAGATTTGATTTGATTATCTCTTGATTATGGCTTCCCGACGCAGCTTGATCCACGCTCGAATAGCGTCTTTTACTTTATAGCGTGAGCCAACTCCAACTCTGAGGCATATCCTGATCTCAAGTCCCGGGGTCGCACCAGTCCAGCCTCGATGGTATCATCATATAGTGATCTTGTGCTTTTCTCGGGGATGATGGAGGTCGCTCATGCCTACAACCATGGTGAGCCATGAGATAACAGGGTCAACGGTCTGTGTTTTACATCCTTCGTTCACAGGTGCAACAAAGGGAATGTTCGTCTCATGCAGGTTTCCATAGCATGCGAAACCTCTCTCGAACGAGGCGGCCATGCCACTCTGCCAACCCCCTCATTAGGAAAAGGCAACTAGCCGAAGCTCCGCTGTACCCTTAAGATTGGTAAAGCTACGAACGCTTGCGCCTGGGACCTTGCCATTGTCTTCGGAAAGTCGGGAGAACCGCTGCTGGCCGCAGTTGCCGTTCCCCACTCAGAAGCGTCCCCAGCTTGGGGAGTATGCTAGAGAAATTCCGGTGCCGTGCCTTTACCTTCTCGAGTCAGTTGACCACGATCACCAATACCATTCATCATGGGGAAATGCCACGTTGACTACCAGTCGTGCGCTTCGATATTGTGCGAACGTCCGGATATCTCGGCGCCAGTGAGCCTCTTACACCTGACAAGCCCGCCGCGGAAAAGTCTTGAGTGGCTCTTCTGGCAGCTCGACTTTTTTGCGTCACCTCCGTTCCAAGAAAAGTATAAAAAAATGAAAGGAAGACAAATTGAAGATAGATGTTTAAACTGTTTCGGTGCCCTCGGTTTCACTCTCGATGCAACTAGATCAGCTTTATAAGTAACCGTGGATGGAGGCCGTAGGCCCCCTACTAAAGGCCGCCTTTAATACGTTACGGGAACACTCATCTCACAAATCGTGTGATAGGGTTAGTGGTAGAGAGAGGGAGTTGGTTCGCGTTTACCTCGTCTCCGACCTCCGAGCAGATGACCTTGTGGGGAGTGTGTGTGCGTGTGTGTTCCTCCGTAAACTCGGCACCTACTTCTCCGATGCATGAAGGTCGTGCGCATCTCTGAGCGGCGAACGCCCATGGGACGAATGTCTGCCAGCTCAATCTCGATAAAGAGTCGCACTGCCCAGCGGTGGTCACCCCTAGTGAGGCCGAGTGGTCGTCATGACCTCGGATGGACTTGCAACGAAGCTTTATTTCTTGCTGGATGGGGACTCAGGCAAACAGCCTGCCGTATTTCCGCGTCATCTATGCTCGCATTCCCTCTTCACTTCCCTTTATTCTGACTGCCTTGCTACATCATAAGTCTCCCTCGGCATCGCTGCACCTGGCGTTGCTCAGAGAAACACGACGAACTTAAAGACCCGAACGCGTGAGGGCGTGGTTCTCCCGCTTCAAGACCCGCAAGCCGCCAGACAACGTAGCGATCCGTCCGCTGAAAGATAGGTAGAACCCCTCTTCAAGTTTGTCTTTCTGCTGCAAGCCGCTCGATAACCCTGCCGCCCGCTCTCGCCTCGGTCAAAGGATAAGCAATGCTCTACTTCATCCCTGCTTTAGGTCTCGTGGCTTTCTCTACGCTATGCCGTGGTTTTCGCGGACCATACGACTATGGAGGGTCACTAGCCACCTTGGATAGAAGGCAGTCTCCCAGGACAGAATCATCGTCGTGAATCTTTGGAATGGAACCGAGGGTAACGTTCCAGCAAGACTTGAGCTCAGGGAGCTAAAGAAAGACATCTACAAGTGGAATCTTTACCTCTTGGCTTTGAGCATGCTACAGTGGACCAACGCATCAGAACCTGACTCGTGGTATCAGATCGCCGGTAAAGCCATTCCCATTCCCATTCCCTTCCCCTGGTTGACTCGGACGGTGCGGCGTGTTGACCTTGCTTGCTTAACTAGGAATTCACGGGTATCCTTTCGTCCCCTGGAATGGAGTCACTGGTCTGAATAATTCGGCTGGATACTGTCACCATTCTTCGATACTATTCCCATCCTGGCATCGCCCGTATATGGCGCTTGTGGAAGTAAGTATCGGGCTTCCCGCGTCGTTCTGCGAATCCCTCTTGTTCCTCTCGTTTCACGACCACGGCTAACAACGTCGCCGGCAAGCAACAATTGTACTCTCGTGTCCAACACATCGCATCTCTGTTCCCCAACGATCTCGAGCGCGCCGTCTACCAAGATGCTGCCCTGACATGGCGTATGCCCTATTGGGACTGGGCCTTGGTACCCTCGGATGGCAGTGCCCCGTTCATGGACGAGTTCGGCTGGGAAGACATTACGATTTACGGCCCGAACGGGCTACAAGATATTTCCAATCCGCTTTACAGCTACCATTTTGGGGAGCGTGAAATGTTCGACGTGAGATCTACGCAGGTACGGTCCCCTCACTCTGCTTTGACCGTGCTGCAGTGGCAGGTTCTAATCTAAGACCATAGTTTCGGCAGTGGAACGAGACCAAAAGAGCCCCCTCTTCCCTGCTAGCCGATGCAGTATCCCACAATCAAGGTGTTGCACGACGACTGTCCTCGAATATCGATCAGTTTCAGCAACGCCTGTTCATGCTCTTTACTTCCTATAATAACTACGCCACATTCAGTAGCACGCAGTACCGCCAAGAGGGCAACGAGACAACCTATGAGTCAATCGAAGGCATCCATGACAGCCTCCACTCCATCATTGGGGAAAGGGGACACATGGATTACATCATGTACTCGGCGTTCGATCCTATCTTCTTCCTACACCATGCTAATGTAGATCGACTTGTTTCCATGTGGCAGGCACTCAATCCCAGGTCGTGGGTAACGCCATGGCCGGCAACAGGTTCCACTTTTACAAGCTACGAAGGGCAAATCCTCGACGCTGGCACGGATCTCACTCCGTTCTACGCGACTACGGACGGCCAGTTTTGGAATTCCAACCTCGCAAGGGACACACGATCCTTTGGATACGTCTATGATGATACTGCCAACGTTTCTCTCATGGACGTTTCTGATGACGCAGCCCTGGGAACCCTACGGAGCGTCATTAGTAGGAAATACGGGAATTCAGTTCAATGGCTCGGCGTTGAGAGGCCCACCCCGGGAGGAATAGACGGTGATGGAGTAGATAGAATTGCAGTGGAGAGGTTTAGGAAGGCGGCCAGCGCAACTGGACAGTTTATACCGGACCTTTCGGCTGACGCTCGACTCTTGCACGCTCCGCAATCGGCTACCTTGGGAGCCAGAGATTCATACGTGGAGTGGATAGCAAACATTCGGCTTCCAAGAAAGGCTGTGCTGCAGCCCACCTCCTTGCTCTTCTTCATTGGCGACGTCCCCTATAATTCCAAGGTCTGGAAGGATTCACCTAACCTTGTGGGGTCGTTTGGGATATTCTCCATGCCGACCGCCACCAGCTCAACAAGCCAGATTACCGGGACGCTGCCCTTGACAGCGGCGTTAAAGAAGATGGTGGCGGCTAAATTTGTGGCGAGCATGGATTTGGAAGCCATGGGCCCTTACCTTGAACGGAATTTGAAAGCGAGAGTCCTTGACGTGAACGGGAGAGTAGTGGACCCGAGAAGTCTGGGACTGAGTATCACGGTAGCGAGCGCGTTTGTGCGCCCGCCGTCGAAAGAGACCGAGTTCCCCGTATGGGGGCCCTTGGTTACGAGGTTTACCTTGGTCGGGCCGTCATCACCCCGCCATCCTCGCAGGAGGTTATGAGAGCGCGGCTGCGTGACGGAGTGGAAGATATATTGCGAAACTTCTGCGCTGAATACTAGGGCATTTTAGGGAGAAGTATATTACTGGAGCCCCAAGAATTCCTCCAGAGTTTAAAGAATTCTTGAGGACGAAATTGAACTAGAACCCGGGTGTAGCATTGCTGCTTTTTATCACTACATTCAAGTTTGAACTTGGACAGGCACTGCAGCTACTAGGTGTGATCACGTGAATAAGAAGTTGGAATAATATCCTTAGTAGTGTATATGGCGCTGGAAACTGACATGAATGGAACCATATTCTTCGAGGTCTTTTGCTTGGAACATGCTCACGATAGACCGGACTTCTTCTCGGTGAGCTGGTGGAGTCGCCGGAGACTTGGCACGGACCACTGACGAACAAGTTTGGAAATGCCCCGCTAAACCTTCCTTATCGATAAGCGATGCCGATAACGACGGCTAATTTTTTTTTTTCCCACCTTCTCCAACCATCCCTCTCCGACCAGAGCGATCTGCAGGTCTTCGGACAAAGAGAAAAAAATTGGGAACGCTCACCGAGAACCCGCCATTGCAGCAAGCCACTGCATCCCTTCACCTCGACATCGCTCCTCCCCTCTCCGTACCTCTGGGGAAGCTTCAAAATGAGCATTTCCGCCCACAAGGGCGACAAGTCAGCCCAGAGGGCGGGCAAGCCGTGGTCGGTGGAATTCGACACCGTTCGCCGGCAAAACCTTTTCCAGAACCCTCCAAAGATCGATCGCAACACCCTCTGCTCCGAGATGCCGTACAATTCCACAATGAGTCCTTCAACGCCTTATTCAGCGAGCAGGGCCTTATCCGACACGGAATCGAGGACATTGGCACAAAGTGGTTTCGGGACGGCGAACTCTCACAAACCGGGGCGACTTCGAATGACCTGAGGATACGAATCAAGCATGTGGCCTTGCAACGCCCCGAAATCATTCCCCATAGGCTTTCCAAGGGAGATAGAAAGCCGCTATACCCGTGGGAATGTAGGGAAAGGCACATCTCGTACCGTGGAAAGCTGTTTGCAACACTAGAGTACACCATCAACGACGAAGAGCCCGTCGAGTTCGACTTGGATCTTGGAAAGCTACCCGTAATGGTCAAGGTAAGTCGCCTTATTCTCTAACCCCCTCATTCCCTCTATTATACCGTACCCTTTTAGTTGCGCCTGGTCTTTTGAACGGGGTGCTGACCGACATCATCAGTCCAACAGGTGCCACCTCGAAAGCCTAGCCCCGGCTCAGCTGGTGGAAAAGCGCGAGGATTCGGAAGAATTAGGTGGCTACTTTATCGTCAATGGTATTGAGAGGATTATTCGACTTCTCCAAGTGAACAAGCGCAACTTCCCCATCGCCGTTGACCGTAAGAGCTTCGCCAACAGAGGACCCGAATATACCACCAAGGGTCTGATTATGCGCTGTTCTCGTCCCGATGAAACGTCGGTAACAAACACACTCCATCTGCTCAAAGACGGAAACATTGTCATGCGGTTTGCGTGGAGGAAGCGCGAGTACCTCGTACCGGTAATGATGATCTTCAAGGCCCTCATCGACACCAACGATAGGGAGGTATTCGAGGCCATTGTCGGCCGTGGCGACTCGGAGGCTGCCAAGGGAGCTCGTCTAGTCAACCAAATCGAAGTGCTGCTCCGAACCTTCAAGATATATGGGCTCTATTCGAAGAAGCAGGCACGTTCCTTCCTCGGGAGCAAGTTTAGGGGCATCATGGGCGTGCCGAACGCCATGTCCGACTTTGATGTCGGAACCGAGCTCCTCCGAAAGATTATCCTCGTCCATCTCGGAAACGTCAATGTAACTCACGAACAAGATTGCGATAAGTTTACGACTCTGGCCTTCATGTGTCGCAAGCTATACGCTTTTGGAGCCGACGAATGCTCCCCGATAACGTGGATGTCGTATCGAACCAGGACGTCCTCCTCGGGGGCTTCTTCTACGGAATGATCATTAAGGAGCGTCTGGAGGAGATGATTGGCACCTCGCTCAGGGCCAGTCTCGTGCAGCATTTCCGCTCGTACCCCACGGATACCTTCACTTCGTCCAAATTCCAACAAGAATTCCCGAGGCGCATCTTCACCAAGGTAGACTACAAGCTCGGTCAAGCAATGGAATACTTTCTCTCCACCGGTAATCTCTCCAGTGTTTCGGGGCTGGACCAGCAGCAGGCCTCGGGTTTCACCATCGTCGCCGAAAAGCTCAACTACCTCCGCTACATTAGCCACTTTCGCTCCATCCATCGTGGTGCCTTCTTCACCGAACTTCGCACAACCACGGTGCGAAAACTGACCCCGGAATCGTGGGGTTACCTCTGCCCCGTCCACACCCCTGATGGTTCTCCTTGTGGCCTTCTTAACCATCTCGCGCACAAGTGCAAGGTCATGACCAAGGGCGTAGACGCCTCCCATATCCCTCGGCTTGTCCATCAACTAGGCGCGGACGTGCAGTCCTCGGCCACAACGGCCGATTGCGTCGTCGTCATGCTTGACGGCAAGATTATTGGCTGGTGTTCGCCTGCGACAGCCAAACGAATTCACGATTCCTTCCGGCATTGGAAGGTGGAGGGCTCTCACAATATCCCCTTGGAGCTCGAGATTGGCTACGTTCCGCTATCGAGCGGCGGTATGTATCCCGGCGTCTACATGGCATCGAAGCCCTCGAGAATGGTGCGACCTGTCAAATACCTCCCGTTGGACAAGGAAGACTACGTTGGGCCGATGGAGCAAATGTACATGGGCATCGCCGTGGTGCCATGGGAAATCGAATCTGGGTTCCACACCCACATTGAGTACTCCCCACCCATGTTCTCTCTATTCTCGCCAACATGACACCTTTCTCGGACCACAACCAGTCTCCAAGAAACATGTACCAATGCCAAATGGCGAAGCAGACCATGGGTACGCCAACTACTGCTCTTGCGCACCGTACCGATAATAAGCTATACCACCTCCAAACGGGCCAGACGCCCATTGTCCGGGCCTCCCTGTTCAACGAGTACGGCCTGGACAACTGGCCAAATGGCATGAATGCCGTCATCGCCGTCATCTCCTACACCGGCTACGACATGGACGACGCCATGATTATCAACAAGTCCTCATTCGAGCGTGGCTTTGGGCACGGATCGATCTACAAGACCAAGGTCATTACCCTAAAGGATGACGGCCGTGTCATTTCCGCCCGACGGGTTAAGAAGCTGTTTGGTTTCCCCAAGAGCGCGGCGATCAAGGGCGAATGGACTAAGACTCTCGATGCCGACGGCCTCCCTATTGTCGGCGCACAAATCAAAGAGGGCGATTATCTCGCGGCCTGGCACAGCGTGGAAATGGATTTTGCTGATAACTACATCAACACCGACGGCGAGGTTAGGTTCGAGAGGTATAAGGATTCCGAGGTCGGCTACATTGAACAAGTGAGGCTCATTGGCTCCGAGTCCGGGTCGGAGCCTTTGCAGACCATATCCATCAAGATTCGTATCCCGCGTGCGCCCCAAGTCGGTGACAAATTCTCGTCGCGTCACGGACAGAAGGGTGTCCTTTCGCGCTTATGGCCAACCATCGATATGCCCTTCTCGGAATCCGGGATCCTACCCGATGTCATCATTAACCCGCACGCTTTTCCATCGAGAATGACGATTGGTATGCTTATCGAGATCATGGCGGGCAAATCGGGAGCACTCCATGGGTTAGCTCAAGACGGAACGCCTTGGACATTTGACGAGCAATATCCGGCCAAGGACTTTTTCGGCGAGCAGCTGCGGCAGGCGGGCTACAGCTACCATGGTAGCGAGCCGATGTACTCTGGCATCACAGGCGAGGAGTTTGCTGCAGACATATACATGGGTCTTTGCTACTACCAGAGGTTGAGGCACATGGTCAACGACAAGTTCCAGGTCAGAACCACGGGTCCCATTGTACCCACGACAGGCCAACCTGTCAAGGGTAGGAAGCGTCACGGCGGTATCCGTGTGGGAGAAATGGAGAAGGATGCTCTGTTGGCGCACGGCACCGCGTTCTTGCTGCAGGACCGCCTCATCAATTGCTCAGATTACACCAAATCGTGGATCTGCAAGCCTTGCGGGTCGTTCCTCTCGGTGCAGCCGACCGTCTCCCCGTACATCGGCAAGAAAAAGAAGGACACGGCGGTCCGGTGCCGAAGCTGCGCGGTCAGGGTCAAGCCCGGCATGGACCTGTCGGGCTTCGATGGCGAGATGTGGGAGGACGGGCAGGGCAATCTCTTCATTGGCGGTGACCAAACGACCGAGGTCGCTGTACCAGGCGCGCTCAAGTACCTCGACGTCGAGCTAGCGGCCATGGGCGTGAAACTAAAGTACAACGTCGGCGGTGATAAAGAGATGCGCAAGGGCCCTGCGCGCCCAGTCCAACTCAATGGGGTGAATCTAGGATCGGAGGATACCCTTTGAAGAGGAAAACAGATGCCTCGGGAGGAGCGGATATGAAGGGTTCAGGGGTGAGGAGGATCTCCAAACGGACCATATTGTGTCGCTGCCTAATCTCCAAGTGTTTTAAAGGAATTGTATGTAAATGAGTTTTCAAAGTGTTGATATGAATGGTGATGAAGCAAACATGGTACCTGCGTTAATTTCTCTTTCTTTCTTTCTTTGCTCTTTCCTCCCCTTGTGTATCTGGACAAGCTCCCCGACCTCCTTCAGAGACAACGGGCCGGGGCCATGGACGTTTGAAATGTACGAGGCCGACCCACTCCATGCCTCCCGTGTGGATGGCAGGTTCGCACTACAATACAACGCGGGTGGCCGCTTGTTGAGCGACCAGGGCCGCCACCATCCGGGCTTCTGGGCGAGATTTTGTAGGGACGGGCGGTGATGAAAATCCTTTTGAGTCGGCACGGCAAGGGCGGGAGATCAACAATGGAAACGCAGATGGTATTTTGGATCAGACGCGAGCTCCCACCGCTCAGGAATGCTGTCCTAGGCCGGCTGCCGCGGGTTCGAGCCGGCAACGACGAACACAAGCCGTGCAGGACTGCCTTTGAACGTTCTGATCGAGACGGGCAAGGGCTTCACACCACAAGGGAAGCTGGAGCGGAAGAGCAAAGGGCGGACTTGTATTACTATAGATTGGGTCTTGGGGGTATGTATGAACGGAAGGCAATAGTGATATTTCACCAAGCTGAGAAACAAAAGGGAAGCAAAAACCTAGTGGTGGCTGACGTGCATTTGATCGATGGCATTACCGTAATGGCTGCTGGCTGCAGCATGGCCTGGGGACTTGTTCTGGTGGACATGGGGCCGTATTATCGGGGGCTTCAATTTTCCAGTTGGGGCGTTCGCTCGTTCCCTTCCTTCATCTCTCCCCCTCCCTCCGCCTCCCGATTTCCTTGATTGTTATTTGTGGTTTCCTCGGGCCGGCTCTCGCTGAAGGTCGAGGCCCTGCCTCCAAGAGGAGGAGAACACAAAAAACGCGCGGGAAGAGAGAAGCCACTATTGTCCGAGGCCTGACAAAAAGTTCTCCTTGCTCTACTCTCGACACGGCATGGCTACCTGAGCGTGACCGGGTGGGGGAGGGTAAGGCATTCGGGTCATGCACAATACATCACCTTTGAGATTTCGACATGGATCACATCTCAATTCTCGTGCTTGGTCATATCAATCCATGCCCTCCCCTCCCTCCCCTTCCAGCCATCGGACAATGGTTGAGAGCAGCAGCAGCGGGCAGGGCTGGGCGGGGCTTGCCAGCTCCGACAATGCACCATGGTGAAATGCACCATGGTGAAAATATTTGATGAGGCATGTGAGGCGGCTCAAATTTCGGGTTTGGAGACCTGACGCCGATGTACAAGGGCTTCCCTTGCGTTGCCGTCTTTTGTTTGCTTCCAAACGTGGGATGGGATGCATTCCACACGGTCTTGGGGGACAGACTCGTTCCTTCTCTTTACATCAAGCAGGCTAGTGGAGGTGCGTCATGGCTGTGGAGAGAAACTTTGCATGCCGCAAGGCAAGGCAAGGCGATGCACCCAAATAATATTACAGCAATGGGCCCAAGTTGGCCATGGATCGAAAGCACGACCCCACAAAGAGAACATTAAGACAGTTTTGCTCTGCAACGCGCAGAGTAGAGAGAGGGAAAGAGAGAGAGCGAGTGTGTGATGGACGAGCGCTCACCTCACACACCCCCTCCTCCCCCTCTCTCACCCTCCCACTTTCACCCTCCCCACCCAGGTGCCGCTAGCACGGATGGCTCCCTTCCTTTGTCCTGATCAAATTAACGACAAAACGCAACCCTCCTTCGCTGCTGAACAGCGTCATTTGCCCCAAAGGAGCGTTAGTGCAGAGATTGAAGAGCCCGTCCTAGTCTCACCTTGTCCTCGCAACCGGGGAGCTAGTTCTAATTCGTCCGCCGAGACTAAAGAGCACCACTTGCCCCCATCCATCGCCCATAGCGCATAGCGCGTCCCTCAGTGGTCATCACGCCCCTGCGGGCCTTGCCTCCCGCGTTGTCTTAGCTTGGGGTGTGATCCAGAGCACTGGACTACGGGTACCATTGTGGTGTTAGTGTAATATTACTTGACAGCCAGCATTGGTCGCATTTCACGGCGATGAATGAGAAAGGGTCCTTTCACCGAGAGTTTGTGGCGTGGCTCGTGGATGCGGTCGATCCGTCAAGCTCGCCTGGTGCCAGTGTTGGCCCCATTTCCCATCGCCATCTTCCGACGGTCGGTTGCTAGTCCACTGAAGCCGCGCAATCTCTCAAAGTGTCAGATGGTGTTAAAAGGCACAAACCCCTGGAAGCGCGCATGTCACCCGAGAAAGAACTCCCTCATGGATGAATGGCAACAGTGGCTTGCTTTCACACCTCGGAACAACTTCAACGATTCGATTCGAGAACCCGTCCACGTCCAGCCTGTTCTCCCTTCATCCTTCATCCTTCACCCTTTCTTAAACCTCGTTCCCTCAGAAAGAAGAGGAATAGAAAATAAAGCCAAGCAGTCCCGATACAATATAAATCAATCCCGATTGCTACAATTTCTCTGAGAACACTCAGTCTCACAAGCCAGTGAAGAGTTGAGTGCTCTCAAACCTGGACTAAAGTAAGCCAAAGCGATGTCGCAGGCACCGCTCCATCCTCGATCAACAAAGCACCATATTCTATCCTCTTCACTTACCCCGGGAACGGCCGGGTGGCCAGTGACTGGCCAGGCCACTTCCATAGGCCCTTGGGCCAGAGATTGGTCGTGATCCTCGTGTGACCTTGGGCCAGTCTTTGAGATCAGGTCGCAGGCTATTTTACAGGGGTGGTGGTCGCTAAGGACCCGTCCAGGCCAGCCAAAATCTCTAGTCACGGCACCAGCGGCGACTACCGCCCTAAAGGCCTCTTTGCTCGCACACCACAGAGGAGAGAAATGCAGCAGCTCGGCTGATGCTGTGCGTAGTGTGGGGATGTGCCCCGGGATGTTTTGTGACGTTGACGATCATCACCAACTCGCTCTCTCTCCACGCTGTCTAGCAAAAAGCAATGGGGGCCGCACCCGAATCAACGGCCATGAAACGGCGCCGCGTCGTGTTCCTGCGACAAATTCTCTGTTGCTATCAACTCTGCTATTTTCTAAAGGGTTCAAGGCGCACAAGAAGCTAGACATCTCTTGGGGCCCTTCCCGCCTCGTGCCAATTCCCCATTATTATTACCCCATTGCCCCATTGATCCCCATTAGGATCTGCAACGGTCCTGGCTCTCGTCACTTTGCAACATGGCGGCTCAAGCGAAAACTCTGGCGAGGGAGATAATACAGCATAGACCTCACTTGCTCTAGCCGCCGCCCGGACGACAAGGGAGGTCGGTCGGGGATGGGAAAAGCGGGACCTCGGAGGAAAACACCCACAAACACCCAAGAGCCGAGCCTTGTCGTCACATCGTCTGCTCTCCCCCTTAGGCCATGTACTTTGAATAAAAGAGGCCTCTCAACAGGGCCCGCTCCCACAACCCCTTTGCTCGAACCGCTCAACCCGGTGAGACAAGGGGACGGAGGACCCTTCGGATAAGCGCTCATGGCAAGAAAAGAGACATCCTGTCCTCCACGCTCGGCCGCTGTGTCTAAGGGGGTTAAAGAGCCCGAGGGAGAAAAGAAACGAAGAGGACACAGAAAAGAAAAAGAAGAAGGGAAGAGAAGGGGAAAATGAAGTAAAAGAAAAATGAAAAATGAAGAGGTGCGCAGTATCTCAGGGCCCTAGAATAACAAGAGTGCGGAAGTCGACGAAGAGAGCAAGTCAAGAATAGGCGAAAGATCAGGATACTTGTTGCAGATGAGGAGACAAATGTCCGCAACGTCACGAGGTTCTAGAAGTTCGGCGCAATCACGATTCACTGCAGTAGAAATCCATCCATCCATTCACAATAATAAACCCGAATGTCCTTTGTTGTGTTGGTCGGCCCTCCGAGGAGGGAGTCGGGGCCAGTTTGAGCGATCAAAGGGTACAAGTGATACCTCAAGCTTGTCTAGTGGAGTGGAGGTGGAGGTCAGAGGTACACACGCAAATTGAGAGCCAAAGAGTTTGGCTGGCCATTAGTTGAGGCCAGTCAATAACATTGAATACTTTGTACACTAATAAAGGCCCGGGTCGCCTAGCCTAGCGGGGTGGATCAGTAGTGACATTGTGGATTGATTGAAGCACTCAACTACTTGTACTGTAAATTGATAAGCGGCGGGTGAACCAACGCCACTGGGCAAAGAACCTGGTCCCCTAAACAGACCCCCTCACCATGTTCCATTCCGGGCTTTGCTCTCAAGTTCCTCCTCCATCTCTGGATCTCTACTCTGTCTCTCCCACGCAGCAAGCAGCGGCAGCAGCAGCAGCAGCAGCACCCAGAGAGCTCGTGCTGGGTGCCCTTCTTTTTCCTGGAAATCGAAACGCCCTTCCCCCGCGGCCTCACCTGCCTTCCCGGCCCCTCGCTAGAACGACCTCATCCGCCCAGCTCCCTGTTCCTTATCACACAAGCCCGAAATTTCATCTCACTTTTCGCCGGGGTTCGCTTTTCTAAACCCTGCGGCGCCCTTTTATTTTTGCCCTTGTTCGGGAGAAGCAGCTTATACAAGACGCTTTTATTTCCTTGCCTCGCCTCTTTCATCTTTTTTAGAGTCTCTTCTCCTTTCGTGCATACCTCGAGTCGTTTAGCCTCCTCCCCCCTCCTTCCTTTCCTTCGGCTGCCGCCTTGCTCTTTACCTTCCCAAATTTAATAACCCCACCCACCGCCGCTCCTCTATACTAGGCCGTCTACACCAGTCCAGTTTAGTTTGTCTGCGTCCTGCGTCTGCGTCTGCGTACAAGTCCGTTTGTGCCCAGAGATCCTCCGCACGCAACCTTCACCTGACCTCGAGCTTCTTCCTGCTTTCCCCACGATCCCGCCGAAGAGCCAACGCGACACTTCTGCGTCGAACCCGCCACCACCGCCGCCGCCGCCGCCGATATCCTCCTCTCCTCGTCCGTAGCGCGATCTACTATAGCTCAACTCACGCCCCATATCCCAACGCACGACCCTGAATTACGAGCGAGCCCACCTTCCCGGCAGCCAGCATCCCCGAGCTCTACGGAACCGCGCTTGAGCTTCTGGGCGGCGAACGCACACCGACCATACCGACTCCCTACCCTCTCCCCGAACCCCACGAGTCGAGAGGGGACAAAAATACATAATGGCGCAGCTTGTTCGGAAGGTGTATGATTGGCTGTTGAGGACCTTTTGGTGAGTCGGCTTCAAACCCTCTGTGCTTGTGCATGCCTGTGCTGCGCTGCAAGGACGCACCTGCCAGGTCCTTGGGGGCGGGGGAGGTTGCTCAGGTCGTAGACCAGATCGTCTCCCTCACTCACTCTTCTTTCCCTCTCTCTCTCTCTCTCTTTCAAACTGACCTTAAGGCTCGTAGGGCGACGGAGATGGACGTCACCATGGTAGGCCTGCAAAATGCGGGCAAAACGTCGCTGCTGAGAGTGCTTTCGGTAAGTTCTGCCACACAAGCCCTTCTCCTAGATCATCCGCTGCAGCTGCGATACTGGCGAAAAACAAGGGTGCCACAGTTTGTCTCGGTCCCCGAGACCCTTCTCATCTGCTTCCCTGCTCCTCTTCCCAGTATCCGCACTCCATCTTGTCGCCAGGTTTTTCTTTGCCTTTTTACTAATGCTCCATGACTTGAAACCAGGGCGGAGAGTTCACCATCGAGTAAGCGAGCATTTCATTTGCCATACCTTTTGATTCCCAGGCGCTGCTTCCCCCTCTTGCCCCGCTAGCGGTCACCAGATGTTTTGGTTCTAGCCGTGAAGTCGAGTGGCCCGTCGCACCTCCACCTCCTCTCCCCTTTTGCTACCGCGGACCGGCATGGCTGGCGCGCTTTCCAGCATCTGCGAGAGAAAAGAAAAGAGGCGTTCACTGACCGAGGTTTTGTGTAGCTCGATTCCGACGATTGGGTTCAACATGAAGCGGGTACAACGCGGTCACGTCACACTGAAGTGTTGGGATATAGGCGGCCAGCCCCGTTTTCGGGGATGTGGGAACGGTATTGTCGCGGCGTCAATGCTATTGTCTTTATCGTGGATATGGCGGACCCAAAGGTTCTATCAGTCGCTCGCGAAGAGCTCCATTCCCTCATGGCTCAACCTTCGCTCCGAGGGATCCCGCTGCTGGTTCTCGGCAATAAATCGGATCTCCCCAATAGGTTAACGGTTGATGAGCTGATCGACGAGCTCGACTTGGCGGAGATCGGCCACCGTGAGGTATCCTGCTACGGCATCAGCGCGAAAGAGGAGACGAATCTCGACGCAGTACTAGAGTGGCTCATGAAGTGGGCTAACAAATGAGCTGCCCGAGAGACCAGCCGCGCAGTAAGAGTTAGTTGTTGTCGTTCCCCGCAGCACGCGTAGAGAACCGCAAACAAACCGTATGCCCTGGCGTTGGGATCTTGGAGTATACTCGAGGACAAGCCGAGAGTGCGTCTAACGAGGGTGGCGAACGACCCAGAGGCGGGCAAAGCGCGCTTGCAGCCGGTTTGGATGCCAGTCTACTCCCAACATGTGCACTCACCTTCCCCCTCTCTCCCTCACTCTCTCCCCTTTTCCCCCTCTTTTATTTCCTCCCCCACCCTCACTTTCATCTCGATGACGTCGTTGCCGGCTCTTAAAAACAACCCTAGAAACCGTCTCACGGCGTCGGTGCAGGTATAGACACGCCACGCCTGCCATGGCTTCCTGCTCGGATCGCGGTTTTTTCCCTCTTTTTCTTTTCTTTCCTAATCAGAGCGACGACTGGGGAAATCGAAGCCACCTTGGCTTTCAGTACCTGGTACAGTCGAGATATATATATCTTGTTCTCTCACGAGCCCACGTCAAGCGGGGGTTAGGGTCATGAGTAGCTCTGCTTATCAAAATTGCCCACCGAGGCATCCTTCCATTTGACTAGGGGCGAGAATGAAGCGGAGGAAAGCTGCTTGGTTTGACTCCTGCCCTTGCTTCATTTTTCGCGCTTCCTCCTGGTCGCCTCGACCCGCCCGCCTTTTCCTTGTCCCGCTTTCTTTGACTTGATTTCGTTGTTGTGGAAATATATCCCGGGATTGGCGGATCTCTGTTGGCATATGACCAGGTCACCTTGGCCTTGGAATTGGGCATGGCAGTATTTTTTCTCTTCTTTTATCAATCCCCTGATGACACTTGTGCTTTTTCTCCGGATCCCCTCTCTGCCAGCAGTCTCTGACCTTTCAGTCTCTTTTTTTTTTTTTTTTTTTTGTTCTCCCTTTCCTCCTTTTTTTGTTTTCCCCAAAGCTAGGCTAGTTATTCATGAGTAAGACGAAGCATGCATCAAGAATATGCCCGTGAGGGGGCGCTTGCGGTTGCAAAGCTCACCCGTTCAATCTAGATCATTTTCCGTTGTCTTTTTCGGCGCGTGTCTTGAAACCTGGTTAAAGGCTAGGCTTCTTCTATACCTAGCGCGCTGAGCGAGGATGCGATGGCGGCGTGGCTAGATGAGAAGCGTGAGAGGTGTGAACGCGGTACCCGTAATCTGAACCTTGTCAAACCTGAGCCCGGTTTCGACAAGGTGACATATCTGGACTCTCGTGGGGCTACAACCCACAGGGAGCAGAGAAAGGCTAGAGGGTGAAGTGGAGTGAGAGTAGGTGAGACCAAGAGATGAGAGCAGGGAGAGATGGGGTGGTGTAAGAGGGGCGAGGGCAGAGAAGCGCTAAGACGAAAAGCAAGCTCGACCTAGGGCCTCGAGAGAGACACACACCAGAGGCTAGGGCATGTCTTGAGGGCGGGATTGAGACACGGACTCGAGGAAAGAGTGAGTCTCTCCAAGTTGAGCAAGGAAGTTTTCAGATTTCGGGCCACGGGAAGGTTTGACGCAAAAAACGGCATCACTTCCTCGAACCGGACCTGGACTTGGACAAGCATCCGTATCAAAGAGGGGACTGGACTGGACCGGACTGACTGGACTGGACTGGTGAGGCGTCGATGGGCATATCGCAGGGTAGGGTTGAACCCGTGGTCGTTCTTCGTCTCCCCTCCCCTTGTTTTTCCCCCTTGCTCTTTTCTGCCCTTGATTTTTTTTTCACACTCTCTTCAATCGCGGTCTCTTGTTACTTAGAAAACCGGGCTACGGAAAGGTCTTATATAGACGCGGACAGCTCACCTTGTTGTAGGCACAAGGCGACGGCAAGAGGGACACTTTCAGGGCTGCACTATGAGTCGATGCGCACACAGACCACTTGATGCGTTGGCCAACTCATCAGTGCAGGAGGAGAAACTCGGCGGGTGTGTGAGAGGTTTGCCGTTTCCGCTCTTGTCTTTTCTTGTCCCGCCCTTTTTTTTCCCATCTTTTTTCTTTTCTCTTCTTCATGTTATATTTATCCCGTTGTAGAGTACCTTGTTCGTCTTTTGGGGTTCCCATTCTTTCTTGTTGACTTCTTTGGTTGTGTCTAGTGCCCTTTTTGTCTCCAATATTGTCCATCTTGTAAGAAACGAACGATAAAACCTGATCTTGAGCGATCTTGAGCCGAGGCCACAGTCCGTCAACCAAATTAGACTGGGGGTATTGCCATTGATTGTTCTTTTACCCCCTTGTTTGCCCCCACCTTTCCCCAAGATGACGGTGTCTTGGTGGTCCTCTCCGTACTCTTCGTCTTAGCCGCCTTGATCCCTCCCTTTGGCCGGTAGGCCTCGGCGAGTGACAGGTGCATTCTCTACGTGTAGTTTCATACCGCTACTCTCCCGCATTGTATTATGTCGACATGGCAAGGGGAGGCGGGCACCCGAGGTCGGGGGTTTGGCTGATTTATTTTAGGGCACAAGTACAATTACGTGGTAATTAACGAAAGAGGTGTTGCGGTGTGCATCTTCATCTCGCGGGATGGAACCACAGGAGGGGAAGGGGAGGTGTGGGCGTGGGCATGGATGTGGATGTGGATGTTTGCACAAACAAGTCCCAGGTCAGGGCGCGCAAGATTTGATTTTTCATGGCACGGCAGCTTATAAGAAAGACGAAAGTGAGCAAGCATAGGCCCTTTGGCTCTCGGCCCTGGGTGATGGTGAGGGTTGAGGAGGTAAAGATGCTGTGGGTTAACTCGGAGGCGCGGGTGGTGACCGACCGGGCGGCTATGTGGGATGCGTTGGCAGGAGCACCATTACCATTACCACTATCCGTGGGATTGACGGCGCCGCCGAGGGTGTGGGGTGGGGTGAATAGGTCAGTTCGGACGACAAAACAGCCTGGCGTGGGTGGTGACGTTAAGACAGGGTATTGCTACTCATTGGCGCTTTTAAAAGAAAGCCAGGACATGCAGGAAAGAAAGGGGTGGGGAAAATGGGCATCTCTATGAGAGCATGACAAGACGAGAAGGCAAAGATGTCGACCAAGACTCGTTTTTGTCTCCCGAACAGTGGTTCACCTCATCGAGGCAAAGGGGGCAGTGGACAAGGGTGGGGCAGCCTGCCGGAAACGGGGATGAGATGAACAGCAAAGCTGTGAGACGGGGCGGGGAGCGAACCCTTCATCATGAAAAATGGTGGTAACGAGGTTCCCCATGCTGGCTGGTACGGGGAGGTGGTTCGGCCCGTGTGGGCGTGGGCGTGGGCGTGGGCGTGGGTGTGGATCGAATCATCCATGGATCAATGGATGGGTAGATCAACGGGTGCACACAGAGTGACGCGCGTGGTACACGTGAGGAGAGAAAGGGTAATGGGCAGCGGCAAGGGGCATACCCGGACGCACGAGTGGGTAGGAAATCCGGCACTCTGATATTCTTGCCCCCTTGTCCCCCCTCTTACACCCAAGCTTGAGCTGTCGAAACGCTGACAATGGAGAAGTCTGCGAGAAAGACCTATCCTCTATTACCCTCTTGAGAGTTAGGCTTTGGGAGGCATGTCGGGGGGGAGGGTGGGCTATCTATGATTGCTCTAGCATGTTGGAAATTCTGTCCAGGAATGTGTGTGTGTGAAGGCTCTTTTAGATGAGGGTGGATGGGCGCGACGGCTAGGTTGGGAAGGAAAGAGGCAGGTGAGGATGGATTCATCAATTATAGATCTATAGTAGGGGATGCAGGATCTAGCGAACCCCATGGCGACAGTCTTGAGATGGTCGTAGGACGGTTTATAAGCCTGGAACCGTTGCAAATAGAAACAACGGTTGCAAAAAGGGTCATTGGTTACAGCTCACACTAGAAATGAAGAACGGTCGCAGGTTTCAAATATCACTGCAACCGTTCATATCACTGCAACCGCACTACAACCATCCACATATTGCTGCAACCGTTCGTATCGCTGCAACCGTTCGTATCTCTACAACCGTTCACATCTCTGCAACCACACTGCAACCAACCACATATCGATGCAACCGCCTTTCTGATCACCCTTTATATTTCAAAATATGGTCCTTCCTCTCTTGATCGCGATGCCGTAGCTGTAACTCTGTAACTTGTAAAATCGTAGATGTAATAGAGAGAGCTGTAGTTCGAACCGTAGATGAAGCCTGGATTTTTCTATAGTAGAAAAAAAAAAAGAAAAAAAAAAAAAAAAAACGAAGATGAATCCCTCTATATAAGGATGGATATCTGGATAAGAAGATAATAACCCTGATATAGAGATGCAACCTTTGTTTTTTTGCAACCGTTGCAGGGCCTAGAAACCGTCTTGCGACCTTCAAATGATGAACCTTAGGTACTTGAAACCTTTTGCTTTTACAACCGTCGCACGACCGTCGCCTAGGAGTTTTCTAGACCCTGCAGCCCGTACTATGGATGGATCGGATTCTGTGTGGATGCGTGGGTGCGTGGGTGCGTGACTGCAAACATGTGCAAATGCGGGGAAGGAGGGTATGGGGAGGAGGCTTTCCCAAGGGTCATTCATTGATGGTCTCCCTTTTCTCAGTAATAACAAGAAAGGGTCCTTTCCCTAAAGAGCAGCTGACCTGTCTTGGCCCTGAATCGAAGACATCTAATCGTTTATCATCTTTTAGCTCTTTGCTTTCCACCCATGAAACCCATGATAAGGAACCCGGTCGGTTCCTTGGATCCTAGCGCTCTGCTCCAGCTTGATGATGGCGCGGACCCGGGTTGCAGAGGGCACGTCCCGCTTCGGATCCGGTCGCTATGCCGGGCCCATTCGTCACCTCGGGTACTTTTTTAACAGTTAGATAATGGTGATACACTTGCACACGGAGCAGAGAAGGCCCAAGTTGGGCAATAGACCTCCTTCCGCCTTGCTATCGAAGAGGGGTTGTCGGTGGGTGATCCTGAACGCCGATACGGCGCCAGCCTTTCCGGCGTGCGTCTGGTCAAGGAACAACATATGCAGAGAGGTGGTTCAATGTTTTCGGCAATCGAAATATTGGCCGGAGCTCATGCTGAGATCAATCACCGACTGCTCCATATATGACCCGGTGCTCTCGGATCCAATTGAACATAACGAACCCCGCCCCCACCTTTGATCAGCGCGGAACCACCAAAATGCACCCACTGATCTCAGCGACTTCACTGATTACTACTCACATCCCAAATCCCCCAGTTTCCCTAGCGCACCTTACCTTCCATCAATCCAAACGGCAAGCCTCGGCTTTTGCGCCTCTTTTCACACTACTTCCCACTACACCACAACACCACAACACAACCCTCCAGATCCCCAAATTCCGGACCGGCGGATTCCCGGAGCGAACATTGAAACTCGTAGACCCGTACCTTTTCCCCCGGTTTGCTTTTCAAGTCCCCTCCTTTTCCTCTCTCCTTTTTTTCTTCTCTTGTTTCTTCTTGATACTCTCCCTCTTCCGTTAGAGGAATTGGAATTATGAGCCTGCCGCGCACGTCTTGCGGTCTGCTCACGACATTTCGGCGCGCACATTCAGCTTTTTCCGACGTCAGCTTGTTCGGGTCCACGTTGCGATCCCAGGGTATCCAGAGTCGAAAGAGAAACGGCCTCGCGCAACTCGTGTCCGCGACACGAAGCGTTCACAGCATGCCCCAAGACACGGCGAACGGCAGCTGGCTCGGCCACAAGGGCCCCGGAGGGTTCGATCTACGGAGTAAGCTATCCCACCCCCTTCAACCTCCGTAGCAGCCACAGGGCGGTCTCGGTAGGAACAAGAAGGAAAGAGAGAACAAAAGGGCCCCCGTCTCGGCTGACAAGAGGACGCCTGGTGCCCTAGCCGATGTGGTGACGACGCCAACACCGTCCATGCTGGCGGCCGTGCAGTCGTGCACCCTCCTCGACGACGTGTTTCAGGAGAGCTCGACAACGAACGACCTCGAGTCGCATGTGGCTGCATTGGCGGGCAAGGAGGCGGGCCTGTTTGTGCTCTCGGGTACCATGGGGAACCAGTTGGCGCTGCGGGCCCTCCTCACGCAGCCACCGCATGGAGTGCTGTGCGACAAGCGCTCACACATTGTGAATTACGAAGCAGGAGGGTAAGTCTAGCTAGCCAGGACGACAGGCCCATCCCCTCTCCCCGCCCCTTCTTGCGCACTTACGCACTTACGCACTTCTGCACTTACACCCGAGAACCGGGATGAGCTCGTCTGGGTCTTCTATCCGTTCGGAGCTGCTCTATGTCACATCCGAGAGATGATGATGGGCAGGGGGACCGCTATGGCCTCGCATATCTTGTCTCCCCTTTCCTCTGTCTACGCGCTACGCCCATAACCCCTTGTTTTATTTATTTTTCTTACTTTCCCAACTTTGTCCTCTCTACTGACACGGAAATGCAATGAACGGATAGTGTATCGTCGCTAACAGGCGCCATGGTGACGTCGATTCTCCCCGAAAACGGGATCCACCTCACCCTCGAAGAAATTCAAAGGGAGGCCGTGGTCTCGGATGACTTGCACGACTGCCCCACGCGCGTCATCTCGCTAGAGAACACGCTCAACGGGATGATCATGCCTCTGTCGGAGATTAAGCGCATCGCAGCATGGGCGCGGGAGCACGGCATCCACATGCACTGCGACGGCGCGCGGCTGTGGGAGGCGGTGGCGGCCGGGGCAGGCAGCCTGGCCGAGTTCTGCGCCGAGTTCGACACGGTGAGCCTCTGCTTTTCCAAGGGTCTGGGAGCGCCGGTGGGCAGCATGTTGGTGGGACCAGTGGGCGTGCTCAAGACGGCGCGGTGGGTGCGCAAGTCCATCGGCGGAGGGCTCCGGCAGGGCGGGGTGGTGACGGCGGCGGCGAGGGTGGCGGTGGACGAGACCTTTGGCAAGGGTCCCTGGGGCGAGGGGGCCTGCTGGGGCTGTCGCACAAGACGGCCAAGAAGGTGGAGGCGCTGTGGGCGGGCTTCGGGGCGGCTTCGTGCACCCGGTGCACACCAACATGTGCTGGCTGGACCTCGGCGCGGCGGGGTGCTCGGCGGAGAGGTTGGAGGCGCTGGGTAAAGCGGAGGGCCTGCGGCTGATGGGCAACAGACTGGTGATTAGCTACCAGGTGGCGCTGAACGAGGACGAGGTGCTCGCGCGCCTGGAGAGGGTGTTTAGGGCGGCGTTGACGGAGGCGGGGGCCGAGGAGGCCGGTGAGGCCGGTGATGGGGCTGTGAGGGGTTCCATGTACCGGCGATCCGCCAAGGAGTAAGACGTAACGGAAGAAAAAGAATTTACAGGTTACAGGTGGTGGAAAGGCCAAAAGAGGCAAAGGGGAACGGAAAAAAAGAAGAAAAACCAAAGGGCGCGGTCGCGAGACTTGGCCATGTTAAGCCAAGCAAAAGACAACCTGGCCCAGGTGTCATTCTGACGCGCTTCAAAGGTGAGGTCAGGGACGAGGAGCGGATTTAGCAGGTTTCCTCTATTGACGAAGGGGTGTAAGGCGGGCACGCCGCGCAACCAAATCAGTTACCAATCGATACTAGAGCTGCTGCCACTGCCACTGCCACTGCTACTACTCCTACGACCATTCTGGATTACATTCTCTCCATCCTTTTGGGGCTAGCCGGGGAGAATACGCCGAGCGTGGGGATCGCGATGGCGGTGATGACGAGGCATAGATCCATTGTCATCCGTTGTTTTGGCGGGGTAAATGGGCCATTGCTCTGGGGTGGTTAGGAGCGGGATTGAGAGACTCGCGACACCGGATCAGCCACTGATGCGTCTGGTCTGTATTGTAGACATCTAGGATTTTATGGGGAAAAAACAAAAATAAAAGCGCAAATGTTCCGCACTCGCTATTTACTCCCTTCGTTCGCCTTCTCCTGGACTCGAGCTTTTGCCAAAGAACCAGCCAACCCACTGCTTGGGGATGATGTCAGAGGCGCGACGTGCGTCTGGGGAAAATTCACCCTCGGGCTGGAGGCTAGAACCCGGCGGACGGCCCACACCTCCATCCCATCAAGATAGTGGGATCTATGGATCTCATGAATTAATACTTGGAGCTTGTTTGTAGTGCGCTAGGATGCGGCTCACGGCCAGACGTCGGGTGTATATATTGGCAGAGATGGAGATGCACTTGACAGCCCGATAGCGACATCGATCCATGACCCAGCACAAGCCCGTCGCATATATTTAGTGATCGGTCCAATGTAGCACTTCCCTTGGAACGACATGCAGCACTTGAGCGGTGTCAATGTTTCCTCCCTTCCCCAGATCCCGCCTCTCCACACAAAACATTCTCCATGCCTCTGCCGTCGTCATGGCTGCCTTGCGAGGATTAGCGTACTAGGTTATTTGGCCCCAAGCAAAGAAAAGAACCCCCAAAAAGTGGGAAGAAAAAAGAAATGGGGACAAGGTATCTCGCGGGGGCCATGGAAGCTTAATCCTTGTTCGCTTGCTGTCTTGGTAGCTTTTCCCCTCGTGGCAAAAAACCTGGAGGCGGGTTCGGGAAGGGATCGACACTTTTGCTGGCTGTAACCGGGACAAGACGAGACTAGGCTGGCAACGTTGCGGAGGCGGGCTGATTATTACGTCGGTCGGCAGTCTGGGAAATGGAAAAAGGGAAAAAGAAAAAAAGAAGTTGTTGTTGCATCACATCGAATCCATGGATCCATTGGATCTATCCACAGATCCATCAATCGCTGCGGTGCTGACAGTCCAGGCTCGGTACCACCCCGGAAGGATTCCTGCCCATCGTGGATTCCTCGCTCCATACGTATATCCGCTCCATACAAGGAGCACTTGAGGGAAGCGGAGGCGGGGGATAGCTTCCCGGGTCCGCACGGCTGGCGTGTTTTTCGTTTGGCCGGGTTGGGCCCGTCATGCTTGCAGCTTGGGAGAATCTGATCAATATCCGGTAAACGAGGGAGGGGGTCCAGAACGTTGGGGCAAAAGCAGCGTGGAGGACCCTTGGGACCTTGGGAACTTGGGAACTCGGGGACTTGGGAACCTGGCGAGCCGATCCCCAGCTCCATGATCCGAGGGAAGAAGCTTTCCAAGTTTCCAATTCACCAATTCACCAATCGACCGAGGACCTGATCTTGTACTTGTGGAATACATCAATACTTGACGTACATATTGATGTATTCTTCGTGGATATATTGACAACATTGAAATGATATAAACATTGCCGATCCCCAATGCCATTGTCCCTTGACCCGCTCCTCGTCTGGTACGCAATCCCATAAACTCTTTCCTCAAAGACTCGCTTGTGAATCCGAGAGAATCTCGAGATATACACTCGGCCCCAAAGCTTCCTGCAAGGAACACTGCAAGGAGTTCGTTCCCTTCATTCCGCAATTATTTCCACCTCTCTTCCCCTTCTCCGACCACCCCACACAATGGCCACCGTACCGGGATTCCGCCGATTGACGGCGGCCCTCATCGCCGCTACCGCCCCGGTCACCACGCACGCGCTTTACACCGACGGCAACATCACCGTCCCTTGCGACTCGCCCATTTACTGCTATGGCGACCTCCTTCACGAGGTAGAATTGGCGCGGCCATTTTCCGACTCCAAGACTTTTGTCGACATGTAAGTTTTTGGGTTTTTCTTGTTGTCTTTTCGTACCATCCTTTCCTCGCCTTTTCTCGCTCGCCGTCGACTTACACGCCAGTTAGGCCCGGCAAGAAACCCCTCGACGAGATCCTCGCCGCCTTCGAAAAGCTAGAAAAGCCCCTCAAGAACGACACCGCCCTGCAAGATTTCCTCTCCGAATACTTTGCCGAAGCCGGCGGCGAACTCGTCCACGTCGCCCCCGAGGAGCTCGCCACCGACCCGGCCTTCCTCGACGACCTCGACGACGTCGTCATCCGCGAGTTCGTCGGCAAGGTCATCGACATCTGGCCCGACCTCACCCGGTCCTACGTCGGCTCCGGCGAGTGCGACGACTGCCCGGACAGCTTCCTGCCCGTCAACCGCACCTTTGTCGTCGCCGGTGGCCGCTTCCGCGAGCCCTACTACTGGGACTCGTACTGGATCATCGAGGGCCTCTTGCGCACCGGCGGCGACTTTGTCGGCATCTCCAAAAACATCATTGAAAACTTTCTCGACTTTGTCGACCAGTACGGTTTCGTGCCCAACGGCGCCAGGAAGTACTACCTGAACCGCTCCCAGCCCCCTTGCTGTCCCAAATGGTCCGCGCCTATCTCGCCCATACCAACGACACCGACATCCTCGAGAGGGCCATCCCCCTGCTTATCAAGGAGCACGAATTCTTCACCACCAACCGCTCCGTCGAGATTGACGCCGGGAACAACAAGACCTATGTCTTGAACCAGTACGTACTTCCTTTCTCTCTCTCTCTCTCTCTCTCTCTCTCTGTGTGTGTGTCTGTCTCTGTCTCTGTGTCTCTTGCTAACATCAGGCGCCTCGATAGGTACAACGTCGACAACAACCAACCCCGTCCCGAATCCTACCGCGAAGACTACATCACCGCCAACAACCAATCCTACTACGCCAAATCCGGCGAGATCTACCCCAAGTAGAAGAGCTCTCCGACGACGAAAAAGCCCTCGTGTACAAGAACCTCGCCACCGGCGCCGAGAGCGGCTGGGACTACACCAGCCGCTGGATGTCCCGCCCCGCCGACGCCGCCGACGACGTCTACTTCCCCCTCCGCTACCTCAACATCGTCGGCACCGTCCCCGTCGATCTCAACTCCATCCTCTACGGCAACGAGATTGCCATTGCCGAGTTCCTCGAAGCCTCTTCTTCTTCTTCTTCTTCTTCTTCTTCCGACAACGTCACCACCGCCGCTGCCGCCGAATGGCGCGCCAAAGCCGACGCCCGCGCCACCGCCATGTACGCCCTCATGTGGAACGACACCCTCCACAGCTACTTCGACTACAACCTCACCTCCCGCGCCCAAAACACCTTCATCCCCGCCGACGACGACGCCGAGCCCTTCGAGACCGACCCCGCCCCGCCCGGCATGCAAGTCGCCTTCAGCGTCGCCCAATTCTACCCCTTTTGGACCCGCGCCGCCCCCGCCCACCTCCGCGATAATCCCCTCGCCGTCGCCGCCGCCTACGACCGCGTCGCCCGCTACCTCGACCTCCGCGCCGGCGCCACCCCCGCCACCAACTTCCGCACCGGCGAGCAGTGGGATCAGCCCAGCGTCTGGCCCCCTCGTCCACATCCTCCTCGCCGGCCTCCTCAACACCCCCGCCACCTTCTCCGACGAGGACCCGGCCTACCGCTCCACACGCGACCTCGCCCTCGCCCTCGCCCAGCGCTACCTCGATTCTACCTTTGCACCTGGTACGCCACCGGCGGCTCCACCTCCGAGACCCCCGCCTCCCCGGCCTCGACCCCGACGCCAAGGGCGTCATGTTTGAAAAGTACGCCGACAACGCCACTAACCGTGCCGGTGGCGGCGGCGAGTACGAGGTCGTCGAGGGCTTCGGCTGGACAAACGGCGTGCTCATCTGGATCGCCGACACCTTCAAGAACAACCTCACCCGTCCGGACTGCGGCGACATCGAGGCCGCTGACGTTCACCCCGCCGAGCGCCGATGAGGGCACCCCGTCCAGGCTGTGGCCTGGGAGATCGGTCTAGACCGGTCAATGTCGTTCGCTCACCAATGTCGCAACGATGACTTTGTTGTATATGTATATGCATGTATTGTAGATGCCGGAGAGAGTTGGCCATGCTCGAATGACTGTGGCTTTAGTGCCACTTCGCGGTAGACTGGCAAGAGGAGATGACATGATCACGTCACCGTCGCGCGCCGCGGACCTTTCCCTTCCTTATTTTCCTACTAATTATTATGACATGTCCTTAACGCTGCACGAATTCATCCAGTCCTCCAATTTTTTTCTTCACCTTGAACAAGCTATAGTGATTTAATTGATTTGTTTATCGAATTCTCATCTCCTCCCTTTCCTTCGTTCTTAATTCCTCATCAGGTAGTTGGCTACCTCAGCTACCCGAGAGCAACCGAAAAGGAGAAGGAAAAAGATTGTGCTAAGAGTATGGACGCGCGTGAGAAAAACAAGTGCTCAAAGCAGCTACATATAGTAGTAGTAATCCTGATACAGTTTCCATCCTTTCTAGATCGCTCTTTGCCTCCCCATAATTATACATTCAACGTCTTGCCTGAACTGGGAAGAAAAGAAAAAGGGCCAGTGAAAGGAGGGCACAGAAAATCTGCCTTCTTCCCCCACCCTTCCTCTCTTATTCTACCTCCTCCATCGTCCAGACTGTGACTCCCTTCTCTTCCACCATCGACTTGAGCTTGCCGAGCATCGCTTGCTTCTTGGCCCTCTTCTCCATCAGTTCCTTTTTCTCCTCATCTGAGAACCCGCTAAGCTTCTTCCTGGTCGGTGTCCCCTTGTAAGGGGACGCCGAGAGCGAGCTGCGCAGGTTGCGTGGTGTCCCGCTCAGCGCTGCCCCGTCCACTAGCATAACGGAACCCCGTTTAGGCGTCATGGGCGTTCCCTCCCGACTAGCGACGGAGCTGGCCCGGAGTCTCCGCATCTGGTTCTCTAGCACGTCAACGTCCCCGCTCCGCTTTTCCACCATGGTCGTCATCTTGGTGATTGTCCGCATCACCGCGTCCACCGTCGGTGGCTGCGGGCCTTTGCCCGATGCGCCTCCCACCGACGCAATCCTCGTTTTGAGAAGGGTGACGGCCTCTTCCGTCTCGGCCAGCAGCTTCGACAGTCGCGCAAATTCCCGCCGGAGGTCGTTCTGCTGCGCCGCTTGCTCCGCGCTCAACGGCATATGCCGATGCGCCTCGGCCTGATTCGGGTCGAACCTCGCTAACATGAGCCCCAAATCGTGCTGTCTCGCTCGCAGCTTCGTCATGCTGCGTAGGAGGTCGTTGCATTCATTCTTCTTCTCCTCCACATTCTGCACCCGGCCTTCGGCCAGGTCTTCGGCCAGTTCCCCGTCGATGATCTCCGACAAGTCCTCCAGCTCACAAAGGACCCAGTCATCGGCAATCTCCAAGTCCTCCTGCGTCCGAAGTTCCTCGTTCGGCCTCTCCAGGTGTCCCTTCACAAACGCCTTCACAGATCGCGCGTTAAGGCCGAGGGTATCGATCATCGAGTTAATATCACGATAGACCGCCTCTACTTGAGAAGGTATACTATCACGCGCGGGTGGCGCAACATCGGTATGGGCCATGAACTGATCGATCTCGAGGGTCCCTTCCACTTCTGACGATAGGATGCGCTGGATCTCATCCGCCTCCTCGTCGACGAGCGGCTGGGCCTCTTCCGCCTCCCGCTTCTCCCGCAGCTTCCTCTGTTGAAGGAAGATCGCTTCCTCGTCTGCCGAGCCTCGGGCGACAATCGACATACCAAGCGAGGACTGCGGCTTCTTGGAGGCTCCGAGAATCTGGGAGGCCATCCCAGGCGCGCTGACGGACCGGGATGCTTCTAGACCAAACGGTCGCGGGGTCTGACCGGGCTCGGGGAGCGTGGGCTCTGATTCGTCGCCGGCGGTGGGAAGATCGGTCCCCTGCTGCGGCCAATCTCCCCAAAGAGCGATCGCGATGGCTCTTGTTGCTGTTGTTGTTGGTATTGGTGCTGTTGCTGTTGCGAGGGTCGATTGACCATGAATCCACTGCCGCCTAGACCACCCCCGAATGAACTCTGCGGCGTCATGCCAGGGGTATGGCTGAGCCCCGTCGTCGACGGGCTCAGTTCCTTGGCCACGTCTACGGCGCTGCTTTCTGATTCAGCCTCATCCTCGCTCAGGTCGCTCTCCTCGTCCGGTTCCGGGACCGCCGGTACAGCAGGCATCCGTTGGTGCTGAGACCTGGGAAGGAAATCGGGCGGCAACGGCGCCTCGCTGGGTGTGCCGAAGAGTGTAGGCCTAGGCTTGGCCGATTCCGGAACAGGCTTCAAAGGCGTGGTGGATAGGCTTGACGAGGGAGTGGTGTCCGACGCGGCGGTTCCGGATTTGGCGGCTGCGGGAACTTGTAGGAAATCGGGAGGCAGAGGGGCGTCGTCTTCCGCTTTCACAGCTGGGGGTGCCTGCGGGGTCTTGAGGAAATCGGGAGGAAGGGGCGCGTCGTCAGCCTTGCTGCTGGGCAGTGCTTGCTCGGATTCCGGGGCGGTTCCTGCCGATGAAGACGAGTCTCCAAGGGGGTAGGCGGCTCTGCTTGTGGACTCTGGAGGTAGAGGGAAATCCTCGTTGTCAACCCTGATCTGCGGTGGAGTTTTTGCGGCTGACTTATGTTCCTCACCTTTAGCTGGTTCAGGGTCCTGAACAAGCCACCAAATCCTGAATTAGTGGGCTGCGAAGTATTGGTTGAACCAAAGAGTCCGGTACTGGCCTTGGACGTGTCGAAGCTAAACCTAGTAGGCGCCGGGGTTGTCGTTGGGGTCGTGGACGGAATGGAAAATATACTCTTGGGTTGGGGAGTCGGGGGTCTGCTCTGGTTCCGGTGTCGCGGCGCCCATTTCTTCTTCCTTGCTGGGCGGCACCTCGGCCGGTGAGGTGCTTTGAGTCGTCGAGCGCAGGGCAGATCCGAACGCGCTACCTAGACCACCACCAAACAACCCTCCGCTGCTGTTGCCAGCCTTTTCTGGCTGCATGTCAGCTTCATTTTGGGCAGCAGGATCAGGCTTGAACGAGCTCTGGAGCTTGAATGGGGTGGACGAGCCAAAGAGACCAGAGCCACCATTCGCACCCGTCGCCTGGGGAGGCGGAAATGCTGATGCGGTATCGGTTGACTGCAGAAGGCTGTTGTTGCCTTCTGTGGGTTTGCTACCAAATATGCTCGAGCTGTTAGCTGTGCCAGACGAGAGCGACCCGAAACCACCCTTGCTCGCGAAGCCCGCGAAGCCACCGGAAGAAGGGGCTGGTGACGCTGCTGCACCTGGGCTACCTCCGAAGACACTCTTTCCAGACCCTAGAGCCGCGAAGCCAGACTGCCCAAATGAAGGAGTTGTTGTAGACGTGGCGGCGGTAGCCCAAGGCGAGGTTTTGACGCCGACTGTTGACGAAGCCCCAAATGCAGACGGCCGTCCGAAGGCTGGGGTGGAGGATGCTGGGGTGGTACCGAAGGAACTAGACCCGAAGCTTGGCTTCGAAGCGGCAGGCGTAGCGGGGCTAGCCGAGGCCCAAGGCGAAGGCTTGGAACCTAGCGCGGACGATCCTCCAAACGCGGGCGCCGCGCTCGGGGTAGAGGAACCAAAGACTGATCCAGTTGCAGGGCTAGCTCGCGACAAGGCCGTGGGCGCTGCCGCCGTTGGGGCTGGCGTGGCAGGTGAGGCGTCGACTGCTGCCATTCCCGGATACGTAGTACCACCTTTGATGGACTCCGAGTATATTACCCACCAAGAGCAGAGGATACCCTCGTGTGTGAGAACCCAGTATCCGGGAACGGGGCCGGGTGACTCGTCAATTTCCTCGGTAGGAATAGGCTTATACACCGTGTCCTTGGCGGATAGGTCAAGCGCGCAGCCGACGGGAATCGCATTTTGCCAGTCTTCCGTCATCGGCAGGGTTGCCCGCCTTGAGTCGTCCGCCATTTCTGTGGTCGTGAAAACATTGGTGATGAGTGACGCGGCCTTGTCAGTCGTTAGGGAGTTTTGGACCTGCTGAGCAGACCAATGTCGGAAGACGCCGTGGACGCGATGATGAGCAAGTCTTGAAGATTTGGCGGGAAGTCTTTTAACCTCATAATTGCGAGGTGCGGAACCTTTTCGGCGCCAAACGGGTCAACCGGATCGGTGAGTTTCTGGAAAGTAAAGGACGTGGGCGGGCGTCTGGTTATGAGGTGATAGACCGACGAGGGCGGCGATTCGTTTGTCGACGTATGGACTGCTAGGAAAAGGTGGTTCTCGAGCCACGCAACTGTAGAAACTGTTCTCATTTGTCAATAGGAGTTCTCACACGAGACTGTGGGGTGGGGATGCTTTGGGTGGAGAATGAGCCTACCATGGTAATCGCCAACATCGGAAGGCTTAGGTATTTGCGCCTTGGCCTCGCCTTCAGGTGTCATCTGAAAAATGGTTCCATCCGCCAGTCCTGCCACGAGCTGTTTGCCCTTTGTGCTCCAGCTGACGCTGCTGACTTGGGACTTGAGAGGGTTACTGAGAATTCGCTCCTTGAGGTTCGCCATATAGAGATCTCCATTGGCGTCAACGACAGCACAAAGTTCTGCCTTCTCAACCGTAGGATTCGGCAGAAGGACCCGCAAAGATGACCCGTTTGTGCCAAGCTCGAAGAGGGTTTGTGTGTTTCCCTGCAGAAGGGACTGCACATCATAGACCGCAAGGCCGCCGCCGGATTCGGCCGAAATAATCAAATGTGCTTCATCAGCGCTAAATGCGAGCTGAGAAACACGCATAGGCAGCGGTATATTAAGTTGCGGGTTGAAGCTCCTGATGTCAGAATCGCCGTCTTTGGGAGCTTCAAAAGCTTTTCGTACCGAGTCGGTCGACGCAAGTATCACGCCGTCGGGGCCGGCCGCAGCCACGAGACCTTTTCGCGAAGCGATACTGAGGAGTGATGCGGTGGCAGGCGGCTCAGACGTCCAAGCTGAGGTCAGGCGAACCTTGGCGTCTCCGGCAAGAGCACGGAAACCGAGAGACTGTTGCTTGTTAGAAACAATGGTTAAATCACTACAGCGGTGGGAAAGTCAAAAGTATCAAACAATCAAGATAGTAACAAGACAACAAAGGAGGGGTTTGCTAGCACACGCGATGCACATACGTCTGTCTGAATGACTTCGAGCTCAGGCTCTGCAGCCGACGGCGAGTCGTTGGTCATCGCGCCAGCGGCGTTGCCAAAGCTAAAAGCCATGGCGAAGTATTAGGTATGAGGCACGCGCCTGGAATTGTATCGCTCCCGCTATGGGGCGATTCTCATCGAAGGATTGCTGTCGAATAGTGGGTGATGGGGCAACGGGCGTCGCGCGGCTGGTTCAAGACCGAGGTGGTGATGTTTGCACAAGCGATGGCGAGGGCGCCAGCGGCGCTGGTAGGCGAAGATTAAACTACTGGTGAGGTCGCAGCTTTCCAACCAGACCTAGGATATGAAGATCAGCTCGATATACGCGTGGTAGGTCGTGTATTTTTGAGTTTTGCGAAAGATACAGGTGGGCTGCCTTGCCTGCCTGATATCTCGTCGACAAGCTTCTTACTTTGGCAGGGACGTCTACAAAATATTAATCGAGCTCCCGGTCCACGCATGGAAATCCTAGGCTGGGCATTGGCAGATACCGCCTGTTCACGTGACCAGACCCACTTGCCTTCCCCAGTACAGGACTCACTGACTGGAGCTTTAGGTAGAAGATCACAGAACGTCAACTCCTTGTTTCCATTCTATTCAGTAGAGATTTCCATATAAACATGCCCCAATATAATCTGAGATGTATAAATTGAGCCAATTGAAGTATCATCTCACATTCAGGAATCTCAAGAAGTTGTAGTATAAGACGACCAAGATCATCAGTGGCGTTCCTTCAGATTTGGTTGAGTCAGCAATCATGTGAGAAGCTTGGGCCACACGTGGCTGGTGTTCCAGCAACAGCTTTCTCAAGCGGTCGCGCGTCTTGGGTGCCTTGCATTTGCTGAGACCGCCTGAGAAGGCAGCTCTGAGCCTCGTCATCTGGATTTCTAGCTACCTTGACCAAACAACACCTGCGACCGACCAAGCCCATTCCATCAACCACGACTCTATTCCTCGTCCCATATCACGACTCGAGAGCTGCGGACACACGATTGTTCTTAACCGGTGCGCCTTGAACCGATCTTACCGCTCCACCGCCTCGACCTCGACCCCTAGAACTTTCCATCGCCATCCCTCGGGGAGTTCGCCAAGATGCCCGGTTTTGACTTCACAAACTATAACCGTAACTCGGCCCTACACGCCCGCGGCGTCCCCCTTCCCAAGGCAACTAGCACTGGTACAACCATCGTAGGATGTATCTTTGATGGAGGCGTGGTGGTATGTCGCTCCCTAGGCTCCTCCGCGAGACTCCAATCACACACAATCCCTCTCCCCTTCGAAAGTCCCGTCCGTACTCCGCGCAAAACTAACTCTCACCCCCTCTTGTCTAGATTGCGGCAGACACAAGGGCTACCAGCGGGCCTATAGTAGCGGACAAGAACTGCGAGAAGCTTCACTACATTGCCCCCAGATCTGGTGCGCGGGTGCCGGAACGGCCGCCGATACCGAGTTTACCACCGCCATCATCTCCTCTAATCTTGAGTTGCACTCCCTATCGACCGGCCGCCAGCCCCGTGTCGTCACCTGCATGACTTTGCTCAAGCAGCACCTGTTCCGGTACCAGGGCCATATCGGTGCTTACCTCGTCGTCGCTGGCGTCGACCCCACCGGCACCCATCTCTTCACCGTTCATGCCCACGGCAGCACCGACAAGCTCCCCTATGTCACCATGGGCTCTGGATCCCTCGCCGCCATGTCCGTTTTCGAGACCCAATGGAAGCCCGACCTGACCCGTGACGAGGCGGTGGAGCTGTGCAGCCAAGCCATTCTTTCTGGTATCTTCAACGATCTAGGTTCCGGCTCCAACGTCGATGTAGCCATCATAACCAAGGACAAGACGACCCTCAAGCGTGGCTACGTCAAGCCCAACGAAAGGACCGCTAAGACTCAGAGTTACAAGTTCCCCAAGGGCACTACTGCTGTGCTGAATGAAAAGGTCATCCGAAAGGGTGATATCGGCCGGTATGTTGATATCCAGGACGTGCCGCTCGAGGGCGAGACCATGGACGTGGATTCTTGAGTGCGGAGCGGGGGCGGTCATCAGGGGTACAACCACGGTTCATGAGGTGTGGGACAACGAAGGGTCTATTCTTGTAACAACACTTAAGTACAGCAATAGATGTGGGCTGCTATTTCTGCCATGCGCGTCCAGTTGTTCTCGTGGCTTGTAATGGGAACCATGCTAATTAGAGGCCCGTAAAAATCGAACGGCCATTGAGTGAATGGGGAAATCGGGAAAGAAACTATCCAACGCGTTCCCTGAGCTTAGGCCTCTCATATACCATAAACAGGGTAGTGTTAGAAATCTTGGTGATAGTGTAGATGTGGGAATTTTTACAAGCTTCCGTCTCGAATTACAAGGCCTACAAGGCCTACAAAGTACACATGATGATCAAGGATCCCATATAACGGCACCAGGAGAGAGAAAGAGATGGCGTCACGTTTGTGAGAAGATATCATGTGATACAAGGGAATCGCAGAAAGTATTTGCGAGTGAGAATTAAACGCCAAGAGGATGAGGCAGAGAATGGCGGTGGCCCGACTGCCGCTGTGCTCGAGTTCTAAAATACATATGAAGACGGCCCCTGTCTGCTTGAAAACTCCGAAGTATGCCCTGAGCAAGAAAGAAAGCAAGGGGAGAATGGAAAAGAAAATGACAAGAAATTAAGGCTAATCGCTTGGAATGCGTATGAATGGTCATTATGGTCATGGCGAAGGCGAATAACGGGAGGCGAGGAAGGGGAATGGGAGGAGGGTAAGAGGAGAGACGTGTGCTAAAGACTAGGACGTAGACTTGAGGCGGAATAAAGTCCGAGTCCGAGATTTGCTCCGGGCTTTAAGCGACTTAGTTTCCGCCTTGGAGTCTTTGTCCTCTTCATCGTTGTACTTTGCTTTATGAATCCTGGTGACAGAATGTTAGTCGCTGTTAAGCTTGCGCTGGTCAAAGCACAAAAAGGCAAAGGACTCGAAACATACCAGCTGTTGCCGACTAGGTTTACACCTTTTGCCTCGGCCATTCGGTAGAATTTGGCGCTCTTTTTCAGGTCCTTTTTGCATCCGATTCCCTCGGCATAGCAGCGAGCAGCTTCTTGGAGTGCGTCAACATCTCCCCATGCTATTCATCGGTTAGCCAACAAGCTTCAACAGATTCCAGCATCCCGTATATGAGTCGAGAGAAACCCCGTGGGCAAGGAAAAAGGGCGGAAAACTTACTCCCGGCTATTTCAAAGCATCGAAGGGCGAGTGCGCGATCTTGCTCAATACCCCAGCCGTTCATATGGCACATGCCGAGCTCATAAATGCTCAGCGCAAACTGCGCTTTCCTGGTCCGCCTTTCGAGCACATCAACGTGTTTCCCTTCCTTCGCCTGGCCCTCGTCATCCGCAATTTCTAGGCTAGCAGACTCGGCTGCTTTGCGTAGCCACTGAATACCTTCCTTCTCATTTTTCTTCATGCCCCAGCCGTGACGGCAAGCAAGGGCATACAAAAGCATAGCGGTGGGATGGCTTTGCTTGGCGGCAAGACGAAGGTGATATGTCGATTCGTTAAGCGAGCCATTCTCATGGCACTCAATGCCCTTTGCGAGATGTTCCTCGGCCGTCATTTCGGATGCCGAAGGGATGCTACCAAGGGGGATTTATTAGGCGTGATCGTGCTCGCCGAGTCATTCGTGGAGATGGATAAAGCAGTAGGTCCTCGTATTTGGTCATGGATGGGGGATGTAAGGGCTCGGCCGCGCGGGGCATCCTCCGAAGAGCGACCTTCTTCGGTTGACGGCCGGCTAGGGTTAGGAGACGGCTGTGGAGCAGGGCCAACCGTCGTGGGCTGATCTAGAGATGGCCCTCTGGTGCCGTAGGCTCCCGTATCACCCTTGCCCGAAGGGCTTGAGGACCGAATCGGCGGGGAGGGTGGTGCGCCAGGGATAGTGCCTGATACATTGGTTCTCTGTGCAGCAGGCTGGTCCCAAGTGAAATATTCCTGCTTCTGAAGGGTCGAGATACTCAACCGTTCAGCAGCCTTGTTCTTTGGGATCGTGAACTTGGAATAGATATACGATGACCCCGTCTTGTCCTCCCCGCCATCAAACGTGTCGCCGCGAAGGCTAGGCGATGTACCGACACCCTCGTCTTGTAAAGCTGATGCCGAGTAAGTATCGAGGGAGGGCTTCCTAAGGGCAGAAAAATCAAGACCTGGCGTGCCGGCCCGACTAAGGGGCCGCGAGAAATTGAAAGACGGCCGCGGAAGAGGCATTGATCGCTCGGAGGCTATTGAAGGCGACCTCTGGGCGTGGGAGAAAGAAGGGGAATTAGCAGCGCTGCCACCAGACAACTTCCTAGGAGGCAGAGAGTGGAAGGAGCTAGACATCCCTTCCTCATCCGTGCGATCTAAAGGAGACGATGCCACACTTGATGGGCGTTTATGAAATTGAGGTCGCGGAGGGGCAAGCCCAAGAGAATCAAACCCCATTCCATTCTTCAACGCGCGCTCCGGAGAAGGGACACTGTAGAAAGACTTGTTCTCCATGGGGAGAGCGGGGCTGGACCAGGTCGCACTGGTGATGCTGAGAAACGTTCCTCTAGGGGCGACTCCATCGGGGCTGGTGATTCCACACGCTGGGCACCAAACGCAGATAATCCCGTGTCGGTATCGCCTATATCTAAGCCACGACTAGTCTGGCGGTCGAGCGATGGTACAGGAATATCATTGCAAGGGGTTGGTGGAATACGACTCATGCGGGGGTGCATGGAGACGGGTCTCTTATCCTCGGAAAAGGCATCCTGAACCTCGGTCCGCAGACCAAATGCGTCGCTGATATTCTCAGACTGGGAGCTTTGGTCGGATGTCGCAGAATCTTGTGACATGGAACGGAAATAATCAGACCGGGCTTGCACAACAAGCGGGCTTTCGGTGGTCAGAGGCGGCAATCTGCTCATTCGCCGGCCACCCCTGTTTTGCGACTCTTCCAGTTGCTTCGCCAACAACCGGCTCTGCAAGGCGAATGCATCCAAAGGAGAGAGCTCCGGCGGTGCTTCTCCAGCAACATGAAGCCTCGGTGATCGAAGAGGAGGGCGTGAAGATGTTCGTGAGGTCGCCCGTAGGTCGAGATTTGCTGGAGGGGTCACCATGGCGACAACTGCCAAGTGATGGAAATATCAAGGGGAAGGCAAAAGAAAAGAGAAAGATTATCGTGAGAGCAAGAAGTGCTTTACCAACACTTCTGGCCAGATGGGTGTCGCTAGCCTCGTCCTTTCAAATGGACCCAGGACACCCGTGGTATGGTAGGAGACAACTGCAAGGCCGGATCCAAATCAAGGTTTAGATGTCAGTGACAAATGGAGCAATGCTATCGGCTTTGCATACACTATGTCGTCAGTCTCTGGCGAAACCTGACCCGCGGTCAGAGAAATGGTTCTTGGCAATAAATGAGGCCGGTGTGGCTGAATTACAGGATTTGGTGTGTTCTCCCTATCTGCTCAGGCGGTTGATCAGTGGGCGCATGAAAGGATCGGTTCGAGTCAAACCCATAGAGGCGGCAGTAACGAGAAGGCGGGAGAATGCGAAAGTGAGGTGGGTGCCGGATCGACGAGACGACCCGTGAAGCGAACGAATGTTTGCGGGTAGAGATGATGTCGGCCTAATGGGTGGTGTGTTTTTTCTGGAGCTTGACCCGCGGAGTCCTCAATGAGATCAAGATTCGGGATCACGGTGATGGAGTGCGAAGGGCGCTGTTCGTGGAGAAGAGGGAGAGGGGACGTTTTTATTGTTTCTCTCGCGTTTGTCGACGGATGGGTTAGGCGAGACAACAACGAATGTCTACTCGTGTCGAAAATGACGAGAGAGGGAGGGTTCGAGATGGAGGGGTGGATATGCAGAATGCGGAAGGCGGCTTTTGCGGTCCCCGCCACGCGGATGCAGGTCGAGAACAAAGTCGTGGTGCCAGACGAGGTTCCTCAATCCTTTGAAGTGGGCGTGACGATCAAAAATCGAGAGAGGAGAAAGAGAGGGAGAGGCGAAAGAAAGGAAACGGACGACGATGAACCGAATGCGCTGGTACTCTGCACACTATAATACTCTGGAATGTGCAACAAAGCAGTAAGTGGGCACATTGATGAGATGAAGTTGGGTTTAGTGCACCGCGGGACCATCCAGTGCAGTGCAAGGGAGGCAAGGTTCGTTTGGGCATGCCTCCGCATCTGTTGGCCTAGTCCGGCCAAGGGGCCAATTAAAGCCACTGGGCCGCAGCCAGTGGATTCTCAGGGAGCTAAGAATCTTATTATTGGCAACAAGTCGACACCAGTTCCCACCACACCGATGCTGCACACGATGGAGCAAAAGGGGTAAGGGTGCAGACCGGGGCAGGCTAGCCGGGTAGGACAAGGTACCAGTACATGCACCAATGCTGGAATCACTGAAATGAGAAGTAGCTTTGGAGCTTTACAAGCAAGTTGATCCCATGCCTCGAAGAACCAGTACCTCCACACCTGTTGCGCCCCCTGGACAAAGCAAGGAAGTTTTGCTCTCCTGAGTTCCAGAACCACCACAGTGCGTTTTGTGAAGGAAACTGTAGGGCGCCCTCCCAGTGTATGTACCGCCGTTTCTGCACATCAAATGTACCCCGTATTCCACCCCCAGGATTATCCTCCTAGCCAGGGCCAGGGAACAGACGGCGAGCACTGGCTCCGTCGAATGCATTGCGAGGTAATAACATTGTGAATTTTTCATTTCTACATCTGTGTAGGAATGGCCAATCGCCCTTGGACATCATGCCTCCCCTCTTCGCCACATAATTGGTAGACAATGAGAAGGCTCGCTGCTATTAGTGAGACCAGTCGACAGGACGTTCTCAGCCCCGTTTTCCAGGTTCACTCAAGGGAAACATGAAGGACAAGCACGAGGAAGAAGAAGGAAAGGGAAAAGATGCGACTGATGGCATCAAAAAGCAATATCAATCCCATGCAGCACATCTAAAGGAAACACTTTGGCATTCTTGGTTCAGCCATATCATTGATGAAAGACGATGAAATCTCAAGCACATTGCAGCCACCGCCCATTTCCTATCCGAATCAGAAATCTTGGGGGAGAATACAATTTGATCATTGACCGTGCTCGTTCCAAGTAGCCTCGTCACTGCCATAATATTTTGAAAAAGCGCATAATAACCCTCCACCAAAACTAAAATTGCCCAAGAGGAGAAGGTCCGATGCTTGGATTATTGGGGTGAGGTGTAATAGTGTGTACACTTGTTGGAGATGGGATGAAGGCACCCTTGCAGAAACCCGTAACTATAACGGTCGGACCAGTGAATCAACTAGGCCGGTGCGAGGGAAGTGGATGCAATCTTGCAGGCCCGAAATACTCCTGCCAAGCGACATTTCTTCTCAAAATCGAAGCGCTCGACACGAATAGTGGAGCTCGCACCTGCTCAAAAGAAAAGGGCCCTCTTGCCCCGGGTTCGTCTCCGGTAGCGCGACAGCGACGGTCCTTTAGCGGGGATGAGGAGCCGAGGGCGTGAGACATGTGCCGGAAGTCCCTGTCTTTGATGGGTGGTCAAGGGCCGTTCTTCCCTTCAGAACCAAGCCACTCTCGCTGGCACATGTACCACTTCTTGATTGATGGCTTGACTCGAGCTCGTCCTGTCAGTCCGTTCTCTCTCGGCTCACCGAGCTTAAGATCTATTTCATCATAGGGCCGGAGACAGGAAGTCGCAGATAGAATCAGGTTTCCGTTTGCGTCTCGTCTCCGCCCCCCTTTTGTTTACGAGCAACCCGTCAACGTTGGTGCGAATTGATGGGTAGCAACGAATTGGGTTGTGAAATTGGCTATTGGGAATGTTCCGTCCAGTCGCGAGCAGGCCTGGTCAATGCATCAAACCGAATGAATTTGCGGTGCACCAGATCGATTCGACGGTAATACTTCGTGCAGGAAGAGGAGATGAGCGCTCAAAAAGCAAGCGGGAACCTGGGTGTTCAGGGGTAGAAGGCACCGACCTGCGAGTGGCGCTCCAGCACGACGAAGCCTTGGAGGTCCTCGACAACTGACTTGTTGCTGCATGGTCACATGGCCCACGAATTATCATCGATTGTGGATGGATCAAATATTACTGGACCCAGCACGAAGGCAACGTTGATACCCTAGTGGGGGCCTGCTCTCGCTAACGAGCCTGCGAGCCTCCCGTCACGCATGGCGCAGGTACCAATTCGGCCGTCATTCTATTACCCCTGACAGGACGGCTAGAGCTACTTTGGGCGGGCTCCTCATAATACTCAACGCTTCGCACTTGTCGAGGCGAGATGCAAGTGCACGCGCACGCTTGCTCAATGTCGGCATGGGCGTGTCCTGAAGACGGAGATACTTGTAGTACTTTCACCAACAACATCCCTGTTCAAAAGATCACTTGCAAGGAGGAGAAAACAAAGAGAGCCTGGCACTGGCAAGCACTGAGAGCATTCGGAGATGAGATTACACGACAATTCTCTCGCTAGCACCGAAAAGACCACTATCGTTGCATCAGAGTTCGTGTCGAGCATCAACACATCATTCGTCAAAACACACGGTTTTTCTTGCTGGCAGTCTTCCCTCCGTACATGTGTCATCTCGATCTGGAAGCGATCGTTTTCTTCACGTGGGGCCCAAGCCGCTTGAATCCAGGTTCATTATTAACTCCATTCATTCTCCCTTCTTTTTTTTTTTTTCTTGGGAGGGACCCGCAAGAGAAACCATCTCGATCAATGATTAGGTTCTCAAACAACCTGAGACTCCCTTGTGGAGAGTTATCGCATTCGCGCACCCCCGCATGAGAAAGAACAAGTCCCTTTGCAGTCGACAATCGATATCCATGGATCCATAGATATGTGGCGCCCTTGCGCGTCACCTCCTCCCGCTTCCTTTGTGGGGAGCTCCCCTTGCTAAGCCATCGGGCAAGAAGGGGGCGCCGTAGACTGTTTCAAAGGCTAAGCTCGCTCAGCACGTAATACATTGATCTATGGATGCAGAGTCGCTTTTGCCCACAAAGACCTCTGCGAGGAGCACATTGGTAATATCTACGAAACGCAAACATGACAGTAGATTCTACCTAAACGGGCAGCTATCAGCTGTTTTCCCATTGTGTTGTGCACAATTTAATGTTCCCATTGAAGGCCCAAGAGCCGATCTGCCCATTCAACCTCTTGATGCCTATGCTCAAATCACCACATGTGCACAGCCGTGGGGGTATGGTGGGAGAACCTCTCTTAGGGAATGCGATGAATATACCGCATTTTTGGAGGCAAACTCCTATAGTCGGTACATGCAGTATTAGTAGTAAAGCTTGATGGGCCATCTCGTCATATTATTCTTTCCTAGGATTCGAATCCACCAGACGTGAGAGGACTTCTCGAAGCCCGCTCCTTCGACCTCGATACTCTTTTCTGTATCGTCTAGCTTCAGAAAAGAACTTGGCCCTAAAACAATGTCTAAGCTCGGGAATTTAACATCAGATACGGCCCGGTGAATAACCAAGTCCAGGGGCCATCTGTTCTTCCGTTTACTTTATATCTGACACTCCACAACCAGGTATGATCCAAGTATGTGCCAGGACCGGACATTAAGGGTATTAAACCCACAGAATGCCCCAGCAACGATGGGTGAAACAGCACAATGTGAACGAGTCATCCGCTGATTTTTTTCTTCAACTCTTGATCAGCAAGGCACTCGACTGTATCAGAAACCGGCGCCTCAACGAACATCACAATCTCGGGAGATCCTACAGGGAGGATCATCATGACGGGATGAGTCTTCGACAAGGCCAATACCACTCGGCACACCTTTGTTGTAAGGGTGGCACGCTATTGATTTACCAAAGAAGGAGAACACTCATTTTAAGCAAAATCCCAAAGAAGAAAACAATAACCATATAAACTCCATATGCCAATGCAAACAGACACTCCAATATACACGAGATAACCCCGTCGCCGGTGTCGGAAACGTGAAGCATACCCACAGCATTGAACAAGCGAGCCTGACGTTACTGGGCTTCGTGTTCATCCGATGACGGGGTGAACCAGGATTTTTTCCCCTCCTTCTCCCCTTTTAGTTGTCCTTGGCTCGTAGCTTCTTAAGCCTGGTGGTTCCCTCGAAAAGGCCCCGGTCAACTGCAGCAGCGACGGTAAGGGTACCGCCGATGACAGCGCACAAGCCGGTAAGGAAACCAGTAAAAGACTTGGACGGCTGCTCACGGTTGATGACCTTCATGGGCGAAATATCCTACATAGTCCAACGTTAGCAAATGAATCTAGAGCTCCTTTTCCCTGTCCTCTCTCGTCTTCCTCCGCGCACTCCGTATACCTCTTGGCCTGCTGGTTGATCCGCAGGTAAAAGGGTGGGTTTTGATTGTAGAACTTACATATGAGAAAAAGACACCAGGAATTCCACCCTTGGCGTGGAACTTTTCCGCATGATCTTCGTCATTGCCTCCGCTCAGGCTGCGCTTATGAATGGTAACTGAGTACTGATGCGTTTCGACACTGCCATCGCCGGCAGCGCCCAAAGCGCCAAGGTCGGCACGATCCTCGTCGATGATGCGGCGGACCTTCTTCTCCCACCCAAGCGGAAGGTAAGAGGTAGGGACGATCTTGACAAAGTACATAAAGTTGAAATTCGGGTCGGTCGTCACCTGCTTGGTGCCGTCGAGGGGGTTGAAGTGGTGGTTGACCCACGGCAAGCTACTGGATCCAAGCCTAGCGGTGACATCGGCAGGAAGCTGGGGGCCGAACCGAAGAGAGTGGATGGTATGGCTGAAGTCGTGCTTGACGTTCTTCTTGCCTGGCTCCCAGTAGCTCTTGAGATCGTGCACGTGGTGGTTTCCACTGCTAAAGCTTCGGCCGGGCGCCAGGTGGAAGTTTCCAACAACCTTGTTCACCCGGAGGCTGCCCTCAATGCGGCAGCCCTCAGCCTTTTGTTCCTCGAGCTTCTCCGAATAGTGTTCACGCTCGCACTGTTCGATGCGTTCGCCGCTTCCGAAAGCCCATCCGGAGCGGACGTAGGCATCTCGAACTTCCTCGCAGGTGTTGCAGCAGCCTTGCTTTTGGGCGTTAGGCGGGGGTCAGCACCGTAACAGGTACCGCAGTAGTCGGGAGCAAGATGGACGGCGACGTCTTTTTCTTCACGCCTAGGGAGGAGAGAGAGCGTAAGTAGGGAGCACTATTGACGTGTCTGCCGCAGCGGTGCGCGAAGCCGGGACGAAACCCCAGACTTACAGGTTCAGGGCCTTGATATCAATCACACCACCACCCTCTGCCGAAGGCTTTAGGCGCAGTTTGTTGATACCGTGCATGATGCCGTGCTGCTGTTCACCAGAGACGTCCATCACATCAAGTGTTAGAAGCTCGCACGGCACATGAGGGAATGTGACGTTGAGGTGAATCTCCATGCGCTCGCCTATCAATCAAGTCAGATAAGCCCGCAAACCTTCAAATGTCAGTGATTCTAGGTGTCTTACCTCTGCCCTTGTCCACAATGAGCTCCGGGTGGATGACCACAGTGCGGTAGTCGCTCCACTCTCCCCAGGCAAGGTAAAGAACAACGAGGAGCGACACTATGGTGACAATGCCGCCCGATGTGGTTCTCACCCTGGCCTCATCGACAGTCTTTGTGAAGGCATCGAGCCTCGTGAAGCGCGACTTTGGCGCCATCGTCTCCGGGGGCGAGGCAGGATCTAAGGGAGAGAAATCGGGCCCTCGAGGGTCTGAGGTGCGACGACGAGGTGGTGCGGATGCTGTAATTCAGTGCAACGTAGATGAAAAGAGACGCCGATGTGTACAATGAACAAGAAATACACCAGGAAAAATCGGGGCCACCAATACAAGTTTTTTTCTGGCGCCGATATACGTCCTCAATTGCTCGTGGATGGTTCACGGGAGTGGGAGCGTCGAGGGCTGAAGGGAGCCAGCAGTCGGAAATTTGAGGCCAGAATTCGCTTTGAACACTTTACAGATAAGGCTGGAGAGCTTCGCCCGGTCTCAGGGACACGTCTATGCTTGAGTTCCTGGTCGGTACATGCGCCAATCCAATCGATTGATTGACCCATCAGCTCAAACCAATGGACTCGTCATGCCCCGTCAGAGCATAGCAGCGCTGATTGGGTTATCGGCAAATCCTCGTTTCAGGGCGAAGCTAAGCTTCCCAGGCCCAAGGCTACATGACCAGGGGAAGGGTTAGTGCGCTCCAATTGGTCCACTGCCCTCACACATTGCATTCTCTTCAACCCACCTCATTGCTCCCAAGGCTCCGAGAAATGTATAGCTCTCGCAACCCATCCCACCTCTCATAGGTTGCAAGCGGCCTTCTCTTTTCCTCATTGCCCTCTCCTCATCCCGAAAGCCAATTGAAGAACAGCATCCTTCCGCATTGCATAGTCTCATTCTACCACTATATCTCAGTGACTCCAGATACCTTTCGTCGTGACTGGTCATCAACGTTTCAATCCAGGCGCAACTGAACCTTGCCGTGAATCTTGCTGCTCACCAACAGTTTCAAAGCTCTCGTGCCCGCCATGTCAACCAAACCCCCTCTCGAGTTGTATTCGTCGGCAACATTCCGTATGGTAGGCTATTTTACCTACCAAACCATCCCTTCTAGATATCGCTTCTGACTCCGTCCCAGATCTTTCCGAGGAGCAAATCATCGAGATATTCAGCAGCGCGGGAAAGGTGCTGAACTTCCGCCTAGTCTACGATCGTGAGACGGGCCGGCCTAAAGGGTTTGGATTTGCGGAATACCCCGATGCAGGTACGATCTTTCAATGCACATGGCTTCCCCTCTTCGCCCTTGCTGTCCAGTATATCCTGACATCCCTGCTCATAGATTCCGCATCCTCTGCCGTCCGGAACCTCCACAACTATGAGATCAAGGGCCGTCGGTTAAGAGTAGACTTCTCCAATGAAGGAGGTGCCGATGAAGAAGATGGTGATAATGTAGGAGATCAGCATGACTTTGAAATAAGCCTAAGGACCCAGACCTAATGTGTTGACCTATAGTCCGCCGGCGCTCCTGCCAACCCGTCCTACCAAGCCAATGGCATGGGTGGTCCATCGTCGCAGTCTCAGGGCACCCTTCCCCCTCCCTGCTGGCAAAGAACTCCCTCCGGGAGTCACGTGTACCGATGCGATATCACGAACTCTCAACACGCTACCGCCAGCGCAGCTTCTCGATATTCTCACCCAGATGAAGGTCCTCGCAACGAACGAACCGAACCGTGCTACAGAGCTCCTCCAGCAAGCGCCGCAACTAGCATACGCCGTTTTCCAGGCCCTTCTACTCATGAACTTGGTCTCCCCAGAGGCCATCTCTTCCGTTATCGACGCGGGCGCCGCTCCTCCCATGCCTCCTCAGCAGACACCTCTCGCCTATCCTCCTCAGCCCGTAGCTGTGGGCGGCTATCCAGGCGTAGCGGGCGCTCCTCTCGCGACCAATACCCCACCGGTTGCTACTAACCCATACGCGCCACCTCAACCTGCGGCGCAACCTGCGTATGGAGCACCAGCGCCTGTCGCGGCCCCTCCTGGTCAAGATTCCGAAGCCCTGATGCGCGCCGTGATGGAGCTTCCCAAGCCACAATTGATGCCCTTCCCGAAGCCGAGAGGGCACAGATCCTTGCGCTCCGAGCAGGCTTCATGTCACAGCGCCGCTAGCGGACACGTTGAGCTTCGCTAGACACCCAATACCCTCAGGATAGCACTTGAACATTGCAGTTTATCGGTGGGCCAGAATGCGTTGGGCCCTACCTGGGAAGAGGTAGAACGCTCTCTCGGTGGTGGCGTGTGAATGGAAACTCCAAAGATACCCAGCTAGACACGAAATGGAAAAAATGTTATTGTGTGATGCAACTCATTTGCCGTCAATCGTTTGTGCTGATATCTCGTCGATGCCCTCTATCAACGCCGCTACCGAATTCTTGAGAGGCCACCAGTCTTCCCCAGCTTACCATCAACAGTCCGGTCCAGGAAATCAATCACATCAAGCATGGTCATTTGCTTCAGCAGCGCGGTCCGCTCGCGTTTGTCCAGGAGTGCGGCCTTATTCTCACCCGGCCCTGGTCCACACATCTCGCCAAGATGATGGTGAACAAGGCGCAGCGGTAGCGGGCTTGCCACCACGTTGCGCATGAAGGACGCTACAACCTTCCAAGAACATGTGTCATGGCCAGCATACAAGGCGGGGTTCATAAGGATCGCCCGCGCAGACATAACACCGCGGATGCCAGTTCCGGCCGGCGTGGGAACGTCATCATCAGCATGCTTTTCGAGGGTGGGGATTGGAATAGAACTGAGGGTAAAGACATCGCCGGAGAGGATGAGAGGGATTTTGTGGCCGAATTCGGAGGCAAGAAAGCGGAGAGCGTCGGTATCGATGGGGATGTTGGATGGCGTTCGTCTCGTCCGAGGATGGATGGTGATGAAATCGACGAGGGGTTCTTGGAGATCGCCAATAACTGTGTTTATGAAGTCGACAGTTTTTCTGGTGCCAACTAGTCATTAGCCTATCTTAGCTACCGCACGGAGTTCTGCATGAAACCGCATGGATGCAAGTGTAAAGAGTTATTATACCTCAAGTCCTTATGGATCCTAATCTTGACGCTCAAGCTTCTTCCCCGCGAGCTTTCCTTGTCTCGCACCCACCCATCCCTTTGCATCACCCCTCTCGTCTCCACAAGCATATCTCTCACGAGCTCCCTATTCTCCATGAGAGCGGCGCCGAGGTTGGCGGCGCACGCCCAAGTCTGGGGGCACCCGCAGTTGAGGTCCACGCCATTCACGTACGGGATCACCAGCGACGCCGCCCGAGAAAGCTCAATGGGGCTGGAGGCTCCAAACTGCGCGATCGTCGGCGGCTGAGGCCCGTTTGACGACGTTGTGAATTCTTTTTCGCCCAAACTCAGCACCAGCGCACCTCGGTGTAAAACCAAAAGATTGGTATAGAATAAATTTGGAAGGGGAGGGGGCTCATGTGATTTCCATACCGCTATCGCGCGCCAAAACGCTACGGTTGAATTCTCGAGAGAGGATCATCGGTGTCCATGTGAGGTCGGTGCCGTACTCATGGACTGTTTGGCGAAAAGCAAGCTACGCGTCGTCAGCGGAGTGTCTCTCACTGCTGCATCACATAACTTGACGCTCTCTACAGAATCTGCAGGTGAGCTACGTAAAACAGTCCATGGCACACGAACCTTGCTGTATCGCACCATTGGGGCCGAGGCGTAGACAAAACGGCCCTTTGACCGTGCTATATCGAAGATCTTGAGCGGGCTAGGAGATACGCAGTATCACCAGCTATTAATTTTACCGCACCACCCACACCCGACCGACGCCTTGATGCTCGAGAGAGGAAACGGGGCAACCTACTGGAGAGTAGGACGAGGTGCGGCGTCCCCGATTGATCATCTACCGTGATCGGTTCCATCGCGGCCTCTTTGGATACACGGGCACGGGCACGCTGAACAGATAGGTCGTGGTCAACCCAGGCACAATTTTATGTGGTCGAGTGGTCCATCTTCTTCTGAGGTGGGATGTGGCTTTTGGTGGGGGTGAAGTGCCAAGCCGCCGGCGTCGGCTCGGGGAAATCGCCATGCACAAACCGACCCCGCGAGCTCACGCAAGGCCCCGATCCGATGGATACACGCTCACGAAGGAGAGGCAAAACACCCTGAACCCCCGCCTCCCATAGGTGAAAAAAACGCCCCCGGCCTCCATTCTCGGAGCTTCCCATTACTTCGGATATCCTTCCCTCAAGCATCACGACAGCATAGGAGAGCTTGGGCGCCCTTCGTACCAAAACGTTAGCGGGGCTAGTGGCTTTCAGTCACAGCTGCAACCAGTAACATTGACGTCACATTCCAAAGGCAGCCCATCAAGGCCAATGCAGCCGCGATAGTTCGCACGACGAGGTTAGGAAACGATGGGGGAAAAAAATCAATGAAGAAAAGGAGGAAAAAGAAAAGAAATGGAAGGAAAAAAGAAATGGCCGAATACGTGGATGTTGCTCTTTGAACTGGACAGCTCAATACTCTCTGCACGAGCTGCCGCCGTGCAGATCTCCGGGTATCTGCCGGTCTCATCGCGCCACCTGCTGACCATCAATTGCTAGCCATTCAACGGGCTAGGCCCCTCGAAGGCAGTCCGTAAACAAACTCTCGCGAAGCTCGGGTGTCCATGCTTCTCTCGGAAGTCGACAAAATTCAAGCCGGGATCGGGATCCCTTGAACTCGGTGGGCGCCCAAAGCCTGTTGCTAGATGGTAGATGGGCAGTGTCGCTTCTACGCACTCTCGAGGGAAGCCTTGGTCACAAAACACCGGGTCTGCCACGACAAGCCGGCGGAAGCGAACCAGCTGTCGTGACTTTGACGTATCCTAGATCTTCTAGGTTAGGCTCACCATTGAACCCCACATGGAACTGGGCCTCCCTCGTCTCCCTTGAATGTGACGAGCATGCCATATCTACCGGGGTCGTCGCACACTCCGCTTCTTTAAATCATACTTTGCCTCTCTCCTCGGTTGATTCCTCGTAAAACTACATTGAAAAAACGAAAGAGAGGAGACACAAGACAAACACACCCAAGACATCATTGTGTCAGCTACACGGATTTGACTTTGCTGGGCAGGTCTTTGGCTTTGCACTCCTGACTTGAGATGGCGGGTTTTGCTTCCACGCGAGACGAGCGGTCGTCAGGCAAGCAATCACCTCAGACTCCCCTCCCAGAGTCACTTTTATCGCCCTTTATCCCCCATCAGCAACCCATCACAATTACTCTAGATGGCCCCATCATCCTGAGCGTAGCTCTTGTCTCTATCCTCACCGTTCACTTTGCGCAGCCGCTGTACTCCGAGGTTTGTATCGGCGCCGTGGCCTTCATTCTTCTGATTCATCATGATTTCCAAAACTACCTGAACCTAGGCCCCGGTGGCTTTCCTTCCACTTTCCGGGGTTATCTTCAAGTGAGTTGGTACCGTCTCTGGTCTATGCGAGACCTGTTCACGCCGCCGCCCATGAATCCCGCAATTACACCGCCTGGCGGGCTACTCAAGAAGCATTCCTTGCCACACCGAGCAGGACCTCGGCCCATCGTCGCAGGGGTGATTCCCCAACGACAGCTTGACCAGAGAGGACCGGATGACATCTATCTTAATCTGCGTCACGTCGTTGAGAGCCTTGCCGCGACCCACCCTGCAAAGCTTGCAGCCGATAAATCTTGTTTTGAGAAGCATGGGCTTGGCTTGTTTGCGAGGCACCCCGTCAATGAGACTTGCCAGGGCGAGGTCTTGCATATACATCCCTCGGATCGATCAATGCACATGAATTTGCATCCGGAGGATATCAAAATCATTCTTGACAAAGGGTGGGGCCAACGGCACCCCTTGCCAAGAAGGCGTGGTTCGGACCTCTACCAGTGCCCGACACGTTTATGCTTATTTATGCGCCACGAGGTACTCTCCACTCGCTTTGCCACTAAACGCGAGCTGAGCCTGTCGCTAACCAATCGATTTAGATAAGGGAGAGCTGCAAACTGCTTGCCGCATCATGGAAGCAGCAGTATGGTTCATTATGACGGAGGAGGTTCGGATTGACGCCCCACCAAAGAACTAACGATGAGCCGCCGGGGGACGAGTAACGAGTATCGATGAGGAAGCGAGGAAGCGAGGAAGCGGGATGCGGTGAGCAGCAGGTTGCACAAAAACGCGAGTGTCTTACAGAAGCGGGTAGATATGTGCGTATATACTATAACATGAACTCACCCGGTAGCTTCGCATGTTGCCGTCGGTTTATAGCCCATTACGTTAGTGATCAGAATCATCTTCCTTCTTGGATGACTGCTTGAAGCGCTCCTTGCCAAAGGATAGTCGCGCCTCCACGACCCGGCCAGCGAAGCTGCGACCGTCCATGAGCTCAACACACCCTTCGGCGGCCTCGTGGGATTTGAACTTGATCGAGACATAGCCCTCGGGCTCGAGGTCGTATAGGACAACGTTGGTGACTTCGCCTAACTTCTCGCACTCTTCACGGATGTCTTCCTTGATCTCAAGGATTGCTGCAGGGTCTTCTTCGAGTTCCTCAAAGGTAAACATGTGCTTCAATATGACCATCTTGGAAGTGCGAGTGGCAACTTCCTGGTCTGCATATGGGACATCGTCGTCCCAGTCGGCTAACTTGGCATCCAGTTTTTGAGTTTTTCGTATGATCTTTTGTCGATCCCTATCGTTCTTCTGTGGCTTCTGGCCTTCTGCGGCTTTGGATTTATTGCCATCTGCATCATAGTTGGTCTTTTTGTAGCTCGAGTCAGCGGGCTGGACCCGGATCCTGCCATCGGACAATCCGGAGCTAGTGTATCTAAAATCAGTGTCGTCGAGTAGCATGATGGCCATTTCTACCGACTGAGGCTTGAAGAATACGACGAGCGCGTCGCCTTTAAAGCCTCCGGTTTCATCCGAGTACATCTTGATCCTTGGCTTTCCACTGTCGATCTCCTCTGCGATCACGCCCCCTTCTTCGAAAAGAGATCATAAACTTCGTCCACGGTGGCATCGAGGGGAAGGCCCGTCACGTAAACCGCTGTGTTTTGCCTCGGCGCTGGGGGCGCCTTAGCCTTCTTCTTGGGGCGTTGCGGCCGGGATTGGTTTGGATTCTATATAGTTCCGGGAGTAGATTGCTCCGTTAGTTGGCCATTCTGCGCATCTCCTTGTCTTTGGTAGACCAGATGGGCGCGGGGCACCTAGGGCCCCACGATCTCGTACAACGGTATAGAAGCTCGTCGGACAAAGTCGAGTCGTCGTCTCGGAACAGCTGGTGGGGGCGGGCGGGCGCGGGCGCGGCTTACCTCGTCATCGTACGATGGGTCTGGCCTTCTTTTCCTTGACTGCGAGTCAAGCGCGAGAGCACTGCCGTTATCTCCCGCTTCGTGTAGGGAATGAAGGTCGTCGTCATCCTCCTGGTCATAGTCTACCGGTGCCCAGGTCTTGTCCCTCTCGTTGAACTCATATTCTGATCCATCGTCGGCGACTGCAAGGTAGGTTTTGCTCTGTAAGGAGAAGGAGATGCGGTCATCCGCTCCAAATGCCCCAACATCGGTGGGGAATGAGAGGAGGGATCCGCAGCAGCCATTGCTGTTGCTTTCAAAAATTACTGCGAGAGAGGTAGAAGTGAAGCAACAGCTGAGTTTCGCTTGGGGGAATAACTCAAGCCAGGGACTGGGCTAATGACCTTGTGAATGGTAATGTTCGTTTTTATCACTGGAGGGTGGGAAAATGGGTTCAAGCAATCCAGGACCCATGACAATTATTATGTGGAAGGTCCGAATTGAGCTTCAGGCTGCATTACTCTTGTGGGGCAGCTTCTAAGCTCATATTTGGTACACAGTGTTCGCAGTTGAAGATGGTCAAACAAATTCACTGTGCTCACCAAGCATATGGCCTGAATGAAGCATAGCTGAGGAAGGCTTCAGCCTCTCTCCTCTCTCCTTGGAATTACTGATTAATCATAGCCTTATATGTAATGTGAAATTCCTTGCTCTACATTGGGTTGATGGGGGCCATCTACTCCTCCATAGTCTTCTTGACGCCTTCAACAAAGGCCTTAATAGCTTCATCACCTCCTAGAGGCATGCCGCCACCACGAATGTACCCACCGTTGGCCACATTGATATCTAGAGCGTCCGCAATACCGGGAAGACCACCATCTTTGAGGGCCAACGACAAACTAGCAAGCGATTGGTGGAATTGGGGGCTGCGGAGGACTTTGTTGAGAAGGACCTTCTTGTCGCCTCTGCTCAGCGATGCGCGAGCAGCTGTAAGATCATCCGGTGAAGGATCAGCGACAGAGGCATTCGTTCCGGCGCCGGCGGCCAGCATGATGACACTCGGAGGCAAAAAGCTCAGGAGACTATCGAGGTACTCTTCAGTTGCCGACTCAATCACGGGAAGGGTGACCTCTTTGGGAAGGAGATGGGTCAGGTAAGGATAGGCGTCCTTTTCTTCTTGTTGCCCCGACCGGGCACCCCCAGTCAGAGAACTCAAGAGATTCCTCACGGCGGCAGATGCAGCATCTTCGGCTGAGGATGAGGCGGCTCTGGGATAGCATGCATGTTAGCTTTTATCACAATGGTGCGTGTATTTTTATCAAATGGGCGAGCAACTCGCGCAAAAGCGCCGAAATAGCCCGCCATACATTTCAAGTTCTAGAAGTACACGGCGGGGACCACATCACCCCCGTCCTCTCTATGCTTTAGAAAAACATGAAGAACTCACAGGAGGGCAAAGAAAAAGAGGCAGCCCCGCCTGTGTACAGTGTTGGGAGGTTGAGGTATCGCAATGCTGCTCAAGGAATGACCTACGCTCGCGCGCCATCTGCGCCACCCTCCCGAGAGCCCTGGCCTTCCTCTCGAACGTCTCCTCCGGTAGCATCGGGACCAGCACCACCACCACCTCCTCGTCTATGGGCGTGAGGGTCACCGGTTCCCTCAATATCTTCCATCGTCTCGTCATTATCGTCGTCACGGTCATCGGAGCTTCCCGCAGAGGCGAGTTCCTGAGAAACGTTCACATCCTCACCCTGTAGTAGGGCATCAACAATCTCGCCAATCTTACGGTCGCGGGGGCTCAGCCAACTGGGATCACCGTTCCGGGCTTGCGGCTTAGACTGCAGCCAGAATAGGTGGCGTTGAGAAGATGAGGAAAATTTGAGGACGAATACACGACCGTTCGTCTTTGCGCTGGTGTCGTCGTGGGTATAGGGGACGAAGTGGCCATCCGTGGGAACCATGACAAGGTCTAGCTCGGGGTCGTCGAGGGGCACATTGCGTTCTCTCCAGCAAAAGTGGACAAGCTCTACGTTGGAATGTTAGGTACTTGCAATGTCTTCCCGTGGGTACAGGTTGGGTGGATGGAGCATACCATCTTCCAAGTAGAGGTAGACATAGCCCGGAGCCGGCCGCGGTTTTACCTTGTATGGCTGCGGCGTCGATTGCTAGATACGACGCGATTAGCAACGATGTCCGAAAAAACTAGACACACGATATAAAAGGGCCTTACGTCGACGTCGCAGATACCGGCTTTGAATGTGATGATAGGAGCTATGGACATGGCTGGATGGGGTGAGCGTGTGTGGGAGGAAGCCTAGTTCCAAAGTCCGCAGGTATGCAATTGGTGTATCGGGCGATGAAAGAGATTCGGGAAATGCTATTGAGTGCTGACAAGGATTTTATGACTGGAGATGGATTGACAAGTGTCCGAAGTCGATGCTCTCCCAAGCTTGTACAAGAAGGCGGTTTGGGATCTGGTCGTTGCTTGCCTTGCTGGGCTCTCGGTTTCTCAGGCTGGGTGCAATATGTAATGCATAGCACTATCACTGCACCAACTCTCCTTGGTTCGAGACAGGCAGCTGGAAGGCTGTCGCGTCAGCTTCGGCCAATGAAAACATTCTTACAGTTGGGGATTTCTGCAACTAGCAATTGGCGGCCCGCCACTGAATTTCATTCGGCTGCAAAGCCTATCATCGCTGCAGGTGGGCTCAAGTGGGGCTACGGGGCGGCGTCCCATCACCCAGTCCACCGTTTGGCCCCATCTCTCAGAGTTCTGACCCCTCCCCACCTCGCTTCTTAGGAAAATTTCGTTACCATGACCACAAACCCCGCCACCTTTCTGGCACCTTGAAAAACCCAAACGTTTCCCTCCTCCCAATTTAATCTCCTTTTTTTCCTCCTTCCTTCACCCAAAACTTTTTCGCAGTTTCTCCCACGGTCTTCAACTTTTTCTCCTTCCTAGAGATCCCGTACAAATCATCAAAATGGGCTTCACCGACCTTGTTTCCGATGCTGGTCTCTCCAGTGCGTCTAGACTCCCATCCTAGTCCCACAGTCGAGGCACCCAAGCTTGTCTAACTTGCCTCAGTCCTCAACAGCTGGGTGACGACTCGCTCCTACATCGTTGGGTAAGTTTCGCCTGTTATCATTCCTCCTGTATTCTTTTTCGTCTTGGATTTCACCTTTTCGAGCCCCATTGGAGCCGGAGCCATCCCCTTCCTTCGTTTGGTTTTATGATGAGATCAATTGGTCCGTGTTTCTGAGGCAGCCTCAAGACCTGCTACTTGAACGACGCAACAAAGCACAAAGTGCAACTCTGACCCCAAACCTTTGCTACCCCCAATTTCATCCTTCACGGTCGCATGTACATCTAGTTTGTTTCATGTTGTTCGCGCCTCATGTTGACATTCGACGCTCGATCGTACCCTCTGATCGCCGCCCGTGTTGAACCTAGGCTAACATGCTACTTTCAGCGATGCTCCTTCTCAGGCCGATGTAGCCTGCTACAAGGCCATCCAGTCTGCCCCCGACGCTGAGAAGTACCCTCACGCCGCTCGATGGTACAAGCACATCGCCTCCCACGAGAGCGATTTCTCCACCCTCCCCGGCGATGCCTCGCAGACTTACTCCACCTACGGCCCCGAGACCACTGAGCTCGCGGTGAACCCCGCCAAGGCTCCCGAGGGCGGTGATGACGATGACGACGTCGACCTCTTCGGAAGCGATGACGAGGAGGAGGATGCCGAGGCCGCCAGGATCCGCGAGGAGCGTCTTGCCGCATACAAGAAGAAGAAGGAGGCCAAGCCCAAGCTCGCCGCCAAGTCCATCGTCACTTTGGACGTCAAGCCCTGGGGTATGTACTGCCAGTCAATGACACGCAAGTGTCGACCAGTCCTGCTATGTGTGATCTAACGGTTTCGGTGTGCCTGGTTATAGATGATGAGACCGACATGGCTGAACTCGAGGCTGCCGTCCGTGCAATCGAGAAGGACGGTCTCGTCTGGGGTGGATCTCAACTCATCCCCCTTGGCTACGGTATCAAGAAGCTCCAGATCAACCTCGTTATCGAGGACGAGAAGATCTCCGTCTCCGAGCTTGAGGAGGAGATCCAGGAGATCGAGGACTACGTCCAGTCCACCGATGTTGTAAGTTTCACTCTTCTGGCCTTGTCCAAGATGCTTGCTAACTCCTATCTTCTTTTCTCAGGCCGCCATGCAGAAGTTGTAAAGGTTGGGCGGGTGATGCTTTACGAATTGGTTTCATGAGGATCGGGATATGAGGTATGGGTCGGCCGGGATTGTTCATTACTCTTCACAAATTTATGAAGCTCCGCCACGCCAAACGGTTGGCGGGCCAAGGGTATTCCTCTCGGATGATTCTGTACACGCATAGAGATGATGAAAAAGAATAAAGAACCCAGACGTACCTCAAAGCTGTTCTTGCATCCTTTCAGGCCTGCGCCACATTGGTGCCTTTGACTACACGTGTACGATACAGTCCCGCTCTTGTAAAAGCCGACCTTCTGGCAAGTATGGTCGATTAATGCCTTAGCAAGTCCTTGCCTCTTGGCTCTTGACGGGGAAGCGACGCCTCCGCTAATTTTGTGCCTCATCCACTATCCATTGAATCAATACCTTACAGATTAATTTTTCGCGCGTCAAAGTTTTTCTTTTTTCACCCTCTACCCATTTTTAAACAAGTTACTCTAGTCCATGCCCCACTCTGAAGTTCAAAAATTCATTGTTGTCTTGGAGCCCATCCATAAATCAATTTGGTTGTGGGGCAAAATGATGGCGGGGTAGCTCTTGGACTTTCTGGGATTCGCAACTGGCCAACACAACCCACCACTCACAGCCCCTCGTGACGTGCAGCGACCAAGCGCCACTGATGGCTTCACTCAGTCGGAAGAGAGTGAGAAGCATCGTCAGCGACCACCGCACAACACCTTTGTAAACCATCAATGCTGCACCAGTCCTCTTTCGCGCGCATCATCTCCACCATTGACTCTAAATCCCCCTCACACCCTCGAAATCATGTACGGAGAACAAGGAAACAAACTCGTATGTCGCGTCGCTTCCCCATAAATCCATCCTGTCGCGTCTTTCCGACAGTGTGTGGATGCTCGATCAAGACATGATTTTTCTTTTCCCACCTTCAATTTGATGGCTAAAACGCATACCCGTCCCCGTCGGCCGTTCTAGGTTCTCCACGCGAAACGAACCCAAAATCTTGCCCACCTACCACCCTATCAGACCGAGCTAGTCCGCGCCGTGACGCGCGAGGTGCGGGATCTCGATGAGGATGTGACAGCTATCATGGAGCCCTTCCAAGGTTCTTTTGTTCCGGGAGAGAACCCCGCAACGGCCTGCACGCTTTTAGTGAGCTACATGGCCATGAGGAGAAATAAACGGTGCCTTCTTGCCTACCATCGAACGCGGACAGACAAGCTAGAAGAGCTTGTGTGGAAGGGCTATGATGTCGTAGACCTATCCGGTCAGCAGGTGAGGGAGAAGACGGGGCCTGGTGGGGGCGCCGGGGAGCTCCCGTCGGCGTAGGGGCGGATGCGAGCAAGAGTAGCCTGAGTCCACCAGAGGAGGAGTACGTGAGGGAATACGGCGATCTCCTAGCAGCGTACAAAGGACAGTGGACAGATATAGACCTTACCGGAAGCCTGGAGCCGCCAAGGGACTTGTTTGTGGACGTTCGAGTTCTCCGAGATGCAGGGACAATAGAGACGGAGTACGGGTAAGTTTATTGTGGCAGCAATCCAATATGCCTCGTGCTCAAGAGCATCAACGCGCGCTCGTAAGATGTCTCACCTACAGGGCCGCTAACGTTTGTATGCTTCTCCTAGGCCGATTACCCTCACCAAGAACAGCCAGCTTAACGTGAGACACGGCGATGTAGAGCGCCTAATCGCCCAGGGCTACTTGCAGAAATTGAGCTGAAGCAACCGCAAGAGCATGGAAGAAACACCAGAACAAGGCCACCCTCGCCGCCCTTTCTCAGAGTCGCCCTAGCTCGGGCAGCCCCTTCACACCCGCAGCGGATGCCCGAGTCCTAGCCGCCGTGGAAAGGGGAGCTACAGCGTTTGGGCGTCACATCTATTACGATGGTATAGCCACGGGACCCCGCTCCCTGTGACATAAAACGGCCAGGCAAGGCATGCCGGCCACAAAGGAGTCACCAACTTGCGACCTTTGTGCCCTGTTCCTAATTGGGGAGAAGGGATATCGGAAATCCTGTACAAGGTGATACGAAGGCCGGGCCACCCGTCTTGTCGCATTTATTAGTTCATGTTAATACTAAGCGTTGGAAAGGAGCCCAGGAGAGTGAGCTACTGATGCGTGATGGACCATCCACACACAAATGTATTGGATACCATTTTTTCCCCCTTTGGTTCGAGGAACCAGAGCACCGTGCTACCCAGAAATATATTGATCCATGATGTTTCTGATGGAATCTTTCTTTCATACTCCTTGCGCTGATAGATTCTTCCCCCGGTCCTAGCGCTTCCAGTCCTGAGACATGCCTTCAGCCACCGAGCCCACCAGTTCGCACACAAAAAGACAGGAATCCAATCGGAGGGTTCTAAACGGAGGGCCTCGCTGTCGCAGGGATAAAGAAACCGATCTCGCGGTCTCGCAGTCTTGCATTGCCCCGGAAGTAGGGCGGCTCGTTCGCCCTCGTCATGGTCGCGACCAATACGTAGGACGTGAGTGATGCAAGGTGAGGTCGTCAAGTACAAAATATCATCACATAATCAGGTTCTTTGAGGTGCGGGGCAGGCCTTATCGAGGATGGACTTTTGCCGAGTGGTGCATAATCTTTTCCAGGATATCAGTGAGTGAGGCATCGATTGTAATACATTGAAGATTGTTAAACGTAATTGTCGCGGAATGCATCCACTGTGGACCTCATTCCACTGAGCGACTGATAAGTTACATGGATCTATTGATCAATGGAAATAATACTCCTTGCTCCCTTGGCCCTTAGCGTGCAGCTACACTATTAGTAGACAGCCCGAAGTGCAACCTTCTCGCCATCTTCTAGTCTACGCTGACGGCTTTCAAATAGAACAGGTACGGGAGGAAGCCTAGCACGGAGGGGCTCTGCACGAGTATCTCAACCCCAAAAGGAAGAGAAAAGAAAATGAGGGAGAAGAAGAATCCTCAAATCTCTGTATTGTGGCATATTGGAGCAGTCAGATCATTGATCCACTGCTTCAAGCTCTGCGCTTTAGATCTTGCCAATCAGTGTCCGTCTTGGCTTACAGAACCCAAATGAGACGAATCAATTGAAGAGATCCATCGCATTCGGGCAATTCTTTCTCGGTGTACAAAGCAACGGATCAATCGACGCGACTGCAAAGCCTGCCAGATGGATGCACGTATATAAAGTCTAGAGGAAATACCGAGGTCGATAGAGTTCGACAAGCGCACAGCGAATCCAGCATCTCGTCCCGACTACTAGTCAGGAGACCAGGGACAATTACAGCATCCGTGGATCAACATTTTGGCACCGGCTTCCTACAAGTAAAGAGGGGCTGTTAATGACCTCGAGTAATCAGTGGACGCATCCCGGATCGATGAATGTAACCGGGCCCTGGCCCGCGCCCTATTAGTTGCCATGACATGTGTACTTTGAATTCGTTGCAATCAAGCTTTTATCGCCGGACTAGGACACGACCCGGGCATAGCACCCACGCTAGTCTAGCTCCCCAAGTTTTTTTTTCCTCTCTTTTTGCCGTTCACTGATCAAAGAGCTCGATCTTGCTCCTTCCCTCATTTTCTTCTGCCGCTACCATACAATTCATTCCGTCGGCTACTGCTCTCGCTCCTCGACGGTTCCCCGTCCTCGTTTGCGTGGGAAAGGCACCGAAACAACCCCAGAGCCCTCGCCTGATTTCTTATCTATTCGCAACTTGTGTCGCAGGCGCCAGCAACCTTTGGCCCGTGATCAGCCTCGGAACCGATGCCATCATTTCGCAAAACGAGTGCACATTCGAGCACTGCTAGTTTCCACGTCAACGGCCCTAAGGCGTAATACGGGGTTAGAGAGAAGAAAAGAACAAGGCATTCGTGCGAGAAAATGGCATCTCCATCGCTGGGCCTTCCAGTGGGGAGGAAGAGATCTGCAAGCGATGTCAATGACACCATCCGAGGTCGGCACGCACAAACTCGAAGTCCCTCATCATCCACAACGACGATAACGACCAACACCGCTATAGTAGCATCCCAGCCTCCGGTCCCAGAGGAACCCGAATTTCCAGCTTCGTTTCATGCTGGCTTTTTCGGCTATCGAGATCACGAACGGCCTTTTGCCCAGGGTAGGAGCAATCGAGAAGACTACGGTACGTCATCACCCCGCCAAAAGCAAGAAGAGGAAAGAACAGGAGAATGAAACAGCTCGAGGTCGAGGTCGCAAACACATCAATTGAGGCCACGGTCCATATATCTCTTCGTTTTCCTTGCTTGTTTTCTCGTTCCCGCTCCTAATTAGCAACGCGTGCAGGCCCCATCGACACAGCACATCTCGCGCAGAGCGTGCGCGAAGATACCGCCGAGCTCGCCTCATATGCCCTCTCGGACAGGAAGCACGACCAGAGTCGCGCCCTAAACTTGCCACGATCCCGCTCCCCGGCCCATTCATCCGCCTCACCGCTTCTCGAGGCGGCGGATCGCGACCGCGGCAGCCCCGCGGCGAGAGAGCGGTTGCGGAGGTCCAGCTTTACGCAAATCGCACCCGCCTTTCAAGCCTCCGAGGGTCGAGATGGCAGCCCCCAAGATGGACCGTCTATGCTTAGCAACTTGCTGAGGGGTCACCTTACGAAACAACCAACGGAGGTGATCGCACGTCAAGCAGCCCTCAGTACGGAACCCGCGATGCGGATTACGACGGCCGCAGCATCGAACCCTCCGATTCCGAACATAGTGACGGCGACGGCGACGGCGACGAACTCACTGCCGATGACTGGGATGCGGGCAGTGGTAGCCGCCTGAGGCGGCACTCTTCGAGATTAGAGACCGTTCCGGAGGTTGACGAGCATTCGCCTCTTCTCGCCCACTCTGGGTCAAAGCGAGGCCGGCGTGCTCCCAGAAGAAGGAGTGGTGGGAGCGAAGGTGTCGATATCGAAGCCCAACAAGCGAATAGCTCACGCTCCAAAATCCTCAACGGTCCCAAGCAGTTTAGGCGCCGTGCTACCGCCCGGGTGTCTCAATATGCCGGAATGCTCTTACACCCTGGGAAATGGGATGGCCGGGCAATCTGGGAGCCGCCGTGGTGACACCCGCGTCTTATCTACCTGCAGTTTTGGTCGGGTTGCTGCTCAACATCCTCGACGCCTTGTCCTACGGTACTGTTAACCCCCTTACAACGCGTCTTTTGTCATCACCGCTCCTAACTTGCCAGCTATATAGGTATGATCCTATTCCCGTTGGCGAACCCCATCTTTTCTCATCTCGGATCCGCCGGTATTTCCATCTTTTACGTCAGCACGATCATATCACAGCTCATCTTCTCCAATGGAAGTATATTCAAAGGCGGTGTTGGCTCAGAATTGGTACGTCCCCATCCCTTCAATCGTGATCTATATCGGTGGGATATGTTTTGCTAACCGAGGGCGGGGGATGTAGATTGAAGTCGTGCCTTTCTTTCACAACATGGCGGAAACAATCACGATACGCGTCGGGCGGGACAATGCGGATGCCGTCATTGCGACAACGATTGTTTCGTATGCCTCGAGTTCCATGCTGACGGGCGCGGTATTTTATCTCATGGGCAAATTCAAGTTTGGTTACATGGTAGGCTTTATACCAAGGCACATCTTGATCGGGTGCATTGGCGGAGTGGGCTTCTTCCTCGTCGTGACAGGCTTCGAGGTATCGGCTCGCCTAGAGGGCGGCATCGAGTATAATCTCGAGACACTGAAGCGTCTTGCCCAGCCAGAGACTCTGCCGCTCTGGATAACACCTCTCGTCCTCGCCTTCATGCTGTTCTACGGCCAGTCCCGAATCACTTCCAAATATTTCTTACCGTTTTTCATCATTTCTATTCCCATCATCTTCTACCTTTGCATCCTTGCCTTGCGCGGCGTGGAGCTCGATGGTCTTAGAGGGGCTGGGTGGGTCTTTGAGGGACCTCCTCCTGGCGAGCCATGGTGGTACTTTTACACCCTCTACAGTGAGTCTCGCTCTTCCGTCATCCATTTCTGACTCCGATCTCTCTCGGCCAACCTACAAGAGAAAAGACGTCACAGAGAATCGACTTTCTAACAAGACGGTATTATGCTTATATAGAGTTCGAACTCGTACACTGGGATGCCGTCATCGAGACCATCCCCGCCATGTTTGCGCTAACATTCTTCGGCATTTTGCACGTTCCCATCAACGTGCCGGCCCTTGCCCTCAACACTGGGGAGGACAATGCCGACTTAGACCGAGAACTGAGGCTACACGGCTACTCCAACTTCATCTCGGGTTGCGCGGGCAGCATCCAAAACTACCTCGTATATGCCAATACCATGTTCTTCATGAGATCAGGAGGCGATTCGCGGTTGGCGGGAGTGATGCTTGCCGGCTTCACGTTCGTGGTCATGACAGTGGGGCCGTCCACTATTCACTTTATCCCAGTCATGATGGTGGGCACGCTCATCTTTGATCTGGGCTTTGAGCTGCTCTTCGAAGCCGTGTGGCTACCCAGGAAGAAGCTCAAGGTTGGCGAATATGCGACGGTACGTAGCGAGGTGGTGCATAGGAGAGGGCGGGCACGCATAGCTACGGCATCGTGGCATGCGCGAGGGAGCAAGTGAGGCCGAGGAATCTTTGACTAATATGGGACTGTTCTAGGTCATCATCATCGTCCTCGTTATGGGCGTCTACGATTTCGTCGTGGGTATCGGAATCGGTATCCTACTCGCCTTTGTAAATCTCGTCACACAGACCGCTGCAGTTCCTGCCGTGCGGGCGGCTTACTCTGGCGAGGTCGTAACATCGACGGTCAGGCGCAACCCGTCTCAAAGCCACTACCTAAAGCACGTGGGGCGGCAAATCTTTATTGTCAAGCTTACAGGCTACTTATTCTTTGGCACGATTGTGAGCGTAGAGGAGAAGATTAGGAATCTGATCGACGACAGGACTTTTTCCGAACGACCTATTCGATTCCTCGTCATCGACCTTTGGCACGTTACCGGTCTTGACTACTCGGCGGGTGAGGCGTTCAATAGGATCAGTCGCATTCTTGATAAGAAGGGGTTGTGCTCATCCTTAGCGGAGTGGAGGGCGACAGCAATCTGGGCCGAAACCTGCGAGCTGTAGGGGTAGGAAGGGATGGAATCGAGGTGACGATGCTTCCAGACCTCAACTCAGCCCTGGAGAGCTGCGAGAACGAGCTACTCAAGACATACTACGTCAGCCAGGAGGCGCGGAGCAGCGCAAGCTCACCACGAACCATCGGCAAACTTGCAGGTGCCCGCCGCGCCCGGAGCAGGCAACGTTTCGCTGACGGGGCCGTCGCTGTCCGCGTCACCCGCGGAGCGCTCCTCCGCGAGGCAGCCCAAAGGCGCTGGAAGACGTGGACGCGGCCCGCCCTGCCAAGTGGCAAGGGTTCAAGGAGCCGCTGCGGCTCATGTTGCAAATCTTCCAGGGGCTCAGCGAGAAGAATGAAGACTTTTGGTTCCGCGCGACGCCCTACTTCGCCAAGCTCGAGTACGCGGCGGGGACTGTGCTATTTCGACGTGGCGAGGCGGCGGGGGCTTTTACCTGGTGGAGGAGGGTATCCTCCGTGCGGAGTACGACCTGCCGCAAGGATGGCTCTGCGAGAGTATCGTAGCGGGAACGACGTGCGGAGACCTGCCCTTCTTTTCGGAAACGAGGCGGACGGCGACGGTCACGGTGGAGCGGGCTAGCACTCTGTGGATGATGGACGCCGAGAAGTGGGCCAAAATCCAGCGCGAGGAGCCCGAGGTGGCGTGGGAGCTTCAGAGAATGGCGCTGAAGCTCACGAGTCAGCACATGACTCTCGTGACGTCGTACATCCTGACGATGGCGGGCTGAGCGGGGGCGCGTTGTCAAGGACGAAGAAGGGTGGGTTCCGCGCTTCAAGAGGCGTCTGAACTGGACTAAACCCCTCGCCACCACGCTCTCCGCATACGCGTTGCAGCTTGAGATTTTACACGACCTTTTTTCTTTTTTATCGTGTGCGCCACGGGAGGCGTTTCTCGATTTTCCCTTCTCATCTTTGAAGCTGGATTATCTTGGCCCATTTGACTTTTTGTTTCGTTTCAACTAGCGACTAGTTTACAGAACATGCGAATCAGGGACCAGTCCGCGCATACACCTATAGCTTGGGGGTTGGGAGAAACCCATACTTCGTTGCAAGTAGTCTCTCCTTTTGTTTTTGAGTCACCTTTAGAGGAGTCCTCTTCATCTATGCAAACCTGTGGGGGAGGTTGGATTCACCATCTTGACCTTGTTTCGTTTCTTTTTCTCACCTCTTTGTTTTCCTCCATCATCTCCGGCCGGCCAGCCACCGACGTCTACCCGGGTCGTCCCCACCTGTTCCTCGTGTCTGAGGATCCGCGCAAGCTCGGCGTAGCTTCATGGCAAGAAGGTTTTGCTGGCGGCAGGGGGTGGGGAGGAAGAGGCTAGAACAAGAGAAGTGGAGAAGGGGAATCGGGAAGGAGAAAATGTTTGCTCATGTACAGTACATTATCCGGACGTCGGTGGAAACGAACCTAGAGAAGAACATGTATGAATACTTTGATGACGGAACAAGGCGAGATCGGTATTATTACAGTGCTCCCGTTTGTGACTGAGCTTCGGGAGGGTCACAATTTCCAAGAATTGACCCTCCACAAGGATAGTGATGCAACCATTGCAAGCTCACTAATAGATAAAGTTTTGAATCTCCGATAATAAATAATTTCGACGGATGTTTCAGATTGCTTGGTCTTCTCAAGCCCAGTTTATAGAGTTCATCGCGGGGCTTCCAGAAGAACCTCTCGTGGTGGTCAAGGTGGCAATAATACCATATCGTCGTAGGAAGCTCGGATCCGGCAGGAGCTGTCGTTGCATTGTTATTTTGCCACTTTTGAATCAGTTCTGTCAGCAAATAGCACGGAAGGCACGGCACCGTCTTACTTACACCAGAACAAAGACATGCGAGGCAACGAAATAATAACAACACACCAACAAAAGCTTATTCTTCCCCCAGCCCGACTCACGCCCCACATATCACATTCCCAGCCTCATTCCCAAGGTTCCCCTGTCCTCTACGCTTTTAGAGCCCCACGCTAGGAACGGCGTAAAGGAAGAGCACTGCAGCCTCGTGAAGTTCCAAAAGCAAAGTAAAACTTGCTAAAGAGAAAGAAAGAGAAAGGCAAAGAGGGCAAAACAAGCAAAGTGCAGGGGGCCTTTGTTAAGTACTGAGATGTCGCGAAACCTACGGTCAATCCTAGGCTTCTCCAACCGCGTGCAAAAGTCACCCGCCAAGCCAAGAGCAACTAGCAGTCAAAGCCCTCGCGCGTCTCAAGCAAGCGGCGCGCAGGCCGGGGCGCCCGTGGAGGGGCGCTGAAGATCGGCCTGAGGAAGGGAGAAGCGAAGAGGCTGAGGAAGGGGAGGGGGACGAGGCAGATGAGTTTTACTTTCAGGACCGTCTCGATGATGTGGGCCTCGTGCGCATCCTCGCCACCGACCTCCACCTTCGCGACGTTGTTCAGGCCATGCGGTACATCCGCGACAGGATGTGGACGGCGGTGCCGGAGCGTGCATCGGGCATGAACTCGACGCGCATAGCCGACGTGCTCAACTACCGCAGGAGAACGCCACCCGTCGTGACCCTCGCTCACCTACAGGCTGTACTCGCCTCGCCTACCGCTGTGGAAAGGGAGGTTGCCGAGTTGCTGAGCAAGGGAATTGTGCGGAGGGTCTTGGTCGGGAAGGAGCGAGGCCCTCATCGAGGTACAGGACCTAATCTCCCTAGTGGAGGAGGTGGAGGGGCCTGGTGAAGAGACGAAGAAGGCGTATGCCGCCTTTGCGAGGAGAGACCAATCCCGAGGCAGTGCTGGGAAGGGAGCAGGTCGATGAGCTGGTCAGGGCCGGGTTCCTCACATCTTTGCCCGCGAGAATGCACGGCGCAGTCACGGGCTCTCCAGCGGGTAGCGCAGCCTTGACGCGCGGCCTCCTCGGCTCCAGCATGTCCCTAGAGCACGTCGCGAAAGCTCCCACCGGTAGCTTGGGCGCAGTGGGCGGCAGAGCCATCAACATGGTGACGGGGAAAGGCACGCCGACCTCGTCACCCGTGCCCCGATCGCAGCGTGCACACCCGGTCTCTGTGGAAAATATTGCCGTATCCGCGCCCGGCCACGGTGGTTTCCTCAAGCTGCACAAGGCGGCCCTCGAACATCTCCTCGCGCTCTTGGACAAGCGTTCGGCCTTTCGCGAGATGCCCGAATCACTCCTGCGTGAAGCATGGGACGGCGGGCTGGCTGCCGCCGGGGCGCGGGCGCCAAGAGAGCGAGGGGCGAGTACTCGGGCGTGGCGCCAGGCAAGACAAAGAAGTGGAGGGACTTTGGGGCCTCCGGTTCAGTGGGTGCTCGAGGAAGCCGTCGGCGCCGGCGTCGTCGAGCTTTCGACACGGGTAGCGTGGGACGCGGGGTCCGGGCTGTATGATGTCGTTCCGCCGCTCTCCCCGTCTTCGTACGAAAGAGACGGGGTTCGCAGAAACACAATCCCCTTCCCGGGTCCAAAACTTGGATTTGGGCTAGCCCCTCCGCTCTCTAACGGGTGACGAAGACCCGGTATGGCGCCATCCTTCCGAGGAACCCTGGCGAAAGGAGGCCGGACGTGATTTACAAATAAAGTTAAAAGGATCCATCATCATCTTGAAACCATCGGCCGGCGTATGACACGCCCTAATGCATTTGCCCGAGGGCGTCAGAGGCTGAAAACTTCCGGGATATCTCCTCTACATGGCCCCACACTATAGTTTCCCCGGGCATCGCAAACGAAACATATGATTGCAGATATTACATGAACACTCACACAAGTGGGCAACAAGATCGTGACCATCCTGGCCGAGAAGGATCAGGCACACGAGGATCGTTCATGCCAAGGACTCATCTTGTTAGGGGAAAGACCACATATACTAGAGGCTTTACAAATTGAACGAGGACAAAGGGCTGAGGTCCTCAGGCCAGCCTCTCTCACGAGGGGATGCGGCTCCGCATGCGACTGACAGGTGTCAGAGACGCACAGCGGTGCGTGCGTATATATGTATGTGTTAAGTGGGATGGATGTGGGTGCGTGTGTGTGTATCAAGAAAAGAAAAACCCCCGAGCCTGCGCAGCCCCTTTCCTATTCGCCGCATTGTCCAAGATCCCCGGGCTTCCCTGTCCATGTTGGCCGAGGGGAGTGATTGCTTACCCCCTCCCCATCTTCCCCTCTCTCTCTTACCCTCCCCTTCTTCTTCTTATCGGTTGTGGTGTCGGGGTGAAGGTGATAGTGATAGCGAACTCAGCACTAGATGGGATGCCTTTTCGTCACCCCGCCCCCAAGTCCCTGTTTTCAGTTAATTTTTGCAGATGGTGTTAATCGTAGTTGAGAAGAGAGGTAGGTCCCTTGAACGGGAAAGGCCATCCAGGGAAACCCTTGAAAAGCTAAAACAACCCCCTTCCCCTTCCTCTCTAAAATGCCTGGATGATGGAGGTCGAAGGCTCGATCATGACGGTGCTGCGCCTGTGGGGCTGTCTCGCGAGCTAAAGAAGCACTTGACGCTGTTTTGAAAAGTATGAACCTGTCCATTCACACTCTTTTGGTGTGTTTGGTTTCGGAAGATCACTGCAGAGTTAAATGAGATCAAGCAGCTGTGATACTACTTTGCGTGCCGAGTCATATTGGTCGCATCGCAAAAGGGGATGAGACATGGACTTGAACTTCTAGAAGCGACGGGGTCGAACTGGTTTCGAGCGTGGATTCGAGGGTAAGCGATTTCCACCGCCCCGTCTTATCCTTTTCCTCCCCTTACATCCGCGATAGCACCAGACATGTAAGGGCCGACGGGACCAGAAAAGGGTTCTTCAGAATCAATAAAAGATTTCCAAGGTCAACTCATGTGGGTTGCCCGAGCATCCCAAGCAAGTTGGACTCAAACCAGAGGATGCGGATACCTGGGTTTCCGCCCCTCCCCCACCATCTTAGGAGTCGCACATCTTCCGCATCTGGATCCGGAGGCATGGACCAGCCCTTTTGAATACTGATGCCACACTGAGAAAGAGCACTGGCCTTGTCTTTTTCCTTTTCCTTTTTCCCTACTCCCTTTGCATACTATCTCTAAGATGATATAAAAATTAGGAGAAAAAAAGAGGAAGGGGTTGGACAGTGTTGGCTCTTGCAATCCAATATTGTCTTTAATTGTAATAGACGACATGTAGGCATCTCAAATATTGAGCAAGCACCTGCATCCCCGGCCGCATATTCAAGGGGCCATCTGCAACGTCAAGAGTGCGCTTTGGCGACGCAGTTCAATCCTCTTTGTTTCTGGGGCCTCCCCTTCCCCTTTCCCCGAAGATAGAGGCGGAAATAGTGAGGATAAAATGAAAACAAGCAAGCAAGTCGTCATGAATAATACACCCAATGGGGCATTATGCGTATCATAGCGTACATCGGAGCCGACATGGCATCCCTGGACAGTATTATTGAGAAGTGATTGTGATTCTCGGCCCCTCTCTTCTTCCGTGTATTGTTCGTGTATCTTTGGAAGAAATAGTTGATTCTGAGTTGCCCTTGGCCTTCCTTCGCGCGTTTGGCCGCAGTGTCCATGTTTCAATAACAGGGAGCCTCTAACCCGCTAGATGCTAATAGTAAAAGCAAAGCAAAATTATTGAACATTGCGTGCATGGACAAGAGGACGACTGAACAAACTGACATTCATCAGTGATCGGCGGTCCCTGTTTCCTCGCTCGTAAGTGTCTGAAAGCACACCTGGCGGATCTTTACAAGCGTCCCGATTGGCCGCTTACGAGGAGGTTGAAGGAATCAAGTGCTGGGCCATGTGCACGCATCCGCTAATGACGGCCGATGGCTGATGACGGATGGAGGACAGCAGGGTCGAACCGATTGCTGTCTGTCTCCCAGCCTGGGCCTTGGAGTCGATCAATCAATGTGAGTAATGAATCGGAGCTGGTGTAAGACACGAAGAAAGAGCAAGGAAGAGTCACCAGTTGTGGAACGGCCCGCCCTCGGCGGACTAAGACAAACCTCCACTGGGGCTGGGTGTATGGCTGGCAACAACTTGAGGGATCGATCCATCAATGGTGGATGTACGCAGTAATTGAGGTCTCTCAGCCCGCTAATACAACTGAAGTACGTCCTTTATCGTCTTTGACGGGTGTACTTGTCACCGTCAATCGTGGGGCATTGTGGAGTACATGTACCCAGCGAACATGAAGGAATTGACTATTACCTCCATCGGTAGGTGCAATCCACACTGGATCCTATCACGGATTGATAGGCTGATGGATATACTTCGTACATAGTCTTGAGAGATTGATCCATTCGAAATAATTGAGCTTTCCCCAAGCGCACGCCATCGACCCCATCCTGCTTGGAGTGGCACTGAAAACGGAGAAATGCTAGAAATCGGGGGTTAAGCGAGAGTGGCAGAGCCGTAGACCGCGATTCCTCTATTGCTAGGACCGACCTTCTTTCGGATGACGGGGACCCGTCCCATGAATCGATGCAGCTTTCGTCCGTTATCAAGGTGGTAGAACAGAGTTGCACTTTAAGCGAATATTTCCAAACCTTCCGAAGGCAACCCAAGGTTACGGGCAAACTCGAGAAAATCAACCTTGGCCCTCCCTCTCATCTCGCCTTCCCGTCCGAATTCTCCTTGTGCATAATAGCGCTGGAGACCACCTCGCATTCTCTTGGAGTGGCCATTTTGTAATTTTGTTACCGTATTGAGGAACTGGATATCCTCCCGAATACATCAAAGGGCTCTTGCTTCAGCGATGATGAGCATAGCTGAGGCGTGTGCCGTCTCACCTTCGTAGATAAGCGATGTCCATCCTCGGGCTCCGGGAGGGGCAGGAATATCGAAACGGGAGAAGGAAATCATAGAGGTAGAGAATTAGTATTGGGGAAAAAAAACGGGCTACATGTGTTCAAAAGACAGGGAGAACCCGGGTATGGGCCGTCGATGCTAGACAATACCATCCACGGATCGACAGCGCGGGTCGGGGGCTCTGCCTGCGAACTTGAGGGGGAATCAGAATTCCCGCCCTTTTGGTCCTTGTTCGATCGTCTGGCCCGTTTCTAGCTTTCCATCTCCTTTGAGAAACACTCCACGAGAGGGGGCACGGCAGGAGTTGAACACCTTCCGTGCATTTGCGTGATCTACAAACGCAAGGGATTCGGCTGGAACCAGCCTGGCTAGGGACGCTGCCCTCCCACGCATTGGAGAGGAAAGGCTGTTTTCCTCAACCTCTAATTCTCCCTGCTCACTTCGGATAAAGGGACGTGACACACAAGTCCTCGTTGAGTTGGGTTGCTATCTGGATGCCGACCTCGATGGCCCACTGCCCGGTCGTTTCGGATTGACGTCTTCTACGCGAAATACTGAGACCCGTCCAACGTCAACCCGGCTCTCGTAACGAGACATATCCCGCCGAGCCATCAGGTTCGCTTCGCGAGTGCGATGGCTTCGGCCCTCGCAGACCCGCAGGATTGTTGACGAGATGGGGAATGGGTCAGTGGGCATTGGTGGTGCCGGCTGTCCCAGGATGAAGACGGGACCACCGCCCTGGAGGGTGGCGGTAGGCCGGACAAAACGCGTACCGAGGCGTGCGAGGACGCGAGGAATCACCCTGCAGGTGATACCGTCCGAGGTGAAGACTGGGAAAATGATATTGAACAACTTTCTATACTTTGCCGTGTATTACTCGAGAAGCTTGGCCCGGTCGCCCGTCAACCAGTATTAGTGCATGGCGCCACAAGAGTTGACACGGGCGTGCAATAGATCGATTGCGATGCCTTCTCCCTTTTGGAAGTGGCAAGTAGGAGCCGTCAGTAGTACAAGTACACCCTTCTGGTCTTTTGAGAGAATAAAAGAAGAAGAAAAGAAGAAGAAAAGGAGAAAAGTGTGGATCGATGTCTTTTCCGACTACGATTCTTCACAGCTGCAACGCGACGCTGCGCTGTGCGATGCTGTGCCTGTGCCAGTATTATGGTCCCGTTGATGATACAAGACCGTGGGAGCCTTGCGCCTGCACCTGCACCTGCGCCTGCGCCTGCATTATTTCCACAATTTGCACCTGTCAACCTCGGCCGCCATCCCTCGGTAGACCCTATGGCATCAATGATACACTGGCTTCTCCATTTGGAGATGATAGCTTCAATGGATGGATGGATGGGTAGTTGATGGAACTGATCACTCAGGTAGGTCGCAGGGCATCAATATCTTCTGCTGCAATCCAACATAGATTGGAGGCAGCCCTATCTGCCTCTTCCACCTTCGCACTCTCTGGGGCCAAGTCTCAGTCGAGCTTGCCCCGTTTTGCAGATACAAGACAGGGACGCACATTCTTGGGGGTGTACACCACACGGACACACGGACACCACGAAAAAGGAAAGAGGAAGGGGCCGAAAAAGAGTATTCAAGTGAATACAAGTACTATTCCACCCGAGGGCTTGGATTGTCTGTGGGACTGACATACATCATTGGCACCAACACCGTCATCCATTCCACTTCGGACTGCGTGTGACAGCAGTGTTCCTGCGCCAGGGCATCCGCCACACCACCCACTTCTGGCTGTACCATGGGCTAGCGTGGTGCTCATCTCCTTGTGCTGCATGCCTATGCGCGCACGGCCAATTTTCAACCATTGGGTCTGGCCTTTGCTTGATGGACGGGCCACGGGCTGGCCCATTGGATCAATTGCACTCCCTCGAGGCAGATAATAAGATCACCTCTGAGGAAGGGGCACATGGGTGGGTGGCAGAGAGAAGGGAGGAAATTGCACAGCGGCTTCCCTCCCTCATCCATCCTTCTCATTCAAATCCCTTTGTCGTGTGAGGGAGCCCCTTGTCCTTTCTCTTTTTCCAATTCTTTCTTTTTCTTTTCTCACACTTTTTTCTTCTTTCTTTCTTTGGGGCAAAGGAAAAATCCCATCCATGACATACTGCATACATGGATACCTGGTGACGAGTGGCTGATCCAAGTACTTCGTACACCATATACCTGCCGTGGCCTCTGATTTGAGACCTGGTCAAAATTGGTAATGTCTAATACCGGGCCGACCCCATGGGCTCGCTGATGCCAGCTGCTAGTGGAGAGCCAGGACTGAGGCTGTGACTTGTAATAGATAACGACCTGGGGAAGCGATGACTGATTGTTTCAATGCCGAGCCTCAAACCCTTCGTTAAGCTGCGTAATTGGTCGCACTCATTCTCGAAGTTTGTTCACCGGAGATGCACTCGTTGACTGCGTTGTAGCTCGGCTCGGATTGGGACAAGAGGAGCACAGCGGATCGGAGTGTGCTGACCGTGGTGAGCATTGAGGATGTGGTCCTGAGACTACAGTACACTCCACCATTACAGCCAACTCTCCGAGGATAGCCAATGCCACAATGGATTGAGATGGTGCGAGAGTTAGAAAGTACATACACTACGTATTCAGGTATTCCGATGAGAGAAAAGAAAGAAGCGTAATATGGCTCGCTGCTTCAATGGTGCCGGGTGCGTCTCTGGCTCCCTCATGTTGGAGGATTGGCAGAAGGTACAAGTGTTGAAGATCGCCCTGGTCTGCCCCACTGACGATGAGGGCGCTTGTGAAGGGTTGGCCTGGAAATGGTGATTGCGAGGCGCGAAGAGGCACCTTGTCGGACTCGGAGGTTGTTCTCAAGTAGTCCTTCTTATCCGCCGGTACCTATCCGGACCAGGTTACCAACTTGACGTTAGCCTTCTTCCCGTAAAAAACCCCCATTATCGTGTTCAACGAATGGAGCCCACAGCTTCACCCCGAGCGGTGCAGGGCGGTGGCAGCTTGTTGGTACCGCGATCCCTCGTCTCCCGAGAGGCCCTTGGCCCCGTTAACAAGAGTCTGCACTTGCCTCCAAACTGCTATGTACAGTGTACGAGGGGGCAGACGGTGCTGCTGTCCTGGCACTGGGTATCATTGATGTCCTCGCGAAGGTTCTGCTCCGTTGTCCTTGCTAGTATTTAAGGATGGGTCAAATATCTGCAGAGAAGATTCTAGCGAGAGTAGCCGCCTTGTGGTTATATCCAATTTTTTTCTTTTTAATGTTACTGCTGACGCCGCTTGTTGCGCCGAAGTTTCCCACGAGAGCCAGAGAAAGAGGTTTAATGAGGAGAGCGGATAGAGCTTGAACGCTTGGGTTGAATTATGAACGATGGTATGGAGTACCTCGACTCTCAGCTCTCCCCTTTTCCCCCACCCACCCTCCAGAAGCCAAGCGACTGACTAGGGCAACATCGGAAGTTGGTGACCCATGGGGATGAGATGACCCCTGCCATTGATGCCGGGACATCATCCCGCAGAGTGCATCGACCCCCCATGACCTTTTCCATCCCTGTTCGCGAACAAGGGCTCATCCAAAGGACGTGCAACCGATAGTTCTGCGGTTCAATCTAACGCATGTTTTTTCGTCTCCTTTTCTCATTCTTCTCTCCTCCTTCTCGGCAAGGTCGTTGAAAACACAAATTAGTGAATGGCTCAATGACTTGGAATGGATACATCGAGTGTGTGTACAAGTAGTGTAGTATGCGGCATATGTACACTTTTCTTCTTTCTTTTCCTTCTTCTTATTCGTTCGCTCTTTCTTTCTTTTTTTTTTTCTCTTTTTTGGCCTTTTCCCTCCCTTCTCTCATCTTTTCCTCGTCATTCTTCTCTCGTCCCCTTTTGGCATCGATCCTTTTCACTGATCCCTTGTGCTGGCAAATGGCACAAATCTGAAATTGCGATGGGCGGATGGGCTTTGGATACGAACACCAGACAGGCACCCTGACTTCCAGAGTCGCATTGCAGGACAGGGCAATCAACCCAGCTCAGAAGTCGGTTGTTTTCCCTCTACTCCTCCACTATCGCTTTGTCCCGACGCGTGGGTATGCTTGAGAATCGACGCGGTGGACTTGAAGGCCTCGATTCCCTTTTCACCAGCCTTCGGCTGAGTTATTCTCCCACTTAACCGGGCCAAAACCCCACATTGCTTCACGAGTAAGGGCTGGCTTGCGCCTTTATCATTCATTACTTGTATTATGTATATTATAGTGTAAGTATTCAACGACCAACCTTGACGCAGGTGTCCTGAGGTACTCATCCGAGGTGATTCCTCGTATGTTGATTCCTGGCGTGTGCCTGGCTGTGGATTTTCAAAGTTCGTTCTTTTGTGGCTTGGAGTCTTTGCGCCCTGGCCCATGCCCTTTGGCAGCAAGGCAAGCAAGGGCATCAACGATTTGTACCTGGGTTTCCCGAGCTTCAGGGACTGGGAGTTTTTGCCACCTTCAAAAGGTTGACTCGCGAGCCTGGCAAGCCTGGGAGAAACCGACACATGCAAAGGAGATTGATGGATTGCATATGCGTCGATTAATGTCCATGTACAGCGGCTCCACACAAGAAGATGGAGTCGAGCATCCTTCCTTGTACAGTACAAGGGGCAGAGACTAATGTTGGCACTAAAGAGCTGTGGGCCCACCAACCCACCGACGTACTGGCCCACCAGGGGATCTCGTTCATCGCCAGTTGACAATCCAAGCCATCGGGCGACTGGCTTGGCTGATAGGGGCTGCTCTTTGCCTTGCAATACTGCAATACCTGAGCGGACCCTTCAAGCTTGAAGCTTGCTCAGTACATGTAGTGTCGCTTCCTACACTACAGACACTCTGTAGTCGAGCAGTCTAGTCCTTTCCGAGCTCTGAGTGGAAAAGAATTGAAGCCTGAACTGCGGGATTTCGATATCCTCGTTCATATGTTCTTTTTTCTTTTTCTTTCCTTTTCCCTCCGTAGTGCAGAGCTTCTTCTCCCCTATTTGACGCGTTAACGTACTAATTTTTTTGCCCCCCTCTGCCCGACCTCTTTATGCCTGCTCAAGTCAGTCCATCACACTAGCGTACTTGTAGTTTCTCGCCCTCTCGTGCCTGGGGTGTGAACCAACCCTCGAACTGTTCTCTCTCCTTCGACACAACGCCGAATGCCCCTTCCGACTTTCGTCACGCCTTGGGACAAAATCCTCACCTTTCCTCTTCCCTGCTACCCAAACAATACCTTGTTGGGGTCTTCGATCAGCAATTAACAGGGTAAGTACAATACAATCGAGTACATGCGTCCGGAAGTGAGCAACTCCCCGGACACCCAGCATCGCAGGGGTTCCCCATCTTGCCCATATCCTCTGACCAAACAAGCCGGAGACGCTGCTACCAAAAACAAAAGCAATTCTCGGGGTCTCTGCCCACAGTTTTCTCCCTCTCTCTTTGCTTTCTTCTTGACGACAGGGCCCTCTTTCGCACTCTCCACGACCACCTCTATTCACCTTCCTTCTTCACTATTCCACTCTTTCCCCACCCTTTGAAAGTCAGACGCGGCGGTCTTCTGTATCGACATTAGACGCGCAACGCAGAGTTGATCTCGCCGGTCGTCAATATTCCCGAACGATTTTCATTCTCCCACCGCGCCCCCGAAGCCCAGCACCTTTTTGCTTCATTTTTTACGCCTTGACACTGACCTTGCCTTCCTCTTCCTCTGGCTAAGCCATCGCCGAAAACGACCATTTTAGAGTTTGCCGATTGCTTTTCCGACCCCTCGCATCGCGAAGCCCGACGCTCGATGCCCGACGAAAACGACGTCTTTTCAGATTTGCCTGCCTCCTCCCTTTAAAATCCAAGGAAAATCAATTTAATCGGCCTGGGTGCTGCGTCCCATGCTCACCCCGCTTCGCATACACGCTCATTACTCGATTTCTTATACCTGCTCCGAGACGTGTCTCTGATTTGAACCCCTCGGCATCACATCACGAAGCACACTCGGACTTGGGGTTGTTGCTCATCGACGTTTTTCTGTCTTTTGCTTTCGCTGCAAAGAGGTAACGCGCCCACAACAACTGCTCCCTCGGATCTTTACCAGGAGCGCGCGGAGGCTTGTCAACGAAATAGTATCCTGCGCGAGGAGAAATTCCCACCAAGTTAAGCTAACAGACTTGGTCAACGATCACCCTGAACCGGATTCGGTGCAGTGATTCTCATTTTAGGCGCCACGCACCTGTTCTTTCGGTAAGCTCATTCCTCTGATCTTCCTCCCCCGGCCTCATTTGGGATCTTCGCGCTGCCTCAATTCGTTAGCACGCGCCCCGAACATTCAAGCAGAGACCATTATGCCTCTTGGTGGACCAGTCGATCACTGACGAGAACCCCTTGCAGCCAAAATCCCTCCTTTGTGCACTGCGGTTATAGCCTCCTCGATGCCTGTCGCATAACAACGTTTCATCATCACCCTGGCCCGTTCTCCAAAGACCCGGTCGACAAGCCACACGGGCCCCCACAGAAGAGATTCTGGCCCCCTTTTGGTCACCTCCACGAGCCTTTTGGGACCGAACACACGGACAGCCCATCAAGCTTGTTCATCCTATTCTCTTATACATACGCGCCTGCAGTCCCCTGGAGACTTTGACTATTCTAGATTTTCGATTAAAATTTATTCCGCGAGCCGATTAAAAATTTTGTTCGCTGCGTCTTCACACGATATTGTCCGGTAACTTTGGATACACGGGCTCAGTCCCTGAACTGAAGGCCCACACCGGCGCTTAGGTCACCGGCCTTTCTCTTTTTCGACGACCTCTACGCCTTCCCCGACGCACATTCACCATGGCGACTGCCCTTCCTCGGCCATCTCGCCCTTCCAATGGCCCTCCAAATATTGCCCTACCCGCACTTCCTGTTGCGAAGACACGGAAGAGCACTGGCGGCCTTTCCACACCGTCTCGCTCGCTTTCCGGCACGCCTAAAAGCGGCCTTCGAGCCCCATCTGCCGCTTACTCGACCCCTTCCACGCCAGCCCCGACTTCATCTCTTCCTCATCCGCGGGTCGCGTCAGGTATAAATCCTGCCGGCAAGTCGATTCGGAAAGTTGTTAGCATCAATTCCTTCCCACAACCTCCTAGTCGAGCGAGTAGCGTCCCCCGAGCCCCTGGCCGAATCCGCGCGTGGTTCGGCCCGCCGTTCAAAGGCATCAACGGCATCCACCTACAGCCATGTAGGTGGCTCAACGCCAAGCCTGCTAAACGGCAGCGGTGAAGGGAAGTCAGTCGGCGTTGGATTGAGAATGTCGGACGGGCTTATCAGCGTTGCCTCGCCGCCCCAGAGCCGTAGCTCGTCTGCCCAAGACTCATATTCAACTTCTGCCACTACTTACGATGACCCCTTGGAGGCATCCACAGCTCCCGGTGGCGCCATCGCCGATAAGAGGGCCTCGAAGCAAGATGGAAAAGGCAATGTCATTGTCAGCGTTAGGGTCCGACCTGATCTAACCGGCAATGATAACCCAAAGGATTGGGAAGTTGATCCGAAGAAGGCGTTAATTTCCCATCACGGACGTGAGAGCGGGGACTACTGTTATGGTAAGCTGCCGAAACCGGGCTGGAATCCTCAGCCGGCAGACATTTATTCATTTGGAAAGTGCTGACGAGTACCCTATCAGATAATGTATTTGCCACGAGCGACGATAATTCGAGGGTGTACGACTGCATCGCAAAGAGGCTTGTTCGAAGGGTTATGGAGGGCTACCACGGAACTGTTTTCGCGTACGGCATGACGGGCACCGGCAAGACCTTCTCCATGCAAGGAACAGCCTCATCTCCCGGTGTTATTCCGCTCGCGATTACCGACATCTTTTCGTATATCCGCGAAACACCCTCGCGCGAATTCCTGCTTCGCGTTAGCTATCTTGAGATATACAACGAAAAATCCATGATTTGCTCAGCATGCCGACTGTGAATGGGGTAGGCGGTGCCAGCCAGGACGAGATCAAGCTACGCGAGGATAGCAAGCGGGGCGTTTATGCTAGCCCGCTAAAGGAGGAGATCGTGCAAAGTCCGACGCAACTTCTCCGTGTTATTGCTCGCGGCGACCAGGCGAGGAGGACCGCGAGCACCCAGTTCAACTCGAGAAGTTCTCGGTCTCATGCTGTTGTCCAAATCGTTGTTGAAAGCCGAGAGCGTATGCCTGGCAACGCGAGCGCTGAAAACAAGCGTGGGGGTCTGCTTCCTGGCGGAGTCCGGGTCTCGACCCTAAGTTTGATTGATTTGGCTGGTTCCGAGAAGGCGGCGGAAAGTAAAGAGCGCCGGACCGAAGGATCTCATATCAACAAGAGCTTGTTAACCCTGGGTACGGTTATCGCTAAGCTGTCGGAGCACAAGGACAAGGATGGAAAACCTGCGGATAAAGACGGCAAGCATCTCCCCTACCGTGACAGCAAACTCACGCGTCTTCTCCAAGGCGCACTCTCTGGAAACTCGCTGGTCAGCATCCTATGCACGATCCAGACGGGCTCCGCTGGTACCGCTGCGGCCGCCAACACACACACCGCCGAGACCCTGAATACCCTCAAGTTTGCCTCCCGCGCGAAGAACAATATTGTTAGTCACGCGAAGAAGGCTGAAGAAGCCCTTGGTGCCGGTGGCGATGGCGGTGCCCGTGTTCTGCTTGAGCGATACCGAATGGAAATTGCAGAGTTGAGGTCACAGCTAGATTGCCAAGCCAAGGGCAAGAAAAAGACGGACGATCTCTCTGATGAGGAGAAGGTGAAGAATGCTGAGGAGGAAAAGGCCCGCGAACTCGAAGCCGAACAGCGTCACGAAGAACAGATGCTGGAGATGCAGCTTGCCAGGACAGCGCTCAAGGAGCGCATCGATCACTTGAACCGGCTAATCCTGAGCTCCAAGTCGACCGGAGTCAACCGAAGCGGATCCTACAGTTCCCTCGCCAACTCGCGCTTCTCTCAAATATCCACTCGGTCGTCGATGACGGCATCCAACAGCGGTCGGCCAGGAATGGAGCGGACTTCGTCGATGACGTCTGCGTCTTCCACCGTTGGCCGGCGCTCAAGCGGCGGAAAGAGACAATCAGGTGGCGAGGCATCCATCATGGAAGACGAGGATAGTGTCGGAGAGTTTGGTGACGGAAATGCATCACTCGCGGCGCAAAATCGGGCCCTTCAGTCGGATCTAGCGGATAAGAATCGGTACATCACGACGCTTGAAAAGAGGCTTCTACAGGCCCGCAGAGCCAGCTCGTCACGTACGTCGGTTGGCTTCGGTGGAAGCAAGAACATCCTCGTCGGAGAAGATCATAGCGTGTCCACGCTTCTCAAGGAAAAGGATGCCGAGATTGCGGAGCTTCGCGCTAGGATTGACGACAAGGATCGGATGCTGGCCGCTCTCCGAAGTGTGGCAAGATCCCGCGAAACGGCAGAGGGAACCGTCGCTTTCGACCCGAGGGCGCCTTTGAGTCCCCCACCATCAGCTACGCTGCTGAGTTCCCAGCAGACCCCGTTTCCGCCTATGAAGGGAAGCCGCAAAAGTGCTGGTGGCGACGATCTCAAGATCCTAGACGATATGATATCCGATCGAATCGAGAGCGGCCAACTGGTACGGAGTTCGCGAGGCAGCGTCCGCATTGCCTACGACGGACCTCTACGAGATCCTCCAACGGAGCCCCTGCCAACTTTGGATCTTGCCCATAAGCAGGAGCAGTTGAAGCAACAGGCTTCGATTCAAGAAGTCTAGTTGCAAAGTTGTTGAGTTTTGGTGGGAGAAGAGCGAGCCCCATGCAACCGAAGAAGACCTCCATCCGAGGTAACCTTCTCCGGCACACATAAAAGTATGGGTTGCTTGAAACTTGGAGGGCCCATGGGCCATTGGCGTTTTTTTTTTTTTTTTGGACTGGCTACCTTTTTTTCTCCCTTTTTCGATTGTTGTGTTATTATACCCACGAAGATTCTCGACGCTGAACTTTCTTTTTCCCTTTTATTCTTTTTTGCATATATTCTTTTCTCGACCCAACCGACACAACAACTCTTATCCGTTTGATCGGATACCGACATTGTTCTATGCTACACGCGTGGCAGGGATGGTGGACCTTTAATCATCTTTTTGATTGTTTGTTTTTGAGTTTGCTAAGCCTTTCCATGTTTGGTTTGCTACTCTAGACAGCTCATTTACTTTATCAAATGGACGGGCATCCGATTGCAGCAGCGCGCAAGCATCCTTCCTTTCCCAAGCGGATTCGATTTGCTTCTCGTAGGACACGGTGCCGCGAATCATGGGCTTGACCCATTTCCCTCGTTTTCATCCCATTTTCTTACATGCTATCATCTTATGGCCTCGCCGTGGTCTGCTTTGCTCGGACGCCTTTATCTCTCTCGCTTTCTCTCATTCTCCTTTTTGTCTATTTTTCTTCCTCTTTTCTTTCCTTTCCTTGGCTTCCGGTTCTTTTTTCCTCTACTTTTGTCTTCGTTCCTTGACTCCGGCTTCCCGGAGTGTGAGCTGGTTCGGTCTAGGCCTTAATTGGGATGGTCGCGTTTCCTTTCCTGTGTCGTTGCTTGTACGCCTGCCACGATGACGTTCCACATAATATAGGGCGGAAGGAGGGAATGGTATGAGCCGCTGAGAAGGTGTGGGCGGACGGGCAAGTCGGAATCGTTGGTGGCGAGGCGCAATCCGGGCACTTGGTGGACCAGAGAGCAAGCCGAAGAGTTTGCTATACAGAACAAAAAAGTTACGGGGAGTTGGGCTTGTTTTTGGGCTTGTATATTATGACATTGTACTTTGGCAAGAGAAAGAACAGACAGGCTCCGCTTCCAGAGGAGCCATTTTATATCATTGCTTCGCCTATTACATGTATTTTAAGGCGCGTTGGAACCGTGCTTCATCTCTATTGCGTGAATCTGAGCGTAGAGCGAGAGCAGTAGTAGCTGAGCAGAGTGCAGAGTGCTTGCTCATCTCGATAATATATCCATCCACGGATGTATCTAGAAAGAGGGAGTTGCGTGGCTTCTGCCCCTTCTTGAACCACCACTTCAATCCTGGTCACTCTGTGTTGAATGTTGTGCTCAGGGGCAACATGAGAGCCGGCCATGGTCGGCGTAATCGAAGATCTCCAAATTGAGAGTGGTTGCACGGCAGGCAGAGTCAGCGGTCGCCACCCCCTTTCCCTCGACAACCCTCTTGGGTATTCGGGTAAGCTTGGTGCAAAAGGAGCGATAAATCGCCGCGAGGCCGCCTTGCTAAGTTTTTCTTAAGCTGTAAAGGAGCGGCAAGGGACCAGCCGCCAACCTCTGTCATCTACACATACGAAGTATGCTTGACGCTAGATTACCTGGGATCGAGTCCCAAGGGATATAGAGTAATACTTGTAATACGGGGGTCTGTTTCTTTTCTCCGGGAGACTCGCTCGGCCGGCACTAGGGTATGAGTCCAGAGAGCCCGAATGGCTTGGAGCATCTCGCATAATGGAGCACGCCGATCATCATCCTATCCCGAGGAATGGCTGCTTGTACAGGTTTGTTGAAGAGCAGGCGTTTGCTTCGCCTCGGCTCCCCACCTGGAAACGGGGAAAAGCAGAGGGAGGGGACGCGGCAGGACAATGACGATGCTCGGTGCAGTGATGGGCATCGGAGGAAAGAGAGCACGTTTGCGGGAAAAACGGATTGGCCAGGCCCATTCTTTGTCGACCCTCCAGTCTCTTTTAGACCCCTTTCTCTCTCTTTTGGTAGGCTTATTATTGCGATCAACGGCTTTGCTTCACTGACGTCAGAGCGGCAGTTGTGCTTGGAGGGCTGTCATTCGCCCTGCGAGCCGTGGTCTTGGCGGGTATAGCGTGCGCTGCCCTCGCGCCCCCTTTTCGGTTGGCTAGCGAGCTTTGGGGCATACACTATTACACTACGAGTACCTCGGTAGTGGTAGGCGACACTTGAGGACCATCGTTGGACGGCTAGGCCATGCCTAACAAGGGAGCTGAAAAGACGTGGGCTAATACTGGCTGGATGGATCAATTGTAATGACCGCGAGGAGTTGGAAAGCGACCATACTGGTCCATGATCAAGTATCAATGGACCACGAGCAACATTGAGCGGTTCGATCTACTGTTCGATAAATAGTGATCAGCCTGGTTTGAACCGAACCTCTAGAGGCGATATTACCGTGATGCTCGATTCGAATACCAGCTAATAGTTAGTTCCTCTTCTCTTTGAGGCCGGGGCCATCAAGACATGCAGGCTGTGTGCTAGGCGCCAGGGACCGAGGTGGTGGTCGAGAGGCTGATAGACACCACGTGAGAATTGAACACTGGATTCGGAAGTTTTTCAAGTATCGCGCGGTCTCAATTGGCGCGCTAGACACTTGACAGGCTCTACAACTTACGAGTAGCACCTTGGCTTCTCTGGCGTACTGGCGTGGTGCATCTGCTTAGAACCAGCCCGGTCCAGGTCCCACGCCAAGCTGAGACATGTCAACCGTTTCTTTTCTTGGGCTGGCCAATTCAACAATAAAGCTTGCGCCGTGCATTCGCGTGATGACTACATCTAGTATTCGTACATGTAGATTTGTGATGGCCTTGATGTGATGAAAAGGTTGTCAACTCTGACACACAGCACATGCAGCTGGAGGCAGTGATGGCTCCAACGGATCACAACATTCAAGTATCCATCCCTCCATCCTTCCATCCCTCGATACGTGGGTGTCTTTCGCTGAGGTGAGAGGGTTCCACCTCATGGCCCATCCTGCTCCTGAACTGATTTCCTACAGATAGCAATGGGGCATCTAAATTAAAAGGGATCTTTGACGAGTTGGAACCCTTGTATTCCTCGGCACGTTCCGGAGTATGGGAGACGCGCATGAAAATGAGCAAGAGGATCAACTGATTTGATGTTCCTCCCCCACTTGGAAAGGGAGAAAAAAAGAAAGGGAAAAGATGATTGACTTGTGGGCAAGTCGTGATCGGCGAGTCTTTCCATGAGAGTCGAACTGACGAGACGGGGATGGGAATTTACGACCACTGCATGCTTTTTCTCGGTTGGATGTTTCGCGACTCTCCTCTTGCTGGTCCATGGGATAGGCACTTTTCGTTGTCCATTGGCCCTTTTCCAGGTTTGAAGTTGAGGCACTGGCAATGTAGATGCGGCGGTAGTTTTTTCTTGAAGCTGGCACCATTTGCTGTGTGACTGTCCCGTGGACTTGATGGACTTGGCCTCGCCATCCGTCCCCTCGACTTGGTTTTGGTCGTCGTCGATATCTACACTATGGATGCATCGGAAGAGAGCAAGGAGGGAGACCCCTGCACCCCTGCCATGAGCTCGCCTAGGGCTACTTTTTTAGGTCCAAAGACGACGGTGGAGGAGAGACGTGATTGGCGCAATTGGGAATCCCGACTCTGGACCGGGATGATCTTCCCCAAGTTCTGAAGAATCTGAAACGCGCCAAGGAGATGTGGAAGCATGCAGGCCGAGAGGTACTTTGCCGATACTCCGCCCTGCCCACACTCGGTCCAAGAAGGGCTTTGAGGGCGAGGGCGACGACAGACCCAAGCGAGAGACCAGGTATTCCCCAGGTCGATGATGGGCGTTTGTTGCCAACCCGGATTTCGACCATCGATGGCTCGGGGCGAACATCCCAATTAAAAAGGCGATCTCTCCCTGTGTTGTGCTGTGCTGTGCTGTCTTGCGTTGCGCTGTGCTGCTTGGACGGATCGACTTGTATGTATACACTCGAAGCGTCCCGGGTCTATTCAGCAAGGGGAGAGAGAGACTCCACAAGGAACATTGAAGACATTGAAGCGGCGTACATCACAGGAGCGGGAATGACATCAATTCATCATCTAACCGCATTGCCGTGCAAGCTGTGGTGAGAGCCATGGTCAGCTTGACTGAGGCGTGGACTGAAGCCTAGACGTACACTATGCTGTAGATGTAAGGAGGGCGAATTTTCTCCGGAATAGATTGCCTGCGCCTTATTTCCCGTTTCGCCTTTCCTCAGCTGGTCTGCTCCGTGTTTTTATTTCCAATCGCACATCCACGCATGGAATGGATCCATTCCATTTCGTGTCGCCACAAGACCGTTTTGCCTCCCTCTTCCCCCACCAGACCCCCCTTCGCCTCCCCCTCGGGTCGCAGCGAAGAGAGGCCTTGTTTCGCAGCCCTTTTCAAGACTTGGACCTCGCGGTGACATGCATGTTTTCAGGTGGATGACGATGTTCCTACAAGTCCCCCATCCAAAGGCGGGGGAATGGGAAATAGGGAATGGGGAATGGATGAATTTGCCTGCACTCTGCTTCGATATTGTTCAATCTGGAGTTCGACGCTGATGCACAGGAAAAAGGGTCTTGGCCAAAAGCAAGCGGGCTGGGGCCTGTTGGAATGTAATGTTTTGAGTGGCCGGATACTAGTAATACTTAACACTACATACATGTACACCAGCAGCAAGCATCAAGTGTGAAGCATGGGCAATCAACCGACAAAGGCTCAAGCTGTGAGACCCTGCAATTGACGGTCGAGACTGAGACTAGCCCACCGGCTTTTGCGGCATCGTTTGGTGGCATCTGGATCATTTGACATCGACTTTGCCAGCTTGTACAAGTCGCACTGATATCTATGCCGTATGCGTTGGTCCTGTGCTCCGTCTTATCCCCCGGGCCCCTTTCGCTCCAGTCTTTCTCTCTTCCTGCCATGCTGCCCCTGGTCCCCAGCTCGTGTGCCTGATCGAGTAAGGTAATGAGTAGCACAGATGGGCCGATCTTCGCCAAATTCTTGTCAATCCTCGCACTAGGTTCTGTTCCTAGAGAGCTCCGAAAACCACTGGAACTGGCGTCAACCCGCAAGTCCGACGCCACCCTCGAGACTCCCAAGCCCAGGCCCACTTGGATCAAGCCCTCGAAGGCGACACCGAGGTATTACTCTTGAATCCAAGCATAAACCTTTCCCTGCGCTCCTTGCTCGTCTCTCTTTTTTTCGGCATTCTTCTTTTTTTTTTTTCTCTTTCCTTTCTTTTGCTTGCCCTCTCTCTTCCTCCATTGGATTCCACCTACTCCTCCACATTTCATAATTTCTTCTTTTTGCTTGACACCGGCCCCGTCGACATCGTTCAACACACGAGATCACAGTCTTGCGCTCTCTGGCTCGAGCCCTCCCTGTTCTCTTGGCACCCGCCGCCCCAACTCCCCGGCTCGGGGGCGTAGATTCCTAGCTCTAAAATCCTCTTGGGCGTCGTTCGTCCGAGTTGGGTTAAGCTCCTCAAGACAGGAATTCTCCACGGAGGGAGACCAGATTTCCCCATCCTGGGTGCGACGAGACTCGGTCCATCCACCTGTTTGTGAAAGGAGGACACCGTTCATCCGGCCGCCATTTCTCTTCTTCCCTCGAAGGCGTCTTTCCGGGCGGAAACGAGTCAAAAGAAACTAAACTACCCATCCCACTTTGGCCGGCGGGACCTGGTCACCAGCCCTCACTCGTCTCATTCGTGACCTTTTTCACAGAGTCCAGGCTAACACTCCTGGCTCCACCTGGACGGGCCCTCCCTCTCCAACCTTTTTCTTTTTCCTTCTCGGAGGCGAAAGAGAGGCCTTTTGTCGGACTTTTATTATTATTAGCGAGTTGGACAGGAAGTCGACCATCTCTCAACTTGGTCACCACACTCAACGAGGAACTTTATGTACCTCCCCTCCCCCGGCTACCCTCCCGGACTTTGAGCTTGCTCGACCCTACCCACCCACCCTTCACTTATTCTTTTCTTTTCTTCGGAGAGAGAGGCAGAGCTTTCCTCTCCGAAGCCTAAAGGACCTAGGACGAGCCTCATCCGACATCTGATGGCTCCTCGTCCTTGAAGAAGAACGAATTCTCAAGGCTTGACGCCGGAACGAAAGTACGGGCTGTTGAGGAGCCACCTCTTTTTCCGTTGGAGCCTTGTTTCTTCCTCCTGGCCGTACTATCTCTTTCTTGTCCCTTCTACTCTTTCATAATTCCCGGCTCGTAACCTGTCCACGGCCGTCCGATAAACATTGGTTTGGCCTCCTACTTGCCTACCTACTAAACTACTAAACGCCGATATCCCCTTGGCTCTTTTCCAGCATCGCCGCGATGCAGACCCAACTCGAGGTTGGCCGGGCTGCTCGCCACCCCAGAGTCATCATAGCCCCTCCTCGTCTCAATCTTCGAAGAGCAGGCTCATATCAACACGAAAAGGGACCCCTCTCATCAACTTCTTCCCGCTTCAACTTCAACCACCTTTTCTTCTCCCCCACCTTCCCCGAGCCTTCCCGCCCTCGTCCCCCGGCCAAAAAGTCTCCCACGCGGCCCCGACCCAGCCGTGTGCTCAGGATCCTGGCCTGGCTACTGAGTACCGTTTTTGTCTTCTATGTCGCTGCGCATGCCATCCGGAAACATGTGGAGCTCGCGGGCGTCAAACTAACCTACTTGGACCGGAATACCGGCGAGGATGAAGTGGAGATGGTGAGCCGCCAGGCCTTGCCAGACTTCCCAACACCCGTCATAACCGAGGATAAATGGGGGCGATCGAAGTGGACCGTCTCTATACCGAAGAAGCACCCGTTTCCTCTCTCCGTGAGCGAGTACTCCGAGATGTCGAGGGCCTGTAAGGACGTTCAAGCCACTGTGCGCAGCCAACGTGAATGGACCGGCACGAAACAACAACCCTTCTCCACCATGCACGGCAAATCAGACTCACACTACGTCGATGTGCGCGAAGCCGCCAAATCCGGCCTACTCCCCAACCTCCACAGCGAGCGGGAAGCCGAATCGGAAGGAAGGCAAACTCCGCAATTCGGGAGCTTTGTAGGAGTGAACAAGGACTCGTACATGTCGGAGTGCGATAAGAGCTTGACAGTGGTTCTAGAGACGGACGAGGCCGGTATCGGGCATACCCTCATGATGCTATGGACCTTTTACGGGCTCGCAAAGGAGCAAGGCCGCTCCTTTTTGTCGAGGATAGCAGATGGACGTATGGACGGTACACATCCATCTTCCAGCCGCCTCCCGTCCCCGACTGCAAACCACCCCCGAGGCACGAAATGGTCCCGTGTCCCACGCAAGCGAGGCACCTAGTCGTGTCCGCCGCCACCGCCAAGGACGTCTTGGTGGACTCTTTGAGCACCCGAAAAGCGAACGGCGCCGCCGCCGCAGACGACGACGACGACTACACCAGGAAGATCCTGTACGATTTCGCCCGCCGGGGCTACGAGGCCCTCTTCCACCTGGCCAACGGCGACGTAGAGTACATTGACGGCCGCGTCCAATCTCTGACCGCCCAAGCCGCGAAATCCAAATTGCCCATCGCCGGCATGCACATCCGTCGAGGCGACTGCCACCCTCTCGAGTTTCCCTACCGCGACTCGTACATCCCCAACGAAGTGTACGCCGACGCCGCGCGCACCGCCCTGAAGAAGAAGCTCCCCGAGGCCAACACGCTTCCTCTCCTCGTCGTCGCCTCGGACGACCCCATGGTCCACGGCTCGCCCGAGCTCGTGGGCGCCCACCACGCGCAGGACCGCATCAAGCTAGCGAGCAAAGAAACCCTCGATAAATCCGGCGCCACCGGGTCCCGCGACCGCTCCATCATGCACCGGTTCAAGGACGAGACCTTTGGCTGGGAGGGTGGCTTCTTCTCCACCATGTTTTGGAATCTCGGCATGCCCAAGGGCCAGGCTGGCAACCACGAAACGCGCGTATCGACCGAGACCGTCGCCCTCCGCACTTTTCTCGCCAGAGCCTATCTCTTGGACCTTTCAGTGCTCGCTCGGGCCGGCGACGCTGTCGTCTGTAGCGTTGGGAGCATGGGTTGCCGGATCTTGGGCGTCATGATGGGCTGGCGCGAGGTTTCGGACGGTGGTAGGTGGTTGAATATTGATGGTGAGCACAAGTGGATGGGCTTGACTTGGTGAGCGAGCCTCTCTACACGAGAACGTATCAATGCATTGTTCGGCCGGCGTTCACACGTTTTTCTTTTTCTTCGCTTTTCTTGTTCATATTTTCCCCCCCATCCATTTATACCCACCCACCACATTCATTCATTTCCTTTTACTTTTTATCTGCCTTCTTCCCTATTCACGGGTCCTTCATGTATATTCTTAGACGTATCGGGTGGAGATGACACACCCCTCGGCGCATCCTGGAAGGGCAAGGGAAAACACCATAGAGAAAAACCGCAACTACAAGACGACTTATACTCACGAGCCTAGGCTTTGGCCAGGGCCAATCTCTGGCTAAGCGGCCGCAGCACACTCGCTATTTAATGTTATACGTACGAAATTAATTATTCAAAGATTCAACTAAAACGTAACGTGTCTTCGTGATGATCAAGCGTGATGTGTGCAAGGCGAGGCGGGGTCTATGTGTCTAGGTGCTCGACGCTCTACCTAGAAGATATAGGTTTCTTGGACGGTGACGCACGAGAGAACGAGAGAGACAGACAGACAAGGAGATCACGTTCAAGGGTACGCGAGGGGCTTGGAGTTTAAATATCAAGTGTCATTATACCATCATATTCATTACGGAGGAGCTAATTCATTCTAGTTAATGTACAAGTTCTGGTTTTGGAGCATGTTCGTCTCGTAAGGTGGGACAAAGAAAAAGAAGACCAGCCAAAGAACGAGCGCAAGGGCCTATTTGGTTCCAACAACACCGGACCCGACCAACTTGGCAGTCGGGGACGGCTAGACTCTTCCGAGGTGTGGATGCCGCCAGAGAGGCAAGAGATCGAGTGGTGGAGGTGGTCGCAACAGCCGCTGCCGTGGTGCTGTCGCTGGTCGCGCTGTGCCGACAGGTCCGGCAGATGAGATATGCGAGAAAAAGAAAAGAGAAGATAGAGAAAGCAGTGGACAAAAAAGAAAACGAATGATGAGTTTGTCCGGTACGTGTAGAAAGGAAGCGGACGGATGGTCTTTCGCTGTGCGCTGTTATGGTTCGAGACTGGAACGAAAGAAAACAAATAAAACAGTTGCCAAGCCTTCTAAAACGCCATGCAAAGTAAACAAAGATTGCGAACCGCCCGGAAAGAGAAGAGCGACCGAGGGATGGGCGGCAGCTAGGCTCGAGGTTGAGGACAAAGAGAAACCCCCAGCCTAGGGAAGGGGGGCGAGTGAGTCGGCAATGCGAAAAAAGGGGAAAGGCTAGGAATGGAGGACGGGGACGCTGGTGGCGTGGATTCGCTTTCACATGGAGACGACGCGGCCACCGGCGGGCATGGTTCGTGGCCTAGGCCGAAGATTGATCACCATTTCCAGCTCGCGAAGCATGCCGCGAGTAGCGTCAGCCTTCTCCTTGACTTGTTCCTTCCTGTCCCGCTCCTCTCTCATTTTAGCGATGCGCTCCTCCCTCGTCAGTAGCGATCGGGGTCGGGGTAGCGCGACGGCCTCGAACAGGACCTCGGCGTCGCTAGAAAAGTCCTCGGAGAGGGTGGAGGCGGGACGGCCCTCGCCGTTGAGGATCTTGAGGGCATCCTGGACGGTTCCCTCCTCGACGGTGCTGAGGCCGCTGAGGGAGGAGGAAGGCGAGAAGAGGGTGCTCAAGGACGAGAGGCGCTTCTCGTTTCTATCGATGCCGAGAGCGAGGGCGGCCTTGCCCTCCTCCCACGCCTGGGTGAGTTCCTTGAGGTCGACGCCGATGGAGTCGTACTGCGACATGAGGGTCGGGCCGAGTTCGGAGATGTCGGTCGATTCGTCGAGGGCGCGGTCGGACTCCTCGCGGAGGAGTTGGAGCTTGGCCTGGAGACCGCGGATGCCGGTTGATAAAGAGTTGAGCTTCCTCATCTGGGATCTCCAGCGCTCGCGGCCGGGAGTAAGCGGGATCTTGGGGGTTGGTGGGGTTGGGAAGGCTAGGTGACGTGGCTTGTTAGCGGGACAGAGCGCACGTTAAGATGCAGATATATATATATATCTGTGTTAGCTCTACTTACATTCTTCCTGACTTAGAATGCTACTTAGGCGCTCACACGCCTCGCTCGTTGTTTGGCGAAGGGTAATGAGTGCCTCGACTGCGGTGGTCCAGCGCATCAAGTCTCTGCCATCTGCGTTCGCCTCAAGGGCCAAGAGCGCGCAGAGGAACATTTTCCGGATGGTGTGGAATCTCGCGGCGAGAACCTTGAGCGTACGCAGGGACTCGTCGTCGTCGAACTCATCTTCGGCATAGCCTCGCATCGCGTCCGAGATGTCGAAGTCGGATATATCGTAGATGTCAAAGTACTTTTCAAGGTCAATTTGCTCGGAAAACCCTTGACGGCGGTCGTCGCCTGCGTATAGGCCCCTAGGGTCCCGGCATAACAGTGCCTCAGCGCCTTGCGTAGGCGGATACACTTTCGGCTTTGCGATCGATCCTCGATTCGGCTGATAGGGGCAAAGGAGCACTCCTATAGCAAGAACATCACGTCGTTAGTACCGATAAACCCGGGTGTGGCGCACGTCACCGTTGCCAAGAGGTAAAAAAAAACGTACAATCTATAGCCGCGCGACACCAACTCAACTTCTTGAATCAAAGAAAGGGCGGCCCCGGTGGCGCTATCGAGGCTTTGCGAGACGGAGACAAAGGAAGAAACCTCGGAGAGTGCCTGATCTCTTCGATATCTGAGCCACTGCCTCTTGAAGTAGATCGGAGCTACAAGAGCGACAACGGCGAGGATGACGGCGAAGAAACACAGCCGCCTTTTCGTCAAGCTCGCGTAGCCGCCGGCGGCGAGCCAGGCGGCCAGGAAAGCCACAGCCACGGCCCCCGTCACCGAAGCAAAGGCGGCGGGAGCTGGAGGAAGCTCCTGGCCTGGTGACTTGGAGGGCGTCCCGACGTCGGGATCGTGCACAGGGTAGGCGTTCTGGCCAAGGCCGACGTGGCCAGTCAGAAGCTGGGAGGCGACGATGATGTATCGGAAGCGCTCGAGGAACTTGGAGTTATCGGCTTGATCGATCCGGGAGGTGACGGCAGCCTGAAAACGGAGGGGAGGTTAGCGGATACGGACGCGGCACGGGAGAAGAGTGGGAGCTGGTAGGAGGGCTTCATACTGAGTACTTGGTCCTGAGCTTTCGTAGTGAGGAGTTCTTGGGGATCTCTAAATGTATCGGGGGCGGGGCGTTTGGTCGGAAGCGTGATCTCACAGTTGGCCGGCCCTTGGGAGCGAAACTAGGACTGGAAGGGGGCGAAGAGGAAAGATCGGGTTCGAGGTCGGGGTGGCCCAGTCGGAGGCGTCTGCCTCGCCCTCGCCTGTGTGCGTACCACGCGAGTTAGCTGTGTTCCTTGCAGGTTGCATGAGGCGGCGGGCCCCAGTTAAGAGGCCCGCATAGCGACGTGTCGCTTACCGATTAGATAGTCGGCGAGGGGAGTGCGGTCCTGCACCACAGTCTCCATTCTCTGAGCACTGCGGCACGAAGAGCAAGCCCGGAGGAGGCGATAATCGAGGGTTGGGGGAGGAAAGGAGGGATGGCGTTCGCGGGGAGTGGACGAGAAGGGTTAACAACAAGGCCGATTATTCTACCGCGACGCCATCGGAAGTGTCAAAAAAAGGTAGGAGAGGTAGTAGGCGTGGCGTTCGGGCGGTTGACTTAGCGGCGCGTGCGGTGAAACCTGTTGTCTTGGACTGACAGCTTGGATGGTCGAAAGAGGAAATTATAGGGGTCGCCCGCACACGAAGGGAGTCGCAAGGAACAAGGTCATGAATCGAGGTATTGCCCTCTTTGAAGTCGTGAACGGCGGAAGGAGATAGGGTCGAAGAGAGCGAGGGCGGAAAGATTGTATCGTGTATTATTTGTTTTTGTAAAATGGTTGTTATTATTGTTGCTGTCTCGATATGGAAAACACAAAAGGGAAAAGAGGAGACCGTAGTCAGGCGAAGCGAGTGGAGGCGAAACCGATGCTGGAAGAATGGGGGTTGGCGATTTGGTCCCGGTATCACGGTAAGTCAGGAATACGCTATTTTGCCTAGCTCGTCATGTACGTGATACGCGGGTTGAGCCTGGGGACAAAGGGAAAAGGGAAAGTCAACTTTTGGGATATTAGCGCATGGCAACAGACGGGCGGCAGAAATGGCACATTAATACGCCGCGACAACCTGATGGTCTTGTGATTTGCTCGTCTGCTGCTCCCCCGTGAACAATCTTTATTGACCAAAACAGAGACAGAGACAGAAACAGAAGCAGCAGATTCGGGGCATGTGGCGTCTGAGCAAGTACCAAAAGTCGTGCTGCTGGTATCCTCGTGCGATTTTCGGGCGTTTGTTTTTCTTTCTTCTCCCTCTCCCTGTTTTCCCTTGTCTTGCATCCATAGCCCCTTCATAATACTCTAGAACACGGTGGCGACGACGTTCATCGCATGTACTCTGCATTCTCTTGCCAAATTCCGCAAGCAAGCTGGGGCATTGTTTCTAAATTTCCTATTTTGGACAGTTCCTTTAAGAGCTTCGCCGGCGACGGCGGAGATCAGGGTTCGCATTGACGCAGTCTGATTATGGTTCATCTCTTTTTCTTTGCCGTTGCGCTGTCCAGGATTGCATCGAACAAGGGCCCCAGGGGTTGGTGCTGGTGTCGGCGAGATTGGCATGTCTGGATGGCTGGTTGGCCCCTTCCTCGGTGGTTCCACCCTCATATTTCAGTGCATGAGACCCACTGAAAGGAACTTGTCCAGAACCTCATTTTGTGCGGAGCGCACATTGATCAATGATTGACCGATCCGGGGATCAATGGATTGTTCATGTTGTAATGTGCCTTTGCCCATGGCGGGGTCGACATAATAATTCGACGTAATGCTACGTAATTTAATGCAGTCCAGCACCCGAAGCATGTGGGAATCAAGCTGTCCGACCCGGCTAAACATGTAGTTCTGCCGAACAATAGCCATAGAGCGCCCGCAATATGCGACAGGTAAGCCAAGCTCCGAAGCCTCGAGCGTCAAGCACGGCGAAATATCGAGGAGCTACCAAACGAGTATTGACATCGGATTCGGCTCACGCGCAATCCAAAGGCACCCTTCCCATCGAGATACCCCCGGCGCTGACTGCATTGGAATTTAATACACGCCCTTTCCAAGCTGCCCACGGCCTTTGTCCCCAATTCCACCGATACACGCAATCTTCGACCTTGGGAGCTATCCAAGCAACACAGTCGCCAGGATGTCTACCGTCGAACGAGAATATCAAATCTCCCCATCGTTACAGAGTCGGTGGTCCACAACACCAAGGTTGGTTCTATTCCCCTCCCCGACTCCCCTCGCCCATAATATCCGGGGATAACCCTAAATTTGCCATGCCCGCCGCGGGGTTTGCGTGCTAACACGTTACTCCTCTCCCACAGGCACTGGCCAACTTTCAGAGTCTCACGGCCTCGCTCTTCGGCGTCACCGCCGGCATCCTTGGCCTTCAGTCTTATGCCGGGTTTCTCTTCTACTTCGCCTTCACCACCATCTGCGCCATACTCTTCCACTTCTTCCGCATAGCCCCCGCATCCCGCGCCGCCGGCCTCTCCCCGCTCGACACCAGCATCTATTTCAAGGGCCCCTTCGATTTTTGGACGGGCGGCTTCATGGCTGGGTTACCCGGCTACATATTGACTTGGACGCTATTCTTTGGTCTTGTGAGGGCGTAATGATTGGCTCTGTTGGAAAATAAGGTCCGAAGAAGAAGCAAAACAGGAGGTTGTTTCTTGTCTCGCAACACCCGTGTCGAAGGGCTGCTGAGAATATTATCTTTATATTTTTTCCTCTTTTTATTCAAGTCTTCAGGCGTTGGGTATGGCTTGTAATATCTTGGTTGTTACAATAACAGCGGCGATTCGAATAGACGATTATTTTTGAACTGCTACTATGGCGGCGCTAGGTCCGGCACGCAGATCTTGAGAAGAGACCCGTTTCTCCCCTTTGCCAACGAAAAAAGGCATAAAGCCTACCTCGGTATACGTAGCGGAGAAGCCGACGAGAAGAGCCATTGAAGTCTACACTAAAACGTATTTACCTCGAGAAAGGGGAAGAAACGTTATACACAGAATAGGATTTGAGAAAAGAAACAAGTCATGAACCAAAAGAGGGCAAAAACAGCCCCCTACAAAGACAAAAAAGACGCTTGCCTCCCCACCGTATTGCGCTTACATGTGCGGCACCCAGAAAAAAAGAAATGAACCCCGGGACTAGTAGTCCGCTACCTCGATCACCCTGCCCACGAGCGCATCCAACCCGGACCTACCGCCCTCCAACACCACTATTTGCGACCCCAGCTCCACCCACTCCCGGCTCGACAGGATATCCAGCGCCACCTCGACCCCGGCCGAGCCCGCCCCGTTTTGCGTGTCCTGCCCGCCCTCCAGCTGGTCGTCGAGCCTGAAGACGCCGTCCGGCTCGCCGATGCCGTCCTCCTTGGGGCGGGCCTCCGCCACGCGCACGACCTTGGCAGCCGTCCGCACGCTGGCGACGTAAATGGACACCACGTTGCCCACGGCCAGGAAGCCGCCCTCGGATCCTCGAACAGGGCCGTGAGGCCGCTCGCGGCCTGCAGCGAGACGCCCGTCTTCCTCATGTGGTGGGACGGCACGGCAATCACCATTCCTTTGCGGATGCGCTGCATGTGCTCGGGCTTGTCGAGCACGAGGCCGACGGAACCCACCTGGCCGGCTTCCAGAGCAATGACGGAGAGGCGAAGGTTTCGAATGCTGACAATGGTGGCGTCGTGCCACTCGCCCTTGATCTTGGAGGCGGAGACGGCGTTCTTGATCGCGAGCCGGGCCAGCTCGCCCGCATTCTGGTGCGCGGACATCAGCGCCGAGTAACTGCCGGGGACGGCCTGTCTTCCGGCCGCGGCTCGCCCGCATCGTCGTCTTCCTCGGGCGGGAAAGGCCCCACGACTACGCGATGGCCCACCTGGAGGTCTCCGAACCGCAGGTGTCCGGAAACCACGATCCCCTCGTCCACCGGGTCGCTGTAGCCCGCGGACACGGGGCGTGCCGCGCGGGAGGTTGTACTTTTCTTCAATGTGGAAGAGAGTGACGGGCTGCTCGGGATTCAGCACCGGCCCGGTGAAATCCTGCGGGGTCGGGGTGGGGGCATGGGTAGATGGGCGAAGAGGGCGTGGACGAGGCCGATGCCCTTGCCCATGACCGAGCTCGTCAAGACGATAGGGACGTGGCCGACCGGTCTGTCCATCTTGGCGACGACGGCGCGGATCTTGTTCACGTCGTCCGCGGGGACGTGGGTGGGATTGGCGTGGCACTCTTGGCCGGTGCGTACGAGATGCGGCTCGCGGCCCGCCGCTTTCGTGGCCGCCATGACGCGCTCCAGGATGGGCTTGATCACGGCGATGCCCGAGGCGTCTCCTTTGGTGAGAAGGACCGCGAGGGGGACGCCTAGCTTCAGGCACAGGTCCAGGTGGGCCGCGGCAGCATTCAAGGACTGCTCGCCGCGCGTCGCGTCGGTTCCGTGGGCGCCGGTCGCAAAGTCTTTGTCGTCGGCCGCGATGCACAGGATGATCCAGTGCGGCGCCCAGCCAATGAGGCCGCGTAGGATAGTTCGGCGAAACCGGGTGGCGCCGGCCGAATCGGAGACGAAGACGAGACGGCCGTCCTCGGCGCCGTCGTGAATGTTGATCCACGATTCGATGTCGGGCCGCCCAAAGTTGAAGATTTCGTCGTCTTTGTACCCGATGAGCTCCTGGGCGACCGAGCTAGTCACGCCGGAGGCGACCTCGTGCCGGTGCTTGAGTAGACCGAGGCGGCTGCTCCCTCCCCGTTGTCTAGGGTGCCGGTGGAAAGGGTGCCGAGGAGGGTCGACTTGCCCGCAGTACTGGGTCCCGTCAAGGTGATCCGTAGCTGTGCGGTGGTCGACCGCACGATGGCCGGTGCCGAGCCGTTGTTTCCGGGGTTGGGGAACGCGGGGCGCTGCTGAGACCGAGATCCGGTGTGACGACGGCTTCGCACACCCAGAGCTTCTGGCGCTGTAACGAGGGCTCGGGGGTGTCCGAGGGCCTTGCTTCGGGGAATCGTCTCCCTCGCGGAACTCGCACAGGCCCACTTCGACGATGCGAAGGATCTTGACGTCGCAGCCAAGACTGGCCGCCATGTTCCTCAGGACGAGGATGCTCTCGTCCAACTCGTCTCTGGTGAGGCCTACCAATGTACCATCATCGGATACACCAATCTCGTACAAGGCACCTAGAGATTCCTCAAGACCTACTGGCAGCTTATCCGGCTTCACGAGCTGGCTCGCATCAACAATGTCCTCCGGCAGCCGAGGGATGAGAATGTCTTGGCGGGAGCTTGTGACATGGTTGGGAGAGGACTGCTTCAACCTCCATAGAAGCTGGGTGGTCAAGTGCGAGAGCCTTTCCTGGCGACTTTGGGTCGAGACTGACGGCTGGAGCGGGGAGCCCAACTGCTTCGCAGAGGCGGGAGCCGGCCGAGCTTGTACCGAGCCAGAGATGTGCGGAGCGGTGCTAATGTGGCTATAGACCCGCCTCGGCCGGAGCATGAGATGCAGTTTGTATTCTATCGGACCTTCCTGAGGCTCCGGGCCTAGCCTAGAGATGCCATACTCGGAGAGAAGTCCGGGTTCGGGAAGGGCATACGCGCCGGCATCGCCGGGTGTTGGCCGGGGGCTGCCGGGGCCGCTACCCGAAGTTTCGGACTGCCTCCAGGGAGAGGAGACGCGAGTCGGCTCAACAAAGGAGAAGAGAGACGCCATTTCAGGATTGCGGAGGAGCCCGCCAAGCCTGGAGTATGGAAAAAGAGAGACGGCTGGACAGAGAGACGGAAAAGGGCAGAGAGAGAGAGAGAGAGAGAGGGAGATTAGAGGAGGGGTTTAGAATTGGAGGAAGTGAAACCTGGGCACTGTCGAGGAATTCAAATTATTAATGTAGAATTCTTTTCTTTTCATATAAGGTCCGAATAACTCGGGAAATAGAGGTAATGATGCGTTGGCATGTGTATCCTTGTTTTCATTTTTGCTGGACGCTTGGGGAGAAGCGGTGACGGGGGTGAGAGTTGTATTGGTGAGGCGATGTCGTTGTTGAGCTGTGCGCACCAAAGCTCGAGATTTTGTCTAATTCTAGATCAGGGTGAAAGGAGAAGGGGGCCACTATCACAAAATTGAGAGACTAAGGGAATCCATTGTCAAAAAGAAGAAGAATAAAAGCAAAAAAAGACAAGGCTTTTCACTAATAAAGCTTCGAGAAGCAAGTGAGATGGGGACGTAAGAATGGTCGCAAAACGATGCGCGCAGAGATGTTGTTGAGTCGACGTCCGTCGGTCGATGACACATCGCTGTCTTGTATTGCCAGCCGTCGATCAACTGTTGTCGGATTTTACAAAATCGGACAATCAGTCATTCACGGCGAGGAAGGTGACTCGAACTGGCTGATTGTCCGGCAGAGCCTCCCTCGCAAACGCAGCTGCGACGACTTGGTTGACGCATACATTTGCGCTGCATTTGCGCTCCGCCCCTGCTCACCACCCACACACACCCTGCGGCATGTTTGCGGGGCCTTCCAGTTCTTTGTCTCTCGAGCCGTTGTCGTCAAGGCCCCTGAAAATTTCCCGAGGGTCTCGTCTCAGCGGCATACTGCGACAAAGCAAGAGGTTGTGCATCAGGCCTACAGCCGACTTTGCACTTGTCGCTAGCGATATCATGCCGTTTGACTAATATTGTAATTGATCCATTGGATGGATCCATCCATTTGGTCGCTGATCTATTTTGGATAAGAACCTCCACTCCATTCGGCCACCCTCCCACCCTCCTCCTCAAGAGAATAGTAACCAAGCATCCATGGATCCACCCATTGATTCAAGGGAGATCTCGTTGATGGCTGGGCAAGCACGCGTGGCGACTCTCCGACTTGATAAAAGGAAAACTAAATACTTGAGACTCTCATCCGTTAATAAGCTCCCCCAACATATGAAGTACGTGGCCTGGGCTGGTGAGCGCTAAAAGAGACGTAGGACACCAAGGCTGAACGGCTGAGGGCTCTAAGCCACGCTTATTGCCCATGGGCGCCAGATGTAGCAAATGGAGGCCCTCTGACCGAGAGAGGAGAGACGATTAGCAGATTAGCAGACAGGCCAACACGGTCCAGTCCCGTCTGGTGACATGTGCGAGAGTGAAACCCCACCTTGAAGGTCTGTGGCTTCACACTGACCTTTTCCCCGCCCGACCCTCAACCCCACATCTTTAGATGTACTTGTAGTCTTTTTGGCCGCCGGGCGCAATGCGAGGTACGGAGTACAAAACGGGTACGAGCTTCGCCTCTTTCCCACACGGATTCTATATATCTTGCAGCCCAAGTGCCCATCGATGTTTCCTCTTTGCTCAACCTCTTGGTGCAGCTCTGAAAAAGAACTCTTTCCTCCTCAAGTGCTTGTCCCATCCGCCCTCGAAACACGCACAAGCCGATCGGCTTGCCGATTTGCTGCCACAAACGCATAGAAACCTCCTCTCCGTCCGTCCACACCCCCTCGGCTAGCATCCCGCTGTTTGAAACCGTTCCAGACCACTCCCAATCCGGCTTTAATCCCCCCTTTGTGTCGTCCATTGATGCTTGTCTCGGCTCCGATTTGAGCAGGATCTACTGTTAGACTTTCTATACACCTATATAATCCCTATATACTTGGCCGGTTGCCGTTCGATTATTCGCGATGAAGAAATTCGGGTTCTCGAGAAAGTCAGACAAAGCTGCCAGTTCAGCGTCCGACAACCCATACGCCCAGCAGGCTCCGGCGGATGACCCATACGCGAGCGGACCCCAGTCCGTAAATCAAAACTCTATGCCTCCTCGACAAGGCCCTGGCGGCCTTCCAGGTGGCCCTCGTGCGGGGCTACCCTCCGGTCCCCGAGGTGGTGGTGGCGGCTTTGGTGGCCCCCGGCCCCCGCCCCGCTCCGCCTCAGCAGTCCAACAGCTACGGAAGCCAAAACCAAGGATACGGATCCGATAAGTACGGCTCTGGCGGTGGATACGGCGGTAATCGATACGATAACGGCGGCGGACAGAGCCAATCCTCCTCTAGCTCACGCCCTGGAGGCTACGGCGGAGTCTCTAAGGGAGATTCTGACAGCTACGGTGGGCGAAGTAACTACTCGCAGAGCTCCCAGCCTAGTTACGGATCGTCGGGTAGCACTGGCGGTCGATACGGTGGTGGTAACGATGGCAGGGGGCAACTCGGACGAAACGATAGCACGTCCACCGAGGCAAACCGTGGTGATCTCTTCGGCGGCGCCCAGAATCGCTATAATGCTGAGCGTGGAAATGCCTATAGGGATGGTCCTCCTCAGAACCAGAACCAGGGCGATCAACGATTTGGGCAAGGAAAGTCAGCAGTGTCGGCTGTCGACTCTGGGCCATATGGGGGTATGGCGAGCAGCGTGAACTCACCGAAGAGGAAAAAGAGGAACAAAAACTGCAGGCATCCAAGCAGGAGCTCAGTCAAACCCGAGATGAGTCTCTTCAGTCAACGAACAGGTCGATGCAGTTGATGTATCAGACCATCGAGACAGGACGAGGCACGCTTTCCCAGCTAGGCTCTCAAGGCGAGAGGCTCCAAAATGCCGAACGAAATATGGACCTTGCGGATAACTACAACGCCGTGGGCCTTGACAAAACAAAGGAATTGCAAACTGTCAACCGAAGCATGTTCTCCGTGCATGTTGCGAACCCGTTCACGGCTAAGAAACGTGCGGCGGCTCGGGATCAGGAGGTCATGGACCGCCACCGCTCAGAAAAAGATCAAAGAGAGGCTACCCGACGTGCTCACTACGAGGAGAGCCAGGCAGTAGAACAGTCGTTTCGGGGAATGGACCTTAACCAGCAACCAGCGCCCTCATATGCGCGCCCTACCCGGGAGAACAATAAGTTTATCTTTGCCGAGGAAGACAGCGATGAGGAAAGAAAGGAAGACGCGATTAACAACAATCTCGATGAAATGTTCCACCTAACTACCACCCTAAAATCCCTAGCCACCCAAACCGGCTCTGTACTTGACCAGCAGAACCGGGTTATCGATCGGATTGGTGCAAAGGTAGGCCTCCACATCTCCATACCCATCGCGTGGACATGATGACTTTGCTAACTTGATTTGTTAAGACCGATCGTGTGGATGATGGAGTCAAGCGGAACAGGAATGAGCTAGATAAGATCCGATAGATTTCTCGAGGCTAGCAGACAGCTTCTGATTTCTTTGCTTCGTGCCTTGACGAACGAATATATCCTCACATTTATTATTGTTATTGGTTCGCCAGTCTAGTTCACACGGCCACATAGTCTTTGTCTCGTGTGATTTATGAATGTCTAATCGTCGGTGAGAGTGATGAGTACTTTCGTTCTCTCTCCGTTCAGAATAGAGGAAACAATGGAGGTAATCAGTATCACGTTGACGTTCGATTCGGCAGCTCTCCTGCGTTGAAGAATTTGGAACTCAAAGAAATTTGAAATTCGCACTGTGCAATATCCTCGTCGAGCTGGGGGAAGGTTTTTTTTTTTCCTTTTGGGGGTTTTTGTATGAACCTTGACCAGCACCTTAACGCCTACTACTTGTGTCTGCGCGACTGGACACCATGACGGAAATCCCAAGGGCATCGAAGAGAAGAAGAACACAAGCCTTGGGCCCCAATGAAGGGATCGGGCAGAGAACTGAAGTAAACCCCCAGTCTACACAATCCCTTCAAGATAACGGAAACTTAGAGGCTCAATCGAAGCGACGGGGAAACAGCAAAGACCGGCCCCGTAAAGATGCGATCGCCCGTCAGGAAAAGTGGCTCGATGATCCCAATCTTTTAAAGGTCAGAAAAGAACTTCCTATCTGGGCTTACCGGTCCCAGATTCAAACTGCATTACGGCGCAATAATATGCTCGTCATTGTGGGAGAAACCGGCTCAGGAAAAAGTACCCAAACGCCCCAGTTTCTCTTTCGTGAGCCTTGGTGCCGCAAGCAGACCAAGACGGTCAAACTTGGAGATGGTACACAACGGCAGGTCGATGTGGGTGGCATGATTGCCGTAACTCAGCCTCGCCGGGTCGCAGCAACAACTCTCGCCCACCGTGTATCTCAAGAAACTGGATGCTCCCTAGAGAAGTCAGCTCATGGGCTTGTCGGTTATTCGGTCCGCTTTGATCACAATGTCCCGAAGGGAACAAAGATCAAGTTCCTCACGGAGGGAATGCTTCTTCAGGAACTCCTCCGTGACCCCTTCTTACGTCAGTATAGCGCCATAGTGGTTGACGAAATTCACGAGAGAAGTATCGATGTTGACCTCTTGTCTGGGTTCCTCAAAAAATCCAGCACAGCGACCTTGGTGGCCGCGGGGGTTCCTTTGAAGATCGTCGTCATGAGCGCTACGGCCCATGTCGAGGGTATCCAAGCCTTCTTCGCCCCGGTATCAGCAGCTGGGGAAGGCGTAACGCCTGCTACAAACACTACCGAAGCCGTGTCGGTCGAAGTCCTTCACATTGAAGGTAGACAATATCCCGTCAACATCTTTCACTCACCAAAGCCGGTTCCTGATCTGCAGGATGGCCTCGTACGAGCCATATTCAAGCTCCACACCGAGGAGCCGCTTCCTGGTGATATTCTTGCATTTCTCACTGGTCAAGAGGAGATCGAATCAGCTCAGCGGTTGATCGAAGATTATGCGGCCACCTTGGCATCGAACGTACCCAAAGTCAAGGTCTTGCCCCTATTCGGCCAGCTTTCCATAGAGGCGCAGCACGCTGCTTTTCAACCTGTGAAGGAGCCGTTCACGAGGAAAATTGTTCTCGCAACTAACATAGCTGAGACCTCCGTCACCGTTCCCGGTGTGCGCTATGTTGTGGACTGCGGAAAGGCAAAAATCAAACAATTTCGCTCCCGTCTAGGATTGGAGTCTCTTCTTGCAAAGCCGATATCTAGGTCATCTGCGATCCAAAGGTCCGGAAGAGCGGGTAGAGAGGGCCCAGGGAAATGCATTAGGTTATATACCCAGGAGGGTTATGACTCCCTCGCAGAAAGAGAGCTCCCCGAGATTTTGCGGAACGACGTGCTCGGAGCGATTCTCACTATGAAAGCGTGCGGAATAAACGACGTTGAGGGCTTTCCCCTGATGGACAGGCCTGATAGCGACGCTATTCTCAAGGCCCTGAGCCATTTACACTCCCTTCGAGCTATCACGGACAACGGAGAGATTACCGAAACTGGCAGACGACTTGCACGTTTCCCAATATCCGCATCTTTTGGAGCCGTATTACTAGCCGCGGCCGAGCCTCAATTTGATTGCGTACTTGAGGCAATCGATGTAATTTCCTGCATCACGTCTGGTGACGACATTTTTTTCGTCTTCTCTCAGAGGAGGATCAAGAGCAGGTTGAAGAGACTCGCAAGGAGCTTTACCGTCGGGAAGGAGATATCATCACCTATCTAAATACCATGCAACAATACACTGCAGAACACGCCGACCGTGTGCAGTGGTGTAAGAAACGCCGCATCAATATTCGTAACATGCGCATGGCAGTCAACATTCGGAGGCAGCTGCGTGGCCTCTGTCTTAAAGAAAAGTTGTTGTCGGAGGCCCCGCCTCCAGATCCTCAACCGTTCACTCCACTCCCGCCCGACCGAGCAGAGGGCCTGCTGAAGTGCTTCATGAGAGGCTTCATCTCGAAAACAGCATTATTACATCCTGATGGGAGCTATGTCACGATCCAAGGCAAGCATACAGTTACCATTCACCCGTCGAGTGTGCTCCACGGGGTCAAGCGGGAGGCCATACTATTTTTAGAGCACGTCTTCACACAAAAGAGCTATGCAAAGAAAGTAAGCGCAATCGAAGCGCCATGGATAGTGGAGGAGCTTGAAGGAAATGGGGCCTCGATGCTCTCATAATATCAGGAAATAGATCTATATATACAGTGTATCTAAACCTCTCACTGTACGCAGCTCTGGTTGGGGTGGTCCATGTTTGCAATAATAATAATCGATCAATGACCCATTCCAATGCCTTGTGTTGAGACTACCGAGGTACCCCAAAAACTAACCCCAGAAACTGAAGACCAATACATCCATCAATCCATTAGATCAAGCTAGATTCTAAAGCCTTCAAATAAGGCGAGAGGATTTTCTGCATAACTGAGAGGCCATCACTTTACTCGCCCGGATATACCGACAATGAGGCACATTCAGGCTATCCGGAGGATATCAACGGCGCCCTTGAATGGGAACGGGCTCCAGCCGGCGCTCAGGGCGCTGCTTCCCCCTTCAGCTGTATCGACGGCTCTTACGTGCGCACAGAGTTTACCTCCCCAAGGATATGAGGCTCCTTGGGGATGAGTATATAAAAGCGGAGTTTCGCGCACACAGAGATGCAGAGAATCCGTCTCATGTCGTGAGTTTACTCCGAGCTTATTCTCGCGGCTAGCGGCCCTAACGACGACGGATCTAGATCACCTTCTTGACTGAATGGCAGCTGTACGCTCAAAAGATTGAAGGGAATTCGTGGAAGGGCGAGAGGCTGGATGCTGGCTTGATGGATAAGATGACAGGTAAACATTTAGGAAGCGCCCAGCGTCGTACTTTAAGATTGAGGACTGCTAACTAATTCCAACATTAGATGAACAAATGCAGCAGCTTTACGAGCTGATGCAGACGATACGTGAGGGAAAGGGGGATGAGGGTTCTGGTCAAAACTGAACCTAATCGGCCACGGGCTGATGCTGTCTGGTCCGCGCTTAAGAAATCAGGACCTGTCGTTTGCTATCTTGTCTGTCACATTATGCTAGATCTCTCATTCAATGTAAAACATTGTACATTTTCCTACTATATATTCCCTTTGATATAGTGTCTAACGCGCGTCGCGTCATTCTAATGTGAAAATAAACGGCAGCTCTGCGTACGGCCGGTTGACGAGACCGACATTTGTTTCCCAAGCATCCCCTTCTGCGGACGTTTTGGGGAATTGGGTTTCTGTTCGGCCCCTCTCTAACTTCCTTCCCTTCTCTTCGAGAACGGACACGAGCCAAACCCCGTTCCTATTGCTGCTGGGTGATGATCCATCAAGACCTCGCTGCGTCCGTGGTAACACTCCTCAAGCAACGAAGCCGCCTCGAAGGTTTCACCTAGCTCTGCCTTGACCCGTCCAAGCCGGAAAAGGATGGCCAAGGTGTACGGTTTTTCGGCCCTAAGCTTGCTTTCGCCATGGGTAGCACTTTTTCTAGCATCTCACTGGCCTCTCTGAGCTTGTTATTCTTGAAGAGGGCCCATCCTAGGTCGGCCCGGGCGAAGAGGGTCTCTAGATGAGCGTGCCCGTACGCAGTTTCCAACCGTTCTAGCACCAAAGTCAGGTCTCTCTCCACCGATCGTCTGCCTTCCAGTTGCGTTCTGATGAAAGAAAGCTCTCGTAGAGCTCGGAGCGCTACTATACCCTTGGGGTTACGGCTCATTTGACCCTCATATACCTCTATCGCAACAAGCTCGGCAGCTTCCCACTTCAACTGGTATTGGTAAACGAGAGAGAGCCTTTGCTTAGCTAGAAGCAGCTGCGCTTGGGTTCCCATCCCCTCGACACCCTAGAAATGACCATGTTTGCTAGCTCCTCTGCTATAGGGAAAGCCAAATCGATGAGATAGAGTATAGCCAGTTCGAGGCAGACACGGTTGTGAGCCCCGCTTGCCCAGAGCCGATCGGGACACAGATCCAGTCTCTCCATAACCTGAAGAAACATGTCTGATGCACTGTCCCATCTGCCCAAAGCCCTATACTGTTTCCCAAGCCCGAGCATAACTTCGAGAGCCAGTGGATCGTCCCTTCCTAACTCACGATTACGCTCCTCAAGGATTGTGCGAAGGGCGCCTATGGAATCTTCTAGCTGATTTGATTGGCTAAGGGCGGCGGCATATTTTCTGTCCATCTCTGTTTTGTGGAAGAAGTTGGTGTCATCCTCGTATTTGACCCCCTTTGCGTTGTGGGCTAACACTTCTTTCATATGCGGGAGAAGGCGCGGGTATAATCTCTCCTGGCTCGGGTTTATAGGACTGAAAATGGAAGCGAATAGGATGTTTCGGGCTGTTTTGTGGAAGACTTCGAAGGTATTGTCAGTCATCCGATCCCTAATCCAGGAGTGGACCAATTTGTGCATGGAGAAGTGAAGAAGACCTCGTTCTGGATGGTGTCGTATTAGGGAGAATCTTAGGAGGACTCCCATTCCTCGCATCAAAAACCAAGGGTCAAAAGTGCCATCCTCGCGCATGCCTAGGAAGGAAGCCAAAGCTGCAGGCTCTTTATGGGGTGATGTAGTCTCCGATGGTCCTAAGAGGTTGAAATGGAGCGCTGGCGTAATCTCCTCGAATCGCCCGCGCTGGTGCAGATGCATAACAGTAATAGGGAGGATTTCCAGGAATAGGTCATCATTTTGGTAGAAACAGAAGGTGTGAAGGGCCTGAAGTGCGCATTGATAGTCGGACGCGGACGTGGAGCTGTGCTGGGATTCGTGGCGGAAGTGGTCGAACGCGAGGTCGAATGAGGCATAGACGCCCTTTTCAGAGACGGCGTCTTGGTAACGAACATCTTTTAGTCGCTTCTTCAACGTCTTTCGGTACTCTTGGACGGTACACCCATAGCTACCAATGTATGAGCCGGCTTGGTCTATTGCTAACGGTAGGCATCCGAGGTCTTGTACGAGTTTCTCCGCCTCCAGTATTGTGTCTTCTGCATCGAGACCGAGGTCCGCAGTCCGCCGTAACAGTTCTACCGAGTCCTTCACTGCCATTTCTTCAACATGTATCTCTATGAAGCATTGGCCTGTTCGTGGAAGCATATAGCTCTGTCGACTCGTGAAAATGATGTTGCCCTTTTGGGAGTTGGGTAGATATCGGCTAATGTTTATATCTCCACTGTCGTAGTTATCCACGACCATCAGCCAGCTGCTGTCCGTGTTTTGCAGCCAGGAGATGATAACCTGGGGATTTACCGGCTCCGTTTGGCCCGGGTAGATTTGGCTAGCCATTCCCTGTATACTATGTAGGATTGTTGTTCTAGCCGAGGCATCAACTCGGAAGATATATGGTGCGAAGCTGAAGGATTGGGTTAGATACACAGTAGTAACGACGAATTATATCAATCAATATTCTATGAGATGGTCCTTACCGGTCACCAAACTGGTCGGCGAAGCGGTGAGCAATCTGAGTCTTGCCCACGCCTCCGATACCATGAAGCCACACCTCTCTTCGGGGCGAAGAGGCAGGATCTCGCTCATGAAGGAATTCGTCCATGCGCTGAAGAATATCTTGACGACCGGTAAAGTAGCGGGCCGACGGTTTTGTATCCTTCAACCAGCCCAGGTGACTAGTCGCTTGCAAGGCTGATGATGGATCAATGACGTGGCCTGTGAAAGGTCAGGACTGGATTTAATGAAATAAAGAAGCAGAAAAAAGGGAAGAAAAGGAGTCGAACCATTTTCATGGGGCAACGCTTACATGCATCTCGAAGTGTAATAGGCTTCGGCCTATACTTCCGTTCTAAGATGGCGACGATCTTGTCAACAGCATCGGAGACATTGGGATTTTTCAAGTAATTTTTAGTCTCCTCTTTGAGCGCAGACATCTTTTATACTCGTGAATTCTCACCCGCCCAAGCTCTGGCAATATGGGGAGGCTGAGGCGAAAGTAGGTATCAGGGCAATCGCTGAGTCGGGCGGCTAGTTCTAGGTGGGCTTCTTCGGGGTCAGTGAGAAAATCCGTCATCATCCGCTTGAGCTCGCCAACATTATAGCTAAGCCATCGGCTCTTCTTGGCGTTGGGATCTAGAGCGTGAGGCCTCAGTCCGGTACCAAGGCTGAGAAGGCAGCCGAGGCTCCGATCGCCGCCAAAGTGGGTTTTAGCCTCGTTGAGCACAATCTTTGACGGGTTGTTCCACTTTACGGCAGCGTCTATGTAGCTTCTCGTCTCGTTGTCGATTCGTACACTTGCGGGCTTGAAGATCATGGGTGCGGCACTGGTGGCTCTGGCGGCCTCCCAAATCTCGCAATCCATGGGCTTCTCGTGGCTCCTATAGGTACGGAACAGTACCGGCGTATCCTCATCGCCTCCCCTTTGCATCGCCACTACAAACGTGAGGCCTTTATCGCTGTGGTTGTGTATATCGAGCATCCGTGTACCGTGCGGCTTGCCCATACCTGAGGAGTGGGCGGCCTTCTCCCGCTGCTCGATAGTCTCCTTGATGCATTCCTCAAGTGCCCTCTCTCGAAAACTAAAGTCCAGCCGCCTGTTTTTCTTGTGGAAGACCCTCTCGGCTAGCCGCTCGTATTCCTCAATAACTTCTTCCGTGTTCATACGTAGGCGGCCGAGCATGATGGCCATGAGACTATCACGAGTTTAGCTTCAAGAACCGAGGTTCTAAGGTAAGGGGTTATTGGGGTCTTGATTCGTACCCTCCAGTACTCGTGCCCCCAATAAGGTGAAAGTGGTCACAGGGCTTCGGGAGCTCATCGAGGCCAAGCTTTTTTGAAGCCTCTTCATAATCTCGTGAAGAACAACTGCCTCTGAGATTCCCCGGATGCCCCCGCCATCTTGAACGCTGTGAGAAAGTAGAACGTGGTGGGGAGACCAGTCAAAGGTCGCGATGCTCTTACCAAGAGAAAGGAGGAAGACCGGCTCCCGGCATCGTGGATATCGTAGTCCATAGGCGCAACGATCTCGGTACTGTGTAAGGGCGAGGAGTCTACAAAGATACGCACAGCGTAGGAAATCACAGTAACGGGACACGAGACATCGTGAGCAGATGTAAGGGAGAGGGGGAGGAGAAGGACTTCTATTTAGATGCGCCCGACTGCCCGACCTCAAGTTGCAACAGCGCACCGTTTTCCTTGGTGAAACCACCCGATTCTCGAGGCGAACCTGAACCCGACAGTCTGGGTCGCTCCCCGACACCGCCACTGAACGAGACGCATCATTCATGTTGGGGGCCGGAAGAGTGCGGGCGACCAATCCGCAGGCTTGCCTGGGCGCGTAGCTGGCTGGTTTTGCCTGAAAGCGACCAACCGTCCCCTTTCTGTGCCAAAGCGCCCGTGGCGAAGTGGATATACACGAATGGACTGAGCCGATTTATTCCATTTACATCGGCCAAGTGTGACTGAATGCGCCTGTCCATACTTCGCCAACTGTGTCTTTGCGTTGAAGTGGATGAAGCCGAGTTTTGGATACTCGGCGTTCCATTTGCTCCGACCGACCCAAATTGAAGTTTAGGACTTTCATGTTGGTTTATAATAGAGAATTGACAGAACACGGATTGATTGATCGATGGGCCCGAGTCTAATTCCCTCGATCAACATTCATGGATGTCTGAACTTGAATTCAAGTTGGGCGGCTAGGCACGTGTCAGGGTGCGCTAGGGAACCACGTTTGCCCTTGAAGAAGGCTTCTTTTAGCGCCGAACTTCTTTATTTTGGGTCCATCTCAATGCTCCATCGACCCAATCCCTGTCGTCTCTTTTTCCAACGACGAACCAAAGGCGAACAGCGAGCAACAAAGAACAAAACCCGCTTCCTGCATGAACTAAGCGCCATCGCGATGACGGAGAAGCGCCGGCGCAAACACTAGACCCAGTCCCGCACCCTTCTTCTTCTTCTCCCACCATGCCACCACCCTCGTGGGCTACGCGCCACCTGGCCGCGCTCCCCGTCCTCGCTCGGATCCGCCCCGTCATCGCGACCACTGCTGCCGCTGCCACTACCGCTACCGCGTCAACGCCAGCAAGGCGGCCCGCCCGGCCCTTCACGACCCTCGGCATCGAGACCTCGTGCGACGACACCTGCGTCGCCATCCTTACCACCGACCCCTCCACCCGCGCCGCCCAGCTCCCCTTCAACGCAAAGCTCACCTCCGACAACCGCCAGTTCCGCGGCGTGTTTCCCCCGCCGCCCTCGATGGCCACGCATCCTCCCTCGCCGGGCTCGTCTCCGAAGCCCTCCGCACCACCACCACCACTGTGACAGCCCGCCCGGATCTCGTCGCCGTCACGCGCGGGCCCGGCATGTCCGCCAACCTAGCCGAAGGCCTCGCCCTCGCCAAGGGTCTCTCCGTCGCATGGGGCGTGCCCTCGTCGCCGTCAACCACATGCAGGCCCACGCCCTAACCCCCGCCTCGTCGACGCCCTCGACGCCTCCTCACATCCCCCACCTCGAACCGTCCAGACGACCGCGACTCCCCACCCACCGCTCAACTCCAACCCGGCCCGACACCCGCCTTCCCCTTCCTTACCCTCCTCGTCTCCGGCGGCCACACCCAGCTCGTCCACTCCCGCTCCCTCACCGACCACCGCATCCTCGCCAACTCCGCCAACATCGCCCTCGGCGACGCCCTCGACAAGTGCGCCCGCCTCATCCTCCCCGACGACCTCGTCGCCGCCTGCCCCGACGTCATGTACGCCCGCGCCCTCGAGGCCTTTGCCTTCCCCCGCCACCGCCGACCGCGACCTCGCCGCCTACGTGGCCCCCGTCCGCCGCGCCGACGAGATTGCCCCTACACCTCCCCCACGGCTGGACCCTCCACCCCCGCTCGCCTCCTCCCGCCGCCTCGCCTACGAGTTCTCCGCCCTCCAGAGCCACGTCCAGTCCGTCCTCGCCCTCCGGCCCAACCTGCCCCTTACCCTCCGCCGCGCCCTTGCCTACGACGTCATGCGCCTCGCCTTTGAGCACCTCGCCGGCCGCGTCCTCCTCGCCCTCGCCGCCGACCCTTCCCTCGCCAGCCACGCCTCCGCCCTCGTCGTCTCCGGCGGCGTCGCTTCCAACCGCTTCCTCGCCACCGTCCTCCGCTCCATGCTCGATGCGCGCGGCTTCCCCATCTCCCCTCGTCGCACCCCCGCTCCACCTCTGCACCGACAACGCCGCCATGATCGCCTGGACCGGCTGGGAGATGCACCGCGCCGGCTACGCCTCTTCCCTCGATGTGCGCGTGCTCAAAAAGTGGTCCGTCGACCCCACTGCCCCGGACGGCGGGATTCTTGGTGCCGAAGGGTGGCTTCACAATCCCCTTGGCAGTTGAAAGCCGGGATGAGGCCGGTGTCCCAGGTCCCGGCGTGAGAATCAGAACCCTTGCTCTACCATGTACTACTACTACACTGTATACTATTCCATGTATCATGACAAACCAAGCATATAGACTGTAACACTACATGTACACCATGTTGATATAAACACTTCACCTTCCCTCTCTCTCTCCTTCAATTGGAATTAAATATCAAGGAATCCTATACTTCTTTGTAGTGCATACTCAGCTTCGTAAATCGATCGTTATTCTATTTGCCGACATCTTGACTCTAAACCACACTCTCTCCTCCTTTTCTCTCATATTTTGTTTTGAATGTCTCGTCCTTACTTTGTCACCTTTCTTCCCGGTTTAACAGGGCGGCACAAAGATTTCCTCGTTTACCACTTCTACCTCACCAGTGCCCGCGCCCTCGTCCTTTCTTCCTCTGTCAATACCCACAATATGCCATCCTCGTTGTCCTCCTCGTCCCCGACTCCCGCGCCTCTGGCCGCCGCGTCGCTGCTTCGGACGACCTCCTCCCACTCGTCGTCCTCCATGTTTACCACCATGAGCATCTGGGTGACCCTGGCAAACACCTCCCTCGTCGCGTAGTTGCCCTTGGCCACGGCGCTCACCACGCCTGAAAAGTCCCTCTCCATCCTCACCGCCCCGAACGCGCTCGTCCGGCCCGCGTAGCCCCATAGCCTCTTCTCCAGCTGCCGCGAGAGGTTCCGCGCCGTGGTGTCAAGTAGCGTGGCGTACGTCTTGGCCGTCAAGAGCCGCGAGATCGGCCGCATGAGTTGGTCCCATCCGCGCTCGAAGCGCCCCGCTACCAAGTCGTGGAACGACGCCTCGTCCTCGTCTAGCAGTTGGGCTGCCTCTGCCGTCTCCTCCTCCGTAAGCGAATAGTCGATATCTCGGAATGTGTCCGAGATGACGGGTCTCAGGCGGAGCTTGACCACGTTGTGGAACAGTACTTGGAGGCCCTCGTTGAGGAGCTCCGTGGTCTTGGATGTAAACGCGACTAGGAGGGTGGAAAGCGTCGCCGCCACCAGTCCTGCGTCGCGGTCGTTGGGAAACGCATCCCTGATAGCGGAGCTGGGAGCGACCCCGTTCGGCTGCTCCGACGACACTCCGAGGTTGACCTGGATGATGCGCTCGAGGTACTCGTTCGCCATGTCCAAGCTGTTGATGAGCACGATGAAGGATACAATTTTGTCTTCTGGTGGGTAGCCTCCTGCACGAGCGCACGGGGTACGACTCGTCGCGCATCTTGCGCTGTACCATGCCAATAAAGTCCACGCTCATGACCCGCCCTATCGTCGAGACCACGGACGAGATCACCTCCCTCTGGCTCGTTGCGAGGGACTTTTGGATCACGGCGTTGACGATGAAGACGACGTCGTCAACCGCGAGGATGATGTACGGTGGGCTAGCTTCGATAGGTTTGGTAAGGCTGAGCGAAAGCCCGCTCGGGTACTCGTCTAGCTGGAACGCTTTTTCAACAGATCGGCGGAAGAAAAACAAGCTCATGGCATTGTACGGGCTCATCAACTTTGATGCCACCTTTTGCTCAAGTTTGACTTGGTGATGACGTCGGGTAGGACGGTCGTCTCTCGTTCCTCGGCTCCCGGTGGCCCCTATGCATGTGAGTTGTTAGAGATTTTGCTCCTTGGTGAGGTCAACCGCCGACCATGCGCGTCCGGCGGCAAAAGAAAGCATAGAAAGGCCCCAAAAAAACATACCTTGCATTTCCCAGAGATGAAGCGCGTAAAGAGGGACCACCGGCTCAGCATGACCGATATCTCATTAAGGATAGCGTCCACCTCCTTCATGTCCACCCCCTCGTCCTCGCTGTTGCGCACATTCGTGGACCCGCCGCCCAAGGCCGGCGAGTTGACGCGCGCCGTGCCCGTCACCCTCTGCTGCGGCAGGAAGCTCTGGACGAGAAAGGAAAAGGGGTAACTCTTGACGTCCGTCATGCGGCGCTCCACGTTCCGCTCGTCGCTCCACGAGTCGAGGATGATGCCGCCCTGGACGTCGGCCTCCATTTGCAGCCTCTCCACGACCTTGACCATCTTGCCCTCCCCGTAGTGCCTCTCGACGAGGCTGCCGTGGCCCTCGACAATCTGCGCAATGTGCTCAAAGAGCTTGGTCAGCGCGTTGGCGTAAAAGTAGCCGTCCTTGCGGCCTGCGGGCGCCGTCTTGAGCGTCGCCCTGGCGGAACTGGCCACGCCCTGGCACACGTAGCGCCCGTACACGTCCAAGCCCACGTCGCCCCTGCCAATCAGGGGAAACAGCTTGAAGAACCTAGTGACCTTGGCGTTGTCCCCCTCGCTCGTCGCCTTTTCAAACTCGCGCAGGAACAGGCTGCACAGGCTCTCCTTGGCGTTCTCCAGCGTCACCCACGGCTGGTCGGGCACCTCCACGCTCGGCACGATCCCCGCGGCAAACCGGCCCCGGACGATATCCTCGGGCACCTTGCTCACGCGCGCAATGTACCCGGCCGCGGCCTCCCAGTCCTGCGGGGCGCCCATAGACCCTACCACGCCGTTTATGCACGCCTTGAGCTCCGCCACCTGCTCCACCACGCCGAGCGTGTCCTCCACCCGGCTCTTCTCGAGGTCTAGCTCCTTGACCTTGTCGCTGAGCCTGCCCGCCGTGTCCGAAGCGCCGGACAACATATCGGCGCTGATGGCCCTCGTCGCGATGACCTGGGACCCGAGGCTCGCCCTCAGTATGTCGAGCCGGGCGAGATCCCGGCCCAGGTCGACCTGGGACGAGAGCAAGCTGTCGAGGCGGGTCGTTATTGCGGCCTCGCGCTCGTGGAGGGCGGCGAGGGCGGCGCGCACCTCGGCGGGAGTGGTGGCATGGCGAATATCTATCGCGGAGGTGGAGGGTTTGGCCGTTATGCTGGACCGACGAGTCGGTGCCGAGGCGGGGGCTGCGGGACGAGGGGATAGGAGGCTATCGCCGTTGGGGAAGGTGGGCATTTCGGGCGCCTGGTGCCCACGGACGCATCGCGGTCCCGTCGGGCAGGGTAGGTGAGCACGAAACGTTTAGCTCCGGGAAGGGGCTGGGGGAGCTGGACAGCTCTTTGACGTCTGCAGAGTAGAAGAATGGGCCGCAGGGGTGTATGGTGGAATTACCGCGGAGCTCCAAGTGGCCAACCTTGCTCGTTGTCGGGAGCGAGGTTTGGTGGGGTTGAAGTGTAGGGCCAGATAATCCGGTCAATCGCGGGCAGCCCTCAATCAATCAATTGGGGATCCACCAATATCGATGTCGCACTGCCGTAGTAGATGGTGAACTGTCTCAATTGACTTGGTTGGGCTTGATTAGCACCAAACTACTCGATCTACAGAAGGGGCGGTTACTGGACGTGGCTGGCTGCTTGGAGGGCTCAAGTGCTAAACGATAGTGGGGTTGAGGACTTGTGGATTGTATGTGGACTTGAGCTTGAGCCCTCTTGGCTCTGGATCAAATTGCAGCTGCCGCGAGTTGCGCAAGCACAGCCCTGCACACTGTGGCGCTCGCTCCATCGACATCAATTAGCTCGCTTGAACCTGCGAACGTCATCGGATCTAACTATTCCGTCTACAATCCACCTGGCAAGCTAAAGCATCAAAGTAAATGAATTAGAAGCTTGGGTGGGCAGAGCACGATAATGAGGCCGAAATCTAAATGTCCAGATATATATTATCGTCATTATGTTGTACATACGAGCCCTCTCTTCGTCCCAAAGCGTCTCTACGCTCTAGCTCTGGATACAGGAGCTCGTGGCCGGCCCATGATTCTATTCTATGTGCAATGCCAAAAGGAAACCCAACCTACATCTCCACCGTCTCTTACCACCTGGAGAGGCCGACCATGCCGTACAATGGCATCCCGTAGGAGGATACACCGGAAGAGGTAGCGAGCGGCGAGGATCAAGATGAACTAGAAACGGCCATGCAATGCGCTGACCTATTCTTCATCACCCCCTCCATTCTACCCCTCAGCCCCCTTCCCCGTCCTCTTCTTCTCTTCGTCCTTTGCTTTTCTTCTTCTCTTACCCCTTGACTAGTTTCTTTCGATGGGTGGGAAACAGAAAGGGATGCAAAAAACAAACTCCTTGCCTCCCAAAGCCCAGGCTCCTTCAACACATGCCACTTTTCTTTTGCTGCTTCAAGATTAAAAAAGAGAAAAAGAGAAAATAAAAAAACCGCACGCAAAAACACATGCGTAAGAAGAATGAGATGGTTATACAGCTTGGCTGTACCCGCTTCCGAGGCGCTTCTTCTTTCCGTACATCAACCACTTCCTCGCCTCGTCGGCCCAAAAGACGGTGCTGCACAGCATTACGAGGCCCACTAGATCATAGAATCCGAGAGGTTCGGTCTGGAATACCTCCTGAAGCCAAGGGAGGTAGATCACTAAGAGTTGACCGGCGATGCTGAGGGAGACGGCCCAGTTGAAGAGCGTGTTGGAAAACAACCCAATCTCACCCTGCAGGATGGATTTCGATTCGGATCGGCAGGCGAGCGCGTTGAACATGTCGAAGAGGACGAAGCAGGTAAAGGTCATGGTGGTGTCTCGGCGCGTGACCTCACCGTCCGCGAGCATTCGGCTATACACCAGCATCGTGCCCAGCATGATGATAGCGGCCGAGGTCAGAACCCGCCTGATGAGCGCCTGGGTCAAGACAGGGTCGCCGCGTCTGCGTGGCGGCTTGTTCATCACGTCCTTATCAACAGCCTCGACACCAAGCGACTGGGCGGGCGGGCCGTCCATAATGATATCTGAAGTAGGGCCTAGTTAGCGTGCTGCCCCTTGAGACCTTGTCCGTGAGAGGGAGAAACTTACTGATCCAGAGAATTTGCATCGCATTTAGCGGCGTCTTGAACCCAAGGCAAGTGCAAACGAGTACCAGCGACAAACTTGCTGCACTGGTGCTGAGTTGGAAGGTGAGGAAGTTTTGGATGTTGTTGAAGATGCCCTTGCCCTCCTCGATAGCGTGTAGGATCGTGGAGAAATCGTCGTCCGTCAAGATCATGTCAGCCGCCTCCTTGGCAACGTCGGTGCCGTGAAGACCCATCGAAATACCAATGTCTGCCTTTTTCAGAGCCGGCGCGTCATTCACCCCGTCGCCAGTCATGGCCACGATGTCGCCCCTGGACTGCAAAGCGCGAATGATTTTCAGTTTGTGGTCAGGGTTCGTGCGGGCAAAGATAGTCGTGTGACTCATGGCGAGCGCGAGAGCCTCCTCCGACATGGAGTCGACCTCCTCACCCGTAAGCACGGGCCGAACTGTGGACTGCCCTGGCGCCCGTCCTTCGCTAGCTACCGCAATGTTCATCCCGAGTTGCCGGCCGATGGCCACCGCCGTGGCCTCTGCGTCTCCCGTGATCATGATGACCTTGACTCCGCCACGCATCAACTTCCTGATGGAACGGCTGACACCAGGACGAGGAGGATCGCGCATGCCAACGATGCCGGCAAAAGTCAAGCCTTTGTAGATGTCCTCGGTGCTGTGTGGCGAGCCCTCGCCGTCGCTATGGGGGAAGTGCTACGCGTGTTGGGAGATAAGCTGGACCGCCCCTTTGACGGTTTCGAGACGAGGCCACTAGCGAAAGCCAAGACGCGCAGACCTTGCGAGGCCATCGCGTCTGCAGCTTCAAGCGCTTCCTGCTTTCTACCAGCGTCCAAGACAATCTCGCGGCCATCGCCTGTGACGTACGTGTCGCAGGCAGCAAGAATCTTGTCGATGGCCCCCTTCATGTACGCAAACTCTCGATCCGACCTCTCCGAGGCAACAGTAACCCCCATCCACTTGCGGCTCGAACTGAACGGAGTGTCGCTGATGCGGGGGCCGACGGTGTCTCTCGCATCGTGTTCCTTGAACCTATCGAGAAGGTCAAGCATTGCGACATCGGTCGGCTGTCCGACCCACCGAGTCCAGGCTTGGCCATAGCGACTCTGGGTCGAAGATAGAACAGCCCGAGCCCTAGTCGAGGCTTCCCTTCTTCGGCGTACTGGCGCGCCAACCGGCCATTGTTAGCAATGTTTCCGATGCGGATAATACGGAGGGTGGCGGCATCAGGCCTCGTGTCAGTCGCCTCATCATCAGAGTCTACGTTGACGGCGTTGTCGGATCCGAAATACCACATTTTGGAGGTAGTCATGTGGTTTGTCGTTAGAGTGCCTATTCAATGCCTGTTAGCAACCAGCTCGATTTTCATCTCCATTCAGGGTTACGGCGCACGCGCTTCCAAACACCATGGGGGAGGTGCATTTACCTGTCTTATCGGTACAAACAACGTTGACCGAGCCTAGGGTCTCAACCTTGGGCATTCTTCGCACAATGGCATTGTGACGAGCCATGCGGTGCACGCCGAGGGCAAGGGTGACGGTGACGATGATGGGGAGGCCTTCGGGAATCGCGGCGACAGCGAGAGAGACGGAGATCGTGAAGATATCGAGTAAGTTCTTGCCTTGTAGCCACCCAACGAAGGAAATAAGTCCAATGATGACAAATGAGAGCTTGCTGAGCTGCGACCCGAGCTCATCCATGGAGTGTTGCAGGGGCGATCTGGGGCTTTCCGTTCCAGAAACACTCGTAGCGATGGTGCCGAAATGGGTGTTCCCCCGTAGCGAACACGATGCCTTGGCCATGTCCCGACTTAATCAGGGTCCCCATGTAGGCAATGTTGTGGATGCTTTCTTCCACGGGCGTCCGGGCGCCAGAGTGAGGCGATAGGCGGCCGTTTAGTGTGACAGGGGCCTGGGGGTGTTTTTCTTCGCCTCTGAAATGACCCGAACAGGTTCATTTTCGCCTGTAAGGTTCGATACATCGATGGTGAGTTCGACTGCTTTCGTCACGCGGATATCGGCTGGTATACGGTCGCCGGTCGTGAACAGGACCAGGTCGCCTGGCACAAGCTGGGAAGCCATGACTTTGGAAGAAGCAGCCTCCAGCGTTTCCTCCCCGGGGTCGTTGCGCCGGGAGAATTGATTCCCTGTAGCGCATCTCCGACGGCGGGTGGCCACGCGCTGGGACGTGTGGCCAGGGTCGGGTTCGGTGTCGCTCGCACGAGGTGGGCATGGTTCGGTACGAGATGGTTCAGCGCCTCGATCGACTTCTCGGAGCGGTATTCCTGGATGAACCCGACAGCGACGACAATAGTTACGGCAACGGTGATGCTCAGCGCATCATCCATGTTTCCGACTAGTATGGAGGCGCCTGCCGAAGCGAGCAAAAGCAAGATAAGGGGCTCCTTGAACTGGCCTAGGAATCTTAACCAGATGGGCTCCGGGTCATCGTGGGAGATTTCGTTCGGGCCGTAGTCGCTAAGCCGTTTGAGCGCTTCGACTTCCGAAAGGCCATGTGTTAAGGATGTACCTAGCCGAGACGCGACTTCTTCGGGGCTAGTAAAAGAGAATTGTTCGGCAACACCCTAAAGATGACATGATTAGCGAATAAAGCTATACGGCCATGGTAAACTAAAGCCACGGGAAATCGGTAGTGAAACGATAGTTGTGCCTGGACTCACTCGCGACTGGGATGGTGTCGTTCGCGCCAGCCTCGAAGGTGGCCGGATGTGCTTCCGCTGTTCATCGCTCGAGGACTCTAAACCAGTTCCCGAAAAGGATGGATTCTCCACAACAGGCAAAAGGCCCTCACCATCCTGCCCCCGCCATGGGAGCTGCATCGTTGAGGGAAAAGGGGAGCTGCGCGGTCGTTTGGTATCGCGTCGTGGTCTGTCGTGACGGGCGGACTGGGATCACCAACCGACTTCTGCACGCATGAGAGCCAGACTCTGCCGTTGGCTTTCTCGACCTCGAATAAAGAGACTCGACGCTATTTCGGTTGGGCCAAAGCTGCGGTGCTAGGGATGATTCGGACCGACCGCGTCGTCGATTTTGATGTTCGCCCTGGAATCTTTGCGCTTCGGGAGATGTTGAATTGCTCAGGGGTTCAGATCATGAGACTTGGTCGAACCTCTGGATATCCAAAGAAGGAAATGTAATTGATATCGGAACAGGGACGAAGAGGCTCAGTGCGTATTTGACAGCTGGGCTTTTCAATATATAAACCCGGCTATAGAGTTTTCCCCCAATGCATATTGTTTCCCGGAGAAGTTGGATTTCGAGAGGTGTGATAATCCTGTCAAGGAAATAATTTCCCAGAAACCGATTTGAAGTGAACACGATTACACAGTGCCGGGTCCGAGTCCCCAAGTGAGAGGCCCTTTTTTGGAAGCTCTCCTGATACACTTACTGAATCCGGCTTAGTCTTAGTGGAGGTTGGCGCCCCTTCCCGGCTTGGGAGTGGATGGTGAGCCCTCATTAACTCAATCAATTGCTGGTCACTTTAGAACATTGAACCTATTACCACATTTGAAGTACGAAGTACCCACGACAGCATATTGATTGATGGAACAACTTGGTCTCCACTCCTTCTTCATAACAATTCGTATGGCTCTTGACGTGACACCAAGCACAGTTGAACGAGAACAATTCAGGGCTTGTGTAGTGCTTTGTTGATCTGCTCGTCCCCTCGCCACGGCCATCTAAGATATAAATCCAATGTTCTGTCCTCTCCTCCTTGCCCTGCGTGGGGTATAGTGTTTAGGGCATCGCAAGAAGCTACCTTCGTATCCCGTGTACATCCAATAGATGCCATGGATCCGCATCTTGTCCATTCAACGGATGTCCAAGGCGAGGCTCGAGGGCCGCCTTCAAAGCTCACACTTGATACCACTATTATTTGAAGGTGCACAAAAACAGGAGATAAAGACCCCTAGTGACCTTTGAAACGTTCGAGAGGACGCGACGCACAATGCCCCAAATCTCTTCGAGACAAGCCAGAGTTAATCATTGCGAAACCCGGCCTCCAGCCCTGCTTCCAGAAGAGACATCAATGGAGCTTTGATCTAACGAGGAACGGGCTGTTCACTAGCTCCAAGATAGCCAATTGGCGTCTTGTTCAGAGGCAGCTCTCCCAAATGATAGTCTCGACCTGCTTCCCAAGCGCCTTCACATTCGCTCGTCGGCTTCTGCGCCAACGAAAGGTCACGTGTTGGGATGCATTTGATTGGCCCTTCAAGCCATTAGTCACCGCTTCGATGACGAAGCGAGAATCAGGAGTGTATACGTAAGCGTAATATCCAAGTGTATTTCGGCATCATCCTGTGGTTGCTCGGTGGCCCGAGCTCTCTTGTGGCGGCTCCCAGCCACCGAGTAAAAAGCCGGCAAATTAGTGGTGGACCTGAAATCGAGGAAAGGGAATAGCAAAACACAAGCCCCCTCCCCAAAGTCCCTCCACTCTTCCCCAAATTTGTCCGTCATTTTTCCTCGTCGCCGCAAACAACATCGCGTCGCCAGGAATCGCCATCGCTAGAATTCGAGCAACCTCTCGGCGCAAATACTCCCCACGCCTTTGCTCACTTTTATTTTCATGTTCAATCGACGACTTTGTCGTGCACCCGCCGCTTCCGCTTCACATTTTGCCCAGCTCAACGCGATCCGGACCCACCCCGTCTCGCGCGCCACCTGAAATCTGGCGTTGTTTACACCTCACGACTACCCACCCACCCGCACACACGCATCACGCCAACATCCCTCATAGTCCCTCAACCAACGCTTTCGATCGCGGGCGCATCAATTATATCAACCGGGAAACATCAGCAGTGGCTTAGTGCCTCTTGCTTTCCCTTGTCTATTCTCTCTTGACGCGTTTTTCTGCTTTCACCATCCTATCGCCGCCATGTTTTACTCAGAGACTCTGCTCCAAAAGAGCGGTCCCCTCGCCCGAGTATGGCTTTCTGCCAATCTAGAGCGCAAGCTCTCCAAAACGCACATTCTCCAATCCGACCTAGGCGAGAGTATCGAGGCGATATTGATGCCAAGCCAAGCCCCAATGGCTCTCAGGTTAAGCGGTCAGCTCCTCCTCGGTGTTGTCCGAATTTACAGTCGCAAGACCCGCTACCTGCTCGATGACTGTAATGAGGCTCTTATGAAGATCAAGATGGTACGTTATGGAGAAGACAGAGTAGCGCATTTTTGGTGTGTGGTGTGAGGGAGTGAGAGACTAACCGAAGCGGTATTTAGGCTTTCCGTTCTAGTGGAAACAACGACATGGCTCCTACTTTGAATGCCTCGAATCGAGAGGCCCTTCTCCTCCCTGATCGAATCACGCCCTACGACAACCTCGATATCCTCCCCCACCAGATGCCGCTTGGCTCTTGGCCCAGATGGACGATGTCACAGCAACCCCGATGGGGCGAAAAGGCCGCGTTAGCAATCGAGAGATCAACCTCCAGGAGGACTTCAACAACAGCCAGTTTTTGCACTCGGGGCTGGACAAGGACGATGATCTCGCTCTCGCTCCCTTGGACGATGACATCGAACTCGAACTCGATCTTGGTGAAGATGACGAGCGGCCCCGAAATGTGGATCGATCAATCGAAATGGGTCGAGATGCCGCACCGGCCATGGATGACGATGACATTTTCAGCGAGGTAGATCTCGGTACGCGTCTTGGAAAGGATGGCGGCGACCGCGAACCATCCATCAACCTTGATTTCGACAACGGAGTTCGGATCGCCGATGATGAAGGCGACATCCAAATGGGTGATGACGGACTTCACTTCAACATGGATGACCAGTCTGCCATGCCCGGGGGCCTCCATTTTAGCCGCACCAGGATTTCTGAGTCGCCGCTGTCCGACATCGACGAGGATCTCGCGCGAGAGGTGGAAGAAGAGGTTACACGTCACAATCAAACCGATCTTTACGAGCCATCGGCAGAGGACGAAACGACAATTGTTCGACGACCTGCTCAAAGGGCGAAGAAGCAAAGATCATTCTTCCCGACGAGCAAACCATGCTCTCAAGCGCCTATATCAAGGAGCAGCACGCTAACCGAGGCAACATCCTTAAACCGCAGTCCTTCCTACCAAAGGACCCCTACGTCATTGCCCTCATGGAGATGCACAAGAATGGCGGCTTCGTCGCCAACGTTATTCTTGGTGGCCGCGGATCGTCATGGGCCCCGAACTTCGGGCCATGCTCTCAATTACAGGCAACAAACAGTCTAGCGAGCTCAAGCGCAAGAGGGACAGTGGCATCGCGGACATGGATAGTGACCAGGGCCTGTGGAAGTCGCCTCGACTTGATGTTGATGATGATGATGACCATCTCGTCCTCAACGACGCGGACGCCGGCAACCAGACTGTTGGTCCCGACGGCACCATCCTAGAAATCCCTGCCGATGACGACATGGACGAAGGCCACGAACGTGAAGGCAGCCCGATGCCCGCGTTTGACGAGACAACTATGCCTATCGTTCATCCCGCGGACAGTGGTATGGTGTCGGTCGGCACGAAGCACGCCGTACACATCCTCAGGGACCTCTTTGGCGCCAATGCGGAACACGATGCCGAGAAGCGCAAGAAGACAGCCGTGGTCTTCCAGGACCTCTTGCCTGAGGGACAGACAACAAAGGCCGACGCTACCAAGATGTTCTTCGAGTGCCTCGTCCTTGCTACCAAGGATGCCATCAAGGTAGAACAAGGCAGCAGCCTCGGCGCACCTATTCGCGTTCGCGGCAAGCGCGGCCTCTGGGGCGAGTGGGCAGAGAGGGAGGCTGGCGGCGAGATTGCCGCGGACGCGGAAGAACAATCCCCTCGATGCCAGGCCCAGACGCTCAGCCGGCTGTCGTCTCCGTTGAGTCTTGAGGCCGAAAGGAAGGAGATGATTGTTAGGCTAGGGACGAATCGGCGTCCGGGTTGTCAGCTGCATGGTCAAAAAGAGCACGGGGTGTCTTGTACAACTACAAAGGCCACTTGCATTCACGGAACTTTGGGAAAGGATGGCAGTCTTTGTCTGGAAATAGGGGGTGGCGTTTTGGCGAACGGAAGAATTGGAAAGACCATGATACCAAGGCTTTGCTCGGCTCCGCGTGCAAACACTCTTGGAGCCTTGACATGGCCTTTTTTGTTCTTGAACTATCAATGTTCTTTTCTCGGGGAATGGTCCCTCGAGTTTGTTGTTCCGCTTCTTTTTTATTATTTCCCAACCTCATTTTTGACTCTTGGCCTTTTTTTTTCTTTCTTTCTCTTTTCCTATTTCCCTCATTTCCCTTTTCCGCCTCTTACTCTCTTGGATCCTTGGTCTAGGCTTCTTCTTGGTTCTTTTTCCCCCTCTCTCACTTTCTTCGATATGACTACGTCTTCGCGGGAGCGGGTAGGGAACGGTGTGTTTTATTTTTCTAGGTTGGGAGAAGGGAAGACGCTTGCGCATGCTTTTCTTGCGCCCCTTGGTAACTGCATCGTTTGGCGGTATCTTCTCTAATTGCGCCAAGATGCCTTTACCGTTGAAAGGGTCACACGATGCTTATGGAAAATGACGGGAGCGGAGCTTTTGAAATACCTGAATTGACTAGCCTATATCTTGGGATATCTGATCAACGTACGCCCGTGACTTGGTGATATCGTTTTGCGTCTGTTTCCAGTTTGAGGATGCCATCGCTGGATCATCAAATTTGCCTACCTCGGGACTCGAAGAGGAGACCAGGAGAAGAAGCCACGTACTATGCATAGTTAAGCACGCATTAGTTGGCGTCTAGGGGGCGAGATGACCCCGAATCCTTCAAGCAATTTCACAGCAGCATGCAAGGATAAGAAGGACCAACACACAAGGTTGGGATGTGACGTGAGTAGCCAGCTGCCCTTGCACAAGGACAAAAGATTCGGAGCCGGCCAAGACACTTCCGATGGATAGGGCGGATTGGCGGCGGAATAATAGTCGAGCGCCCGTCCGCATCGGTCAAGAGGGAACGGGTCAGCTGAGGGCACACCCATGCCTCCTCCCTGCCAACGAAAGGGCGAAGGATGCGCTTTCCCTGACAGGACCCGGGCATACCGTTGCAATCCCGCCAACGTGGGAGGCTCGCTTCTGAACAAAGAAAAAACACGCGAGAGAAGACTACATCATCACGCAGATGGAATGGTAACGGTAGCGGGGGAAGGGGGATGCTGGTTGGCTCTGGTCCTCTCGACGGATCGGGATTCATCTATCTCTTGCGGCGCGACCTTTGATTGTTGTGTTGGCCGCCGCCGGGCTTTGGATGTTGAGGAGTCGACGACGGCGTGGAGGCGTGGCTCTTTTCAGCTATCCGACGGACCACACGACACCCACGAGCGCGAGAGTCGAGATCAGGACTTGAAGGAATGACACGCCCCCGTTTTCTCGCGCCTCACCCTCGGAGAAAAGCAAGGGGAAAGAGAGGGAGAAGGAGGTAAAATTGGGGCCTCTTGGAGCTGCCTCGATCAAGGGAACACCCCCAACCTTCGCCCTGTCCCTGGGAAAACACTCACTCGGCCGCATCCCTCAACTCCAGTCCCTACCAATCCTGTTGCGTGCTCAGCGAGAATGGGCCAGGCCATCCATAGCCGTATTCGAGACTAAATCACCCCCTGGAGTACACACGGCTGTGTAACGCACACAAGTTCGGCGGAAGCTGCTGATCCTAACCCGGAGTACTTCCGTGTACATGATGTACGAAGCACCTGAAGATGCAAGGTAATAGATTTTGGACCTTTGTCCAACACCCTCCATCCAAAAAGGGTGCAGTTGGGGGATGCCGGATGCAAGGTGCCGATTGCCGTGGAATTAGGGTATGCACAGCACATACCCTGCAGATTCAGGCTGGGTACCGCCTGAGCCGGGGTCTGGCAGCTCACCTAGCGGAAGCCGTCATCAGGACATTCTACTTTGCTTCCCTTCATTTTAGGAAGGAGAGGCTGTTATTCCTTTGTTCCTTTTTTTTGGCCTCTCGGTTTCCTTTCCCCCTTCTTCTTCTTGCCCTCCCTGGTCCCCCGGTAACTTTTGGTATACCAGCTCTTGTTATACCCTCCTGACTAGCATATAGGATACTCCTTTCTTTCTTTTCTTTTTCTCTCACCTTTTACCTTTCTCGGACAGGAGGCTCCGGAGGGCGTGTGAGTTACAACGAAGACGACGAGGGGGCGCAGGGATTAGAAGAGGGAGTGAGAGATTGAGGGCGGATGGAAGGCGGATGGCAGATGGCGGAATGAGGTTACTCCTCCCCGGGGGTCTGTGTTCCTCGGGGACGTGTTTGGCACACGAGCAGGACGGGCAGGACTCGTTGTGGGTGCCAAGCTGCTTTTTTCTCCCGCTTCTTTTCCCACCTTCCTCCTGGCTCTTCGGGGAAATAGAAGAGAGTCGGGAGGCGCTAATGTAAAAGTACACCCCATGGGAAGATGTAGTCTCTCATGGATATTCGATGATATTTGACATGGCAGAACCCCGTCACCTGGGCGGAGCCGACGTCCGCATCACCAATTCGAGGCCACATGCGTACTAGCGAGCTCCAGACCTCTTGTTTGATTGAATCCCACCTTTCTTTTCTTTTTTTTTTTCTTTTTCCCGCCTTCTTCCCTTTCTTTTTTATTCTCCCCGAGCCCCTGCCAAAAGCCCGAGAGCTCCGTGTTCGAGCTTGCTCGGGGGTTAGGGGTCCGAGTATTGCGGCTACGGCCCTGACGGCTTAACCCTGCCGGTGACATTGACAGCTGCTTCCACGTACCTTTTTCGGTCGGGAGAGGGATGCGCGAGTGTGGGATGGCCCTTGAGTCGATCCCAGCCTGGGTGTACTATCCCCATGTCATGGGTCCCATCCATCCATCTGTTTGCGCCGGCCCCCGGAGAGATCCCGCGGGCGGAGCTCATAGGGCACAGGCCACCTGTGGGAGGATCCGCTCTTCAACAAACGAACAAACAAGAGCAGGAAAGAAGAAGAAAAATGAAGGAAAAGGGAAGACAGCACAGGCATTCTCAACGACAATGCCGGGAGCGGTGGACGTGCTAGGGACACGGCCGGCGAGTGACGAGTGACGAGTGACGAGTGACGGAAGATGGGTGAAAAACATTAGTGAGTGAGCGCTGAGTGTTGAGCGATCACGGCCACGAGCGCTGGCTGCCAGTATCGCCGGTGGTAGGAGTGTCCGTGCAGGACCAGGCCAGCCAACCTTGTGTCCGATTCGAGGATCTGTTGTTGAGGCGTTCGCTGTTAGCTTTGGAACGGCTAGTAGCAGTGTTGGCGTTGACGTTGACGATGACACCGCTGTCCGACGGTGCTGTCTCGCATGCCCGGGGGATGCCCGGGGGCGTGGTCCGGAACGTGCTCTATCCACGCCTCGAAGGTGAAAAGGTAGGGGGACAATACGCGATTATGCTTACAATCCTCTCGTGATCCCTCTCTCCGTTAATCAACCATCCACCTGGACTATATTAAGAAGGTGCAGGTGATTCAAGTCGAGCCTGAGGCTTGGAGCTCGTCCCATCAATGGCAGGGACTCCCTTTCGGTGTGCATCTCCGCCGAGCCGCCACTTAGCACACACGCTTCAGCCAATGTCGAGAAATCCGGGACGGAGCGCTGTCCGGCTTCCGTTTCAGTCACATCTCGACTTCGCGACGCCTCAATTGCCATCTGGCCGAATTCGCTTGTCAAAGTGGGACGAGCAATGAGAGCTCATCAGTCCTCACTTTTCCACCTTCTCGTACCATTATGATTGCGGATATTACTATTATTATGAACAAGGGGGACTGATTCCTTTCATTTTCCCTCCGCCTCCCTTCCCCCGTCTCTCTATCTCTCTGTCTCTCTGTCTCTTTTGAACTCCTTTTTGGTTCTTCTTGGTTCTTTTTGGCTTTCATTTTTTTTTTTTCGTTGGTTCTTCTTCTGCCGCTCAATCAGGAACAAGGCCAAAGCAAGGGGATTGGCTAATGCCTTCACACACTCCCGTTCAAGCCTCCTGGCGCATCGGATGCAAACATCCCTGAGACGGATGAGGTGACTGGCAGAGCCAGGCAGCAATGTAACCGCTTCCGGTGCCAGACTCGGTGCACGCCGTCTGCTGGTCTAGGCCTAGATCTACACGCGCTCGCGCACATCCACTATATCCCTACACCATCGACTATACCATACGTCCATCTCCAGTATTCTAACCTATGTACAGGGGAGGGAATTCAAAGAGGGGGCAAGGGGGCGGTGGGCAATGGGTAGTGGGTATGTATGTAGTTTGCCCTCGCTCGTATACCCCTCTTTCCCTCCCCCGATCAATATACCGCCGCATCCGCATCCTCGTTCAGTGTGTCCCAGTAGTCATGTCCCAGTGTTCACGTCCAAGTTTGGCATGCGTTGGATTTTGACCTTTCCGTCAACTCCATCCACGGCCAACAGAAAACCTCCCAGACCATGTCGAACCGTACAGCAATGGCTGCGGTGCTCCACAATGCACAAGCACGCATGCCCCGCGCATCTGCGCTCAATGTACTGAGGTAGCGTACACCCACACCACGTCCACCACGCCAGGCCCACCACACGCCTACCGCATCTCAATACCTCACCCGCAGAACCACGCACCCAACCAAGCTCACGCCCCCTTCTCCCCCGAAAGCCAGCAGCATCCAAGAGCAAGGTATTTGGGTCGGGTCAGGCAGAGGCAGAGGCAGAGGCAACAGCGACCTGGAATGTCCATGCAGCACCGCACGCCAGGACTGGTGGGAGTGTGCATGGCGGATCAATCAGTCCCAATGCCAACTGATCTAATATCAAGGATGATCCGTCCATTGACGTTGAGGGCACACTCACATTCCATCCACTATTGATCCCAATGACTGAGGCACAATTGGTGGGCGCGCCCCACCTGCATCCCCTGGCTATTAGTTACAGGACCTGGGAGAGTATCTGATGTGGCTTCAATGTTCTCAGGAACTGAACATCAATTTGATCCCCCACCCCCTCCTTCAGTCTCCCCTTGTCCCTCGCCTGGCTGGCTGGCCCATCCAGCATCACCCACCCCACCCCCACCCCACCTCCCCTCTTCATCGACACATCTTGCTCGCCATGGCTGTTCGTTTGTAATTGAGGTTCACTCACCAGGAGGGCGAAAAAAACCCAAATTCCCATTTGATCGTTGCTGCTCTGGCACGGGCTATAATTTGAACCCAACCTCGATTCGAGCTAGAGCATTGAGTATATACTCGGACCCCTTCGCCAGTACTCCAAGAATTTCCATCCTCTTCTCAATCACCTTGGAGAATTCTTGCCGTTTACTCATCCCAAATTTCTTGCCGTCCCCCTCAGCATCGCCTTCACCTCCGTCCTCCTCGCCCACCACCAACTACAGATCTATTCTTCTCCTTTGCGCATCATCCGGCCCTTCTACTCACCTCACAAACAAGGAAAATGGAGCGCCCAGCGGCAGAGAACGGTTACTGGCATCGAGTGAACCCCGGCCGCCCGGGGCCTTCCAAGCTCCACATCGCTACCCAGGCGCTCTTCCGGCTCATCAAGGAAGAACAGTCGTATCACAAGGAGCTCAAGCAACAGAAACAACGAGTCGAGAGACTCAAGGCCGACTTCACCAATGGTGTCAATATCGATGAGAACTCAGAGTATATCATCCGCCAAGAGGTATGTGCAAGACTTCTTAGTCTCCCAATCCATCTATTCGGCAGCAAGTCTCTGTTGGGCCTGCGTTTTTCTTCTTTTCCCTTCTTCCGCTCTCTTGGGCCTTTGCGCCCTTCCCTTCTTCAACACTTGGGTCTCCCTCTTTCTCTCCCTTTCTCTCGCCACTCCTCGTTGGCCCCGTTTTCCTCTCTCGCTCCTTCCTCCTCCCTTGTATTTTTGTTGTCTCCTGGGCCATCATTACCCCGCCTTCCCTTCATGCCTCCTGCACCCCGCCTTCTCGGCCTATTATTGTGTCTTCGTTTCCTGTTTTTCTCCCTTATTTCCCTCCTACCTGACCTTTGCCTCTTTGCTTGGGCATCCTCTATCCTTGGCTTTGTCATGGATCCCATCTTTCTCCGACGTATCCCGCAACGGTCTATGATCCCGACGTGTTACCGGCGAACTGCCCTTTGCTCTGAGCCAGACCCGTACTGCCACGTCACAAAAGTCAATGGAGCGGAGACGCGCAGCCGAGATCATCATGTGCGCCCCCGCCTTAGTGAGCGGATCCAGAGTGTTAACCTTGGCCCCGTATCTATAGGAACGTGCCATCGCCGAGACCGAGGCCATCTTTAGCCCCTTCATGAGAAGATCAAGGAGGGCATGCGGTCCGTCCAAGAAGAGCTTGCCTACGCCGACGACCCCACTCCTGTCGAAGAGTTGGAGAATGCGAAAAAGGCTCTCGATTTGGGGAGGGAAGTTTTAGGCCTCCCTCCAATCAACGCCGATGACTTTTAGACCCCTAAGCGGCAGCGAAAACCTGCGGAGGTGGTAGTTTTGGGGGCCTGTATAACGCTGACTCACGTCAGACTTGGGGCTGTTGAGGGAGAGTAACATGCGATATGTAGAGTTGGAGGACTGGATGAGAAAAAGAGACAGATGAAGAAGAAGAAGAAGAAGAAGAAGAAGAAGAGAAAAAAACGTGGCCTAGAGGTGAAAAGGAATAGAAAGAAGTGTTCCGAGAGTGCTTGGTTGGGGTTTGTCATGCCGGTTGGAACCATTCAGACATCGCAGCTGGCATAGGCTCGCCTTCTTTCTTGTTCTCTTTTGGTTGGCGTGCACGAGTGTTTTTAATACCTAGATAGATTGATACAGGGCCCCCTATTACTCTCCGTCTATCACTCTCCGTCCACCTCCATTTTGTCCCCGCCGCCGCCGCCGCCGCCGCCGTTTGATACAGCGGGTGCATCTATCGTGATACTTGGGGTCTCGCCGCTCGCGGGCTTCTCTTCATCTCCCATCTCCACATCTTCGCCTTCCTCAATGTCGTCTCGGGAGGCTGGCGGCTGGGGTGTCGTCGATCGGCTGGGTACCTGGCTTCCAGAAGATGCACCGCCGAGAAGCTCCAGCCTCGGTTTCAGGCCCTCGATCACGCCAGCAGCGGGCGACCCTTCACGCGACCGGGACACCTGGCCACTCTCAACGTGAGGCGTAGCATTGCCACTCTGAGGCGGCCTCGGCGTCTGCCCATCCCTTGACGCCTCACCATCCTCCTCGCCGTCCTCGTCCATGCCCTCGCGCCGCTCGACCTCCTCCTTTTCGTCCCTAATCTGCCGCCGGAGAAGCATGCCCTCTTCCATGATGCGGTTGAACTGGTCCCTCCTCTCTCTCCACGTGACGCTGTACGTCTCGCTCTCGAGCTCGAGCTGCTTGCACTCGTCGTCGAGCTTGCGCAAAGCGGCAACCTGGTCCTCCCTCGGCCGCAGCAACTTGTTGTTGGTGATTTTCTCGGCGAGCTCGTCAAACTTTTGCGCTGCTCCATGGTAGCGCGCGCCTCTTCCAGACCGGCGCGCAGCTCCGTGTTGCGGTCGCGGACGGCTTGGCACTCGTCAAGGATAGCCTGGCGCTTCTCTTCGTAGCCGGCGCGCTCGCGTCGGTTGGCGTCGAAGAGGAATTGCAGCCGCGCGATGCTCGTGTCGAAGGCGGCGAAGTCGAGCGTGAGGTCTTCGCGCAGCTGCTCTAGCTCGCGGAGCTGGAGAATGACGGATCCGCCCTCGTCCGCGTCGCTGTCGTTGTTGTGCTCGTCGTCCGCGTCGGCTAGCTGCTCGCCCTCGGTCCCATGGTCTCCTCTACTGCCGCTGTTGTTGCCGTGGGGGCTCGGGGTTGGCTGGCGGTCTTGATGAAGGAGTTGATCTGGTTTAAACGCTTCGTGATTCTCTTAAATGGCTTTTCTTCGACGTTGAGAAGACGGCGCTTGTGGAGCTCCTGCTCCTCCTTTTCGTCGAGGAGGCCCCAGGCGGACATGGTGCGATTTTCTGGCTAGGTCCGCAAAATTGGTCGATATGGGACGATGGTCGCAGGGACGGACTAGGGATGGAGATGCGTTTGTGCGAAAGATTTCGGGGCTCGCTCGTCACTTGCTTCGAGGAAGAGTTGGGTAGATTCGGAGGATTGAAGATTGGGAATGGCCGGCGCTGTCGGATTAGGATGCTGCAAAAAACTGTCCAGGACGCTATGCAGTGAATGGGAAGAGGGGCTAAAAGGACGAGAATGAATAGAAAACAAGAATAAAAATAAGAGAATAAAAGAATAGATAAAAGGACAGGCTGGTGGAAAAGGAAGGCTTGACTTATTGACTTGGGAATCGTTCGGTTCGCCAGTGCGCGTCGGTTTGCTCAAAGAATATTCAGCCTCGTTAGGCGGATGTTGGTGGACGAAGGCAGCATTGCCAGTATTAATTCAATTTCTTTTCGCATATCGCGCCGAGATAACAACGCACGGACCACATACATTTCTTTAAGACCAACTTCTCTTGGTCGCGAACATTAGGTCATCATCATTCCAAGGGACGGTTCAGGTTCCTTCCCAACATATCCTGACGCCGTCTTTTTCCAACGCCAATGTCAAACCTTGCCACCAACATCTATATTCCTGTCCAACGCCAGAACGGCCTTCGTTAAACTCCCAGATAGAGAGCTGTACTAACCTATCGACCAACTCCTTCCCCGAGATTATCACCACGGTTGACCATGACTTCTGAAGAAGATAAACGTCTCCTTGCTCGTATTAGCCAGCTCGCTGGTATGTTCTCACCGCTTTCGCTCATGCATTCGCGCCAGCAGCGCAAAATCCCGACCCAGTTCTCTAATCGCCTGCTCCTTCACTGCAGGCCAAATCAACAGGCACAAAAATCAAACTTCGGGTGCTACGCCGGTCCCCAATGCCCAACACCGGTGTCCGTACCCTCGATTCAGCCAGATGCGCCCCTTCCCGTCTATCGTGTCGCTAAACAGAACGCAGTCAGCCCATATGGTAGCCCCTACGGTAGCCGCCCAGCATCCCCCTACGTTAGAGGTGGAGGTTATAGGCGATCCGGTGTCCAGCACCGGCACAAGTCCCTTGTCCTGAACGGCGCAAGCGCGCCATCCCAACCCCCACTGATAGCAGTGATGCATCTTCGTCAGACCAGCAGCCGACTTGGGTTTCCAAGACGGACCGTCATCTCCAGCTAATTAACTCTAGCGTTTACGAAAAGGACTCTCAGACCCGTGCGAAAGCGATAGCGGAAACAATTCAGCAAAAGAGGCAACGGCAAGATGATAGAGAAAAGGTCAAGCTAAAACAGTTCCTCCAGGCGGGTAGCGCAGGTCCGACAGTAGCTACTGCCACCGTGAGATCCGCGAACGAACCTGGCGCCTTTGAGCTCGACATCGAGGGGATCCGTTTCCGCGTAGCCAAAGACGGCAGTAAACTTGTCAAGCTTTCTGGTACGTTTCTTTCTTCCGTTCTTCGTTTTTTTTTTTTTTTTTGGGGGTTTTCCCCTTTTAGGGGATTTGGATTTGGTTGTGGTCATCCTACCGCATACGTCTGGTGCAAACACCATATCCTTGATGAGTTTACTGATGGCAGCACAGATGATATCAACCCTCCCAGTGCTACCCCTAAAACAGCTGTGGTTGGCGGCGTCAAGTTTTTCAGGAGCAAAACAGGAAATCTCTACCGGGATGGAATCGTCAAGGCCCATAGGTATGTTGGTTCTCTGCTTATAGTTAATGTGCTAACCAAGAAATCCGCCTCTAGGCAGTCAGGCAAGGTCAAGAAGGTCGATACGCCTTGCAAGACATTTTCTACCACCGGTAACTCCCACTCTCACAGCTTGCGTGCACCAAGTCGTCGGATTCTCTCGCAGTCGCTGCTTTGGATTCAGGAGATGATGCGGGGTATGTATGGGTTGAGGAACCCTGATACTAACTTGTGTCTTTCTCTTTTTTCCCCCGCGATTTAGGTTCTTGCCCCAAGGGCCCCAGATGCCGATATGTCCATGATCCCACCAGGGTCGCAGTATGCAGAGATATGCTTCACAAGGGGATCTGCCCCCAAGGAGACAACTGCGATCTTTCACATGAGCTCACCGCTACCAGAACACCGGCATGCGTGCACTATGCCAGAGGCAATTGTGCTAACCCCAAGTGCCCATATACTCACTCAGACGTGTCTCCAGGTGCTCCCGTATGTCGGCAGTTTGCCCTTTTCGGCTACTGTGACAAGGCATCGCAGTGTCCTGAACGACACGTGTTTGAGTGCCCCGATTTCAGTAACACAGGAAAGTGCAAAACTAAGGGTTGTAAACTCGTGCACCGTGAGAGGGCAAGTGTCCTGCGCAAGGTCGATCAGAGAGACGATGACAACCAAAGCACCGAGGACCTATCCAGTGATGACGACTCTGTTGCAAGTGACGATGTGGACTCTGATGAAGTCGAGGAGTTCGTTGGGGATGATAATGTCGACCAGTCGGCCTTCAAGGAGCAACGAGATTACATATCATTTTGAGAGCACCGTACCTATCTCACACGACCTCCTCTCTTAGCTATTACGCACTCGCCCCCTCTCTCCCTAACCCCCTCCCCTCGCCCCCCTTTCCCGCGGTCAAGGTGCTGTGGACTCGCGATCTCTATGCCCCAGCATACTCTCTAAGTTTTCCTTGTCCCGCTATGATGCTGCATTTTCTCCAGTTCGACCCTTAACCAAACATCGGAAAGAGGCTTTTAGGTACCCTGATCATGGATCGAAAGGGCCCTTGCTTCCTAGGTGATACACCCAGATTTGTATCGCTCTTCAGAAATAAGTGGCATCAAACAGCGCTGCAAAGATACCCATAAAATTCTATTGTTCAACAAGCCAAGGAGGCCCACCAAAGGGAAAAAACAGATGGACGAACGCGGTATAGAAAGATCAAGAAGACACAAGAATCAGCAAGAAAAAGGCAAGATAAAATAAATGGAAAGCGAAGAAAATGAAATAGATAGAGCAGTATGACTGCACCTGTGCTTGGAGAGTAAAAAAAAAGGAGGAAAGCAACAAAAGATGGATCCAATGGGCATCATGATCACATATTGATCAACTGATCCATGGATGTCTGTTAGGTAGTATTATCCGCATCGATCAATATTTTTATTCAATAGAGAATCGACTTAAAAGTTTTAACTAGCAATTAGCCTTTCCTCGCATATAGACTCGATCTTTGATATGGAGGGAAAAATTCAGGAGGAGAAAAATACGTAAATTCAACTGAAGCGCTATAATGGAATCTCAAACTATAAGGCACAACTCCAAAAACAGCTGCAGGCTCGGCGAGGTATATTAGCGACTGGAAAGACTGGAAACGCTTGCTTGGAAATTCAAAACCAAAGTCAAGGTGCAAAGAAACTACATGTAGACAGATAAAGAGAGCCAGACATTATACTCCCGGGCCATTCCAGTGATCCGGATCCAGGGCCATGTGAGGCCACCCCGGGAAGTCGAAGCCGGACTCGACAGTTGGGTTCGCAAAGACCTCCTCCCAGAGGGTATCGTCGATGCCCGAGCCTGCGTTCTCGTCGTAAAAGGGCTCGCCGAGCGCGGCGCTGTCGACCATGGGGAAGTCCGCGTACGGCGGGGGCATAGGTAGGGGCAGGGGATCCGGGGAGCGGTCGTGAAAGTGGGTGGGGGCGGACGTCGAGAGGGGGCGGAGGCGGCGGGGGAGAAGGAAAAGGCGGTAGGCGGAGAAGACGACGAAGCGGGGGTGGCGGAGGACGAAGTAGTAGTGGTGAAGCCGGGGGAGGAGAAGGAGGGCGCGGGGGCGGGGGCGGGAGCGGGAGCGGAGCCTAGGGATGTTTTACGAATGTTGTCGAGGAGTTCATAGCGGGCGGCGATGTGGGTGTTGCCGCGGGCGCTCATGGTCTTGAGCAGCGTGAGACCGCCTTCCATGGCAGCGGTGTTGGAGGCGTCGGTGGGGAATGCGACGCAGGCCATGACGAGGGCGATGGCGGCGGAGAAGACGTGGTCTCCGTCCATGTAGCCGTACGTAGCTGTTACAGTTTTTGTTAGCGTCGGAGGCCCATCAATGTGTAGGGAACTAGGTATCAAGATCAAGTCTTGAACTTACCAACTAGGTCCTTTTGCGCAGCCCACGTCATCATGTGGACGACGTCCTTGGCGCCGTTGATGCAGAGGTCAATCATTCTCACGGTCGAGGAGGACAGCCCTAGGCGCCAGTCCTGCTCTTTGGCGGCGGGGTCGCCCGAGGCGCGGATGTGCTGGAGACGGCGCTGGACGACGTGGAAGAGGAGGGGCCGGACGGTCATGCTGATGCACTGGTAGTAGTGGGAAAAAGTGCTCACGCTCTCGCGGCTGACGCTCAGGCGGGCGGGGTCGAAGCGCAGCTCGTCGGGCAGGCGGCGATTCCACTCGGAGAGGGCGAGGACAATCTCTTGGACCGAGGCCATGAGGCTCTTGCCGGACTTGGCGGAAGGGCCCGAGGAGCGGCGGTAGATGGTGGCGTGGATCTTGCCCAGGATGCGGGAGAGCTGGGTGTAGTGGCGCAAGACGACGGCGGCGCAGTACTCGGGCTCGTGGGGGAGGCGGGAGGGGAGATTGACGCCAATGTCCTCGTCGTGGATGGTGACGGGGTTGCCGGATTTGACGGAGAGGATACGATCGAGGCTGTAGATGGACCACCAGACGCGGCGGCGGTGCTCGCGAAGGGCCGCGTCGTCGGTTTTGTCGGTGGCGCTGGCCGCGGGCGCCGCGGCGCCGCCGCCGCCGCCGCCGCATCAAGCTGGTTTGGAGAGGATCGGCTGGAGCTCGGGCCGAGTTCCTGGTGTAGGCCGAGAGAGATGGCCATGCGCATGGCCATGCCGATGTAGAGAAAGGCGGCATCGCGCCTGTTGAGGTTCTGCATAAAGTAGCCGACGAGGGCGAGGGTCTCCACGCACGAGATGGAGCCTTCCTCGTACGTTTCCGGGAGGAGGCTCAGCGCGGAGGAGAAGTAGTCGAAGCCGGGGCCGCGGCAGCCCACCAAGCGGTTGACCGAGTACATTTGGCCAAAGGCCAAGAGGACGAGGACCTTGGCGTAGGAGAGGCAGGCCTCGCGGTCAAAGGGGTCCGGGGGCCCGCGGTAGGCGGCGAGCAGCTGCTGCATGGCGCTCTCGGGGGCGCAAAGGCGAAGATGGTGCCGATGTAGGTGTACTGGGCGGCGAAGAGGCAGCGGGCGATGTCGAAGTGGGGCAGGCGGACGGGGAACCAGGAGAGGACCCTGCGGGAGGGGAGGGCGCCGGGCTCGTAAAAGTTTGGGTTGGTGTCGAGGCTGGCGTCGTCTTCGTGGAGGCCCGAGAGCTTGCTGACGGTTTTGAGGAAATTGTCCGAGGAGCCAGGACCTCTGAAGGCTGGTGGCGAAGGAGGGGTGGTGTTAGCAGCGATTCAAGGTGAGGACATCGAAGGAACGGGGGGAGGGTTCTCTCTCTCACTTGTGGGAAGCTCTTTGAGGCCTAATTGGTTAAAGGGCTCGAGGAGGTGGAGGCCATTGCCGAATTCCTCGTCCTCTTCTTCCTTTGCGACGGGGAATGGATACTGCGGGGCTTCTTCGACTGCTCCATCCTCGTCCTCGTCAAACTCTTGCTCGCTGGCGTCCGATATGCCCGCCTCCTCGGGGAGCCTTTCCGGGTCGATATCCGCGCCTGAAGAGGGGTTGCGCAAATTAGCCATGGTACCTTCTCTCACAGGAGCACGAGGATTGTGGGTACGGGGTTGGTTGCCAAAGGGGTGTAAGACTTACCACCATTCTCATAAGCCCAGGCCTTTGCCTGAAGCTCTCTCAGGTATCTGTAAAACTCGTTTAGTATAAGACTAGGAAGTCACACACAACTGGCTTTCCGAAACTGATTGACTTGGGACTTGACGCCGCGGCAGTCCTTGCAAACACAACAAACCAAAACTGGGGGTGTCGGCATCGCACTCACGCTTCTGTGATGAGCACCTTTCTCGTGCCCTCGTACGTGCAGAGAAGATCACTTTCAACGCACCGCGAACAGCTCGGTCGGTCTTTTGAGCAATAAGACCTCCGCGTCCGACAGTTGAGACATCTATACGAGGTGATGGAGTTAGTTTTCGTCGTGATAGAAGATTGGAGAGGCTTGTAAACTGACGCTACGGGCCGGGTTCCTTTGGCTTTGGCGGCCTTTTTCGCTTTGGCGGAACTTTCACCGCGGGCCTTGCGTTCTTTGGCCATGGGACTGTTTTTACGGCGTGGGTACTAAGTGTCGGCCTCCCGTCTAAGCTGGGAGGAACGGCGAGGAGATGAAGAAGAAGACCAGTTTTGAGAAAGGTCAAGTTGAATAGAAATAGAAAATAGGCCTATGATCGTCTACAGGGGATGTTTCCCAAGGGCAATAATACAATCAATTGGTTTGCGCTCTCTCCTTCTTAGCGGCCCTCTAATCCCGTCGTGGGAAAGTGCTGGATCTAGCTGTAAAAGTGCGAAATGTGGTCGTGGAGCGGGAGGTCGTTTTGCAAGGGACAAGAAATGGAAGGCAGAGAGCACGGCGCTTGGCGATGGTAGATGCTAGGCACACGCGTGCGAAAGGAAACAACGAGATGCGGATAGCAGATTAGAGGAGACGAGAGAGGCTAAAAAGTATGAAGGCCGGACTTGTGGAGCGGAACAAGGAAGGAGATGTCAAGTATACGGAAGGCAGCTCGGAGATGGTTGAGGAAGAAACTCTCGCTCAGGTCGCATCAACTGTCACGAGATCAAAAGATCAATGGATGTTGGTGGAGTAAACGTGTGCGGTGCTGGGACGAGAGGTCTTTGTCGGGGTTTTCGGTATTCGCAAGATTGTTTCACAGGATTGTGCATGTCAAGGGAATTACAAGTCAGTTCGATGCGGCTGTCAGTATCAGCCTAGCCTAGGTCTAGCTAGTCAATTTGAGGGTGGATAGATCATGGATGGTATCCATAGTAGATGGTGTTGGCACTTGGGCTTTGCTCAAGGATAACCGACTCCTTCGTACGTTGGCTTTGCTCAAGTGTCCGTCGGGAATCCACTCCGACGGGTCGGTGGAGGACTTGGCTGTGAATGCGCAGCTCCAGCCAATCCGACGTGGGGTAGCACAAGCACAAGCCCCAACCACACAAATGACGCAGGGGACAGAATGTGGAATGTGGGAACTGATAAGATAATGAAAATGGCGGGGGAGGGTAATAACGGGCTGCGCAAAACGCGAAAAGGCGGAGGGAAAGATAGAGGTCAACTGGCCCAAGTCGTGCAGGGACAGGGCAGTGTCAAGGCAAGAACGTTGCGTTGGACCGTGTTCATCATTGGGCCACCAAGCCAGTTTGCAGCTGTCATGCAGGGCTGCTTCAACGAGGGCACCGTCCCCGTATCAACATGAACTTCAAGTTGAGCCAAGCGAGGCTCGGCTCTTTTGCTACCCATGAATCTCTTGGTTTCATGGCAAGGAAAAGTGTAAAAAGGTTGAGCGTTTCCGACGAGGGGCTGATGTCTCGGGATATAATAATTCCAAAGCCTCGTCACTGACTGGAAGCGACCCCGGCGGGAACAAAAATTCAAAGTGTGCAAAGAGGTCAGCGGAGCAGTTGCCCGACGGGTTGGACTGGGCTGCCGGCGCGGTGCCACGGCGCCAAGTCCAAGCACCCGCAGGCTCGGGTCCAGGAAACCCCAGGAAACCAGCTCCCTTCCCTCCCTCCCCAACCTGCAGCTGAGCTCACCTTGACCGGGGCTCTCCACCGAGGATGAATTGATGGATGGTCTGGACTATGATGGAACCTGCCCGTTGTATTCTCGGGGGCCGGTCAGCGGGTAGGCAGGGGTCAACATTGAAGCATCTATGGATATGGCTCCATTACCTTGATTGGGTCACGAGCAGGCGACGATGAGGCAAAATGGAAGGCGTTAGTCAAGGGAACATTGAAGTAGTCAGTAGTGCAGGTGCAGTGCAGCCCTGCATCCGCTGGCGATTACGATTAGCAATCGAGACCCCGAAGCGGAGCCTTTCTGGCCCACAAGCACTTGGCTCAACTTGTATCAATTGATCAATCGATCCATGTGCCGACAATCTCAACAGGTGCTGATAAATAAGTTTACTGAACGTACAAGGATCTAATTGCTCCGTCCGATGGATCCATGACATGGATCAATGGATCTAGGAATATCTATATATATAATCGCAAGCGCTAACTCAAAAACCCTCTTTCGGGAACCTCGCATCTAGTCCATCCTCAGCATCCCCAGCACAGAACAGCATTAGAGTTGAACAGCTTGAGCTCCCTTTCCGCAAAGTACAAATTGGAAGCTTCAACCAACCCTCGCATCCCTTCTTGATCACAACCCCCTCTCATACGTCAACCACTTCGCCTTCCACGCGAGTGGCCACCCCCACGAAATCCAATTGACCGGGTAGCCAAAAGTCAAAGGAGCTGGAAATTCCCCATTTCGTCATCACCAGACATCTACACACACACACACACACACAAACCTCACACACATACACACATATACATATACACCAACAAAGCCCCTCAACACCTGACGAGTAAAACTGAAAAAAGGTCGAATTATCAACGGCAATCTAGCTCTAGGAGAGCCCCCGTTTTCCCCTCCCCTTGCCCACCATGGCCACCGCGTCAAAGGGAATCCGTTTCTCCATCGACAGGGGCGGCACTTTTACCGACGTGCACGCGGCAATCCCCGGCAAGGAAGACGTCATCCTCAAGCTGCTCTCCGTCGACCCCGCCAACTACCAAGATGCGCCCACCGAAGGCATCCGCAAAGTCCTCGAGATCGCCTCGGAGAGCGAGATCCCTCGCGACCGTCTGCTAGATCTTTCCCCGTCGAGTCCATCCGCATGGGCACCACCGTCGCCACAAACGCCCTTCTCGAGCGCAACGGCGAGCGCTTCGCCCTCCTCACCACCCGCGGATTCCGCGACCTCCTCACCATCGGAAATCAGTCCCGCCCCGCCATCTTCGACCTCGCCGTTAAGCCGGCCCGGGTTCTCTACGAAGAGGTTGTCGAAGTGGACGAGCGCGTGACCATGGAGGACTATACCGAGGATCCCGAAGCCTTCCGCACCGTCCCGGACGCGGCGGACGAGACCCTCGTGACTACCGTCTCCGGAGAGGCGGTGCGCATCCTCAAGAAGCCCGACTTGGACGAGGTCCGCCGCCAACTCGAGGCTCTGCACGCCAAGGGCTTTAGGAACATTGCCGTCGTCTTCGTCCACTCCTATGCGTACCCTGAGCATGAGCGCCTCGTTGGCGAGCTGGCAGCCGACATGGGGTTCACTTGCACCCTGTCTTCCGACGTCCACCCCATGATCAATGTCGTCCCCGCGGAAACTCCGCCGCTGTCGACGCCTACCTCTCCCCATCGTCAAAAAGTACATTGATTCCATTTCCGCTAGTTTCGAGGGTGGCTTCGCCTCCTCGTCTACGCGCATCCAGTTTATGCAGTCCGACGGTGGCCTTGTCGACTACCGAAAATTCAGCGGCCTCAAGGCTATCCTATCGGGCCCCGCGGGCGGCGTCGTCGGCTACGCACAGACTTCGTGGGATGACGAGGAGCGCCGCCCCATCATCGGGTTCGATATGGGAGGTACCTCTACCGACGTATCCCGCTTCTCCGGCACCTATGACCACGTCTTTGAGAGCGTAACGGCCGGCATCCAGGTCCAGTCCCCTCAGCTAGATATCAAGACGGTCGCTGCTGGCGGCGGCTCCATCCTTGCCTGGCGGAACGGCCTGTTCAATGTCGGACCCGAATCCGCTTCTGCTCACCCCGGCCCGGCTTGCTACCGCAAGGGAGGACCTTTGACCGTCACCGATGCCAACCTCTTCCTTGGTAGGCTCGTTCCAGAGCATTTCCCCAAGGTGTTTGGACCCAACGAAGATGAGGCCCTCGGCGTCGACATCACCCGCGAAAAGTTTACCGCCCTGACTGCCGAAATCAACAAGTCGAGACTGGAGAGCGGCCTCTCCGAGATCAAGCCGGAGGAGGTGGCCATGGGCTTCCTCAACGTCGCCAACGAGAAGATGGCCAGCTCTATTAGGGGTCTCACCGAATCCCGTGGTTATTCTACCGAAGACCACCACCTCGCCAGCTTCGGCGGCGCTGGCGGCCAGCACGCTTGCGCCGTGGCTTCGGTGCTCGGTATCTCGCGCGTCATCATCCACAAGTACTCGTCCATCCTCTCCGCCTACGGCATGTCACTAGCCGATGTTGTTCACGAGGTGCAGGTCCCTGCCGCTACAAAATACAGCCAGGAGACCCAAGAAGAGATTCGCGGTCAGCTCCAGGAGTTCGCGTCGCAGGCCGGCGCCGAGCTCCAAAAGCAGGGTTTCTCTGCGGACCAGATTTCGTGCGAGTACTACCTCAACTTGAGGTACAACGGATCAAGTAGCGCCGTCATGACGCTACAGCCCGAAGACGGCGATTTCAAACGCGAGTTCGAACACACCCACAAGCGAAAGTTTGGTTTCCACTTTCCCGAAAAGGACATCATCGTCGATGATTTCAGGGTGAGGGCTATCGGCGCCTCCGCCGCGGAGGCTCACCAGAGCCCCTTTGCCCAGATCAAGTCTCTCGAGGGCGGATCTCGTTCGTCTGCCCCCGCGCCGGGCGATACCAACATGACGTACTTTGAGGGCCACGGCACGGTCGAGACCCCGTGTACCATCTTACGGGGCTCGAGGCGGGCTGCGAGATCAACGGCCCCGCGCTGATTATTGACAAGACGCAAACGATTCTAGTTGCGCCGGGCTCGGTCGCGAGGATCCTCGAGAGCTTCGTCGTCATCGACAAGACAGACGAAGACGCGCCGACTTCCAAGGAGGACAACGACCAGGCCGAGTTCAGCGCTATCCAGCTCACCGTCTTTGGCCACCGGTTCATGTCCATCGCCGAGCAGATGGGTCGCACGCTCCAGCGCACCGCGGTCAGCACCAACATCAAGGAGAGGCTCGATTTCTCGTGCGCAATCTTTACCCCCGATGGCGGCCTCGTGGCCAACGCCCTCACGTGCCCGTGCACCTGGGCAGCATGAGCTTCGCCGTCAAGTATCAGTCGGAATTCTGGGAAGGCCGGCTTCGCGACGGCGATGTTCTCGTCTCCAACCACCCGACCTGCGGCGGAACGCATCTTCCCGACATCACCGTGATTACGCCCGTCTTCGATGGCGACGACATCGTCTTCTACGTGGCCTCTCGCGGTCACCATGCCGACATTGGCGGCATTCTTCCGGGGTCCATGCCACCCACGTCCACTAGGCTATGGCAGGAAGGGGCGTCGATCGAGTCGACGAAGCTGGTAAGCGAAGGTCGCTTCGACGAAGAAGAGCTCCGCCGTCTGCTGCTGGATGAGCCCGCCAAGTACCCCGGGTGCTCTGGCACGCGCAGGTTGCAGGACAACGTGTCCGATCTCAAGGCCCAGATCGCGGCCAACGCGCAGGGCATCTCGCTTATCAAATCGCTCATCACCGAGTTTGGTCTCGCTACCGTCCATCGGTACATGATTGGGATCCAAAACTGCGCGCGCGACTCCGTCGTTACTCTGCTCAAGTCGTTCCGATCCGAGTATGGCGAGGAACCCCTCAAGGCGGTCGACTACATGGACGACGGCACTCCGATTTCCCTCGCCATCTCGATCTCGGAGGATGGCCAGGCGACATTTGACTTTACGGGCACGGGACCGCAGGTGCATGGCAACACCAACGCGCCGCCAGCCATCACCTACTCAGCCATCATTTACAGTTTGCGCTTGCTCGTTTCGTCCGAGATCCCGCTCAACCAGGGGTGCCTCGAGCCCATCGATGTGGTACTACCCAAGGGCACGATCCTCAACCCGGACGCTGGTCTGGCGGTGGTGGGCGGAAACGTGCTCACTTCGCAGCGCGTGACGGATGTGATTCTCAAGGCGTTCCGGGCGGCGGCAGCGAGCCAAGGATGCTGCAACAACCTTACATTCGGGACGGGTGGTTCGGACCCCGTCACGCGGGAGCACAAGGACGGGTTTGGCTACTACGAGACCATTGCGGGTGGGGCGGGCGCGGGGCCGACATGGCACGGTCGCAGCGGTGTGCACACGCACATGACTAACACGCGCATCACGGATCCCGAGGTGCTGGAGAAGCGGTACCCATGCGTGCTCCGGCGGTTCGAGCTCCGGGAGGGATCGGGAGGCGTTGGAGCCAACCCGGGAGGCAACGGGGTGATTCGGGATATCGAGTTCCGGGTGCCGGTGCAGTGCTCCATCCTCAGCGAGCGCAGGAGCCGACGGCCATACGGGATGGAAGGTGGTGGGGACGGCGAGGCTGGGCTGAACCTCGTCGTGACCAAGGACGAGACGACAGGGGCGGACATGGTTCTCAATCTGGGGGCCAAGGCGACCACGATGTTGCAGCCGGGGAGAGGATCATCATTCACACACCCGGTGGTGGGGCGTGGGGTGCTGCTGCTACTGCTGCTGCTGCTACTGCTACTACAAGCTGAAGCAGGGGGAGTGAGGGAGTGTGAGAACACCCTCACAAGATTTGCTTTTTCTTTTCTCTTTTTGCCTGTGAGCTTTTAGTTTGGCGTTCCGATGGCGCTTGCAAGGGAGTGACTTGGAGATACATTGATTTCTGTGACCGGTACATGGGCGGATCGAAGGGCAAGTCTCGCTGTTCATGTGGCTTTTGTGACGCATCTTTGGAGGAAGGGAAGAGATACATCATACTCACGCCCTTTCCTGGGGTGACGAAAGAGCGCATTTTCCCAAATCGCAAGCGACTCGGTGTCGTGAACGGTGGCCAACGCCGCTTCTCGGATGTTTGGCTAGCCGATGGGAAGAATACATGTACTGGCTTGGATAATGAGAATTGAACGTTATTGACTCGACCTCTGTATGGCCGAGTTGGTCTGATTTAGGGTACCTTTTTATTTGCGATTTACATTTCTTTTTCATTGGAAGGCTGAAGAGGTCTGGCTTCTCTAATACCTAAGCTTGCTCCCCCTCCAAACTGGTCTAGGCGTTGGACCCTTGTTTTCACGCATCCCACCACACTCGGAAGCAAAAGTTTAATGTTCTTTTCCTACGAGGAAAACAAGCGGCTAAGAGTGTTTATTTCGGACAAGATGGAGGGGCGGTGCCTGCATTGGGTTTGATTGACCCCCAAGAGGGTAGCACGGCTTTGACTGCACGGTACAATGTATTCCCAGTTGCATTCCGCATTCCCGCGCAAGGCCCTGATTTTCGAATTTGAGTGGCGGCTGGCTCTGGAAAGCAGCCGCGACGCGCACAGCCGCCCAGAGCTAGCTCAGCCCCGCAAGGACGCACACGGAAAGGAAAGCGAGGAGGATGGAGCGCTCAACTGGAATGGAATGGTGGGGAAGAGACGAGAGAGGACGAATGCAGCGCAGCGCAGCACAGTCAATGGCTAATAATACCCCGAGACACTAAAATCACCAGACGGCACAGGCGCTTGCTTTCGGGTTCGAGTCCCCCTTCGTTTTTAGGGGCCCTCTATTAGGGGGAAGAGTGGAGCTGAAATCCAGAAACGGCGCTGGCTCGCTTTCGAGTCCAGTCGCAGTGGTCACCTCACTTCACTCTCTCGGTCCTCTTTCCGCCCGTCGAGTCTCGCAAAGGCTGACCGCGAACGTGGCCTTACTCCTCTCTTCATTCTTGTTTTCTTTTTCCCTTGTGCTTACGTTCCTCCGTTGGTCCCCTTTGAACTTGAACCTTCCTCTGCTCGGACAAAAGCCTCAGTCTCGAGCTGCTTTCAATATTTCGTGCGCCGCTACTACGCTACTACGCGACTGCTTAATTAACACTGGGGGCACGCACTTCGCAACCCCTCCCCTCATTTTTCCCCAAGGCCGCTCCTCCCTCCCTCTCCCTGCACTTGCAGGACGTACGTACGTTGACAAGCTCGAGAAATTAATCCACAACGTCCACATTGATCATCTCACCCCGCGGGTTTTCCCCCAACGCTAGCGGCGTCGAACAAGTGGGGGTATAGTGTTTCGGTCTGGTAGACAGCAGAAGAGAAATAAAAGAAGCAACAGAGGCAATACAGGGGAAAGCAAGAAGGGGAACTCCTAAAACAAACCTCTAGGTCGAACCAAGCAGCTCGCATCACATCCGCCATGGGGCTCCGCGACGTCCTCAGGAAAAAGGATCGGTCCGATTCCGAGCCTCCTATCCCCGAATTCACCCTCATCCGATCCGACACCTACACAGAAGAGGTCGTCTACCCGCCAGGCGGCGCCTCCCACAATGACCCCTTTGCGAGACAGCAGCAGCAGCAGCAGCAGCAGACCGGCACGAAGCCCCGCCATAGCTTGGACGTCTTCCGCTCCTCGCGATCCCGCAGCGCCTCGGCCGCCTCGGCCACTTCTTCCCGCACGGGGGCGACGTGACCCCCGCAAGGAGGGCAGCCGCCTCTCGCGCTTCCACCTGGGCCGCGAGCAATCCTCGAGCAACATCCCCACCGACCTCCCCGAGATCGGCAACGCCTCCGGCATATCGGGTGACCCCGACGACACGGAGGCGCAATGGGAGAAGCGAGCCATGATCTTGGCGAGGAGCAGGCCGTCCTCGCCTAATCCGGAACAACAAGGTGGCGGCAACCTTGGCAATACGAGCAGCAATGATCGGCGGTCCGGCGCCATGGTGTCGACGAGCCAGACGGACGAGCTGATACAGCAGGCTATTGCTTTTCATGAGGACGGCAACTTGGCGCAGTCTACGAGGCTCTTTGGCCAGCTGGCGGACCCCAATGGCGCCAATAACCCGCTCAGCCAGGTGCTCTACGGCCTCGCGTTGAGGTGAGTCCCATCGCTTCCCCTTTCTTATCACATCACCTCTCTCTCTCTCCCCTCGGGTCTTGAGTCTTGAAACGGAAATGGCGCACTGCAGCGATCTTCCTTGGAAGGGATGCACAACACTGGGCTTCCTTCCTGGCGCCTTGGACGTTCCGCGTGATGTCTCGAGGGAGTGAAGTTAAGAAATGAAAGGAAAAGAAAAGAGACGACGCCAATGCGCGCCGTCTTCCCAACGTCACAATTGCTTATTCGTGTCTTGAGAGTGTGAGCTAACCCCTCGTCGCTGCGTCTGCGGCCCCCAATCTTTCTTTGTAGACACGGCTGGGGATGCACACCTGACCCTGACCGGGCGGTCCTATTCCTCTCCAAGGCGGCTTCCAACGCAGCTGCCGTGGAGCAGATGGCGCTGCAGGCCGGCCTCAAGAAGGGCGGTGCCGCCAAGGGCGAGCTCGTACTGGCCATCTTTGAACTAGCGAATTGCTTTCGCCATGGGTGGGGGATCGGAAAGGACCCCATCGCCGCTAAGCAGGTATGTCTCTCTCTCTCTCTCCCCCTTGGTTCTTGGCCTTTTGGGTTTGCCACCTCCGTGTCCGTAGAGCCTACCTGATCAAGAGCAGCCCGATCTCTCCGACCTTGGCTTGGCTCGGCCCCCTCTTTCGCCTTGGCTCGTGTTGTTCTTCTTCTTCTTCTTCTTCTTCTTCCTTTTGATTCGAGGGTCGGATATGCTAGAGTGTGTTATTTTGCTGACCGCTTGCTCCTTCACCTGTGGCTTGCAGTACTATGAAACCGCCGCGAATCTCGGTGACACGGGTACGTTTCCATGTCATTGGCTTGCTCCTCTCTCGCGGTGGTGTTGCCGAGATGTGTTTCCTTCCCCGGATACCGTCTTGTGCTGCACCCTTGTGGATAGCCGGCCTCCAGCTGACAGGGTTTGGAATATGATTTACAGATGCGATGAACGAAGTGGCTTGGTGTTACCTAGAGGGCTTCGGATGCAAAAAGGACAAGGTGCGTACAAGTTTAAGCCAATCTGCTCTGCCATGGACCGACCCAGCCCTCGCCTACCCCGGCACGGCCTTACTTTCTTTCCCTGTCTTTTTTTTAAGCCTGTCTCTTTCCACATTTCTGTCACATCACCTTGTCTTCTTCACACGCCCCCACCATCTTCCAAAGAAAGAAACGAAGAAGAAGATATTGTTGAAGAAAGGAAGAAAAAAGCAAAATGCCAAATGTGGGTGGTGGTGTGTGTGGAAAGACGATTTGTGACTTGGAGTCGAGAGAGGCTGTTGAGTTCAAAGAGGTCGTGTTTGTCCACAGGCGAGCAAAAACCACACCCCCTCCCTCCTCCCTTGGCTTCCCTTTCCCCCTGCTTCAATCCATCTATTTGCTTTTTTTCCTGACCTCGTTTGCTATTGCCTCTTTCTGTTTCTCCGGTCCCTCTTCCGCGACTCTCCGCAAAGCTCGGAAGAACCCCACGCTGGAGAGATGACAGCTCAGGTTGAGGCTGACCTTGTGCTGTGCGGTGCGGTACTGACCCCTTCAATAGTTTGCCGCGGCGCGATATTACAGGTTAGCCGAGAAGAATGGGAATAAAACACTGGGCAACTCATGGTATGTTCAGCCGAGGAGTGGTCATCACTCTCTGTCTCTCTTTCTCTTTCTCTTTCTCCACGCCTCCGTCTCCGTAGTGGAGGCCGCTCGTCCTAGTTATGCGCTATCCCGACCCCTTCTCCGCCTCCTCTGCGGCTGCTTCCCCGCCCTCCCCGGCCCCTTCGACTAGATGGACGCTCTCTCCACAACACACATTCAGGCCCGTCCTGCTCCCTCTTAGACCTTCTCTTCTTAGGCTAGCCTTGTGTCGATCCATGTGGTCGAGTCAACGGCCGACGTTAGGACCGATACTCTAAGCATCTTGCTTCTGCCATCTCGTTTTCTGTCCTAGTTTCCTTCCTTTTTGTTTGCTTTCTCCCTTTCCTTTCCCATTCCCTTATACCCTCTCCCGCTGCACTAGTGTGGGTAAAACGTCAGCAACGGTTGCTAGTCGTGGGCTTAGACTCTCCTCAACGTTCCACTAGAACCGCGACGCGTGCTTGCTGATCGCCCCCACCCCTTCAACTCTCTCTCCCCCTCCCTGCTCGCCACCTCTCACCCGCACGTTATTCAAGGAGATACCCTCCCTACATGCTTGAGTTTGGACAGGGCAACCGTAGACGCTGCCAAGTGGTCGCCGCGACTTGAAGAAAGCTGCTAACAGGGGAAAACAGGATTTGGAAGGACAAATATGGTCCCCGGGTGAAGCGGGCCCGGGCAAAAAATAAACCAGTCGCACTTTTCGCCTTGCCAGGATGGTCACTTGACCGACTAGCCAGCGCAGCGTGACGGAAGAGAGACGAGAGAGGTCGTGGCGGGAAATGGGGACGCGGGCTTTTAAGATGTGTGCATGCAGGTGCGCAGGCAGGATGCACCTCGCCGCCGTCGATCCTCCACCAGGTGACATTTCCGACATGCGGTGCTACAACTTTTGGCGTGGCAAAATTAAAGCATGCCACGGCATGGGGGTGGCTGGCCGCGGCCGAGGTAGTGGTAGTAGGTCCTTCATTCAAGGATGTTGCAGACGCCTAGGCCCTTGAAGTGCGAGGGAGGTCAATTTTACAGATGATGGTGCCTGAAATGTCTACGGAGTGTACTCATAACTTGTTAGTATTGTGGGATGGCTTTGCGTTGTCGTTATACGTTGTTATACCTTTGAATTATAAATTCACAGAATTGCAGTCCGCGCAGTAGCTACTGATTTTGAAGATGGGGAGGGTTACTGGATTCTTTTCTTTCATACTCTAAGCCACTCCTGCTAGTACTATTTCTCAACACTATGATGATTTTTCTTCGTGATAGCCAGATCGAGAATATGTCCTCCAGCCTTGATCAAACCTGAGTTGATAATAATATTATCTATGCCATATCCGTCGTTTACACACGAGCAAGGATCAACGTCCTTCGTATGCAGTTGGACAGGTGGCAAGAATATTCTTCGCAGGTGGCAATGGACATTCGACCTCCAGCTCCAGCTCTCGCTTCTAGCTCTCGCTTCTAGCTCTCCGTGGGTGCAAGGTGGGGTCGAGATCCTGCTGCGGTCGGACTCGACTTACAGCGAAACCCCTCTCCGGGAGACTAAACTTGTCTGGAAGAACCCCTTTCTTGCCATCACGTTTTCTCGTCTAGCATACCCTAGCAGTAACGGAACAAAATAAGCCTTCTCTACCAGAAAGAACAATGGTCCTCAAGCTCTATGGGTCGGCCATGGCCACCTCGCGCGTGCTGGTCACGATTCTCGAGAAGGAGTTGCCCTACGAGCTTATTCTTGTTGACATTGCAAAGGGAGAGCAAAAGAGAGAGGACTACAAGAAGCTTCAGCCTTTTGGAAAGGTCCCGGCCCTGGACGATGACGGCTTTGTGATCTTCGAGAGCCGAGCTATCTGCAAGTATCTAGCTAGGTAAGCCCTTCCTTAGGCGGTGCCCCAACCCCCAACGGCAGAAAGGAAAATGAGTAAAGAGGGAGAGAGAGGAAGGAGAGATAATCAAGTAAAGCATATGGAGACTTGACAATCGTCTTTTGATGTAGGAAGTACCCCTCCGGAAAGAGCCTCATCCCAGAAGGTGATGATAAGGCCTACGGCCTCTTCGAACAAGCTTGTTCCATGGAGCAAAGCTATTTCGCGGCGGCGGCCGAGACCATTGGCACCGAGCTTATAATCAAACCGTACTATATCTCACCATCTTAGAGACGTGCCACAAGCACGCTGAGCCCTCTTCTTCCTCTGAACATGAAGCTAACAGGAAGAATGTACAGAATGAAAGGACTGGGGGCCCCTGATGAATCAAGGGTCAAGCAAGCGGAAAAGGATCTTGATGACGTGTTGGCTGTGTACGATAGCATTTTGTCGAAACAGAACTACCTTGTCGGAGATGAACTGACATTGGCTGATTTATTTCACTTACCCAACGGAGCAGCGTTGATGGCAGGTAAGTGGAAAGAAGTGTTTGAGAAGTACCCAAACGTGAATAAGTGGTTCAGCGGATTACAGAGGAGGGAGACTTGGGTAAGAGCAGCGGCGGAGGCGGGGACGATACCTTAAGACATGGAGTTACGGTATTCACATATTCTTTAGAGTGTATCAACACAGAAAGAGAGAATTGAAGAGAATTGAAGATGGCATAACAAGTTTATGCTCTAGTCTACTATTACATTCATGCCGCCATGATCTATGTCATACGTATTGCTTCATCAGTCATCCTATCTAATGCAGACTAGCCAAGCTGGCGAGCACCCGAGGCATGCGTAGCATGACCTCTCCCACCCGCCCAGTAGTAGAGAGGGAAGCCGATCCATGAAAGGCATTGTTGTTTGTTTTTGGTTTTTGTGTTTGTGTGTGTGTGTGCGTATGTGTGTATGTCACACACATGTGGAGGCTGCCGAAACCAGCTTGCAAGATCAAGGACTTTTTGTTTGTTTTTTTGTTTTTTTGTTTGCCTTGGCTGGTCTTTGGCTTGGTCCTCGGTGTCTGGTGTTGTCCGTGTCAAGACCTTTTGTTGAGGATAGACGGAGGGCATCACGTCTTGCTTAGAGGCAAGTGCGTTTTGGTTTGTTTGTGTGGATGGCAGATGTTGCCGATGCCCTCGTCGTCTTCCAGGTCTCGACACCACCAGAACCCCTCTCTACTACCTGTGCTCGCCAACCCGGCCGCCACACCTCATATCCACCGCATCCCATAAGAATACCAGACCCGAACCCGGGGACCCCTTCCCAGCCTGCATCAGACCGGTCCTGCTCCTGGAGGATGGGTCGACGTACGGGGCCGTCCCAAGCGGGAGGCCCGCGGGTGAGCGAGAGTGTTGCCACCAGGAAAGGGTCCCCCTCTCCTTTCTGTTGTTCGTAAAAAACAAAAAGGTTGACATCCATCTTCGCCGTATCCTTTCTCACGGTCGCGCGGTAACTTTCTCCCATGTTGCGCCCTCCAAGACGAGATGGCTGGTCCGGCGGCGGCAGTCGTCCCCGTTGCCGCGAGCACCCCGGAAGACCGGGGCAAAAAGGGGGAGGGAGGTCCAGCAGCCGCCCGAAGCCCGCAAAGCCCGGCTAGTAATGTCCGTGTAAGAAAAAAGGTGCCTGAGAGAGGTCATGTAAGAAAAACCTGCTGCTTCGCGAGGAAAGATCGGGTGGCGGCATGGCTCCTCCGCGCTATTTCCCCCGTCCCCGGTCTCTGTTGTATCGCCAAGTCGCCCAAAGGGCCCAGTCCCGCTCTCTGCCAGAGCAAACACGTCGAAAAAAACTTGAACCATATATACTTGAGGAGCACGCCTCTGTCCCTCCCCGACTCAGGCGGAATAGACGGTTGGTTTCCCGGCGGCGGTTTCTTTTTGCCACTAGCAACCTTGAGAAGATGATGGTGGACTGGGGGAGGTCCGGCGCCCGCATCCGAAACGTCGCAAAGCCCCGGCAGGTGTGTCCGGTAGAGAAGTAAAAGCCTGCGGTATCGCGAGGAGAACAAAACGCGATGGGGCGCTCCCCGTCTGAGCCCCCGGGCCCTTGAACCATCGCTACTGTGTCACCGAACCGCCCCGAGTGGAGGCCTACATGTTAGAGTGCCGTGTGTCTTGACCCTTGTGCTGACTTGTTTGCACGCTTGACGGTACACGCCTCATGCCCTCCTTATGCGCCCGGGCGTAAACGGCTGGACCGTGCGGCGGTTTCTTTTTGCCACTAGCATCATTCCGGTAGATGGGGGTGAGGGGAGAGGTCCAGCCCCCGACCGTTCTTCCGCAAAGCCCGGCGAGTGTTTTTGTTTTGTTTTTGTTTTGTTTTTTTGTTCCAGAGCCTACGGGCCGCGAGTCCCTCGTGTGTCTTGGGGGCTCCCCATCAACGTCCCCTCGAACGCCTTGCCATCTCTGTTGTGTCGCCGAATCGCTGGGGGTGGAGTACTACATGTGAGAGTGCCGGTGCCGAAAAAACTTGAGGAACGTGCCTCTTTGCCTTCTTACCCTGGTGCGGAAACGGCTGGTCCGGCGGCGGTTCTCTTTTGCCACTAGCATCCGGATGTTTCGGATCGCCGGCCCGAGGTGGGACGTCCAGCCACCGTCCGGGGCCCGCAAAGCCCGGCGAGTGTGTCCAAAAGCCTGCGGGGCGCCGCGAGGAAACCGGCGATGGCTCGCTCTCGTCCGCACACCTCGGTTCCGGCAATCAACCTTGTCACCGGGTCGCTCCAGGGTAGAGTCCTACATCGAACGAGACTGTCTGTGCTTGCCAGGAGAAAGTTACCGTGCTTCTTGTCCAATACTCCGTGCCTCTTGTCCCAAGGCGGAACGGTTAGCCTTGGCGGCGGCTCTCTTCCCCAAATGGCCCGCACGCATCCAAGATATCCTGGCTCGCGTCTCCGGGGGAGAGGTCACAGCAAGTTATACAAATCCACCCGGCCACGCAAAGCCCGGCTGGTGTGTCCGGATTAAAACAAAATGACCTGCGCCGCGAGGAAAGCTGTGGTGGACGCTCTCCTATTCTCGGCCCCCGGGACCACGAGCCGCTACTGTGTCACCGTTCCGCGCAAGGCAGAGGAATCCCGCATTCAAATTGCTATGCAGGACGGGAAGAATGGGATGTCGTGGGTTGTGGGTGCAGACGCGCCTCTACCTCTTTGCCCTCAAGCGGAAAACACGGCTGGCCCGGCGGCGGAAACGAAGCCGCACGCAACCGGCAGATTGTGGACACAAGCAGGACGAGCCGGGATTTAAGTCCGCGACTTCGCACAGCCGCTATCCGAGGGATCTGTATTGTGTCGCCGAGCCGCCATGAGGGCTGAGTCCTTCACGCCGTGGACCCACCCACGGGTGAAGAGTGCTGCGCTGGTTCTTTTACCACGGGATGACCGGTGGAAGGGGGCCGGCATGTGTTGTTGTGTCTTCCATGGACATGGGCCAAGCGGGTAGGTTGGCTGGCGGTGGATTCGCCAAGTCATCACGTGAAGATGACCTGCCCAGGGCACCGCGGGGCATCCTGTTTGGTTGACCACTACTACAGGTTTTTGTGGTTTTTGTAGTAGTAGTAGTGGTCCTACTTTCGCTGCTACCGGCAATCGTGGTAGTAGTAGTAGTAGTGGTAGTGGTAGTGGTAACAGTGGTAACGGTATTACCAGATGCCTGGGCCCCGGGTACGTGCTCGTTGTCGGGCCCGTAGAGATTAAGGAACCTCATGCGATTTTCTTCCATCTCCATGTCCATGGGTTCGCCGACTCGCCTATAGAAGTTTGGATGCAAAGGAGACCGGGGAGGGTACCTGGGAAGCGGGTTTGTTTGAGCTGTTGCTGTTGTGGGAGGGTAGAGTCCCGGGCAAGACCCAGTGCTTGTTCATGGGCTTGTGCGTGAACTCTCCCGAGTCTATGCGCATCTTGATTATCATGCGCACGTTGGGTTTTTCCACATGCTTCCGTCTCCGTTTCCTGGGTCTCTGCCTTGTCCTCGTCTTCGTTGGTCGCAGCCGCGATACACATGCCGATGTACTCCGTCTCCCTCTCGATGGGTTCGCCTACTCTCTCTCTGTCGGGCACGTATGTAAAGTACGAGTCGTTGGCCTGCTCGAGATCCCCAATAGTTTGCTTGTTTGTTTTGGTGGGAGCAGTGCTCAGGCCCGTGGCGGAGGGCGGAGCAACGATGCCGCGGGTGGTAGGGACTCGGCGACTCACGGCCCGACAAGTAGTTGCGTCACGCATGCGAAGGGCCTCCATCTCGAGGTTGACTGGCTCCCCGATCCTTCGGTAGTGGGAGTTGTGGGCTTGATCGCCGGTACCAGAACGGTACATGGCGGCGAAGTCGACGCTGGATTCTTGGCTCTCCGAGCCACAGTCGTCCTCCTCCAGTGGGCAGGCGTCCTTGGAAGCATGGAAAGCGTTCCCGCCCACTTGGCCCTGCTGCGCAAACATGTCAAGGCAGTAGGCTGGAGGAGTGAAACTGGGTACGGGTTTCGTGGAACCGGATCCCTGGGATCCGGAGGGAGAGCTGTCCTCTGGTTCCTCGCCAGCGCGCTTCGCCAGCTCTCTCTTGATGAATCCCGGGACATCGATGCTGATCCTGAGTGGGGAACCTATGCCCTCGCACTCGCAAGCGATGCCTACGTCTCCCCGGTGCTCAGAACCCACCAGAGAAGGTTTTGCTGCTGCGTGCGCCACTCTTCGTCTCCGTCATCGAAGGAGAAGAGACCCTTTGGCTTTTACCGACCGTGGCGGCCAAAGCCTCCGTGGCGCGGTAAACGTGCTTCATGCCAGGGTTGGCGATGTACGAGCCGCACGAGACCGGGCCCTCGCCCGTCATGTGCCTGAGGGCGTAGTCATAGTGGGCATCGTCGTGATTGCGTATCATGGCCAGAGCGACGCTGAACACGGCAGAGGCCGGGTTCTGAGCAGGCGGGCATGCGGAGCCGAAACGGTACGGGCTCTTAATAGCCCCCTGCAGCGGCAGGGCGTTCAGAGTTCATCAAGTTGCTTGGTTTCCCAGCCTTTTTGGCGGGCGTCTTATCCAAGACGAAGTCAAAGTTCCATTTGTTAACATATGGCTTCGCCTCTTCGGCCTTGGTGTCCTTGTCACCAGGCTTCTTCTTGAGGTCGAAGTCAAAGTTCCATTTGTTAACATAGGGCTTCGCCTCTTCGGCCTTGGTGTCCTTGTTATCGGACTTCTTGCTGAGGTCGAAATTGAAGTTCCACATATTGACTTGTGGTTTCGGTTCCTGGGCAAGAAAGGCGGTGGATAGACGAAGTGTGTGTATCTGGATACACACGGGTTGTTTGTTTTGTTTTTGTTTGGATCGTATCTCTCAAAGATAAAAGGTCTCAAGGTGCACCTGGGTACAGCTATGCAGAGTATGTTGGCATGTCTGGCCAAGAAGACGCGAAACAACGCTTTGCAACAAAATGGTCACCGGTTGGACTTACCTTGGAGTATGTCCTTTTACGAGTTCAATGGGAAATTGGGTAGAGGTTGCGGTCAAGGTTGCGGGAGGATAGTACACCCCGAGCAGACGGCTTGATCCTAGTAAATGCTTAGGCTCGAAACTCGAGAGGAATTGTCACAAGTCGAGATCGAGAGAGTGTTTCTCAGAGATGCAGTGTCTATCTCTGGACAGAGTAGCAAAAGTAGTACGCTCGAGTATAGACTCGTGTGTTTGTGGGTTTGTTTGTTTGTTTGTTTGTTTGTGAAGAGAGTGATAAACGAGCGTAGCAAAATTCTGGTATGTGAGCTGCGAAGCTGAGTACGAGAATTATTCCCAAAGAGAGATGAAGAGGGAAAGAAAAAAAGGAGATTCGGACAGATCTGGGGGAGACGCTTCTTTATATACTCTAAAAAGTGAGGCCGCTGACACATAGTGAGGTCTTTGGAGATGGCAGCAGCTGTGGATGAGCACATGTAAGAAGGAAGAAAAGCTTATGATGTAGGATCTAGAACCATCCATATCCTCATTCCATCATTCTCTTCCTCATCTTGTGCAATGCGAGAGAAGGGGGTGTGTGAGGTGTCGGCTTTGCGAGGGGGTGGTTCTGCGCGGGATTCTGGCTTAGACCCCCGGGGTGAAGGGGGTGAGGATGGGGGTTTCATAGACCCGCAGAATTGAGGACGAGGAGATGGGTGTGTGGTGTGTGTGTGGTGTGTTGGGAAAAGGGGATGGGGGCTCTCTGTTGTGGTTCTCAATGCGCAAAGAATCAGAATTGAGTTGAGGACTTGAGGCCCGGGGAAAAGACCAAAAGGTTATATTCCCTACACCCCATCTCTACTTGGCCCCACGGCCCCTTACCCCGTGGGGTATTCACGGGTGTCGTCGACCTCCGGGGCCCCGCACCCGCACACGCCCCCGTGTCTTGGCGCCGGCTTCCGGCGACGCGGAGATTGCCGCCCCGTAGGACGGAAGGGGGTGTCTTGGAAATTCCTCGCCCAAGAAAGACACGATAGGAGAGGCCACTGCATCGATCGAAAGCATCGTTAGAAAGGAGGCCTTGTCGTTTCTCTTTCCTTCTTCTTGTTCTTTCTTACGTCTCCTCTTGGCATGTGATTGTCATTCGATTCTTCTTTGCCTCGCTCTGCCGCAGACTTGAAGGGGGTGTACACCTCGGAAACTCAATGGCCATGAAATTCCATGAGGCCGGCCCCTAGCGCTCCCCCAAGCACTCCCTCAAAACTCGACTAGCCCCATTACAAGGGCGTCCTCACCTCGTCGACACCCCAGCGAGGCATCAAACATGCCACCCCCTTCCTCGACATCATTGAGGAAAAATACTTCCAAGGCCAGGAGAATAGCTACAGACATTCTCTTCCACCTGGGGCGGATACATCATCACGCAAAGCAAATCGCATGTGCTCACAAAGGTACGGTTGGTTGTTTCCTATGCTGTTTGTATTTAAGAAGGGAAGATTGGATTGCCGTTGAGGCCTAGCTAGGACAAAGGGAACTATGAAGATGAGAGATGTGGTTGAATCCATCCTCGAGATTCGAAACGTCATGTCGGAGGAGAAAGAAACCGTCGGCTGGCTCAAGGGGGTATGATGTCTTGAGCTGTCCTCGGCTTCTCCTCCTCGCTAAGGTTAAAAACATAGGAGACAAAAGAATGTAAAGGAAGGTCGTAGTTGCAGTGATGATGATGCATAATCCGCAAGCCGCGTACACTTCCAACAGGGTTGAGCACTTTTGAAAAACGCCCTCCAGCCATTCGCCTACTCTTCTTCTTCTTTCCGAGAAAGAAGAGAAGAGCGTGGAGTGGCCAGAATTGGATAGGTCTCCCTATCCACGAAAAACAATCATCATCGTCGTAGCGTCCCCGGCCCTCGCCCGCGTCCCTTTTCCAGGAAAAACGGCGGTGAGGAAGCCTCCAGTCGTTAAAATGGTATTGGTTGTTGTCGTAAGGTCATTAGGAGGAAGAATGTGTGTCATGGTCGAGAATAGGAAGCAAACAACTCCAACATCGCTTGCAAGGAAATCAAAGACAGAGAGAGAAAAGTCCAACCATGACAAAATGGGGAAAAAGCGAAAACTCCAATGATCCCAGGCTAAAATCCGTCGTGAGACGCCGTCAAGTTGACTCATTTCTTGTTACCCCATCGATAGGGGTGAAAACCACACCCATCCCAGCCTGGCCGCTGGCCACCATCCATTCCCCATCTCACGGACACATAATCTCCACGGCCATCAGAAACGACGATGGCCTAGAGAAAAGATGCCCGGAAGGAGGAAAGTGTGGCGGAGGCAGGGATTGGGGGAGGGAATCGGAGAAGAGGTTGCAGTAGAAGGGGAGGGAGAACACACACACACAAACGTGATACGTCTCCAACAACAAAGCTCATAGCCAGTCTTTCACACGATCCCGCCCAATCATCTCGACCAAATTTCAAGGGAAAACATAAAAAAGAAAATCATTTGATACAAGCCTTCGCCAGGATGACTGGGCTGGTTCCATATGTCCGCTGCACCCAGGAAGACGGTGTTGTTTCCGGGGAGCCAAGAAATATAACGCAAAGGAATAAGAAAAGCCCCCTTCCAGAGAAAAGAAACTAGAGCCCAAACGTGGAGACGAAAGAAACCTTTCTTCGCCCCAAGGTAATCATCCCATCCTGGTGGTAGCCGCCGTATACCATGCGACCGTCTCACCCAAGCAAGGAAAGGTCCCGGAAAAGGAGAACAAAGCTAGAGAGAAAAGCAAATCATGTGCAAGACGGCACAGAGGTAAAAGACATGAAAGGAGGGTAAAGACAAATAATTCCAAAACTCGCTCGCTTAGGGAAAACCAGAAAAAAGAAAAAGAAACTACTGCGTGAATAAAAACGAGGTCAAGGGAGAAGGGGCGACATCCAAGTCCAGGGGGAAGGAAGAACGAAAAAGGAGATGGGTTAATATGCTAATCGGGCTCCATGAACTACTTGCGTCGTCCAGATGATGCGTGAGCAGAAGGTCTGTTTGTTTTCCGCGGGAGCGGCGATTCAAATTGTGTATAGATGGTCGGAGAGGAGCTTGGATGGCCATGAAAAGAAAAAGGCCGCGAGGAAAAGCGAGATTGAAGATGTCTCGAAGGAGGAGAAGGAAAATAATAAAAGAAATGGAATGAGTGCATGCGTCGCTCGTTTTCATCCTCCGTTTTGTTATGTTGCGTCGAGCAAGGCGTTGCTCGTCGCTTAGTCTTCGCATGGTCGTTCGTCAAGGTCGTGATATGGGGTGGGGAAAGCCAAAATAAATAAAAAATCAAATCAAAGTCAAATCAAATCAACGCGTCGTTAAAGGGCAATGGGGAGTCGTTTCGTCATGAGCCGATAGGGCCACATTCGGCTTGGGCATTATTGCAATCCGAAAACATCTTGGCAAAATTTCGAACCACGTCGCTAGGAATTTGATCCCAGAGAAGCGACCGAGTGTAGACATCCGCCGCAGATTGCCTGCCACTACCTCGCATAGTGGTGAGTGCATCGGCGAGGTTTCGTCGTCCTTGGCTGGTTGTCCGCTCAGTAGCATGGTGCGACATAAAGTCCTGCGAGTTCACCCCATTGTATTGGGCAGCCGTGAGGGAGAATAGTTGCTCATTCGTTTGCTCTTGGCTGGGCTGCGTCAAGGAGTCTGCGAGTTCACCGAGCATCGAGGAACCGACATTGGCGTTACCAAAAGTGACTCCAGTCATGCCCTCCCAGTTCACGGTTCCCGAGGGTTGCGGTGCCATGGCAGCATCCATGCCCATGTGAGCAGTGGACACCCCCGCATCCTTGAGGACGTTCTCGAGGATGGAGGCAGAGGCGGCTCGGACATCATCGGAGACCTGAGGCAGGTTGGGGGTGGAGCGGCTGGACATGACGAAAGCGCCCACGAGGAACAGCATGAAGAGCAAGCCGCTTTGGGAGAGGACTTGTCAGCCTCGGGCAAGAACGACGAGTTCTCCGTCTTCTTGGCGGCGAGCAGCTCGGCCTCCTCGTGTTTGGCTTGTTGTTCGACAAAACTGGTATTGTTGGCGTTGAGGTAGCCGACGTGATTCCAGTCATTCGCCATGGACATCTCGCCCATGGGATCGAAGGCACCGTGGAAATCAGCCGTCATGTCGCCTGCGGCGAGGGAGGCGGAGCCGTCGACTCGTCGAAGGTGCTCGGTCAAGACGCTAATCTTTTTCGAAGTTCGCCCGTCTCGATGGTATGGGCGCGGATGCGCTCCTCCTTATCGAGAGTCAACGCCTCAATACAGGCCTGATAGGACTGGATCTCCCGGGCGTACGCGTCAGCCTTGTTTTTGAGGCTGCCGATTTCTTCCTCCATATCGCCCACGAGGCCGGTGAAGTGTTTCTTCTCATCCTCGAGCCTCTCGGTGTGCTGCTTCTTGCGCTGTCTAGAGTCAAGGGCAGCCTGTCGGTTGCGAAGAAGACGCTTCTGCTGCTTGAGTTCCTTGATCTCCTGCTCATCCGTCGACTGGGAAATGAGCTGGTCGATGTTGTGGAGGTTCCTGTCAGGAGGAATATCGAAGCGGGCATTCTTCTTCCGGATGCCATCTCCCGTACGGAAGGCGTGGCAGGAAGCTTCTTTTGTCCTTGCAGACCGCCAAAGTCCTTGCGCATCGACATGGGCTGGCCGGCGTTTGACTGGATGGTGGCACCTGTTGTAGCTGTCCCCGAAGCGAGTCCAGCGAACATGTTGCCACTGGGGTTGCTGAAGGGGCCTTGGGTCGCCATGGTACGGTGGAAAAGTGAAGCTCCCGAGTCGAAGTCGGCGAGGCTATCAAAATGCTGCATGGGCGTGCAGGTCCCAGAGGAGTTGCCCAAGCCCCAGGGGGCGGCTTGAGAGGCAAAGGCTTGATTTTGGTCTAACCGCATGAATGGATTGTTGCTGTTGGGGTGCTCAGAGTAGCCTGTCGTTGATGGTATAGACTGCATGTCTACGGAGTCCCAGGCCTCAGCTTTGGGCGAAATGAGCGAGGAGCCGACGGCGAAGGATTCTCTCCTACTATCAGCCATGTGAGGAGACATTTCAAGACCGGAGTCCAGGTTAGACTGGTCTAATGTGGAATCGTCGAGGAGTGTGTTGTCCTCGTCCTTGAAGTACTTCGAACTTGTGTCAACCGCCAAAGACCCTGTGTTGAAGAACTGTTGCATCTGAAAAGGCGATCCCATCGTAGAGAGGGTCTGGAGGGGGCGCAAGTTGCAGAGAAAAGAGACGGTCAACCAAAAGCGAGTTGACTTTCGTGGCTCTTCTGGGTGTGCGCTTGATGATGTAAAGAACCCAAGGTTCAAAAAGCGCTTGGTAGGATGGAGATGGGATAGACAATGTGTAAACCGCTCAAGGGCGTTTTATTCTTTTCTGATCTTCTGTGAGGGCGGACGATGTTAGTTGGAGCGGTGAGATGTTGAAGTGGGAATGTAATAAGCGCGAGTGGAAACTACAAGATCAAGCAATGTATATTTCCGAGGCAAGCGGGAAAATGTATGAAGTTGGGAAATGGGGAGAAGGAATTTTGCGAGCAAGGGCAAGATCGATAGGGGAAGATGGCAAGAGAAAAGATAGAAGGGTCAAGGCCCGGGAACAGCCAACGTTTGGGAGAATGACGGCGGTGAGTATGGTGGTCGAGGTTGGTTCATGGGGAGGGAGAGAGGCTGGTGCGGGGACTTGGCAAGGGTGCTTCCTTCCTTTTTCTGGCTCTCAAGAATTTTCCCTCGTCAATCCGCAGGGGATCCGAACAACCAGGAAAAGAAAAAGTTGCAAATGCGTGCGTCCAGTCCAAGACTCAAAATTTCCCTTCTCTTTATTTTTTTCCCTTTTGTCTTCCACCGTACTTGGCGCAAGGACAGGATAAGAAGCGCAAGTGAAGGCAAGAAAAGGTGGGGTGAGGCAAGAGCGGGCAGAGTTGGGGGAATAGAATCCGGGAAGAGGGCGGGAAACCAGCGAGTCTGGCTGCAGCCGCTCTCCGTCGTCGCCTTGAAAGAGAAAATCAAACCTACAATCGTTGATCTTTGCCGTTGAAGTCCAGCAAGTTGAGGATACGCCGAAAACTTGTCGGTTCGATATCGAGAGAGTATGGGATGCTATCGGGTAAATATGGGTTGGTGAGTCTGGCTTGAAGAGGGCGGGAACTCGTCAAAGATGGAGGTGGATGGTGGATGGTGGTGGATTAAAGCTTAAGAGCTGGCAGGAGGAGGTGGAGGTGGGTGGGAGGGGAGTCGTGTAAATAATGAGGAATCTGGGGATCGAAGAATGCTCAGCTGCGGGAAAAACCGTGCAGGGCAGAAAAGACTGGATTTGGTCTTATTAGGAGGGGGCAAGAACTTGGTCTGGATGATGGGATGCTAGAGGTATATGTAGAACATTGAAATCACTGCACATGTAGACGAAGAGGCACATCTGTATCTGGCCGCCCGAGTGGCCTTGTTTGAGGTGCTTCTCCAAGCTGAGGTACATTATCGAAGTCCCTAGTCTACCTGCGAGCAAAGGGCGGTCGAGTCGTCGATAGATGGATGAGATGGGAGCGGATACGCGACAGATGCCCTCTCCAAGCCAAGATACGGACGGTACTGAGCAGCACTGCACCGCCCGTCTCCCTTGACCTCTTCCATGTTCCTTTTAGGAGATGTATTATTATTAGGCGGTCAATACGGGGGGGCAGCACCTTGGGGCCGGGACTGGACGAGCCTGCTCTGCTTCAGGATAGGACAGGACAGGACAGACAGGACAAGACAGGACAGGGTGAGCGAAACGGTGGGAGAGGAGGGAAGGGAGAGGGGTGGGAATCCGGGACGACATGGAGGGTGGGAACCAGCAGGAGCCAAGGAGCAAAGAGGAAAGAGGTAAAATGGAATAAAATCAAAGTTGTAGGGTGAGGTCAGGCCCATCAGCTCGACCAATCTGTGAAGCCCAGCAAGAGGAGGGCGTGGGTGCATCGGTTCCGCTCGAAACCGTCACGAAGTGGGAGGAGGGTGAGCCAGCTGGCCAGGTTTGGAAGTGTATCCGCCAGTTTCGGCGTGCGTGAAAGCAGGAGGACATGGGAACATGGGAACATGGGGCGCTCCCACCATGATCGAGGGAAACACCAGTCACGATTGACCGTTGGCAGCTCTTGTGCAGATTGTGTGGGAGTGGAGCGTGGGCCTAGGAAAAGGAGTGATCAAATAGCAAGGAGGGTGGGAGGACCTTTGGGGGCAGATGGGTCGTCTGCAGCAAACGGGGAGCGAATGAGGTCTTCAAACCGCCGTGCTAGGGCTTCAATATGGTTGATCATTGCATACGAATCAACTCACGCACCATGCACTCCAGGAGCTATAGGCACCCGGGGCACTAGAAGAGGCGATGCTTTGCTATTGTGGATGTGTGCCATGCGCAGATTCTTGGATGAACCGGTAAAGCCCTCGGTCCTTGGTTGTTCCACTGCCCACTTTTGGCACGGCAAAACATGGATCCATCTGACTCTGACGGAGGTGCATCGCTTGTCTGGTTGAAGCAGGCATTTGCCAGTCTCCATGGTGGTTTAGTCTTTTTTTTTCCTTCGTCCGTCAAAGTCGCCGATCAGACCGACATCCGAGTCGAGCCCTTTTGACGCCCTGCTCCCTCGTCCGGGATGGTCGGGGGATTGGCTGAGAAAATATCCGGCCGAAACCACTGGGCTGAAAGGGCACTCCTCGGCGGTTAGAGTATTATTAGGGTTCCTCTGTGGCCGATCCGAGTGAGGCTTACGCTCGGCTTGTGGCTGTTGAGAAGATCCAACGTGACATTAGGACGGTCGAAGCAGATCAATCCGTACTCTCATGAGTCTCCTTGGTCCATAATAAAAAGCGATGGGGAAGGCAAGGGAGGGGCCGAATACACTCTAAAAACGGCAAGTAGAAGATGGGTACGCCAGTAAAAGGAAGCGCGGTTTCCTGAGCCACAACTAATCGAATACTACCGTTGACATCGTCATGAGGGCAGTTCACGGTGGGAAGGACGGGCACTATGCCATATTTGGAGAGATGCCCCAAAAACCTCTTCAAAGCCCGCAGTTCCCTTGTTCGAGGATTGAGGGAGTCCGCAGCCAGGAGCTAGGGATTAGCGTCGTGCATGTATTCGTGTAGGATGGATGGGTTGCCGTGCAAAGGGTATCATGAAGCCAGCCCCAAATCAGCCTGGGGCAGGGAGTGGAAAGGAACTGGCAGTGGGGACGGGGACGCGGAGAGGAACGGCCCTCGCCATTTGGGCCTGTGGGATGTTCCAGTGTGATCAATGGATCAGTGACAGATCCAAGACCGACCTTGACCCACCGAACCCTAGGACATTTTTTTCGAAGCTTAAGCAGTCCAAAGGCAGCATCTGACGACGCCTGTAGGGACTTTGTGCAGCTGCAGCGACTAGACCGCAGCGTCAGGAAATAAACAACCCGTGAACAGAATGGTGTTTCGGTTTCAAACTCGCCGAAGGTGGATCAAGGATCAAGTGGCGGGTTTCCATGAAATGGCAACTAATCTCCCCTTCTAACAAACCCAGGCCAACTTCATGGCTGGGCCTGCCTGGCAAGTGCCAGTGGATCTAGCTAGCACTGACTTTGGTCATCTCAGACCAGGCGCGATACTTGAGATGGAAACGGGCACAGGCGAGCTCAAGACCTCTCGGTAGACTCCGAGCGGTCCGGGGAAGGCTTTGGTCAAAGGGAAGGAGAAGGAGGCTTCCAGTTGGGTAAGTTTCTCCCTTGTGGTACACCGTGCCCCGGCGTAGGGAGGGGCGTGGTTTCCAGAAGCCAAGGAAGGTGTCAGATCTTCCCTCCAATGTAGCGCCTTCCCGAGCTCCGCGCTCTATTTTTTCCTAAGTATTTATTCCGAGCTATAATAGCGCCGAAACTGGACGTCAAGAAGCCTCATCGCTCCTGCAATGTTACCGTCACCGTCACTCTCCATCCCGCCCGGCACGGAGGTAACGGTGCACGCAAGGTTCACGGTTTAGACAAAGGGGTGGGGGAGGTGCAAATGGTCAAGGCATGGACAGATCCATTGGATAGAAAACGCTCGACCTCACGTCTTCCATTTTCCCTTCAAGGCAGCGCGGCCAAAACTGTGGAAAGAAGCGGTGAGGTAGCCGTGACTTGACTCTTGGAGTCAGAGCCCCGTTTCAGATGCGCCAAAACCAGCTGCCCTTGGGACACCCGTCCCGCCTCTGACTCCGTACCAAGTACGAATGCCCCCACACCCGCCATCATTCCATCTTCCGTCTCGGGTAGGGTGAAGCGATGCACAGCTCTTCTGGTTTGGAAGGCGATGGTGCCAAGCCTTGAAAACCCTCGAGAGTGTAGGTTGGGCAGAAATGACCCCTGATACACCTGGGACTGTGTGTTCATACCCAACCTGAGCCCCTTCTCGGATCAGACAAATGGAGGCCTAAGGGGGTACGCGCTGTGAGTGGGAGAAGCGAGCCCTGAGCAGTCACCAACGGCTCAGTCCCGATAGTTCCCATTCGCCCTCCCAGGGCCCAAGTCAGCGTCCCTGGTCACTTGCTGTGATCCTTGTCGCCATGCTGGTGATGTCTGGAACGCAATACGCTCGCGATGTATGGAGGGTATGGAGGGATGGGGAGCCATTGAGCGCTAGTTCGCAGCGTGGACAGTCAAGATTGATACGAGCCCATGATTTGGTCGGCCGCGAAGCTGGCCAGCCAGTAAACAGTGAGGTGATGAGTGGTGATCCTATCGAGGGCCTTGTTCTCATTCTTTTTTGTCCCATTCGGATAACGAGATCCTCAAAAGGGTCCCTCACTATTGATGTACCATTTGTTTACTAAAATTGAGGCATTTTGAGAGTGTCTGGGTAGGTGGCTCGCTTCTATCAAAACCAAGATACCCATCGGCTGGCCCATCGGTTGACCCGACTGGGGGTGGTCGCAAGTTCATGCCTCCCAAATAGCGAATACCATCCAAATTTCACCTGTAGATTTCTCAACGAAAGTGTAGCCACTCGGGAAGCCGAACCAGGCCAGCATCCATCACATCAGATATCCCAAGGCGGTGACCATGTCCCGACAGTCTCTCCACGGCTATTGGGGGACACGACGATACGAAACCCACCGCGCTCTGCTCTTGATACTATGTAGTCCTTACAGTGCTCTTCCATTGACGAAAGAGTATATCCCCAACGCGTTTGATGACGGCGTCTAAAGAAAA